GTTTAAAAACTTAATCTAGTTAATAATATAATAAAGAGATTAAGGTGTTAGCTTTGCAAGGTATAATAGCAATGTTATTATATCTATCGTTAATAAGATTAAATCTCTTATTCTAGTCTTAACTTCTGCTCTTATTCTATATTATAAGCTTTGCGCATATAATATATGCAGCTATAAAAAACTACTTTTCTCTAAGTTAGAAAATACTTAAAACTGCTCTAGTAAGTCTTCTATTAAGGCGTTACTATATAGCAGCATAACTATTAGTTGCTTTAGAGAGTTTCTTTTCTTTTCTAGTTAGTTTCTTATATATCTTGCGCTGTCTATCTTATATAACTAATAGCTCTTATATCTTATGCTATAGAGTTTCTATTTATATAGCAAATTTGCCTTACTAAAGAGCTAGTTCTTTTTAGCTGCAGTTTAGCTTCTGTTCTACAGCAGCCTGCTTTATTTTAGCAGCTATAGAAGTAATATCTTTATTATATACTTCTTTCTAAGCTTACTTAAGATCTTGCTTTAGCGCTGCATTCTTTTCGTGAAGCTGCTTAAGCTGTCTATACTTAAAGTTTAAATTACTTTATATCTCTAATAAAGCTATATTAGCTTTATTGTAATTAGCCTATAGCTGCTCTTCTATCTTATACGCTTTTAAGCTATTTTTATACTCTTTAAGAGCATCTTAAACTGCTAGCTAACTGCTTATATCGTTTACGTAATAGCCTTAAAAATCTCTAAGCTCTTTTTCTCGTAGTGTTAACTAGAACTTTGTTATATTTAAATTCTTAGAATTTCTATTAAAAGCTTTCTATAATATTATGTGTTTAGAGTTAGCAGACGTAAATTCAGACTTAAGGTACTTAAATTTAGTTATATAATTAGCTTTAGTAGCTTTACTATCTGCAAGTTACTATTTAAGCTTATTTGCATAAGACTTAAGTTCCTTAAGTCTAGTTATGCATCTACTTTCGTTAGCTTAACTATTTGCAAGTTGCTATCTAAGCTTAATAGTATACTTAAGAGTAGTATATTAGCTATGCAGGTTAAGCTTAGATTAAAGAGACTTAGATTTAGCTTAACTGTCTGCAAGTTGCTATCTAAGCTTAATAGTATGCTTAAGAGTAGTATATTAGTAATGTAAGTTAATCCTAGAAAGAGAGATACTAATATTATATTAATAGTTAATAGCGTTCTTAGTGTCTATAGTCTTGCTGCAAGATAAAGATAAGGTTTTAGTTAAAAGCTCTTCCTTATTAACTTAATATAAACTGCTAATTGCGCGAAGAGCGCTTTTAGGTAATAGAAGTAGCTATAATAGTAATTCTAGTATAGAATTACGCTATCTAAGCAGAAATTATTAGCAGGCAGTATTGCTATTGCGCATAATATTTACTAACCTTGCTTCTACTTACTAATATAATAAGATAATAAGAAAATAAGAATAAAAGAGAATTTAGATCGAGAAATAAAGAATATAAAAGAGATAAATATAGTAATCTAGCACTAATGCATGCTACTTAGCATAGTTAATAGTTAAGAAATTAAGTAAGAGCATAATTCCTAGCTCTAGCTAGCTTTTACAAAGATAAAGAAGGAATTTTTAAGCTATAGTTACTACTTTAAAGATATAATAAAGAAGTAATAAAAACTTAAGAGAGAAGAGAGCATATTAGGCGATAGGCTTCTGCTATAAAATATAGCCTATAGCTTAGTTTTTACGTAAAAACGCTGCTAGATATAACTCTATAAATTAACCTTACAGCTATTCTAAGCTCGTCCTCTATTTTCTACGCGTTAAATATTATATCTTATAGTAAATATAAATATATATTTAATTCTATAATATAAGAAGTAAATGCTAGTCTTGCAAAAGTTTCTAATACCTTACTATAATAATAATAGTAACTTATAGAACTAGCCTAACTCTAGCAATATTACTTCTAATCTTATAAGATGTAAAAGAGATTATTAAATTTTGCTATAATGCCTTAAAGCTTATATATGCTTAAATATTTAGCATAGATATATACTATCTTAGATAAGTAGCAGTAGGTATTAACCTATCTATGCTGCTTACCTAAAGCTATATACTCTTTAGCTTATACTATTTCTCTTCTATTTAGCTATCTAGCAGGCTTAATATAAATAAGCAGCACTTTATTCTTTCTCTAGACTCTATAGCAAAAATACTTTAGATTACTAATATATTATTATGTAGTATATAGATTAGTTAAGCAGATTTAGAACTAGGATACTAACTGCTCTACTATAAGAGAGCTAATATTACCTTACCTCTGCGTATCTAGTTTAGCTATTATAGCTAGCTGCGATTTAAGCTCTATATTAATTATACAGCTGTTAAGGACGCTATTCTAGCCTATATCGCTTCTCTTAGCACTATTCTACCTCTAAGCAACTATACTGCGCATTAGACTCTAGCTTTAACTTTTTAAGTTAAGGCATAAAAGGCAAGTAACTTACGCTAGATTATAGTATCTCGCACACAGCAAGCAAAGCGCTAGAGATCTAGTATATTAGATAATAATTTAAGGCTAGTAAAACGATACTTACGCTAAACTATAGTGTCTTCTAGCTAGAGCACAAAGCGCTAGAGATGCAGTGTATTAGATAATAGTGCAATACTAGCAAAATAACTCTAGTAAGCAGATGCAGTAGATATGTGAACTTTCTATAGCTTTAAATAGATAACTATATAATTTATCTTATCTTCGTTTTCTTACTTACTATATTATATAGTAAAAATATGCTCTTTTCCTTTATCTAGTTAATTTATAGAGTAAATATTTCTTGCTTATTATCTATAATCTATAACGCTCTATGCATATAGTGTAAGACTTGCAAACGTAGTAAACTATAAATAAGTTAGAACCTAGCGCATATTAGATATATAAAATATTATCTAAGTCTAGTAAATACGCTTAAGCATGTTTTAATACATTTATCCTTAGTAGTTATAAATTAGTCTCGCAATTCTCTTCCTATATACTTTTAGTACTCTAATAGCCTTTATATCGTCTCTAACCTCTAAACGCTGTTCTTCTATCTAATATCTTAATATCTAAATTTATATTATAGATGCAGCCTATATGCTATTGCTGCTAAGAGCCTAGTTAAGCTAAAGACTTATTTAGATATTTCTACGTAGTTAGCTAGGAATGCTCTGTTACGTAGCATTTAGAATATAGTATAGCATAAATAACTTTAAGTTAGAAGCAGAATTATTAGCCTATTAGCTTTGCTAGAGGCTTAGTCTACGATATATTAATATTAAGTAAGTCTCTATATCTGCATATAGATATATATATTACATAACTAATTTGCTCTCTAGAGGTAGGCTATATAAGTTCTCTATATACTCGTCTTAAGATTATGCTCTATATATTACTCTACGCAGCAATAAAAGGATATACTATCTATATTATAAGAGGCTTAGAAGCTATAACATACTAATTAAAAAGATTACTTAGAAGACACTAAATAGTACTATTAGGTACCTAAACTAAGGCTGTTTCTCTGCGTTATCCTTATTACTCTGCTTTATACTACAGCACCTACGCAAGTACCTTATCTAATTTAATAACACGCATAACTAGAGTTGTCTAACTAGATAGCATTTGCTCTTATATCGCATAATAAGCAAGCAACTATATAGATAGTAAGGTATAAGATCCTATGCTGCATAAGCTCCTACTACTACTTAATTCTATAAGATATTTAAATCTGCTAGCACTATATAAATAAGATAGCTACCTAAAACTATACCTAGGTCTACACACACGATAGAGATAAGGTTACTGTTAGAGGTCTATCTACGCTAGATTACACTGCAGAGGACGACAAGAAGAATAATAAGAAGGATAATAAGAAGGATAATAAGAAGGATAGCGAGAAATATAGCAAGGAGTATAACAGCAATAGCAAAGAGTCTGATAGAGAGGAGAAGGTTAATCAAGGATAGTAATATTAACGAATAGTTTCTAGATAGTTATAATAAAGAGGAGAGTTTAGAGGATAATGACGAAGACGAGGACGACGATAAGGATAATAAAGATTTTAAGAAGACTAATTCTAATAATAATAAGGGAGACATGTAGATAGTTACACTTGCAATATCTATTCTTACGTAATTAAATAACCTTCCTAACCTTAGGAAGTACTATATTAATTTAAGGCCTTAAGTCTCTATTATTATTTAGTAATATGCTAGGTATTTACTGCTCTTTCTTATTACGTCTGTGCATAATCACATGTAAGCTAGCCATTTTATTTTTACTTCTGACAACCTGTAGAAATATCTTACGTCCACTGGGGCCTTGGACTATGGGCCGATGGGGAGTGTTTGTCAATGGGTTCGCCATCGTGTGGGCCGTGGTTGTCATGTTCTTCAGTTTCTGGCCGACAGGCGTACCTGTGACGCCGGTCAACATGAATTGGAGCTGTGTGCTTTGGACTGCAGTAATTCTGTTTGCCTTGGGGTTCTAGGCGTTGCATGGGAAAAATGTGTACACCGGACCGGTTGTGGAGACGGATGTAGAAGGTCTGGGAAGGGTTGAACACGCGTGAAGTTGTAGACAGGTCATTCTTTAGACGCCAAATTCCAGGTATGAATCGAGAAGCTTGGGATGTATCCTTGTTCTCTTCAAAGTGGTGCAAAGTAATCCACCGCGCTTCTAGATGTATTCGATATTTGATATGCACATCATGTTTTCTCAGAGAAATACTGCCTGTAGGAGCCATATATGAGGAGTGAAACGGAACGGGGAGGAAATAAGCTCTGAGGCATATATTGCTGGAATTGAGTATACCGATTTCGTCAAGGTACCTGGAAAGATTGACTAAAACTATCTCCCGTGCCAAAAACCACGCCCCAACTATTGCAAAAGGGTATCATTCATTCTGTCGCTACATTATGGAGAAACACCGAAGACGGATGGTTCGCCGGTTGGCTTTAAAATCGTCTTGACATTCGCTGAAGTATTTTAGTTCAGCTTCTTGTTGCCGACCTGCACTGGACGACCCTGGCTGCGCTGATACTGGAGGAAGCCGAAGAAGGCCGCGGCGAGGACTGCGAGCATGATGACGTTGCCTGCTGCATTGTTATATGCATTATGCGCGCTCCATTGGCAATCGTATAACTTACCGACGAGGAAGGAGACAATGCCTCCAGCAAGGTCGACCAGTCCTTTGAAGAAGTTGATGACTAGCTCGACAATCTCAGTCGCGAATTTGGCTGCGAACTGGGCCGTGTTTTCGACCAGGTGGAGAGCAGTGGTGAAGAAGGACCAGACGACCTCGACCATGGACGAGACGAGGTCGGAGAGAGCGGAGACGATCGAAGACATGGTGGCTGAGTCAGGTAGTTGAGAGTGTGGGGTAGAGGTGTTGCAAGGAAGAGAGTCAAGTTGGTGGTAAGTGGAGTAGTGGTCGGTGTTTGTTTGCACAAAGGTATTGTTTGCGCCAGCAGCACTTACCTTTCGCAGCTTTATTGCTACTCGTGATCTGGCCCGGAATGACGAAGCATCTACGCCATGCGACACCTTTCCTGTTTCTTCAAGCCAACTCCTTACCCTTGCTGATGATCCGACGCCTGTGTGGAGGTGGCTGGTTGGATGGCGCATTCAGGCAACGGTTCGCTTGAGTGAGGGTGTGACGTCAGTTGTGTAACCTGAGGAATACCAGGAGCACTGGACAATGCTAGAACCGACAACTTGGTGCACCGGGAACGAGCCGTTACTGCTAGTATTGTGCATGGATTTACAAGTATGCCTGCAGTAACAGGGCGAGCCTTACACAATCTTGCTCGAGCCGTGCCACAAGTGTGGTCGCGATTTTGCAACCTAAGCACTATGCAGCTAATACAACGCCATGGTGGTCGCGTGATCTTTGAATGACAGATTCCTATGAACAATGGCATGGATCCAACTCTTTGGAGCTCTGCGGCTTTTCGCGTGGGCATGTTGTTGTGTGGGAAGTGAAGCTACAAAGCGAGCTAGGGTTACGTCATCCCTTGGGCTATGCTGAATGCGGCTTCGTCCCGCCGCCTCCGATCTTCCACTATCAATCCGCATCCCACTATGTCCACCTTCGACAAGCTGTTCGCAAAGGGTAAGGCAAAGGTGAAGGAGTTCACCGACTCGCGCCCCTCACACCAGCAAGGCCAGCCCGGCCAGGGCTACCCAGGCCAACAGCCAACACAAGGCTATCCTCCTCCGGGACAGCCGCAATACTCGGGCGCGCAGTATCCCCCACAGCAATACCCTCCAAACCAGTACCAGCAGGGCCCACCGCCAGGCCAGCAGTGGGGCGCTCCCCAGCAACAATGGGGTCAGCCACCAGCGCAGCAGCAATGGGGTCCTCCACCTCCGCAACAGCAGTCCTATGGACCACCGCCCGTCCCGCAGGCTAGCAAACCTCAGTCGCCGCATCCACAAGCCCAAGGACCACCACCAGTTCCCCAGAACCGCCCGGGCTCAGCCCAGCCGCCTCCTCCGCAGAACATCCCCCCTCCTCAGGGCGAAAGAGTGTACTGGAAGCCCTCGTTCGATCGTGCGACACCTGTATCACACAACTTCAGGCACGAGATCGGCGATCATGGCTGGGGTAACAACGAGAAGCAGATGTATACCGACAATCCCGCCAACTCGTTCCACCACGATAACCGATTGATCGTGCGGGGACTGGTGGAGGGTGGTAGCTACACATCGGCCCGTCTCACCACCAACCAGACGCTACAGCGGCCACGCGGATATCTGACTGCAACAATACTGGCACCCGTTGCAGAGGGAATATGGCCGGCGTACTGGTTGCTGCCCAAGGACCCGTTCCAGTGGCCGAACGACGGCGAGGTGGACATTTTCGAGAGTTGGAACGGAGACTGCGTGAACCATTCATGCTTGCACTGGGGTCAGTACAATGGCGAAGATCACGACAAGCACCGCGTCGCTGAGACGCCGCTGCACGACATGCCGCGCCAGCCTCATACATTCGGTTTTGCTTGGATAGAGGAGGACGGCATACCAAATTGGCGCGGTCGTATGATCTGGTACATTGACGGCAGACCGGTCATGAAGGGTAACATCCCGCTTGGTACAAGGAGAATGGAGGAGTATCGGATTCTGATCAACATCGCTATGGGCGGAAACGTGTGTCAGGGCAAATTGCCCAAGGACGGATACTACGACATGGTTGTCAGTGATCTCAAGATGTGTGAAGAGCCGCAGGGCGGATGGCACTTGTTTGAACAGGCCTGGAACAGCACGCCCGAAGGCAAGACTATGTAGTACAGGGTTTGCATCCGTCTCAATCTGAAGAGCGTGATTGTGTTTATCCGTGGCCTATTCAATGCTGCTAATGAATCAAGATGGTAAAATCGTGCCAAGTCAATAATCTAGACTACGCTCAATTCGGTAAAGGTTCCTTTCACTCCCACGTGATACCGCGTCGCGTGTCGCGCTTCCTCTGCCTATCGTTCCTATCGCCACCATGCATTCAGCACCGCGACCAGAAGATCATTTGACACCGCTGCAGCACTTGAATTCACTCCAGATGCCGACTACACGATGCCAACGTATACCCCATCACCGAAGCGCTTCTTAGTGCCGACACAGCAATCCGCGCAAAAGCCGAAGCCGAAGCCACCCTCCAATCTGCGCAATGCGTACACTGTCCAGACACCAAAACCTACTGCGCTGGCACCTGAAAACAGCGAGTCATTTTCTAGCAAAGTGGTGCCTGCGAGACGCTTCGTCATTGCCCCGCACCGTCACACGCAAAGCAGAGAGCATGAAGCAGAGGTGCGCGCGGAGCGCCACACGCAGCTCACACCTCGACCTAAACCACGGAGGAAATTTGAGCGGGTCGAGAGTATCGAGGAGCCGCCCAAATCCAGCCCTGACGGACCGTCGTATGACGACCGAGGCATCGGAGTCCTACAGACAGTGGAGCACGACGAAGCCGAAGTGAGGGACGAGGAGCAGAATGACGAGGATGAAGAGATACTATTTGTTACAGAAGAGCGTAACAAGCGACGTCGAGTCTCTCCCCCAACCTCACCCTCCACTCGCCAATCGTCTGAGCCTGCGACACCCGTCACCCTAAGGACCCATCGCTTTGTCGTCCCACCAGCACGAATGCCTGCACCGTTCACAGCTATTCGTACCTCCACAGAGGCCATAGGCTTTACCTCAGTCACAGCAACAATGGCTACCCCCGCGCCCCATCGTCCAGCCTTCATACTCCCACCCCAACCTACCTCGCCACCCAAGCCCTCGAAACCGCTACCAGAGATCTTCTCGCCTTCACGCAAATCGCAGAAATACGTCCCAAACGGACTAGCTTCAACGATGCAAAGCTGGATCATCGAGACGGCGAACACGGGGTTTGCAGCACAGGAACGAAGCACAACGGGCGGCGTAGTCTGGGGCAGGGATCGAGAAGACGGCGTTAGGCTTAGAGTACGTGTGACAGCGGCTTCTTCGTCGAATCTAAAAGATGGTGAGAGCGAAGTGGAGTGCTTTCCTGGCCACTTTGTGTTTGTCCGGGGTGAGACGGAGCCTGGCATGTATAACCACTCTCGCGCGCTCAGCGTCGTGGACAATGATGGCGAGATGAGGATTCTACTGGCGGGCCAAGGCGGAGCGCGAGGTGTAGCTGGGGTGAAGATCAAGATTGGCAGTATCGTGGGTGTGCGGGCGCCGATGTGGGATGTCGATGTTGCAGGAGAGAAGTGGATGATTGGCGTGGACTGGGTTGCATTATGATCACAGCGACAACTTATGAGTATACGAACTGATGATTTATGACTATCAACACTATTGCGCGGTATGGTCACAATCTGTAAGTGCTTCATTCGTCTTCCAATGTCCTTAACTGTGTATTTGCCCTCCCGTGGCTGTTACATCAGCTGCCTGTATATGTTGTATAAAATGTTTGCGTATGCTCGACATTCCTTTCCTGGTCTCTCCATGTACATTCCGCCCTTGGCGATGCTTCGCGGTTCTCTCAGCGACTGACCGGTACGCTCGATGTGCTATTTGGCTCAGTTCGCCCCTTCGGACGAGGCTCTCCGAGCTCTGGGCTCGAATGACGAGGACTCGGCGTTTTGTTGCGCTCAGCCCACAAGACGCTTTTCTGCTTGAGGTCTTCTCGTTTCGGGCCATTGTCAGCCAATGGACCTTCCCAGACGCTCACCAATTCATCGTGCATGAGGTTCGCAAACGCATCTGGGTCCTTCTCGCCTCGGAGATAATCCATGATGTTTTCCTTGGAGCGATTGATGAGTACATTCATAGTCTCGGCCAGGAATCCGTCGTCCCAGAATGGCTTGTCGGAGGCGTCGTCAGTGTCGGTGTCCGACTCGTCTTCACGCTTACAGTGACGCTTACGCTCTGCCATGCGACGGCTGGCTGTAACATAAATTAACATGCCGAGATCATGCTCCGAAATTCCGTGGGTACTCACCTCCTCCGGCCCTCTTGCCACCTCGTGCACTATCCGGTGTACCAAGTGCATCCGCACCACCAGTGACCTTCAGATGACTCGATCGCTGCAGCGTCACAAAGACGTCGCTCACCAGAGCACGGCGGAAACGCATGGCCTGACTGAAGTCGTAACCGAGGCGGGTGAAATTCGGCCACTCGTATTCAGCATGAGCTTCGAACCAGTTCAACGTGTTGAGGATGTCGAGGCGAGCTTCGTCGGCACTGCTGTAGGAGACGGCCGCCTTCTCGCCAGAAACGAACTTCAGGGCTGCAGCGACCATGAAGTGCGACCAGTCAGCTGCATCACGTTAGGTGAGAATTGCGCGTGTGGAAAGGTACTTACCGGGCTTCGTGAGTTGCGGTTGAGCCGGCGGAGCGCTCTCGAGGGGCTGCTGGGTTGCTGCTATGGCAGCCATTGCGATGCAGTCTATCAAATGTGAGTGTTTGGAACTGGCGTATGAGTGATGCAGATGCAGGGTGAGTGAGATGTCAGTCGCGTCGTGTCTTCCAAATTTTGGCAGTGACGTGTGCGGGACGCGTCAAGGGAAGGTGCGATGCCCATGGCGGTCCTGGCTATCTTCGCAACCTCAAGAAACCAGTGCCCAGTTTAGACTTCGCAGCTCTTACGGAAGAGCGGTTTTGCAAAGTTTGTGGTTTGTGGTGTGTGGTTCGCCACTCTGGATGGTCGTGGTTGAGGTAAGCTAAGGAGAAGATTCCATGGTTCACCTTAGATCTAACTTTTCCTTCGTATAAATTCGAAGTTAAGGCATTTTCGATGTTGTTTCACAATCTTCAAGTCATTCTTTATCCACGATACCATTATGCCTTACATTACCTACCCCTGCTGGGCATGCTGCTCCATTGCCAACGAGCAAGCCAAATGTCGTATCTGCTCCCCACGTCGTCCAAAGAAAAGCCGCATACCAAAGCCTTACAATGCAGAGAAACCTCGACGCATGCAAACCATTTCCGCTCCCATTTTAGTTTCGATCTACAACTGGAACGAATGTAATACGGAAGCGATACAAAAGGAGCTCGACAACATTCGCGAGATGAACACCTGCGAGCCATATTTGGGGCAGGATAGCCCTGCTCTCACCATCATCACACCCAACTCCGAAAACATACCGAGCGTAGCACTCCATGCTGCTGAGAATGAACACCCAACCATGGACAGGGCTACATTCAGAGACGTTGAACATGAGGTTGATTATGTTTCCGATCTTCGCGTTTTGATTTGCCCACGGGAAGCGACTAAGGAGCATAAAGGCAGAAAGAAATGTAAAAAGTGCTACGAAGCAAAACAAGCCAATGCACACTTCGCGAGTGCTATGAGGGATACGGAGGCGGGACTGGTAAGGAATAGATTTGAACAAGAATTAGCAAGCCGTTGTGGCACGATCATGGAGCCTGAGATCATGAGATCTGACTTCATGGAGCCAGTGACGAAGAATCCTAAATTCTGTGTCAGCCCAGTTAAATGGTGGCGATTACAGAGAGCTCGCAGGAAGTAGCTATGACTGAAGATGGTGCTACGAGGGCTTTCAGCTCACATCAATATCAAGTGGTTGATATGGCTGCGCATCACACATTTCTGTGCAACTCATGAACGCACGTGACCATGACCCTTTTGCACAGCACTTGGCTAGCGTATGTGCTGTGGTCTGCTCGGCTCACCAGTCTTACCTCAAGTAGCCCGACCTGCATTCGCTGACACCATCACCTCATCAGCAAGCGACAGGTCATCAACTCATCTGCACTGATCGGGATGCCAGGCAGTGAGAGTCAGCCACGTACAGGCCAGACATTCGCCTGCGCTGCCAATTCCCGAAACGGGTACATCTGTTCATTAACCTCGATAACCGCTACAATTCATCCTACGCGACCATGACTGGATGCACGTCACGAATGGCACGACCCAGAATAGATTGGGCACTGCGAGGAAGAGTTCTTGCAGGTGCTCTGGATGTTTCACGGCTCTATGCTGCGTCGCTGGACTTCCTGACCGCAATTGCAGTGCACTGTTGTACATCGGCCTCGAAGGAGTGTCAAGCGGGTCTGCGCCCTCACGATACCACGTTGTACAGCGAGGTCTGGAGACGATGGTGGAACAAAACGAGGCGAGGCCAAATCAGATGGTTCTCGCCTAGAGCGCTTCGAGACGTTAGCGTGATTTGCTTTCCGTGGCCGAGGTGTGACGTGTCTCGCGATCCGACAGCATCACCATCCCTCATTTCAGGACTTTAGCCATCAATTGCTCAGTGCAGTACCCCTCTTTGGGCCGCCAGATATGACATGTGTGGGCGTGCTCCGTTGTCCCCGACAACCCACGTCTCTGGCGGGCCGGAGCGCGGAGCGGCGAACCCAACGTTGTGTACAACGAATGCTGCATACCCTGCTGCAGCTGGGTGCCATCGCACCAATGATCAGAGCCTCTTCTCAGTGAGAACCCACCTGCCGGTTCTCGAAATCTCTCAATCTGGGCGAACGACGTTCCCCTACGTGGTCCAATGGTAGACACATGCCGAGCTCGCCTCTACCAGCATCGCCCTGCTGGAGCCCACGTCCCTGCCGGTGTGAGGCTTACTGGGCATACTGCCAGCAATGTTCGAGAATTCGACACTGGGAATCCCGATCTTGTCTCGTGACGCTGTCTTGCATCTCTTTCGTCAATCCACATCGCTTTCAGTTTCAGCTTCGTCCCATTGAGCCACGCAACACGCAACTCCACAGTTGTGTGCCTCTTTTTTGAGCCACTTTCATCTCATTCGTCTCTCCGCATTCAGTCCCCTCACCCCACGTTCATGTCGCCATTGCTCGCTCATCAAATGTGTTATCAGCCATGGAGCAGCGACAACGTCAGATATAGCCTGTAGCACGAAGCATCGAATTCCAGGATTTCGAAATCCCCAATTGTGAATTTTGTCCAACCATGCGTCAGTTCACGCAGGTGTCGATTTCGCCATGGGCAAACCCGTTCAATGGTGCAACGGGAACAGGGCAGAACTACTACACATCAAGTGCCCCGAAGCAGCCTACCTATCGACGGATGGTCGCACCACCGGCACCAATATTCTTCCATCCGGAAGTTGAGCAAGTCGTTGGCGAAAGTGATAACGAAGATGGTATGTATACATGCGTCATTCTCGACGGAAGCTTACATCAGGATTGAACAGACTCAGGCAGTGCGCCGATTGAGTCCGCTGCATCACCAGAGGCCCCAGCTGCCCCTGAAGTACCTGCACCAGAGGCAGCAGAGCCAGCGCCGCCGTCGCCTCCTCCACCTCCAGCACCTGCACCAGATGCGACTGATATCGAACCTCCAGCTCCTCCCCCAGATGCACCACCGCCGCCACCAGATGATGTGGAGATAGTAACAACAGAAGGAGACGCACCGTCGACCAGTGAAGTCATAATCGTTGATGTCCAAAACGAGCCGCCACACGAAGATGCTGTTGTACATGTACCTCCTCCTCCACCATTTGTAGAAGCGAGTCCGAGCACACCACCTCCACCGCCACCCGTTGAAGTCGTACCTGAGCCATCTATAGCTGGAAGTGAGAAGAGTGGTGAGTCCGAGCAGGCCGCTCAAGAGCCCCCGAAATCCCCCGTCATCAAATTCGTTCACTTTGCGTCTGACACGAAAGATCCAGACGCTGGCAACAGCAAGAAGAAAAAGAAGCTGCTAATTGGCAAGGGCAAGCCCAATGCTTTCGTGCGCGTGAGGGACCCGCCCTCTCCAACCCCCACATCTCCCAAGGATGAGAAGAAAAGGGTCATTGACAAGGTCGTGAGGAAGAAGGAGCGACGTCCATCATTTCTTTCCATCTCTTCTCTTGAAAAGCCTAAGCTCAGTAAGTCGGATGACCGCAAACGAACGAAGCCAGACGACAAGGATAAGAAGGCAAAAAGCAAGAAGGAAAAGTCGAAAGGCGAATCGCCCAGTATCGCGGAGGATGATGAACGATCACTCGATAACGAAGAGAGTGTCATCTCGGAAGGCTCTACGGGCGCGTCCACTGAAAGCCAGGACGCCGTTGTCGGAGAGGCTGCATCGCCACCACCTCCTCCCCCTCCTCCGCCACCACCTGCAGATGAGATCACACCAGACTCTCAAGAACCTCTTGAAAAGTCAGCCGAAACAGCGTCGACACCGTCAGATGAGACTTACCCAGAAGCAAAGGAGGCTACCTCTGAAGGTGATCCAGCTCCCCCACCGCCGCCCCCTGCAGAGGTAGTGGCCGAGGACCAAGACGTTGCGAAAGACGAGCCACCGGTGGAAACCGAAGAAGGCACATCCGCAGAAGAAGGAGCAGTACCTCCACCACCGCCGCTGATGGAGGACAATAGTGAACCAGAGGACAAAGCAGATGTGGCGGATGCGGCAGATGCCGAAGCTACTCCTGTAGAAGACGTCGCCCCAGCAGAAGAGGCAAGTCCAACTGATGAGACTGCCGCGGAAGCTCAAGAAGATGCCGATGCCACCACTGAGGGCGAGAAGGCAGATGGTGACGATACAAGTAAAGAAGAGCCATCGCCTTCAGCGGCAGAAGAGCTGCCCGCGGCCGAGCCCGCTGTCGCCGAAGAGGCAGAACCAAAGAACGATGAAGTGAAAGAAGAAACGCCCACGAACGCCAAAGAGCCTGCGGCAGATATATCGTCTGAGCCTGTCCCATCGCCCGAAGACGTCATACCGCCCGAGACCGATGCCGCTGCGGAAGCAACGGCGGAAGCAAGCAGCGATTCAGATGCCGTGGATGTCGCCAAAGCCGAAGACAATAAGGAAGACGAGCAAACTGCAGATGAGCCTGTTACTGGGGCCGAAGAAGCAAGACCCGAAGCCACGGAGACGGCATCAGTCGATATAGCGGAGGACGCCGAGGCGCCCGCTGTCGAAGTTGTGCCAGAGTCTGAGTCAGTTCCCATAGCTGAAGCACCCAGCAAGCCTGAAGACGAAGCCGTTTCAGAGGACCAAGAAGAGGAACAACCAAAAGAAGCCTTAACCGAAGAGTCGGTGATCGAGGTTGCTGCAACAGAACCTGCGTGTGATGAAGCCTCCACGGAAGAATCTGGGATTCCGACTGAACCTACATCGGAAGAACCTCCCACGGAAGAATCTGCAGTGGAATCCCCATCTGATGAGGTTTCCATTGAAGGACCTGTTGTCAATGAACCACCTGCGGAAGAGTCTGCGAAGGAAGAGCCTGTGACAGAAGAACCTACGACTGATGAAGCCTCAAACGATGAGCCTCCTAAAGAGGAATCTCTAGAGGTCGAACTCGCAACAGATGAGTCCGCCGTCGACCCTTCCGCTCAAGAAATGGTTTCTGGAGAACCGAAAGTACAGGGAGAGGAAGCTCAGGATGTAGCTAGTGAGGCTACACCCGAGCCAGCAGCTGAGAGCCAGAGTGCCACCTCTCTGGAAGAAGATTCAGAGCAATCAGATGTCGCGGATCAACCAGTTGAGCAGGATAGTGCAGATGCACCTGCTGCCACATCGCTGGCCGCCCCGGATAAATCTGCCAACCTTGAGGAAAATATTGGCTCTGAGGATGCTTCTGCAGAAACCACCCCCTCAGCCGATGACACAAAGCCGCCCACAGATGAGCCCACTGCTGCAGTCGATGACGGGAACGTTGTCGAGATTACAGAATCGCCCGAGCCTGCTGAGAACGCTAGTGCTGAAGCACAAAGTGAAGGGCAAGAAGAGAGTGAAGGTGCACGCGGAGAGCAGCCAGCTGTTGCGGCAACCGTAAACGAAGCACTTGACACGGCACCTCCTTCTGCTGCCATCGAGGTCACATCAGAGCAAGGCAACGCCGAAGCGCAAGACTCAACAGAGGTCAAAGCCGAAGACCAAAATCCCGAGCCCGTCAATGACGGCAACGACAGCAATAAAACAGTTGAAGTATCAGTTGAGACGACATCACTCCGTCGATGACGGCACAAGCGGTGTAGAACCCACTAACAGCGACACGGTACCTGACGAACAAGAGCAAGAAGGGCCACAGGCCGAGGCGCACGAGGCTGAAGTCGAGTCCCAGCCCGTTGAAACAAAGGAAGACACGCAAGAGCCTGAGCACGCGTCTGACATGGGTGTTGGTGTTGCAGACGGTGAGGTAAGCGAGCAGCGCCCAGAGACGCCCGATCTCCCAGGCCAACCAGATGAAGCACCACCAGGTACGTGCGAGATTCCTTGTCCTAGATTCTTTTTCTTCGATTTGCGTGGCATCGACTCCATGCCCCCGCGCAAAATTTCGATAGTGCCATGCACGCGCCGGATCGGGCTGGCTGGTCCACGTCGAGGGCTGCAACTCAGAAGAGCCGATTGGGCCGCGCGACGCGTCTGATTGGTCGCCTCGCCCAATCGCTGTTGCTGCCAGCACACAACAGCCAGCGTATCTGACTGTCACGTGCGCTGGGTTGGCTGACGTTGGTTCGGGCTGCAATAGATGCACGCAATATGCCGCAAACCACGACTCGCATGTCTTTGCATCGCGCTAGGCTGGGAAAGACCCTTTTGGCCCACCCGCATCTCCGTCTTATTTCATACTCTCCGGTCTTTCACTGATTTTCCATCTCACATACCGCGATACTCACTATTCTTCCGGTGAACCTCGACACACATAAAACTGATTTAATGCAGACGACACAGCGGCTCTAAATGCCCAGAGCACCTGAAGATCAAGGCCTAGAAGTGCAATCTGATGTGACTACTGAGGTCGTCTCAGATCCTCGTCTCGGAAGTTACTCGTCGAAGAATCAACTGGGGAAGACCCAGCTGCGGCCGGGGACGCTTCGGTGCCCACAAACGAGAACACTGAAATAAAGCCTGAGCAAACCGAAAGCAAAGATGTCGACGCCGTAGCGAACACAGAGCAAGTGGTAGTCGCAATACCGGAAACGGAGATGACGGAAGTGACCGCACCTGTGGATGCTGAGGTAAGCTATCATGAGCCAGAGTATGGTACTCGTCATACTTGAGCGTGACACCGGTATCGTACTTCACATAAATTACATGATTGTCTAACAAGTCTGATAGGCTGTTGACGAGACCTTGCTCGCAGAAGTGGACGAGAAGGATACTCAGGACACGCCCGATGCTCACGATGAAGATGACGATGCTTCTGACTCGCCGTCCGAATCAGACAACGGGTTTGATTCCGACTCGGATGTGTCATCAATGCCTCCTTCGATAGTTGAAGTAGACACTGCAGAAAGTCCTGAGACTACTGAAGGACAGGAGGAGCAAGAGGCCGATAACCCCGCACCCAAGGACGAGGACACCGCTTCCATTGCACCTGAAGAAGTTGAAACCGAGTCATCTAACGCGACAACACAAGACGATGCAAGCTCAGCCACCACCGTTGAAGTTGCCGAGGCAGAACCCGATGCTGCTGAAGCAAAAGAAGAGGAAGAAGTACCAGCAATTGAGAGTGAGGCACCGGTTCCGGATGCGGATGTTACACCGGAGGACCCCACTGAAGCCGTACCCGAAGAAGAAGAATCGAAGCCGGATGATGAGTCGACGGTCGATGCGGCACCAGCAGATGACAATGCGGACGTGCCAGCCACTGCGGAAGATGCCGAAGAGGATCTCGGTGGCCCTGACGAGGATAGCGAAGATGAAGGAACGTCGTCGGTCAGTGAGGCATCGACCGCGCAGTCTGAAGAGGCTGCGTCCGCGTCGGTGACCGAGCCCGCAGATGCGCCAAGTCAAGATGCACCTCCTGAGCAGGAAGAAGAGGCAGATGAGTCTGTGGTCGTCGAAGCTGAGGAGCCGAGCCAGCCAGAAGAGGCCGAGGAAGCGCCTGAATCTGAGCCTGTGAACGAGGGGGGTGATGAAGAGGCTCCTGCCGAGGACAGCTCTGATACACCTGCACCCGCCGAAGCTGTCGAAGAAACCGATCCGGCTCCGACGATAACAGAAGCCAATGCTGATGCATCTGCAACTACAGAGACGGATGTCACAGAAGAGCCTACGGCCGATCCAGCTCCCGAGGTAGACGAAGTGCAGGTCGCAGATGCTGGGAATGAAGAAGACACCCCCGAGCAACCCGCCCCAGCAATCGAAGGAGCTGACGATGCTGCACCGCCGCCACCCGAGGATTCAAACACGGAGAGTCCAGAGCCGGCGCTGGAGGACGAGCCTGAAGCTAATCCAGATGATTCGAATGAACCTGAGACTATCGAGCCGCCTGTAGTTGAGGCAGAAGAGGCCACCGAAGACACACCACAGGATGATGCTGTTCAAGCTGAGTCTGCTGAGGAGCCCGCTACCGAGGAACCCGGACTCGCTGTCATTGAGAATCTAGAAGAGGTCGACCCAATAACGCCAACACCTGAGCTTGCAGAAGACGGTGAGGGCGACGTGCCCAAAGCATTGAACCAACCAGATGCGCCTGTTGAAGAGGTCGCCGATCCACCAGCAGCTGAAGAATCGACTGCCGCAGACGAAGAAAAAGCCGAAGACGCAGCGGACGTAGAGGCCGAGGTTCCATCGGATGAGGCCGTCGAGGCACCGTCCACAGAGGTGGAACCCGAGCCAACGGTAGACGCAGATGGTATCGTAGATGCACCGCAGCCAGATGAAGACGAGTCAAACGATGCCGAGGAACCTGCGGCAGAGCCATTAGCGGACGAACCTGCTGATGCTGAAGCTGAGGAGCCAGTCCCAGAAGTACCTGTCGAAGATGAGCCTGGTCAAGCTGAAGTCGATGCACCAGAAGAGGAAACAGGTGCTGCTGAAGCCACAACAGAACCGGAACCAGAAGCGATCCCGGAAGCAAGTGAAGAGGCAGCGCCAGAGCCAGAGCCAGAGCCAGAGCCTCCGGTAACGGAGGACGTAGTAGAACCAGCGGAGCCCACTCCAGAAGCAGTCGAAGTCGTTCCTGAGCCGGAAGCTGTCGAGGAGGAGGAGGAGGCTGTTGAGGCTGAAGCTCCCGGAGAATCCCCTGCTGACCCCGTTGCCGATGAAGCAGCCGCGCCAGAACCGCAGGTAGAGGAAGCCGAGCCCGTGGTGGAAGCGCAAGTCGAGGCACCTGTAGAGGAGACGCCTGTAGATACGCCATCCGATCCTGTGCCAGAGGCAGAAGAGGCAGACCGGACCCTTGAAAGTGAAAACGCGGATCTCCCCGCTCCCGAACCGATTGTCGAGAGCCCACGTGACGAATCGCTACCTCGAGAACGCGACTTCGCCATAGTCGACGGACCCGCAGTCGAATCTTCGCCAAGAGAAAAGCAACGGCGGCGACATTCTCATACGCACAGACAACGAAGGCGTGAGAGCGAGGCAAGTGTGAAGGAGCGACCCGCAATCGGTGCTCTTGCTGGAGTCCTTGCGGCCGCAAAACTCTCTAGTTCCGCAAAGACCAAGCGTCGTGACAGTGGCACAGAGCGTGATACGGGCAGAGGTAAAGAGCGGAGGCGTGAGGAAGAAAGGGATCACAGCAACAGCAGCAGGGAGCGAATGTATCCAGACCACCGCGCAAGTCGCCGTCGCGATGACAGGGTCGAAGATCGATATGCCAAACGCCGAACAGTGCAAGAGCTTGATGAAGCAACGGAAGAACAGAAGCGGCGCGAGCGTCGCATTGAACGGAAACGAAAAGAGGCAGAAGAGGCAGCTAAGGCATTGGAAGAGGAAGAGCTTCGTCAACAAAGGCGCCGTGAGCGTAAAATTGCCGCCAAGCTGGCGGAAGATGAACGTTTGAGAGCCGAGGACGAGCGCCGCAGACAAAAGGAGGAAGAGCGCATTGCACTAGAAGAGGAAGCGAGACGCATACGCCACGAGAAGAGGCGGCAGAAATACGAGGCCGAAAAGGAGGCAAAACGACAGGAGATCTTACGACTGGAACAACTCGAACAAGCTGAGCGTGAGGAAGAAGAGGCCAGGCGCCTGCGACGTCTGAGACGAGCCGAGCGAGAAAAGGAGAAGCTGGCTCCATCGCGTCCAAGAAGGGAATCTGTCGTGGTGCCACGAGAGTCGCCTCGCAAAGTTCCCCGTGACTCCGCTCGCAGGGCATATGAAGAAGATGAGGAAGTCACGCCTGCGCGACCATTGACCCCTCCACTACCACCCGTGGATACGGGGTCGCCACGCAGCGCGCCGCGCCGACGGATGAGTACTCGAGAGACTCCGCCCACCACCAAGCGAAGCAGTAGGCTGGGTGCGTTGTTCGGTCGCTCAAAGACAGATCCCATCACACCGCCCTCGAAATCGACTAGACCGACCACTCGCGTACGCTCAGATCCGACTGAAGTGCCAGAAGTACCTACCAAAGTGTTGCGCAAAGATATCGACCGCCCCGGTAGTAGCCACCAGTCCTCCAACGAGAGTCGCGATCGTGCTGAGCGTCCCCACCGCAGTCGTAGACAGTCACAAGGCCAGCGTCGATTTAAAAACCAGGCAGAAGAAGATGAGTACTACAGACAGAAGGAGAAGCGCAGGTCTGCTCGGCAAAAGGAATACGAGATGTCTGGGGGTCGTGATGGGGGTGTTACATTCGCAGAGCCTATCGACGATCTAGGTCCGCCACCACCCGAGCCATTCGAGCCGGATCCTGAGCCTGTTTTCGAACCAGAGCTCGAGCAGGATGCGTCTCAATACATAGAGGATGATAAAGCAGAGCTCGGTGTTGCCTCTACATCGTCTGCCGAACGCCGCGAACGTCGCCGCAGCAGGCGCGAGTCGGGGTTAGAAGAGCGACCCAGAACTCGTCGCATCACCGTGACCGAAAGGGAGCGACCAGAGGGTCGGCGCAACGAGTCAGATCGCCCGCGCACAAGGGGTTACGACGAGGAAAAGCCCCGCCCCAGGCGAAGCGAGACTGAGAGGAGGAGCAGCGGACGCAGCTCAAGGAAGAAGGAAGAGTCTGGCGGACTTAAGAGCCTCTTCGGAGGATTGAAGAAGAGAATTGCTTGATTGGGATTGGAAGCAGGGAGTTTGATATGTATACATGCTGGGGAGGTTCTTCACTGAACAGGCGCTTTGGGTTGGGAGGACGCTTTATACCACTTTCTTATCTGGGTCATGATGACTGGCGTTTCTGGACGAGGTCCTTTTTGTACTGGTATGCTGTAGAGCCTGAGGTTTGAACACTTGTATATTGGGGGAGACTGAGCCCAAGGCTACGAATTTATGCTTCTTCCATTATCATGTGCTATTTAAACCCTTTTAATCCGGGCGGACGATACGACCTCCTGGATGCCCTCTCATTGTTATCGCTGCGCCGCGACACCTCGCTCGGCCAGCCCGATGCCATTGGCAGCATCGTCCGCGAACGGATCGGAGGGGCGGCGAGGGAGTTTGTCGCCGAGCTAAACATCTCATTAATATCCTAAATGCCAGTCCTCAAGAGAAAATCGAGCTAACGCGATAAACAGCCATGCCAACGACTACTGTCCAAAACATCTCCCCAATCCGAGCGCCGAACCACACGCTATGGAGCCAATGCTCTCCGTTCTTCTCCACCCACGAAGCCGTCCACTTGGTGAGCCCAAAAGAGACCCAGAACGAGACCAACAAGCCCAAGGCGCATCTCGTTCCTGGGTGGTTGCGCCACCAGCCACCCATCTTGACGAGGGCCGGCTCGACGTAGGGGATACATGGTCGAATTACGACCAGAACAACGGACCAAAGCCAAGTCCTGAAGGTGCTCAAGTAGTTGCCCATTTTTAAGAGGCAGGTGAATCGTGCGTGTGGAGTTGTACGATGCGTTTTTGTAGCTTTAGTTGAGCCGTGGTGATGTGTCTTGGAGTCTACAGTAACAGGTGCTCGAATTGAGAAGGACTTCACAGTGGTACTCCTCCCTCTTTTGTTCTTCATTGCAACTTCTTCGCAGCTTCATTGTGGTTTCTTTAAGATAAGTGCTTCTTTCCTCTGTACCACTACTTGTATTCAGGATCAGAAAGTGTACCTTGGATGTACACGCTACTCTACAGGCTTTGACGAAGACATTTTGGTGCACTAAGAATCACCATACGCTAGCTTGCCGCACTTTATATTTCAGATCCACACAAAAGAAAAATTCTTACTCTTTTCTCATGTCCATCTACATCCGTGATCAGCCCCCCTCACTAGCATTTGCCATGATAAAGACAAGGGAGCCTCGCGCAAGGCGCGCCATCATTCGCAACTTCACCACTGACATAGCCTGGGCCTCCTTCATACTTGCAGCGGTGGTCCTGGCAGCCCAGCTCGTACTGATTATATTCGAAGGTGTTCAGCAAATTGTCGCCACGTCTTCACAGCGAACACAGGCGGAAGTGTCCAAAAGTTGGTGCATGTGGTTGACGAATTACCCCAGCGATCCTATCGGTTGCTATGTTTTTTATTGCGCTTTCTTGGTCCTCACAACCTTTTGTGGGAGTCACTTCAAGGCCTTTGGCTTCTGGATGCTGCAGCTCATAACGCTTGCGACGCTCAGCTTCTCCCTGCACCAGGACCGCCTCTTGTGGGAGAAGACTTGGAGCAAAGCTATCGGATCCATCTGCTTTTCAGTTTTCCGAATATTGGCCGCTGCATTCGTTGCCAACCTGCCGAGCTGGTCATGGTCTTACATGGGGCTGTACGAGGATCGTGCAACTCATCCTGTAAGTCTTTTTTTTGAAGTGCCGCCACAAGTAGCGAACGCTAACCGATGAAAGGTTTCAGGAAAGATCATCTACATTCAAATGCCCAGTTTCGAGATCCGGATTAGAACACCCAAAAACTACTTTGGTCGTCTAGGTTTGGCACTTATGGACATCAGAATCATACTCCTTCGCCTCGCATACATTCAACTATTCGAACATCTTATTCGCTTCGCCCACGTACGCAACAACAGATTGAATGAGTCGAGCGCCGCTTCTTATGAGCTCGTCAAACTGGTAACGATAGTCCTTGGCGTCCAGGCTTTGCATTTCAGCGTCGTTCGACTCACAACCCACGTTGTTTACTTCTACTACGAGAAGGAAGACCGCGTGACACCACGCCGTCGAATATTTTCTCGTTTGATCGATGTCGATACTATGCACATTCAGACGATAGAACTAGACATATTGCTGGGGAGAAGTAAAGACAACGGCGCAGATGAGGCTGGAACGGAACGTGTTGAGGTCAAGGCCGAATCTAAAGAAGATGCAACCAAAGATGATGGCTGCGAAGAATCGAAAGGCAGCGTGGAAGTCGTTCAAATAAAAAGAAATACTTCAAAAGATGTGTTGGATGTAGACAAGACTGTCGGAGATGTGGTCTGATCACAGGCCTTTTGTTCTGGGGGCGATGAGTAGCATGATATTGCGAACACCATCCCAGCGATCTCAAAAATGAGGCTGTACAACGCCACACAGTAGCTCAATATTAATGAAAACGTAGTGTAGCAGTAAACAGATGCTTGCAATTAATCTGTACTATCTATATCTTTGCGGGAGGCTGACGTGGCGGCCACGTGATGTGACTTTAGCTGGAGCAGCAGATAGCTCATCTTCAGCTTGAACACCAGCGTGAGCAGCGCCAGCGCGTTTTTGACGCTTGTCACTTGATGAGGTTGCTTGCAAGGCTGGTCGCTTGCGTTTTTGAGCCTGTTGGACAGCTTTTTTCTGGTGTTGAGCTTCAACTTTGGGCGCGCGTTCAGCTGCTTTCTCAGCCCGCTCAAGCTCCCTCGTCTCCTTGAGCCTCTGCCTCTCTACACGCTTCTCCTCGAGTTCAACTCGACGCTGCACTCGAGCCTCCTCGCGCTGCTTCTTATCCCGTGCTTTTTCGGGTTTCACCTCCATCTCATCTCGCTCCCGTACTGCCTCTCTAGCTCGAGCTTCACGCAGCTTGCGAGGGGAACAGTGGACAGCGCCACCGTGATACTCCTGGCGCTGTTGAAGGTCAAGAGCTTTACCATTCTTCTTGTGTTTCTTTTCATGTTGAAGAGCTTCCTTTAAACGCTCGTTCTCATGCTTTAAAAGCTCATGCTGCACAGAGAGATGGTGAACGCTTGAGCGCAGCTTTCTTGCCTCATACTGATGGCTATCATTGACAACAGCTCGTACTAACCGATCGAGCTTTCTCCAGTCGTGACCAGAGAGCCCTGACGATGAGATTCTCTCAGCTTCTGGCGTGCTGCCAAATCTACGAAGGATAACGTTGGCATCCATCGGCCAGATTCCAGTGGCTTCGAAGGCCTTCAATATGAGGCTCTCTGTGAAGGAGGATATCCAGGCGCTCCAGAAGAGCAGAAAGAAGTCCCCTTTCTCGATTGTGATGAGGCCTTGAGCCTTGTGGAGAAAGCTTGTGAGCTCGTTAGAGTAGGCTTGAGAGAGTGGCTTTAACAGCACTACATCGAGCGGCTGGAGCGTGTGAGCTGAATGGGGAGGAAGGACCATGAGGAGGATCCTGTGGCGATCACAGTAGTCGATAAACTCTTTCGTGACATGAGTTCCATGGCCATCAACGATGAGCAATCGCCATCTCCCTGATCGCTGCTTCGTACAGCGATCAAACACCTGCTCAAGCCAAGCTAGGCCTATGTTATCGTCTGACCAGCCTGTTGGAGATGATGAGACAAAGACCTCATGCTCTCCTACCTTGATATCCTCTACCCAACTCGATTGTATACCTCCTTCTGCAGCTGGGTAGATAAGGCTTGGAGGCAGCGAGCTTCCATCGGCGCAGCAGCAGGCTAGGAGTGTCAGGAACTCGCGTGATCCGTCCTGGGTAGATGCTCGAACCTCCTTCTTCTCCCATTGACGTCTGCTGAATATCCTCTTGCTTCTGCCTATCAAGCCAATCAAGATGCCCTTTTCATCCATATTGTATATATCTCGAGCCTCAAGGTGATATTGGGTGATCTTTCGATGCAGCAGCTCAAAAAAGAGTCGGTATCTTGACTCAGTATCAGCTCGATCGCGCGTACGATCCGTGGTGGTGATCCACTCTGAGATGAGATGGATCTCGTGTCGGTTGATGAAGCGAGTAACCCAGCTTTCGCTGAGCTGCTGATGGGCTACTTCTGATGAGAAATTCCTGATCATCTCTCGAGTAGGAGGAAGGCCTCGCTTAGTAAGCTTAATGATGTACTGCACAAGCTCTAACTCCTGTTGTGGGTCGATAGCTTGTTGCTGAGCGTATCCATCGCTCCTAGGTCCTGTCACGCGCCTCCATCTTCGCCCCAGCGTTGAGCGGTCAACCCCCCATTTTTCAGCAACCTCTTTTAATGTGAACTTTTCTCCTGGATCGCGCGATTCTAGATCTGCAATTGCTTCATCAATCGGAGCCATGATTGTGGAGTTATTGCGCGTCAAAGTTGTAGTATTGAGACACGCGTCGGCGTTCGGCGGAGCATGAGATGAATCCGGGCACGAGGTGCACGGACACGTTACCCCCGCAAAGCTCCCGCATCATTCACCGATGTCGTCACGCACGTCTGGCCCAAACTCAGCATACTTATTACACCAAGAATAGCCAGCACGCAGCATTCGCGATAAGAGCTTCCTGCATGCCAAACATCTGCCGATTCGCTGCTGCACGCAATGCTCTCACAAGACCACAGGCTCCCTGAACGAGTGTACGGACAGCATCTGGTAGAGGGTGTAGCTAGTTACCACGGCGATGGCCCTGCCGCATCGAGCAAGGCGCTCGCTCACCCATCTGCAGCATATAGTTGACATCCAAGGGCATCATGCTCAGGACGTTCTGCGCCTATAAAAGGCCGACGTTGGATGCAATCACATTCGCACCACACTTGAGGTTAATTCGCCATGCGTGCTCTTCCCAGACATCTATTCGTGCTCCTGGGGTCAACCATACCCCTAGCTCTTTCCCACTGCCATAATGCGCCCACAGCAACAATTGGTGCTGGCCTCATCGTTGGCAAGTCGACCTCATTGCCCGCTGCTCTGGGACCCGTGAACCAGTTTCTCGGGGTCCCTTTCGCAAAGTCGCCGCCAGAGAGGTTCGCGCCGCCTCAGCCGCATTCTCGTTTCCATACGCCTGTCAATGCTACCGCGTTCAAGCCAGCATGTATGCAGCAGTTTAGATGTATGTGATGCCAATCGGGCTTACGTATGACTATGCTAACAGAACTCTGAAGATCCATTGGCGAGCTCGAGATTCACGCAATCCGTGTTTAACAATCCTCCCGTGGAAGAGTCCGGAGGATTGCTTATATCTGAATGTCTATGCGCCATCAGCTCCGGCAGGTGGATTGGGACGAGCTGTAATGTTTTGGATCTTTGGTGGATCACTGCAATTTGGAACTGGCGGTGCGTCTACTATTGTCATTTTTGGGGTCAAGTGCTGATCAAATGGTTAGGGATACCGATATATGACGGGACATCTTTTGCAGCGTACGAAGACGTCATCGTCGTGACTACAAATTACAGAACCAACAGTAAGCCTCCGAGATCGAAACTGCACGATGCTGACTTCTCCCAGTATTCGGTTTCCCAGGCTCTACTGAACTCCCCATCACAGAGCGCAATGTCGGCTTCCTGGACCAACGATCAGCTCTTGACTGGGTCCAGCGAAACATCCATGCCTTCGGCGGCGATCCCACAAAAGTAACCATGTTTGGCGAAAGCGCTGGCGGGTTTTCCATTGATACTCATCTGACCAGTTACGACGAAGATAGCGTCCCGCCCTTCCGAGCTGCCATTCTACAGAGCGGGCAGTACACATACCGCTCTGTGCCAAATGCAGACAGCACCATCGCTTGGAACAATGTGACCACCCAGCTCGGCTGTCCTGGCGTGTATGGAAGTAACCTAACCTGCGTCCGAGCCGCAAACGCAAGCACCATCCAGAACATCATCAACACCAACACGCTCATCTCCGCCCCCGTAGTCGACAACGCGACATTCGTCAGCGACCCAGCCCAGCGCCGTCTCTCCAGGAACATCGCTCGCATCCCCGTACTCGGCGGCACGAACGCCCAAGAAGGCCGCCTGTTCACCGTCAACCAGACAAACCTGACGACATTCCTTCAAAACACATTTAAGAACTTCTCCAATCTGATACCCGCTATCCGAGACGCATACCCCCTCGCCGACTCAAGCAACGCCTCGCAACACGACGCCATTGCGCAAATCTACACGGAGCTGGTCTTCCAATGCCCGCAAGCACTGTGGGCAAACGCGACTGCTTCAATCGGTATTCCGACGTGGCGATACTACTTCAACGCCTCGTTCCCCAACACGCAACTCTTCCCCGACGCTGGCGTGTGGCACGCGTCTGAAGTCAGCGTCGTGTTCGGCACATATGCCACGGCGAACACGACGACGCAGGAATACGCGCTGAGCCAGTATATGCGTAGTACGTGGGCGAAGTTCGCGAAGAATCCGTACGCGGGACCGGGGTGGAATGCGGTGGGCAGTGGGGCGGAGGGGAGGGTGTTGGAAGGGGCGTATGACGAGGTTGGCGGCGGGGTGTTGAAGATGGGGAATGAGAGCTTGATTGAAGGGGATTGGAGTTTGGGTGTGCTGGGAGATGTAGGAGATGTAAAAGGGAGTGGAGTTACGGTGTTGCCGCAGAGTGCAGTTGATGCGAGGTGTGAGTTGTTCAGACCGCTGTTTGAGGCTGTTGGTGGAGAGGGAGCGATACCACCGTCATGAAGATTGCATGAAGTTTCTGAGGAGTTGTTTTTGGTGAAGTTTTTTCTGACGTTGTAACAGTGTCTTCGCTTTCAATGTCCTACTACTCATCCCCCGGCGTCGCCTATTCTTCATTAGCCTTCACCCCCAAAAGCACCACCACGCACACTTACATGCCACATATCAATCCTCACCGCACTCGTCCCATTCCTCTTCAAAACACCCACCCCAACCACATCGTTCAACCACGCATAACTTCCATTCGTGCTCGTCTCGAACTTCCCCCTCAGCATCGTCCTCCCATCCGGCCACGGAAACCCCTCCGTCACAACCACGATATTCGCTCCATCGTCCGTTCGAATCGCATACCGCGCATCCGGCCGGATCACAGCCTGTGCATCCGTGAGCCGCCAGTCTGCGCCGACGTTGAGAACTGTTCCTGATGGGGTTGTTAGTGGATGTGACGTCATGCGGCATTGTGGGGAAGGAGCCAGGGCCAATGCGGAGACATACCGTTCATCCTCGGGCCCTTGAACGTGCCGCCGACGATCGGGATCACGATGCGTTCGTCGCCGGTAGGTATTGGGCCTAATGAGAATCGTTCGCCTAGGAGGGCGTCCATGCTGTATAGAAGAGTCATTTTGGGCGCGACGGGCGCTTCTTGTGCGGCGATGTGAGCCATGGTGAACAATGCGAATGCGGTGATTGACTTGAAGATGTGCATTTTGACGAATGGCCGAGCGGCTGTAGCTAGGATATGGGCCTAGTGAGACACGGGACTTGCGAGTTTATATACTCGTGCATCTTGCATTCACGATGCCGATGTTACTTGCCGTAGGACGATCTGAATTGGCAAAGGGGATTTTATCCTTGTAGAAGCGATGAGGCTTGAGGAACCCGGTCTTCGATCCTCGTTTTTCATGCTCGGAATTGGGTAAATAGCCGGCGCGCCCAGCCGTCATGAAAGGTGTGTGAGGTTAGTGGCTATTATACCAATGATTGCTGAAGTGGTTCACGCATGCGTCCAGAATTGTCTTCGAGACCGATGCAGAGGTAGACATATTTCATTAAACGGGAATTTGTTAAATCGACAGAGACGGCCACCAACTGTCGCTAAGAAAATTACCACGTAAAGAAGGCGTAAGGTGCTTCATCGTCGTCGTGTCCGAGATGAAGCGCATTATAAGAGTATACCCAAAACCCCATGTCCTGTTGAAAGGAAAAGAAGAGAACCCGCAGAAGGAAAGCGACTCGATTGCCAGCACCCGAGTCTTGATCTGACTTGAGTAGTGCCGCTCACGGAGTATATGGAGGCGGCGGGTCCCGCTCTCCGAGCTGTGTAGACGCCTCCGTGGGAGCATAGTGTGGCCGCGCCGTGCCAGAATACCCATACGCCTCCCAATTATCGTCTACCGAATGAGCCCCATAGGCCTCTTCAGCCGTGCCCATGGTGTATGTCAAGCCACCCGGGGAGGTCGCCGTGGCGCCAAAAGCTGGCGTCGAGACAGAGAAGCCTGCATTGCCATATACTCCGTGTTGTGTTGCTGTAGCGGGGGACAATCCGCCAGATGCGTGTCGTCGAGGCGGTACGATCGGAGGATCTTCGGGGACGTCGTGGGGGCGGTATCCGTTTGCGACGGGCATGCGAGAGAGCGTCGCGAATGAGTCGGTGCGTTGCAGTGACGGCTCGATGATGATCTGCGGCTGCTTTCGCTCGGGCACGGGACGGCGGGGGATGTTGAAGGTTTGGGCGTGCTGGGGCGGGCCTGGACGAGGCTGCACGTGAGGCTGAGCCGGATATGGGCTCTGCTGTTGTACTTGGGGTTGCGGAGTCCCATAGCAGGCATACTTCTGCGGCGCTACGGCAGGGCGCTGCTGGTACTGTTGCTGCTGGAGGTGACTCGGAGACTTTCCTGCACCCGGGAACGTGTTGTGACGCCGCGCCTCGAGCTCATCTTCCTGCCTCTTCTTCGCGTCCTTGCGCTTATAATGCCTATGGATCAGGTAACCTCCAGCAACAATTTCTAGACCGCCGAAGATCATGGTGTGACGTCAGTGTCTCTGCTTCAGTAGGTGCAGAGTGGCAGGAATAAGTCAAGGGACGGCGGAGGAAATTTTTGGAAGCTTGGGGAACGGAGGGTCGAGGGAAAGGAGGACTGAGGCCATTTCTGACATTCTTTTGCTCCGCCTCTCTTGTCGCTGCGCGATGGACCCATTGGTGGCTGCTGATGGTGGCGGAGTGCAGGAGCGATTGGCACTAGCCGCATCTAGCTTCGCTTAGCACGCATGGATCATCGACTGCTACCTCCTCATGCTCAGCACTCGCATCCAGCCTGAAGATGAGCTGTCGAGAATCTCGTTCAGGTGTGCAAATGGCATTTACCTGAAGTGGATTATGTCCCTGCTGCGCTTTGCTGAGCTATGGCGAGAGACACATGATGTTCGCCTGCTGCGTGCTGGTATTTGTCTTCCAGCCTGTATTTTGGCTGATCCCGAAACCTATCAGCAGCGCAATGAGCTTGTGTTTGTTGAGTTTGTTCTATGGGCCAACAGTCGCTACTATATGTGGCTTCTACGGCCTTTGCGTTGAGGAGTGGTACTGCTGTACAGTAGCGCATGCTTATCGGCTCGAAGCTCTTCACAATGGAGCTTCATTACACCGCTCTTGGTTCCATCTTCGCCCATATCCAAGCAGATGAGGTATTTTTCTCTGTCGTGATTGTAATTGAATCAAGTCAAGCCAGCGTCAAAGTTATACAACCCACGTCGTTATGGCTCATCGTAGCACAGTGATTTCCTGGACACTCGCGCCAAGATCCAAGAAATGAGAAGAGCGTTGGAGCTCATTTATCGGGTCATAAGCTTTTGGCCATGTAGATTATGACGCTCAGAGCTCCTGATGATCACGCCGTTGACCAGTCCTAGCGCGTGATAGCCAGTGATATCGTGAGCCAGCGCCAGCCCTGTTCCTATCGTAGTGCGAGTACGAGCCTCGTACAGAAATACGCCCGGAGCGCTATCTCGTGGTGCAATCCACGCAACTGGGTGTTTCAATCTGAAGTAACGGTGCTTCAGGTTCCACGGCTCGCAATTTTGCCCTCACCAGGGGCAGATATGACACATTGTGCTGGCATCACATGCTGAGATAATTTCCTTGAGAAGGATTGGCAGTGGTGTAAAGCACGTGAACACACGTGTATGAAAGATTTATTTCCGAGCCAGTCTAAAAGGCTTCATGTACTCGTAAAGGTTGTCATCAACGGTCTTGGTGTACCAATATTGAAGGTAAATATGTCGAAGGAGATTTCAACGAGCGTTGTGGAGAAGGGTTGTGTTATGAGATCATCGACAGAGTCGAGCTTTGCTCTAGGGTACCAGATATTGCGCGGTCTAGGGGGACGGAAGGGAGAAGCAACGTTGATTTGTGGTGAGGGCGATTGCAAAGCGCGACCATTCAAGAGGCATGGGACACTCTTCCCGTTGATGAAACAAGATTCGGTGCATGGCTGCCATCTCACGGATAGATGGATGTATTTTGGTGGCTAGTGTCGAAGTCGATAGTCTCCAACCGTACCACGACCGCCGCAGAATGGGCATGGCGGTTTGGGATCACTGTGTTCCAGATCAGTGACCTTCTCTTGAAAGGAGTTTCTCCATCATCGCTGAGCGATCACAGCTCTTACAGTGACAACCATGGGGCGAACTTGATCACTTGAGAAGCATGAAGTATTTGGAATGTAACCACAACGTACCGGGCATGATGACCACCGCAAACGTGGCAAGTATGAATGGTGAGAATGGTACAGACTGTGCAGAGAATGACATCGTTCGAAGCTGACAGACTTGTGCTTGCGCCTGAAGACATAGTGGATGCCATCTCTGAGTCTGGAGTAAGGCCGTTAAGAAGCAGGTTGGAAGTAAGCGTGTATGTCCAGAGGTAAGAAGATCTGCTTGATTTAGTTCGAGGGAGCGGTGCGCAGCTCAGCACCATTTATATCTGCAAGCTGGCATGCCCAGAAGACAGAATCATCGTCACGATGGATACAGTTGCACTACCAGGTCAGGATAGCTGCTGATCAACTGAAAATTGCGAAATACTATTTCCAATCTGTCCCCCTTTTCAGCTGCTCCAAAAGAAGCGAACCGGTGAACGTGCTTGTTCGATACAATCCCAACCGTTGAGTCGGCAACGATTACTTGACACGATACCACCCGCAGGCAGAACACTCGGTAAGAGCCGCTGATGCGTCCACAGGAAAAGTCGGAATGTTTTCTGGTGTTTCTGCGACAGAAGTGATAGGCTCCGGGTCCCGAGTCCGTACGCAGGTGTCCAGTCCAGAGCGAGCACAGCGTTCGTATTGTAATGAACGTGATCATCTACTGGGATGCAGTAAAGAGCCATTGGAATTTCTGACAGACAAGTGATAACTGTGCCAGGGTCTTGACAACATGGGTCTGTCTATCTTGCCGACGCGCCCTATGATGATTGCATCAAAACCTTCCCCATTTTGTCCGCGGCATGATGTCCGGTGAGCCTGGACTCGGAAGTGGTTAGCCTGATAGGTGGGTGACCATGGTGAACATGCTTTGCAGATCCTCGTGAAGCTGTGCGCCGTCTCGAAACATACGTCGTAGTCGATACTTGTTTCCACACCATGGGATCGAATACAGCTCCGAAGACCGGGTTGATATTACAGCAGTGCAACAAATGCGATGAGAGTCACCGCCTCTCCTTCGTCGGGAGATTCCATAGGATGAGGTGCGACGAGGAAGGCTGCGAAGCAGGAATAAAGCTCTGCAGACTGGTAAGCGTGCAGTTTTGTCACACTGGACATGCTGCAGCTCTAAATTTTGTGTTCTGTGACTGCCGAGCCTTTGTTTTGGGCATGAGTGGGATTTGGGTGAGGGTTTGAGTAATGAGACATCGAAGAGCGCCAAATCGTTACACTGATTTCAGCGGTCACATGGCACTTGCGTGGTGCTGGGATATGAGCAAGTTCCAATCTTTTACCGGGGCGTCATAGAGCGCAAATGTGAGTCCTTGTCGTATTGGACATCAACGCTAGCATAGCGCAGTACTTTGAATGGCGATATCTCAAGGCACGAGCGGAATCATGGGTGTCCGGGTTCGTGGTGGGTGCGATCAATGGGGGTCCTGCAATAACCCCGTGAACTCTCAAGAAGGGCACCTCGACCAGCGCAATGTACGCCACATTTCGTGTTTGCATGAACTGGGTCGTTCCATCCAGGTGGCAGATTATACGATTCTGGTTGCATGTGTGGCATGACGTGCGCCTGGCGAGCGGCCCAGGCTTCATACGTGAAACTGTGGCTATCAACCCAACAGTCAGCTGACGGGTCGGGAAACGGTGTACAGCATTCAAAGTGAGTAAGCGGATGTTTGGTGAGTCCAGCGCCCGAGGAAGGCATTTTGGTTGTAGTCCGCTCAAATCGGTACTCTTGCTGCTGACTGATCGTCGAACAACATGGGCGGGCAGGCGCATCATTCAAAGATGGATCAGATGTGACAACATCGCCCTTGTAAGATGGGCATGAAATGTACATCAAAACATTGTGGAACTCTTGGATGTACTGAAACCTGGTTCAACGTTCGCTCTTTACCATCTCTCTCCACGTCATTGTGCGTAGTGCTGATGGCCATGGTCGTACATCATGAGACAAGCTGGTAATTCCAAACTGACTTTAAGTTCTAATTGTGATTGGGCTAATTTTGACAGCAAAACGCGATGAAAAAAGTGTCGAAGTGATGCAATGTTTGTGACGAACGGAGGGCTGACTCTCCTGCACACATTTCCGACGTACAGAGACGACACGCATTCGCCCCCCCATCCCCGGTCTTTTTCTTCATCATTAGCAATACTCCAGTTTCTGTGCTACCTCCTGGCTTCATAGATACATGCAGTATTACCATTCATTTTTTTGCATGAAGATTATCCGAGACGTAGTCTACACATCTGCCTAGTGACCTTGGACACAGTGTGCGCCCCAACACTATAGCCCTTCCTGTCGTTTGTGTCAACCCAAGCAACGCCAAATCCCATCCATAATTATACAAATTGAAACCTTGCACCTGTTTCCCTCATCAAAACGCCCTCCCCGCTGCCCTCGCCACCCCTCTGCTCCCTCTACTCCCCAATCCCTCTCTCCTCGCATCAACATCCTCATCTGCCTCCGTCCCGCTCTCCGTCGGCCCAATCTCATCCGCCCTCAATCTCCCTGGATAGCCAGAATCCAAGCTCTCTTTACTATCTCTCGTCCTTGGTCTCCCGTCCACGTCAGGGTGGTGGAATGCGCGGTGACTCGTTGTGTCGCTGGAGTATGGGCGGACCTCGCCGCTGGGTGGGCGTGAGATGCGGAGAGACGCGGGGCCGAGGGAGGCCTCGTGGTATATGGGGTCATCGTCAAGACTTTGATCGCCGTCGTGCATGGCGCTCATGGCGAGGACGCGTTGATGTTCGGTAGCCGCAATGCGTTCTTGCTCGAGGCGCTGATTGGAGCTATGTGAGCGGGTGAGGACTTGGCGTAGAGATCGCCTTGAGTCGTTTTTGTGCTGGGATGCGAGTGTGGCGGTGATGATGTTTGTTGGGGAGTGGTCGCGCAGCTCGTTGGAGTACATCCCCGGATCTACAGGTGACTCTGAACCATTGCGTTTTTGAGTCCTTGGTGGTGCGACGGTATCTGAGCCACTTGATCCGGTATGGTCCTCGTCGCTGCTGCTAGAGCTGCTGTGCTTGTCCTTGCGACCGCGCTTTTCGTCGCTACTGCCATTTCCACTGCCATTCAGTGACCCCATTAGCTTACGATGCCAGCTACTGTTGGCGTAGTCGAAGCTAAGACGATCCCCGCCTTTCTTGCCGAACCATAGCGGCTCATCTAAGCTGATTCGGACGGCGTTGAGCCAGGGGTTGCCGGGTGCTTCATCTGCAAGGACGAAAATGACGTCAACTTCTTCCAAGGAGCGGAAGGCGGTTTCTGGGTAGAAGAAGTATACGAGAGGAACAATGGCGAAGTTTGTGACAGCGAAGATGATCCAGGTTCGGTAGCCAATGTTAGCGAAAGCAATTGGCGTGATAAACACGATGCTAGATGGAGGTCAGCGAATGCCCTACGATCGTAATGATGAACATACATAAAGTTGATCAGCCAGTTGCCAAGCGTGCTGAGTGCATTTGCCGGACCACGGATCCTCAAAGGCACAATCTCAACTTGGTACAACCATGCCATGCCCTGCCAGCCAATGGCGAAGAATATCGAGAAGACAAAGAGGAAGACAGTACTTGCGAACCTAGCTGCGCTGATTCCCTTGATGGTCCACAGGTATTGCATGATGGTAACAAGGATCATGCAGCCTGACATGCCTGATGCGCCGAAAATCATGAGTGAGCGCCTGCCCCAGAAGCGATCTATACCAACGACTGTAACAAAGGATGCAAGGAAGTAGGCTGTGGCGGAACAGGAAGCCAGTAGACGGGCCATCCATGCTGCGTAGCCCATGCGCATCAGGAAGATCCAGGAGAGGTACTGTAAGACCAGGTTGATGCCGGTGCCTTGCTGGAAGACTTGAACAAAAAAGGCGAGGACGACACGATGGAAACCTCGTCTGTCTTTGTTAGAGAACAGCTTGGACGTCGAGCCTTGTACCATAACGAGAATGGCATCCTTAATCTGCAGGAACTCGTCCCTAACCTCGTAGCTATCGGGGTCGTCGTCATTGAGAGCCGCAATGACCGTGAGCGCTTCCTGCTCACGTCCGGTTAAAATCAGCCATCTGGGCGAGTCAGGGAGGACGAATAGCATGGCAATGGCCGGGAGTGCGAAGCTGATCTGGAGGGCAATAGGAACGCGCCATGCAGCATTGCTGTTGTTGAGGTATGCGAAGCCGAAGACCGACCAGTATGACAGAGCGTACCCCAGGGATACGAATACTCCAGCAGTGATCATGAGTATAGTTCCTTTGCGATGCGACTTGACGCACTCGGCTTGGTATGCTGGTGCGGTTGAGGTGGTGAAGCCATTGCCTGTGACAGAGCTGTTAGCACAGTGGAAATGAACAATGAGAGCTGTGGTGCTTTACCGAATCCCGCGATAGCTCTTCCGACGATAAGTTGAGCGAAGCTGTATGAGGTGACCTGGATCAATTCACCTATCGCCCAGAGTGTTATTCCCAGAAGTAGCGTCTTTCGTCGACCAAGTCCGTCGCTGATGAAAATGGCGAGCACTGCTGAAACAACACATCCAAGATTCCAGGTTCCAACAGTAAGACCAGTGACCCAAGCATTATGAAAAGAATTCTCGTCGACGATGTTGATCTGCGGATATTGTTCGAGGAAGGCCGGAACAGTCAAGAGACCACCCATCACTCCTTGCGCCCAGCCATAGCACCTGCTAGAAGTCAGTGGTCACTAAATCGGAAACTCAGTCCTATCAAATCTCACAAAAAGCATAATCCACATATTGCACTGATCGCGCTCGTCAAGCGATCACCTCTGAGACCCAGAAATCTCGCCATAATTCGGCGCTGTCCATGCAATGCGGAATTGTGTGACTTGCAATGGCAAAGGGTGTCAGTAGTAACAAACGACCATCCATCCGAAAGACGGGAGGCGACGCGACCCAAGGCCCATTTGAAATCCCCTCCACGCTATCGGCATCCGGTCTGCCAGACGTCACATCAACGGTCCGAGACTCCACCCATGCTATAACGTCCTTGCTAATCCCCAAAATCGCCTGGTGCTTGTTGTTGAACTCAGGTACGCGGCACGGCACAGCGCCCGATTTGACGATGTCATGAGATTTTAGCGTCGATCTCAGATGAGAGATCGACAATCTTGATGATCGACTTCGGGTACTAGACGGCCAAAGCACTCGCGAGAACGCATGTTCGTGCAGTTGCCGACGGTAACGGCACGGGGAGGTGCGCGAGAGCAGTTCAGTCCAGCGTTTGGACGAGTGTCGTGAGTCACTATATACATTATTGTGAAGTGATGACACGGCACGATTTCATCGGACATTGATACGCTCGGACCAGGGATCCTGGGATAACGGCCAACGCGGCGTCATGGACGGGACGAAGTATTAACAACACCCCTGTTAGCGAATGCCAAATGCTCTTCTTGTTGCATGTGAGTCCGAAGGATGAGTAGAGTTTGTATTATTGCTACTTTGCCAGGAATTTCTGGAAGGCTTCCTGCTCGATGACGACTGAGCCGACAGCTCTGAGCTTCTTTCGACCCTCCTTCTGCTTCTCTAGCAGCTTACGTCTTCGTGAAAGATCACTTGCGTGCAGTTTTGCCAAGACGTCCTTTCGGAATGGCTTGATTGTCGCGCGAGCGACGATCCTGCGTCCAGCAGCAGCTACCGACATTAGCGAGAAACTTAGACGCATGAATGATGCACGACTAACCTTGTATGATGACCTCGAACATCTGTCTTTCGACATGCACCTTGAATTTCTCAACCCACGCACGACCCACTTTGTCGACCTGGGATGTGTGCAGGACGCGAGACACAGCATCGACTGGCGCGCCGTTGACGAGGAGATTCAGCTTGACAATAGAAGACTTGTGAAACCCAGCATCCTCATAATCGAGGGATGCATAACCCTTGGTTGCGCCCTTGAGCTTGCCGAAGAAGTCGTCAACAAGGTGCGATAAGGGGATGTCATATTTGAGAATAACTTGGGTTGCAGTGAAGAAAGTCAATTCCTTCTGCTCTCCTCGGTTAGATTCACAGAGCTTGATGACTTCGCCAAGGTATTCATCCGGGAGAGTTATGGTAGCCTGAACATAGGGCTCGTGGACTTCCTGCACCCTGAAATGTGCCTGGTCTTGGTCTGGGAACTCGTTGGGGTTTGTGATAATGGACTCGGTACCGTCTCGCCAGATGACTTTGAAAGGCACAGACGGCGGGGTGATGATGATGTTCGCCCCGTGTTCCTGGCGAAGGCGGTCTTCAAAGACGGAGCAATGCAGCGTGCCGAGAAACCCCAGGCGCCACCCAGCACCCAGAGCATCAGACGACTCCTTCTGCAAGGTGACGCTGCGGTCGTTGAGGGTGATCTGCTCGATGCTGTCCTCGAGGTGTTCGTGGTTGTCCTGATCGGTTGGGTACGCAGCCACAAAGACCATGCTCTTGGGCTCTTCGAAGCCCGGGTATGGTTCCACGAGCTTCTCGGACCCCAGTGTGGTGTATGTGTCGCCGACCTTGGCCTCCTGCGACTTCTTCATGCCCGGGTTGAAGTGGATGTAGCCAACCTGGCCAGCCTTGAGGACCGTCTGCGGGGTCTGGTCTGGGTACATGATGCCCACCTCTCCCACAATGTACTTCAGGCCCGTGGCGAACGATCTGATGGTGTCACCGGGACGCACCTGCCCATCGAACACGCGCACCAACAAGATGACGCCCTTGTACACGTCATACCACGAGTCCACCAGCAGCATGCGCAGAGGCTTGCTGAGGTCACCCACAGGCGCGGGGATCTTTTCGACAACGGCGGGAAGGAGCGATGCGACATTCAGACCCGTCTTCGCTGAGACAAGCACGGCAGCCTCGGGGTCCAGCTCGAATGTGTCGTGCATCTGCTCCAGCACGCGCGGGGGGTCGGCGTGAGGCAGGTCGACCTTGTTCAGCACCGGCACCAGCGTGAGGCCCTGCGAGAAGGCGAGGTAGAAGTTGGCGACCGTCTGCGCCTGTACGCCCTGGCTGGCATCGACGAGCAGCAGCGCGCCGCCACAGCTGGCATAACTGCGCGACACCTCGGCGCGGAAGTCGACGTGGCCGGGCGTGTCGACGAGGTGCAGCAGGTAGTCGTCGCCCTGGTAGTTGTATATCATGGAGCATGTCTGCGCCTTGACGGTGATGCCACGCTCCCGCTCCACGTCCAGGCGGTCGAGGATCTGCTTGTTGCCGCCGGGCTGGATGGTGCCCGTGAGCTCCAGCAGGCGGTCGGACAGGGTCGACTTGCCGTGGTCGACGTGGGCCACGATGCAGAAGTTGCGGTATCGCTCTATCGGGATCTCGGCGATGCGTTTCTCCAGCTCGCCCTGCGGCTTGTAGGCCATGGCATAGCTGCGGGCGAGCCGTGGAAGGCGCTCAAGGGTGCGGGATGGCAAAGGGCAGCCATTGCGGAGGACGGTATGCGCCCGCCAGCTCTGCAGGACGCTGCTCGCGGTTCGGACGCATGATCGCATGGGTGTGCATGGGATCAATGGGAGTGGACTGCTGCATCGCCGAGGTGGTGGTGCTTCAACTTTTTTCCCGCTCTCGTCTTATCTAATCAGCCATCGCCGCCTTCCAGCCTGCACCTGCCGCAGACCCACACAGCTCCTCCACCACTCGCCTATCGTCGTTTGCTGCCGTCCGTTACGTATACAGCCTGTCGCAACATTCCATAAGCTTTAATTGACGTATTGGGACAGTCCTCGTGCTCATCATTGTTCTCACCGCTGCTGCGATTCTGCGCTCCCCGTTGCGGTTGCCGTGTCAACACCACGTAAACATTGCCCTCACGCACTTTCACCCAACCACGGCGGCGCATACTCACTCTACCGCCGACATGTCTCAGCCAAAATCCTCGTCAAAATCAAGATCCTCCAAGGGCGACTCTTCCAAGGTGCACAAGCTTGCTCTGAAGGGGTCTTCCAAGGTTGTCAATGAGTTCGTGAGTAGTGGCATGCGAGTGAAAGCCATGGCAGCGCGCTAACCCCTTTCAGTTTGAATACTCCATCAACACCATATTGTAGAGCGGGAAGCACTTGCACCGCGCGTGCACAATGAGCTGATTGTAGTAGATTCCAGCGAGGTGTATATCCAGCCGAGGACTTCACAGCGTAAACACTACCGAGCCCCTCTCTGGTTCCGTTGCTAACACCATGCAGAGTCAAGAAGTATGGCCTGACTATGATGGGTACGCTCACCGCCGCGGCACTATGAATATCATGACTAACGCTTGCAGTTACCGCTGACGACCAGGTCAAGGCGTATATCAAAAAGATCATGTCGCAGCTTAAAGAGTGGATGTACGGCGGCAAAATCTCGAAGCTGGTCGTTGTCATCACCAGCAAAGAGACAGGCGAGCACGTCGAGCGCTGGCAATTCGATGCAAGTCAGTTTCCATACCGAACCTGCAGTATCTGACAAACGAGACAGGTTCAAATTTTCAATAAAATCGCAAAGGCGAAATCCTCGAAAAAGGCGGCGGAGAACGAAAATGCGGCTCCGGAGTAGGTCAATGTCGACCACTCAATTTCCGCTGTCAGCTGACCAAGACGCAGGGGAACCGATGCGCCGGAAGAAAAGACCGAGACCGAAATCCAGGCGGAGATCCAGTCCATCTTCCGACAAATTACAGCTTCCGTCACATTTTTGCCAATGCTAGACGGCAACTGCACATTCAATGTACTCGTCTACGCAGATGCAGACTCAGAAGTACCCCTCGAATGGGGCGACAGCGATGCCAAGGAGATACAGAATGGCGAAAAGGTGCAACTGCGCAGCTTCAGCACGAGTAATCATCGGGTAGATACTCTGGTAAGCTATCGGTAAGATACCCACCTGATGAGCTCTGACCACGCGCGCTAACGATCCGTACAGTCTCGCAGATTGATTGTCTTTCTTCCTTGCCATTTATCCTGCAGTCGAGGAGCCGTGATTCGTGTTCCGTATTCTCTGTTCGGGTACGATGCCGCCATGCCAGCGTGCCTATGCCTTCAGCAACTTTCAACCAATACATTCGTTGTGAACCTCCACAATTACACCGGCTTTTGATTCTGTACACCAGTATGCTGCACCGCACAACTGCTCGTGCGAATTCGTGTTCACACTCTAATGTGGATTAGCCGCCTTTGGTTTCACTAATGTTCAGTCTCGGCTTGCTGCATGCGTTCCTGTGCACCAAACCGCGAAAAGCTCATGATTCACTTCCGCCGTAAACGCATCCGGGAAGCTACCCCTGGTGTCGGGCCACTCACCGACGCAGATCAATATTACTCACTACTTTTAGCTGCATAGCACGCCTATGGCACGGGTCTCTCATGGCTCTGTTGCCCGTTTGAAAGCCTTGGGTAACCACCACATTCCTTATCTTTTTCTAAGGCGCTGAACTAATTCTGCCATCGCATCTCCACAGCCAAATAGTGGCAACCGTCTGGAAATTGCCCGCATAACCCTACCCAGCGGCCATTGCATGCCGCACCCTCGGTCGGCCTATCAGTTACACTGCGATGCGCACGCAAAATGAGACAGTTTTTTTTTTGTGATACAGGTGCCTCCACAATCTGGACGGTCTCGCCGAGTTGTCATCGAAGCGTTGGTGTCTGATAAAAGGAGAGGGAGTATTGGGGTAGCTTTCATGGCTTTATTGATGGACCCATATAAACCTCAGATGTTACACACTAACATCCTCGTACACCATCGAACGGCAGGCGGACCGGGACGCTGCAGCCTTGAACCAGGAAAGACTCGCACAGCGCTGGTAACAAGGTGGTCCAAACATATCCGGGCCATATTTGGGGATCCCTCATAGCGACTCAACGAATTCACATTCAGGCGCTGTTGATCATCATGAGGTGGTCGGCTCGGAAGATGCTAGCTCTTTACTCGGACTCTGCGTGTTGTCGGCACATTGAAATAATTGCAGCTCTGTCGCCCTGCTCACGCACAACATACATGAACTCATCCTCGGACGTCTGATTACTCCAGGACACGATGGGCTGGTTCAGGACTGCAAAGCAGACGAGCAGTCCCCCAAGCTCCCTCGTCGCCAACGAAAACCCCAACGCGCCAACATCAAATAGCCTACACCAGTCTGCCTCTGTCCGAGCACCTCGTGCCGCATACCTAGGCAATGGGGCTACCAGGAACAGCACGCCTCTGTACTATTCCAGCTTCGACAGCGGTTCGCGAAATGCAGACTCAGCTGCAGCCCGTGAGATAAAATGCGAAGTCCTAGCTAATTGGCTCCATGCCAAGGCAGAGGAGAAGATGTGGACTTCTGGCACCGCTGGCGAGGGTGTCTTTGTGAAGAAGACCAAAGGGAGCTACGCGCTTTGTCCCGCTGACCTAGAGACCGATGATTCTGGGTTGTATCAAGCGATTATCACACTGAACGTTCGGGTATGTCAATCGCGCACTGCTGTAAGACTATACTAATGTGTATCATGACAGTGTGCTATGACGGTCAATACCAGGATGATCAAGCTCATTCTAGAACGTACAGATTTGCCCTATGTGCAGATACAGTACGGACAACGTCTGCAGGTCGTTCCCGATTTCAACGCATTGCAATACTGTCAGAAGAATATGCAGGCTGCTTTCGTCGCGTCGGATCAAGCGCTGGTGGTGTGGGAGGATGAACCAAAGCGACTTTTAGAACGCGCCCAGAGCATCCAAGATGCTCTGGTGCAGATGATCTGGGGCAAGGATCTTGCCCAGGTTACTGACAAGGCGGTAGCCAAGAGCATTGGCCTTGGTGTCAAGGAGGAGTCCGAAAAATCATGGGACATGTTTGACGATACTCCGGAAAAGCCGCGCAAGCTCAAATTGTGGCAGTCGGTGTACACATCGATCGCTATACTTATGCTTACGGTGGCCATCGGTTCTGGATGGAGGCAGGTGGCCATTCAGCAGATCCACGAACCAAACTGGCTGCGCATGCTCTTTCTCATCGCCATCCCCGGACAGGCTTGGTTGTCTCTGGTATGTTGCTGCGATTCGGCAAATCTATTCCCTGTTGACCATCTCAGTTCTTCTTCCAGGCTATCATCGGCAATCTTGCCCAAGTGCTCGGGTCCTCGAAATCACTGAGAACCAACAGCAAGTACTATTCCATCAAGCCTCCCGCACGCCTTCATCGCGATATACACGGTCGACTGCCACATGTGACAATCCAAATGCCAGTTTACAAGGAGGGCCTTCACGGAGTCATCAAACCGACCGTGCAGTCGATCAAGCAAGCCATTTCAACGTATGAGTTGCAGGGCGGAACGGCAAACATCTTCATCAACGACGACGGCAGTAAGCAACTCCCTTGAGCATTCCGGCCAAGCTGACAACGCACAGTGCAAATCCTTCCTCAAGAGGAAGCTATAGAGCGACAGGAGTTTTATGATGAGAATGGCATCGGTTGGGTCGCTCGCCCAAAGCACAATCCCAAGCCGACTGAAGGAGAAGCGGAGTTCCATCGCCGAGGAAAATTCAAGAAGGCCTCCAACATGAACTATGCCTTGCGACTCAGCCTCCAGATCGAGGACGAACTAGCCAAGGTCGAGCGATCTGACAAGTGGTCGCAAATGGACGAGAACGACGCGTACGCAAAGGCACTGCAGACTGTCCTGGCCAGACGTGCAGGCGAGGCATGGGCAGACGGTAGCATCCGTGTTGGCGACTACATTCTGCTTATCGACTCGGATACACGTGTTCCCCAGGACTGTCTCCTCGAGGCTGTCAGTGAGATGGAAGTTTGTCCAGAAGTGGCCATCCTTCAGTACATGTCTGGCGTCATGAATGTCACCAACACGTTCTTCGAAAACGGCATCACCTTCTTCACCAACATGATATATACCATGATCAAGTTCGCGGTTGCTAACGGCGACGTTGCCCCATTTGTTGGGCATAATGCCATCCTTCGCTGGTCCGCTCTACAAGGCATTTCGTACAACTGCGAGCAAGACCTGTTTGAGAAGTTCTGGTCCGAGAGTACTGTTTCTGAGGACTTTGATATGTCGCTGCGTCTTCAATGCGAGGGCTACACCGTCCGTCTTGCCGCATACAAGGGCGAAGGCTTCAAGGAGGGAGTTTCCTTGACTGTCTATGATGAGCTGAACCGCTGGGAAAAGTAAGTCTCTCAATTGACGTTCCCCGAAGCAACGTGCTGATATCCCGTTAGATATGCCTACGGCTGCAACGAGCTGATTTTCAACCCCCTCAAGGACTGGCTCAGACGCGGCCCCTTTACTCGTCTTTTCATGGTCTTCCTCACCTCCAACATGCCCTTTCCCTCCAAAATCACCATCATGGCTTACATCGGCACATATTACGCCATCGGGTCCGCCTGGATTTTCACCATCCTCAACTACTTCTTAATCGGCTTCTTCAACGGCTGGCTTGACCACTACTACATCGACTCTTTCAAGGTCTACGTCGCCATTGTCTTTATCTTCACACTCGTCGGCAACATCTCCCTCGGCGTCCTACGTTATCGCGTCGAGGATCGCGACCTCTTTCAGACGCTCGGCGAGAACCTCAAGTGGATCCCTATGCTCACCATCTTCCTCGGCGGCATCTCGCTGCACATCAGCCAAGCCCTGCTTGCACATTTCTTCAGCATCGACATGGAATGGGGCAGCACATCTAAGGAAGTCGAGGACATTACCTTCTTCGAAGCTATGCGCCACGTTGGCAAGAAGTTCAAGTGGACGTTTGCGTTCTGCGCTGTCATGACGGCTACGATGCTGGTGTGTGCTTATGCGATCCAGCAGGATTGGCAGATCAGGTTATTGATTGCTTGCTGGCCCATGGGCACGGTTATTGTTACTCATGCGCTGCTGCCGATTGTGCTTAATCCGCAGTTGATGACATTTACTTGGTAAGCGGTGAGAAGAGTGAAGAGAGGTCGCTGCTCGTAGTTACAGAGTCGGCGGCTTCGCTTGTCTTCTCTGCGAAAGGGAGTTTTGGCGTACGTGGGGATAGGCGTTGGTGTAATGGGCTTGGGCTGGGATGGCGTTGAGGTATTAGGCGCACGGGTTGGATATGAAAATGGTTGGGTGCCGTTGTAAGTTTGTGGCTTTTGGATTTTGCTTTTCGTACACTATTGGTTGTTTTCTACATCTAGCTTGTGGATTTCCTTGTGTTGGGCTTTGATATAGACAGTAATGTTTAAAGGGCTAAATTTCTAGACGATGATTGTGTACAGTGGCGGTGCGTGTGTGGCTGACGATCGACGTAACTGCCGAAGTGTCGCATCGCATCGCATCACGTCATGAACAAGACGGGACCCCACAGTGTGGCGTTCGCCATTCCCATGCTCGTATACCTTCACGGACAACGCTGGAATTGCCAAGCCATCACCGAGAGTAAGAAGATGGTTGTGAAGCGAAAGCATACTGCCACACTTCACATCACCTGATCGACCTTCAATCTCACAAAGAATCCACCAACATGTCCACCCCAACCTCCCCCGTCCCCCTCTGGATCAACAACCAACCCATTCTCACCACCTCCACCTTCCCAGTCATTCAAGCCTCAACCGGCCAAACAGTCCAGCACGCCTGCTCCGCCTCCGCCACCGACGCCACCAACGCCGCATCTTCCTCCTGGACTGCCTTTCAATCCTGGCGCGACAGTACCCACGTGGAGCGCCGAGATCTCATCCTGCGTGTCGCAGACTACTTTGCCTCAAATTTAGACGACTTTGTAGCCTGCCAGATCCTCGAGACGTCATGCACGAAGGAATGGGCCAAGAACAATGTCAACGGGTCAATATCGTACCTGCGAGAAATCGCGGCGCAGGTATCAAGTGTCACGGGCACGATTCCACCGATTGAAAAGCCGCGCACGCTGGGCTTTGTGTTCAAGGAACCGATAGGCCCGGTGCTCTGCATTGCGCCGTGGAATGCGGCGTTGATTCTTGCGACAAGGGGGATTGCGAGCGCGATCGCTGTGGGGTGCACAGTGGTGTTCAAAGCGAGTGAGATATGCCCCAAGACACACGCAGGCATCGTCAAAGCATTCGTGGATTCTGGGTGTCCGGCGGGCGTGCTGAATCAGTTGCAGACGAAGAGGGAGGATGCGGCGGAAGTTACGGAGGCGTTGATCGCGCATCAGGCGATGAGGAAGGTAGAGTTCATTGGAAGTGCAGCGGTGGGGAGGGTGATTGGGCAGGTCGCGGCGAAGTATCTGAAGCCGGTGGTTATGGAGTTAGGTGGGAAGTGTCCGGCGATTGTGCTAGACGATGCGGATGTGGCGGAGGCGGCGAGGCAGTGTGCATTGGGTGCTGTCATGCATCATGGTCAGATCTGCTTTAGTACGGAGAGGATTATTGTGCTGGAGGGTATTGCGCGCAGATTTCAGGAGTTGTTGGTGGAGCAGATGCAGGGGCTGGAGGAGGTTGCAGGCAGTGCGGTTAGTGATTCGATTGCACGGCATGCGGAGGATGTGGTCAAAGAGTGTGGAGATAAGACTATTGTCGGAGGGGTAGATGGTACCGCAAAGAGTCCCAGCCTGAAGCCTACGATTGTGCTCAATCCAGAGCCTTCCGAGCGCATATTTGACGAGGAGACCTTCGGACCATCAGCGTCGTTGTACGTGGTCAAAGATGATGCCGCGGCTATCGAGCTTGCCAACAGATCCTCCTACGGCCTCAACGCGACAGTCTGGACAAAGGACATGAGCCGTTTCATGAAGATCGCCCGACAGCTTGAATACGGCCAAGTCCATGCCAACACCATCAGCATCTACACCTCCCCAACCGGAAGCCAAGGCGGCGTCAAGGGCAGCGGTTTCGGGCGGCAGAACGGCAAATGGGGCTTGAACGAATTCGTAGTGGACAAGTTCGTCAGCTGGTGCGGCTAAAACCAATTGTAGTAAGAATGTAATTGTTTTTGTTTTGTGATCAACTACACCTTCTGCTCCCCCCTCTCCCAAAACCTCTGATCCTCACTCCTCCTCTGCAAAATAATCATCTCACTACTCGAATCACTCACATCATCCAGCACCCCATACCTCCTCTCCTTCCCAAACACCCTCCCACCCGGCGGCCGCAAACCCTGCCTACTCGGCGGTGGGGGCGCAGGCAATTCCTTCTCCGTGACAATCTCATCCAGCCCATTCGAGCGCAAGGATCGCATGTGGTACGAATCGCCCGCGGCCGACGAGGAGTCAAGTTTCTTGGCAGCGCGAGCTTGTGCGGCGGCCGAGGGACGCGGGTACGAGTTTGCCTGCGAGGGGCTGGCGAAGACGCGCGGGAACATGCGGTTCATGAGCGGTTTGCAGCCGGGGAGACAGCCGCAGGCGACGCCGACGCCGGACTCGACGGACATGATTATGAAAGTGGATGCGCCGTGCCCTGGGGGGTGTTAGTGGGTTGAGCAGGTATGAGGATTGTGGGGGGGACTGACAGAAGACGTCGTAGGATGTGAGGTATAGGTGTGTGTAGTACAGTCGCACGACGCCTGCGATGCACACACTGCCTCATATTAGCGTGTGGAGAGTCTTTGAGTAGGGAGAGACTTACATAACGCCGAGCGAGAACATGCAGGTCAGGGTGATGCGCTGTCTGAAAGAGACTTGGACGTTGAGGAGATCCTTGGCTGGCCAGAGGAAGATGACAAAGTCGCTAATTGTGTTTTGGCCTGAATGGAAATAATAGATCGCCTTGATGTTGAGGCATTTTGCGGTTCCGATGTACTTGAAGATCTCCCAGTAAGTGCTCGCGGGTCTGTAAAGTGTGTCAGCGTAAGTTTCGTAAAGGAGTCGTTGAGCGTGATCTTACGAGCATTGGAATAGTGTGAGGAAGAAACAGGAGACATTCAATGAGACCGTGTAGACGATCATGATGTGACAGAACCACTTGTTCAACCTGGATGGGAAGATTCCTGGGGAAATGTGAGCTGTGACCCATTTCACGGATTGATTTACTTACGCAGATATGTCATGAGAATGGCGACTTTCATCAAGGTGATGATGGAGGTGAAGAGTAGCTGCGAGGCCATGCCCATCTACAACAGTGAGTCCAGGCTTCCAGGGTGTGACGCGCAACGTACCTGCGCGGCTTGCATCTTCCCATACAGCTTGATAGGTTTAATGTCCCCTATCCGGTGTTAGTTGCAACATAGAAGAAATTCAGTGAGTAGTACGTACACAAGTGGTAGCCCATCTGGTATTCTGGTAACATGGATATGATGAGCATAATATTACTCCCGACCGATAATATCTGGTATTATTAGTACCCCGGTCCTCTTTATTTCAATGTCACTGTCAAAGACTTACAGCTGCTGCCCAACATCGTCCAGTCATCCCATCCAAGCGTCCGTATCAAAACTGTCCGGCAGTAGAAACGACACGATATGAACGCAGTAACCAGCACCGTCATTGGAATCACCACCGCCAGCGCCAGCGGCCTTCTTGTTATTGGGTCAACATAATTAGGCTCTGGAAATGACAAGAACTCCGCCGTAGTAGGAAACCTCGAGGTCATTGTCACACACACAGCGCGGAGATGAAATGGAATGACTGCAGCGACCTTTCCTCCGAAGATATACCAGACGGGACCAAGTCTGAGCGCGGGCACTCCCGCCTGAGTTATAAGGCTGCATGCCCATCCCTCCCCGCTAGTTCTAGGTGCAGACTTGAAACCCGGGTGCTGCACTTTCACTACGCACGTTAACTTGCATATTGTGAGCCACGCCTACCTTGCGACCTGCTCAAAACGAGAATGTGGTCCGTGGCAACGATAGCAGGCCTCGGCTATGAGGCTTCTTTCATGGTTGTTACACGTGCGTGCTGCCTCAGCTGGCATGCGACGTGATGGTGGCGTTGTCGCGGCCAGTGGTTCGCGGGATGGTGCAACGCAACGAGACACCCGCGAGATGTTATTGGTACGATGACATGTGTTTTCCACTAGGTTTCTTGATTAACCAGGTACGCGACGGCGATATCTGATTTCATGTTTCGAGAAGACGGCTGGTCGTCCGCCATCTCCAGGCCTAATCCAGGCGTTTCATCACTACTGAACCACGTCCATGCGCTTTCTGCCCAGGTGTAAGTCGATCCCCCTCTTCTAAAGCGACCGTGGGTCTGGAAATCGTAACAGTGCCAGATGGCCTATCAGTTCTTCAAGGTATGCGGCAATGCACGTTCATGGGCTATCAATTCCTGTTATGGCTCGTAAGCTTGCCTTATCAGAGGTACCTGCCTAGTGCGGACGGGAGGCGCGAAAACCAAGACTGAAACGCGCATCTAAAAACTCACGAGGTCGCTATAATGCATCCTCTTAGCCGAATTATTCTGAATCGAGTATCATCGCCGGAAATTACAATGTCGAGCCAATAACGTGAAAATGCGGATGTTGGGAGGCGCATAGGTCGTAGAGGGTGACAGGGGAAAAGCAGGTTGCAATGCGAAACGATGTCAGAATCGAGGAAGATAATTCAAGTCAGATAGATGACGAAATTAGTAAATTGAAACCCGAGGCCAGCTCTACGGCCAATGGCGCGCGAACGTGGACTGCATTGCGCATGTAGAAATCGAATACGCCAAATGTGGGCGATGCGCGGGACGAACATGCAGGGCAGGGTGTATTGCCTTTCCAGAGTCTGCTTTCAAGCTTCCCGTGTAATCCCTAGTGACCGAAGAGCAGCCGTGGAGGTAGATCTACGAACATTCGAGACTCAATGCGTTGCGACAAAGAGATTCCATAGGCTGGCGCCATCTCGGCCATTCCGTGGACGTTGGAATGTACCGTAGAGCTGGTTCTTACATGTCTCCGGTAGCCTGTAAGTTACCGGCCAAGCTGCAGAACATCTCGTGTACCACCAGGATCATAATCCCCAGCCACCTGCACCCCACAAAATTTTGACGGTATTCGGACATGATACACCAATATCGGGATCGCGTATAGCAATAGCACATGCAGTATAGTTCTTAGCCGCATCTCACCATTATTGTTTCAACACAGCTGCCAGTTGCAGGGAAGTGCCGGTCATTGCCGGACAAGTTTACATTGCTGCGTTCGTCGTCCCGTTCTTTACCCCCACCAAGATGTAGTCTTCCACAATCGCGTTTCCACTGAGCAGGACCGCGGCTTGCGCCGGTGTACATGTCTCTAGCACATCCCACAGATAACACTGCTGGATGCCTATTTCGTTAACACTCGGCAATCTCGATGGGGTCCACGCTGAGCTCGATCCCGAGGTAGAGTACTCCGATGAGGAGGGCTGCTGACCAGTTGCTACGTCTTGGTTGAACATGACGCGGTTGAATATCTGGTAGGCGGTTTCGGGTTGGTAGAACGGGACTTTGGAACTTAGCACATATTTCGAACAGAGACAAGGGTAAGGCTTACTTGAATGGCCGGCCGAGAAGACTCTGGAAAAGGATAGATTTCCGACCTGGCGCACGAAGCCACCAACATACGATGCATTGGTCTCGATACTTGCGTACCCCGCCTTCTTGAACTGCGAAGATACCCTAGACTTGATTGCTGTACTGATTGCTTCGCCGCCGTACCAATTACATTGGAAGTCCCTATCGCCGTACAGCAGGGCCACCTTTACGCCTCTGTCAAGCAGACTGCCGAGTTTGCCGAGTCCTTCACCAATGACGAAGTCGCCAGAACGATCAAAGCCTACGGCCACAGGTACTGCAGTTCCGGTCCAGTTCAGAGGCACACCCAACGCTCGCTGAGTCTCGGCATCGTTGAGATACCCGGCGGCCCATTTTGGAGGGAAGACCTGGCCAATCGCAGGCGCCGCGATGTCGAACTTATCCGGCCCAGTCTGGCCATAGAAGTCGTGCATGTTCTTGAAGCAATAATCAAAGGCTGCCTTACACGCAGCGTTGACATCTCCTTGGTTGCCTGCACCATTAGGATCTTTCTCGGCGGCTAAAGTCCGGCAAGTGGCTGTCATGTTCTTGCACGTAGGCGAGGATCGAACGGCAAGATCGTACTGTTCCTGCGTAATGAGCTTCTTCCCGTATGTGTTGTTGTTAGCGTACTCGGCATAAGCGTCGATTTGCACATCAATGTCGATGCAAGCATTAATTAGCCCGACGGTGTCAATGTGAAGCTGCACCTCGTTCCCACTGGCGCTCCCGTTCGCAAGTCTGTCATTCTGCTGCTCAAAGTAGTCGGCGAAGATAGGACCGTAGTGACCACCATACGATTGAGCCCAGATACTGAAGTGGTTGTCTATCGACTTGTATAAGGGGAACCTGTTATTGTGTGAGTATCTGTCTACGATCTCCGGCCATTCGTGTAGGCTTACTCTTGCATCCACGCCTGCATGAACTCCCATATATATGGCGCTGCTGCCATTGTTGTATTCGGAGCGTTAGCAAAGCTTCCAGACGGGAAGGTTCCGGTTAAAAACGTGAGATTAGTCTCCGGCACGCCAGTCTGAGAAAAGTTTGCTGGCTTGTACTGAAAGGGCGATGCAACTTCATCAAGGGTACCGTTGACGAGTTTATCATATGAGTATCCCACTTGAACAGGCTGGTCAATGTACAGCATATTGACTTTGTTCGTCCACGACCAAGGATTGAGCTCAGTAGTCTTTGAGTTCTCAAGCACACTGCATGGGCCATGTTCACCCAATGCAGCTGATGTCGAGGGCACACCAGGTCCACCCGAGAACCAGGTTGTCAACGGGGCACTTTGATGGTCTTCGCGAGCCTGGAAGAACCAAAAGAAGATATGAGCCGGAAATTGACGGTCGGCGGCGTGGCTGGGAGGTAGATTGACATAACCACTATAGCCTTTGACGCCCTCGGTGGTTTCGCAAATGCTCGTCTAGTATCATGTCAGCATGTCACGTTTCTCCGATATTGAACTCTTCTAACCTCTTTGAATGAGATTGACACCCCGGGAAACTTTGACGATTGCAGGGTTGTTACACCTTCTGGCGTGGGAGGAAACGATGCTGCCCACGCGACAACTGTAATTGAACATACGACCCACAGAGCTGTGAAAGAGAGCATTGTGGCCGTTCGTGCTGTCACATATCGACGGTAAGCGATGAGGGCTACGGTCAAGTTATAGACTCTGCAATGCGCCTTATACTTCCATCCATTTTCTCGTGCGAGCCGGGGGAGTAAGTGGAGCCGCGGTGCAACTAGAGAACGCTTGGCCGCCTGAAACCTGGCGGAATCTGATAGTTGCCCATAAGAATGGAGATTTGAAGATGCTATAGTGTGGATCGTCTTGTGAACCTGCTCAATAGGCTAGCGTCAGGCATAAACAAGACTGTAATCGGTGCAAAGTCTGTAAGCGGCATCGTAAAATCGGGCCAGCCGAGATCCAAGTCCGACCGTACGGATATCCGACTCAACCAGTCAGCATCGAGGTGTGGCAGGGATTTCGTTCAAATTCTTGAGTTGATATTAGCAGCATCAGTGCCTCCAGCGGCAAAGTTGGTGATCATGTCAATGGTACGATGCTCAGAATCAACGGCGTCCCGCGGTCTGTTGAGGTAGACGTGGATCTGGGAGCCGCATCGTACCTGTATCACGCAAGCAGCTAATGTGCAGTACGTTGTGGATATGGTAAGAATCGCAAATCTTGGGGCAATGTAATTTATCTATTCTTCGCTAATCCAAAGACTGCAGTGGTTGATACAAGCCATGTGGTAGATTGGGAGGCGGTGGGAGGTGGAGCCCCGGTAGTTACGTAAGCAGAGCACGAGCCTTTGCATCGATGCCGGCGGCATGGGCTGCACCTTGACCGATCTGGAGTTTGTGGACGTCTCTGCATCGCCACCACTAAAGCGTGTCGACTTACAATTTGAGCCAATGGGCGTCAAATTTAGGGCGACGGTCTCAGCTCCTGCAAAGACCTGCCACTGTCACCCGCCTGCGATGAACTGGCTTTAGGACGCATGCCCAGGTGCGGTACTGACTCTCACACGATTCACAAGCTAGATCTAAATCATCGCGCATGAATCGGCCCCTACGATTGATTTCCTGTCCGCAAACGAAATACATGTGCGCCGATACATTCCGACAAAGGTACCTCGAAACGCTACCACGGTCGAACAACTATAAGGCGTGGGCTTGCTGGGCACAGTGATGGTGATGGGAATGCAGAGCGGCCGCTACATAATGGATTATGGCATGCGCAAGGTCGAGAACGAGAGCAGGGTGGCGCCATACCGTGGGCTTACGTTTGGGACAAATGCTCCAAGGCATTGTATTCCGCTTGGAACCTTCACACGACCCCTGCTGCACTTTTACACGTGGGATATGACCCCAAGGAACACTTCAACACGTCAACAGAACGTGCATCATGACATCGAAGAACTTTTCCATAGCGTCAAGCCCGCCTAATAGAATTTGTAGTCGAGCATGTACCCCAATAATTTGCAACGCAGAATGCGCGAGAAGGATGCTATGGGCTAAGCCTTTGTCTTTTTCTCCCCCAGTCCGCCTTCAAGACTCTTCAGTTTCTCCGCCGCCCTCCTTTTTCGACTATCCAGCTTGTCCTTGTCCTCACGCATCTGTCTGATGAGTGCAGACTTCTCGCGAATCTTGTGCCCGTAGAGATAGAACACCACTGGAATGGGGATCATGGCGAATTCGATGAGCGACAGCATTGTGGCGGACCAGTGTGGCCCAAGACTAGCATACCTGTACAGTGGTCAGTAAGGCAATGGCCACATACGGTAGGGAATGGTTTGTGCTTACATTGCTGGGCCGGCAAGCGGGAGAGCCCCGCCCATGGCGCTTCGTAAGACGGCATTGCCCGCAAGTGCTGATGCGGCATATATGCCATACGAGTTGACAAGATAATTCGACGCATAGATGAAGACACCACAGTTTCCTGCTCCGAAGGGAATACCAGCGATGATAGGCGCTATCCAGTGTATGTCTGGTGTACAAGTCCAGGCAAATATCATCTCCCCGATCGGCACAGACACCGCTGCGAGACACACAACGCTGACCATGGCTTCTGGGTAAGGTTTGCCCGTCTCGGGATCCTTTTTATGGGCATTGATCATCTTTCGCAAGAGCGGTTCGCTTACTATTACGAGGCAACCACCTACACCGATGCCAATGTATCCTAGTCCAATGAAGCCCGGGGTCCAACCACGTAGCTCTCCAAATACGATGGGGTAGCTGACGAAACACAGGTAAAGCACACCATAGACGAGGGCGATGTAGAGGTTCCAGAATATGCAGATCGGCTCGCTGACAGCCATTGATAACGGCCTGTAGAGATTCTCGCGCAGCAATGGCCAGAACTTCTTCTTGTCGTCGTATCGGCTGAACCATCGACTCTCATCAGTCTCCTTGCGCTTCTTGGCTGATTTGGCGCGGAGGATGGCGGGGGCATAGGTCTCTTTGATCAGGAAGACCATGATCCAGGAGACGCCGGAACCGATCATGACGACCCAGTTGGTCCATCGCCAGCCCAGGGCTTGGTAGACGAATCCACCTACCTGAGAAGCACGTAATCAGTTTATGTCTAGCAGATTGAACGTAGCCACTTACCAATGGTCCGACAACCGGGCCGTTCATTGGACCCAAACTCCATATCGAGAATGCTAGAGCACGGTAGTCATCGCTGACAATGTCCGAGACTGTCCCAGGGGCATTGGATATCATCGCCGCGCCGGCAATGGCGCCAAAGAACCTCATCACCAGGATCTGCGCCAGATTGTTGCTCAACGCACATGGTATGACGAGAACCGTAAAGGCTGCCACCGCAATGAGGTAGACTGGTCGTCGTCCGTACATTTCGGATAAAGGTGCTAGAATGATTGACCCCAGTGCAAGACCACAAAGATATGTCGTGATGCCTAGGATTACGAGGGTCTTGGACTCGACCTGGAACGTATCCATCATTCCTTCAATCCCGCTGGAATAAGAGGTAGAGTACATCACCACCACGAGCGTCGAGAAGCTCATGAAGAAGATGACCATGGCCTTCTTGATCATAGGCCAGTCCTGGGGGTTCTCGCCATCGTCGTCAAAGTCGAGCTCGAAGCGAGCATCCTGTGTCGCATTTGTCGTGACCGTTGCAATTCCAACCATTTTGTTATCAGGCCATGAGTGTCCAGTATTGCGAGACCATGTCTGATGGATCGAGTGTACCTCCGCTATCGAATCATGGGACGTCGACACTGACGATACTGATGATTGGTCGTCCTCATGTTCTTCTGCCACATGCGAGCTGTTCGACAAGTGGGACTCCCCAGGCCTCGACGCGATTCCCTCTTTCTCGCTGTGGTTCATGGCAATCTCCTTGTCGACATCTTGAGAAGTCATGGTGCACCCTCCGGAACGGCACTTGGTTAAAGCCACCTACAAAATCAACACAAAGCGCGTACCCCACGAAGTCCAATCGCTGGCCGCGCAACGAACAAGATAGCGTGAGGGTTAGAAGACCGAAGCACGGTCCAGTTGCTCAAATCATGGGCATGTGAAGAAGCTTCGCTTTTTGACGCTGGAGAAGTATACCAAATTGCTTCGCGCATCATTTCCGCGTTCGTCGCGGAAATAGCGGTGATGATTAGACATGGGCGCAGAAGACTGTGCCATCGTGTGCGAATAAAACTCGGAGGAAGGGGCGAAAACTGAATGCCGAAGATGCCGTTTGCGGAGAGAACTGCGCCGCCTTGACTCGCGTTTGTGTGGAATCAGATGTATGGTCCGTGCACGTGCGTGCAACGTCACGACGCATCGCTTTGCAAACCTCACAACATCATCCTTCGCACCGCTCCATCTCCTGCCCCTCACGCAGTTTCCCAGAACGATCATGGATCCCATGCAGCGAGATAGCAGTGCGAACCCCATTGTATCTGCTTTTCTCCATAATGAAATAGCAGGCTTCCCCTTGCGTCGCCTCAATCCACACACCAAGAGCGATGTCTGTAGTGGTGTTAAGTTTGAGGATTTATCCTCACCTGAGTAAACCTCAATACTCCCGACTTGGTGAGTTCAAGGTAAAGTGTCAGCTGAATATGCGGTGTCACCCCGCATCCCAGCGACAGGCACATGCCTCGTCAATGACGTGCCGAGCTTCTCTCCCCAGTAAGTGGGCATCTATGATGAAGTCCATCGCGCTTTTTTATTTCCCTACACGAGCCTATCTGTCCTTAACTCTTTTTTCTTCTCTTCTTGGCGTCCTGACATGGCATCCTCAAGTCGTTCAACGTACTTTACCAAGTCTATCTTTACCTTCGCCGGTGCTGTCTTATATCGCGTATACCAATCAATGTACATCAATTCCTGGATGCAATTCGACTCTCACTTGGTTCGGTCGATAACCACGCCGTGTGACGACGTTCGACCTGGTTGTTCGACCAGGCACGACACAGTTGCGAAGTCGACGCATCTGAGATCGCATGATCGAGTCGGCGTATCGAGATGCTCCGACATACATACATGTGTATAGACACGAAGATCGGGACTGGCTTACGATGTCACGTCCACCGTGATACACGATTCATGTACTCACTTCCTGGAATTCGGTGACGGCAAGGTTTGTGGGAATGCCGACGTCTGCGATAAGGATCGCTGGGACTCATTTGCTGTTTGTTGTCGTGCAAAACAAACCGCGCTGCCGTCGCCGCTGTGCCATTGCTTGGCGCATCCCGGATCAACCTATCGCCGCCCACGCGCCTTGACTGCTTTCGCGTTCCTATGGCCATATTACACCGCATGTCAACCCCCGCGCCTTTCCCCACCTCGAGACATACGGCAAAGTCTTCTTCGCACAATCAAGCACATCACAAACAGTCCAGACACACTTGCGCCTACGTCAGTGAATGAGGCAACCGTCAAGCGCAATGGCCGCTTTCGGCCATGCGGCGCTCCTCACGCAGCTCTACCACCACACGGTGCTTCCACGCGACGTGCCGGAGCGAGAGGACAAGAACCTATACCGGGCTGAGAGTGAGCTCGTAACCCGCTTGACTGATGCGGTGAAGTCACTTGTGCCACACGCTCCTTTAGACGACCTGCCGTGCATCGATGCGGTGAGGCTCGCTCTCACAACATGTGGATCCATCAACGTAGAAGGAAAGATAGATAAGACCTTACTCATCAAGGCATTACAACAGCTCGAAGCGAGGCAAGCCCTCATCCTTCACGTCACAGGACAGAACGCCGCGTTGCTCATTTATCGACATGCCAGGTGAATAGTCGAGCTCAATTTGCTTCAGCAGTGCATAGCTAACCATTTTCGCAGCTCTGACGGCTCGAACTTCGTCGTGTTCGAGGCTTATGAGACATCAGCTACATGTGAGCGAGTGCTTGCATCCGAGAACGCATTGCAGTGGGATTTTCCCGGTCAAGCTCTAGCGATACCTTACGACATAATGGCAGAGGATGACTTTCAGCAAAGCCTCTGTACATTTCTGGAGCAGGCCAGCATCGAATCCATCAAGCAGTTCGCGGCAGTCACCTACAAGGCTTGCGCACCACAGCCAGAGATTCGTGATACCCCGGAGCCTACCCTTGTGACCGAGGCGCTCATGGCTATATTGGAGGTGAATGGCTCAGTTCACACCACGCCCCTCCTTCGCAAGCGTGTGCGTGACACCGTCTCATTCGACAAAGCGTACAAACCTTGGCGCAGATCCGCATTCTACCTGACAGTACGCGTTGCCATTCAGCGGCATTTGTACAACCTCCTCGGCGCTGACGCAGGGCGGCTGTACTATAAAGCAGTCATCGCAATCTTCCTGATGCAGTTGCTCAACGACGGTCTATACGCCATCTCGAACGACGCATCACATGCTATTCTCCAAAAGCTTGGTCGTCGCCTGGCCAAGTTGGAGCTTGATTACGACCGTGGCTCTGAAACATACAAGGACCTTCATCGCCAAATATTCCGCACGTTGCGACCTGTTATGGAAAAGTCTATAGCATCTGCGACGACTTGTATTGAAGCAAACTGGGAAGCACACAAGAGGAGGACAGCTAGGCACATCTGGAAAATTGAACAATACGCCACCGTTTCCGACATGACACTGACGTTGCCGCTCAGTGGCCCAAATTCTCAATCATGCGATGTACTTCCGATTCAGCACTGCCATGACTGAGATTCGATCTCCAGCAGATCTGTTGGGACATTATGAAAGCAGCACAGCTCTTAAGCCCTTCGTTGCAGTCATGCACCGCTACCTCGATATTTTCGCCTACGAAGACTGCTTAGCGAACGCTGACCTAGGCGATGACCTGGGCGATGACCCAAGCGACTATGATAGCTGCACATCGCTTGCACGCAAAATTGAGACGTACATATCGAAGATCGGGGCTGCATATTCGGACTATCCAGGAGTTCTTGAGCCGCCAACTTTTGAAGGTTCTGGAACTATGGATGGCCTATGGATATGTATGCGGTGAACTGCTATCCTCTTCTGGTTGACTATCACCCTGGGTTCGATCCAGCCATGCTCAATGTTTTCCAGCTGGCTACCCTAGAAGAGTTCAGACGTATTCGCGACGTACAGCTCTACATCAGCAAGCGTTGTCGAGGCTGTTGCAGGCAGGGAGCCAGGACTATCTTCGAGACACCGACCAAGGATTGTTTCGCCGTCCGCTATTATGACGAGTCAATCGACGCAGCATCGCTCTTGGAGCTACGTACTGAGATTGAAGAAGATGCTGAAATAGAGCTTGCTGCAAAAGAAGAAGAATGGCAAGACAAGAGTGCTGTTCACGAATCCAAGATCCGAGAAATGGCTGGCCTGTCCTGTGTGTACGTTACAGAAGTAGACGAGCACGGGAATGAGCGACAAGTGCACAAGAAAGGCTGTCGCAAGCACAGACTGAAATGGGAAGCCAAACAGATGATGATCGAGATCCTCGAACATCCGTTGCCCAAGTCCGAACCAGCCCTCAAAGCGGTGGTATTCGAACTCATGTGTCCCGAGACCTTTGCTGCATATCGCGACGCAACGTGGTCGATACTCTCTGCGTTTGCCTTCTCCCATAAGGCTCCGTTAGACGCGACACCTGAAGTGGACGGTGCCCCGCCTCTCCGATCGTATCCAGGGCTGGAGAGCTACGCCAACGACATCATCTCCAGAGTGACTTTGGCGTCCTCCACAAAGTCGCACTTGCAATCCCACTACGCCAAGTCGGGATTCCCAGTCACTTTTCGAGATATCTGTCGATCGTTTGGTCTCAAGCTGGACTACTACGACAGTTTGGCGCAAGTCTTCACGAGTAGTTCAGATCAGCCGTCATTTGCTCATCTGTTCCCGCTGAAGATACCCCCAAACTCGCCATTTGCATCCTTTGATGAGATGTTTGACAAGTGGCCTTCGTCAAACAGGGTGCTGGCAACACAGACTCGATGTCCCCCGGAGGTCAATGTTCACGAATACATGGCTTGGCAAGGCTTGCTACTTGGCACAAATCTGCGATGGCCGTCTCTGCTGCGGGAAATGGGCTCTTCCAACCTGAGCTTTTCCACTGAATCTACTTGGGCTGCCATATCTCGTCTCGTTCTTCAGGCTGGACCAGCAAGCTCTGATGATGCCTTGAGGGACATTCATTCTGCTTTACACGATGGCAAATTCTGTTCTCAATTACTTGATCAGATCGATTACCGCCTAGAAGCGATCCGGAAGAACTGGCGGGAGTCAGTGCAGCTGGATATCCTCATAACCATAATGCTGAAAGTCTTATCATGCGCTCCTGTTAACAGCATCCGTTCAATAGTCTTGCAACTATTGTCTAAATCGCGCGAGATCACACAGGCTTGGTGTGCCAGCCTTCGATCTACTGAACACGAACACGGAGCTGGACCATCTATCTTCGCGACATGGGCAGCAGTGCTATGCAAACGCACTTTTTACCCAACGTTAAGTGCACACGATATACCGCGTGAGCTTGTGATAGAGTTCATCATCGCTTCCATCACGCTGCAGAACTGTCTTGCAGGCAGCTTTGATACCTTGCCATACAACCTCAGGAATGCTGTTTTGAGGGATCTCACATCTGTACACAGTATCCGTGCACGAATCGGAAACGTCATACGCAGTGAGCAGCCATTGTTAGATTCGCTTAGAGCGTTTTGGCCGATCCCAACAGACTGTGAGGAGCACCCTATCACCATCCTCCATTACGAGGATTCGGCGTGGATCCTCATGACATTGTCCACGAGCGTCGGAGTACAGCATCATGTCCACTATAACTTTGTCGAAGGCACACTTCTGATCAATGGGCAGGCCCTGGGGATTCTGCCTGCCGAGTACCGACGCTGGCCCATCATTCAAGAGCTATTCGGCTCCCAGGGACTGAGGATGTTCCCGTCGTCATTACCAGGCATGTCACTCGTCGTCGACCGTTTAATGCCATGTGGGCATTGGGTGCATCTTGGCTTTCGTAACAAACAGCTAGTCATTCGTGCGACACTCCGAGGCAGTGCTACAAACCGACAAACCGTGCTAGAGCTCATATCGCGAAATATTTTTGGTGATCGTTTCCACTTTGATCTGCCAGCGACCCTCGTTATCGACTGCTATCATTGGCTAGACCTGAATACGGGCATTATCGAGATTCGTCAATTGGACCCATGGAAATCAAAAAGAGGTAACTGGCGCCTGAACCTTGGCACCAGGCAGGCCACACGTAACAATGGCTCTACATTGGTGGATCCTAACAGCGATTTGGCGAAAAAGGTCATGCAGAACTTCCACTTCTTCGAGTTCCCACATAACATCACCGTTTATCAGCCAAAACGGGGCAGGGTGCGAGTGGAATTGAAACGTCTAGAACTGGACTTTGTTGTCAATCACGTCGGCTTGCTGCAATGTCCACAACTTGGAGCTGTGATTACTGAAACACCATTGCAAGATGTCGGAACTTGGTATGGATTGAAGAGCAAATTGGTTGTACGGTCCATAAAAGACCCTACGCAACGCAGCATTCTCATACCTCTAGGAGAGCAGACGATCGAGCGCGAAGGCCCTCATGTATCCATCGTAGTCAGGAATAAGGGTAGCTATCTCAAGTTTAACGTCAACAACGTGCTTGGGAGGATCGATTGTCCTGCCGAGCCGGTGATGCTATACTACCGGGCTTTGTGGCATGCAATGACAACATACGTTGTGCCAGATACACTTACGAAACGCACTGGTATCGAAGAAGCACTGCAGTATCTTCAGTCTGGCGCATATCAACCATGGACACCACTATCTTCAAGCGCATGCGATGTTCTCCACACCATCTCCGCATTATCCCCTTCACGAGCGTATTATCCGTCGACGTTGAAAGCAATGGAGACTGTCCGATGGCGTTCTGAGTTGACAGTCGTCATACAGGATGACAGATACCGACGTGTCGTAGCAACAATTCTGGCGAGGAATATGGAACTTGCACGTTTTTCACCCACCGCTCATTGCTGCGAGGCGCCGCTGTGTGCAGATGGCAATTCGCATTTGGAGAATCGATCAATACTCCGGAATACCACGAACGGATCCAAGCATGATACTGTCTACAAAGCGAGGGATCGCCCATTGTACGGACGAGAACGCTCCAACGCTATGGACATGGCAAGTTTGCTTTTCAAGTGGCCTGTCCAGGTCCCTAATACCAATGACCTAGCGTCTCTACTTGAAGCCTCGCCAATCATTAGTGGCTACACGCGATCATTCGACAAGATACAGCTCACCGATATCCTCCACACAGATGTTGGATTAGAGTGGGGAGCTCTGGTCAAGACAGCCTTGGGGCTGTCCCGCGATCATCGATTCGAGTTGACCTTCCTGTTCTCGTTGCTCGCCTTTACACCAGATGCAAACATGGACCTTTTGCGTGCCATAGTTTCATTTGCGATCATACCCGATATGAAAGACTTGTCGCTCCCAGGGGCTATCGTGTACAGCCGATTCAAGTTCGAGGAGTTACCAGATGTGGATCATCTCGCCGCGCTTCTCAAACCAGCCATTAATTCATACGTGGCTGACGAGAGTACATCCACAGGCCAGTTGTTGATGCGCCAGTTCGATCACGACAAAGAAGCTAATGGGGCTTGCAAGAAGATCGCAAAATCTATTCTCGCGCAGTGGCCTTCAAAGATCCTTGATCTGGACCAAGTAGTCACTGTGAAAGACTCACTGTTGGACCGAGAAGAGGCCTTGGACTTGATATTACATTCTTGGGAAAGGCTTGTTGACAACTTCCTTTTCAGTCTACACATTGAGGAGTTGCAACTTGCACTTTCCCGGCATTCTGTAGAAGCCTGTGTTCTGGCATCACAGCCCATCGTTTTGGCAGAACAGCGACCAAGCTATTATCCCTTTCCGATGAGAGGTGGTGATTTGCCCACTATACAGGACATCTTGGAGAAAAACATTACTCAGATGCATGGTCTGAGTATGAAACCGTCTGTGGGACCTGGTCCACGAATCCTGGTCGACATCCCCAACGGCAACGCGAATACTCCGGGGAGAACCATGACTTCTGCTCCTCCGAATCACGCAAAAGGCGCTAGGAAGCAATTTGTGCCAGATCATATACGAGAGCTTAGCAAGATCATCGGACCCTTCCGCGCTAGTCCATCTTTGATACACAGACGCTATGGAGATGAACTTGACCACAGTATCGAAGCATTGGCCAAACACCTTGCTAAGCCCGAGTCTACCCAAGAACCTTTCAACCCCACTAAGCTATCGAACGACCTATTTGCCGCAAGGGAATCTGTGCGTATAATTCATGAGCAGCTCCGGCATGCGTTCTCGAAAGGAGACTCGCGTGCGAAATGGCTAAGTATGGTCGGGTTGTGGCCAAGCATGAGTCCGGTCACTCTGCTCACAGAGCTACGCACAACCTCAGGAGTGAGCTTCGGTGCAGGCGTAAAGGCAGCTTTGGTCAACTTCGGCGTCGCCATCACTCAGTATCAGCGTCTACTACGACTTCAGGACGCCACGCAAAAAGAACGCCGGCAGCAAGTGGATGATGAGCGCAGCAACCCTGGTCATACAAATTGGTCTCCTTTCGAAATGGCTGATTGGCTTCTACTTGAGATTGAGAGCAATATCATGATTCGCCCAGAACAGGTGGATGTGGCGTTGGGGACCATCGCGCCCGCATCTCGTCAAAACTCTGTGCTTCAGCTCTTGATGGGCAAGGGTAAGACATCCTGTATCCTACCCATGGTAGCTCTGGTACTTTCAAACGAAAACCTTTTTCGAGTCATCCTGCCCAGGCCTCTCCTCCTGCAATCTGCACAGATCATGCAAGCTAAGCTGGGTGGGATACTGAATCGTGAAGTAATACACCTTCCGTTCTCTCGCAGGACACCAACAGGAAAACCTCTGATGCAGGCCTACTGTCAATTGCACAGCTACATTCAAAAGCAAAAGGGCGTTGTTCTGGCTCTTCCTGAACACATCCTATCCTTCAAACTCAGTGGCCTGCAACGATTGTGTGACGGAAAGGTTGAGGAAGCAACGATGATGATCAAGGCCCAAGCCTGGCTTGACCGACATGCGAGGGATGTACTTGATGAGTGCGATGTTTCGCTTGCGATTCGAACACAACTCATATACCCCTCTGGCTCGCAGCAGACAGTTGATGGCCACCCACTTCGATGGCAGACCATACAGGCTCTCTTGAGTTTGATCGTTACATATCTGAATGATCTCTCGAAGCGTTATCCACACAGTATTGAAGTGGTCAAGAGGACAGGCTTTCCACTTATCTACTTCTTGCGGCCCGACGTGGAAAATCACCTCACGGATCAACTCGTGCAGTCAATTTGCACAGGCCAGACGGAAATTCTTCCAGTCCGCGCGTACTCCACGTCATCTCAACAAGACATACAAAAGTTCATATCTGAGCCTTTACTGGACGTTGACGTAACGACGCGCGTACTCGAAATGTTCGTCGAGGATCGCCACCTCGTCAACGTGGTGTACCATTTGCGAGGCTTGTTCGTTCATCGCATCCTAATGTCCACACTGAAGAAGCGATGGAATGTGCAGTATGGCCTCCATCCAAGCCGCGATCCAATCGCAGTCCCATACCAAGTACGTTTGTCCATCTGAACTGCATTAGCATGTTGGTATACCCTGAAGCTCTTCGAGACACTAACATCACACAGGCAAAAGGTGTACCATCTCCTAGTGCTGAATGGGGCCACCCCGATGTCGCCATAATTTTGACATGTCTGTCATTTTACTACGACGGTCTCAGCTTGAACCAATTCAAGCAAGCTATTGAACATTTAGCAAAATCTGATGAACCCAGCATCGAATACAGTCTATGGGTCGCTGACGGAGTCCCAGAAGGCTTCAAGAACTACAACGCGGTGAATGTGGAAGATGTTCATCAGCTGCGGGAGTTGCACCGCCATGTCAAGTAAGTACCCCGGCGATAGTGACTGAACGATTGGAGCTTGGCCAAGATTTGCTAATGCCTCACAGGTACAGGGTGTCTTTACTTGACTTCTACCTAAACAGCTTCGTGTTCCCACAACATGCGAAGCAGTTCAGTCGGAGGTTGTCTGCTTCAGGCTCAGATCTTGTTGTGTACGACCCGAATAGCCCAGCTTGTCGTGTTTCCGGATTCTCTGGCACCAACGATACGAGACATCAACTTCCAATGACCATCAAGCAGAACGATCTACCTCAGCTTGCGCATACGAATGCTGAGGTCCTAGCTTATCTTCTAGAGGAGCGCAACCGCCACTACATTCGCATGGTCGACGTATACAATAAGCGATTAAACGAGGATGGTTTCTTGAGAAAGCTCTTGAATCCATATGCAAAGCCGAATGCACAGAACGGGCGGCCCATCGTCGCTGAGCGAATTCGCATCCTCATCGATGCAGGCGCGCAGATTCTAGAACACGACAATCGCTCCCTTGCCAAAGCTTGGCTGAAAGAAGACCACGAGGCCGCTGCAGCAGTCTACTTCGATGAAGGGCATCGTGCAAGGGTTGTTTATGGCAAGGGCACGGATGTGCCGCTTGTCGCTTCACCTTTTGCTGAAAACCTTGAAGATTGCCTGGTCTACATTGACGAGAGCCATTGCCGTGGTGAGTATGATACATGATCCTGAGACTCTTCGCACATTCATCGTGTTTCAAAGTTTGCTGACCATTCTCTAGGCACTGACCTAAAGCTTCCTCCTAATGCTAGGGCCGCGGTAACCCTCGGGCCACATCTCACCAAGGATGCGCTGGTCCAAGCCGCGATGAGACTACGACTGCTCGGGAAAACACAGTCTGTGACGTTCTTCTCGCCGCCTGAGGTCCACCAGAGCATCTTGGATCTTCGACTCGCTGCACAGGGAGGCACGCAGAAATCGCTGAGTTCTGCTGATGTGATTCGTTGGCTCTTCGAACAAACGTGCACAGGTATCGAGCAGCTTGAGCCACTGTACTTCAATCAAGCTCTCAACTATCTGCAACGCACCCAGGCCAGACTGGAGCACTCGGACTTCTTGGAAGACCCAGAGTCACGCGAGGCCTATCTGGCGGTCGTACGATCGAAGGAGCTACAATCACTCGAGCAACTCTATGAGCCAAGACATCAACATCGGGGGCCCACGATCAAAACTTCCGATTTTGCACCATGCCTCCGTACGTTCGTCGGCGAAGTCTTGAAACGTAGGAAAGGCTTTCAAGATCGGGGATTTGCCGTTCACTCTTCCGCTCTCGAGGAAGTTGAGCAAGAGCGGGAGATGGAGTTTGAAGTTGAGGCCGTTCGCGAAGTTCAACCTCCCATTCACTTCAAAGCCTTGAAGACAACCAGGCTACACCGTGACATCGAGGAGTTGGCTCTGACAGGCCAGATGCCAGCAGGAAGCGATGCTTTTCAGCCAATGTTCTACGCCTTACAGAAGACTGCAGTGGGACTGAGACATGGTACGATCGCAGCGGCGAGTAGAGCGACTCGCCTCTTTGTGTCAACACAATTCATTCGCACTGTGAGCGTCAACGAGCCTAACGACGGCTTCCTGCGTCCCTGCCATTGGCTATTGTGGTGCTGCACAAGCGAGATCGGTCTGCTGGTTAGTCCTGAAGAAGCTGATGCTCTGATACCCATTTTGCGTCACGTCAGTGAGCCATTCTGCCACATTATTGTGTACTCGCCTCCGATCACACGCAGGATGCTCCAATTTGGAGGGCTCAGCTATTACGCCATTCCGAGCCTCCCGGCCACTTTTAAAGCACCACTATGGCTGAAAGTTGAACTCGGCATCTTCGCTGGACGACTCTATTTTGACTGGGATGAGTGTGAAGAGATTACGCTGTACCTTGGTATACAATCTGAATTGGGAGACGTGCATTTTAGTCATAGAGAAACCTTTGCGACGAAGCCATCAGCGTTCCTTCACGAGTGGCTCGCGATCCGTCGGAGGGGTCAGGACTTCGAACATACCCCGATGGGCTACATCACGACTGGAAAGCCACTCTCAGAGGACCATCCCTTCTTTCGAACCAGTACAAATGACAAGAACACCGACACTGATTTCGATATCTCTCGCACACAGGTTACTCCTGTCGAGGAGGAAGATGATGACGATGAGTCTGACGACGGTAACGATCATGCGAAGGAGCATCTGTTTCAGACAAGCATGGATGATGGAGACTCTGATGTCTTCCACGATGCCGTAGAAGCAGTGGAGGAGAACGGGGAGAGTACTTTCTTCAAAGGAAAGGCGTATGTGGATGCGGAAGACGAGGTTGAGAAGTAGGCGCGGCAGCTGTACAAGGTCACTCTGATCCTCTACGCAACGTAGTCTGTTACAAAAAAATCGGACGTGGTGTACACGTTGTAGATTGATCTCCTGTCTGCTGTGCTATTGTGGCTTGTATGTTTGGGAAGTTAGCACTCGAGCAAAATACTGACACACCAGCTTGTGCCACAGTGCTCACACCTTTTCGCTAGGCTTTCACATCCAGCGTTCTCAGTAACCTTCCGGGGAAGTCCTCGGAGGTGCTTTTCTTTTTGCCTTTTTGTATACACAGCATCTTTCACACATGCATACACACATATCTTTTTAGTCGTCGCTAACAAGCACCAAGACAACAGAGAGAAGAGGAAAGCCGAAGATCTCGGCCTAGAAGAGAAGATGCGGATCATCAAACGCATGGTCTCCGAGACTGATTCCGGAGGTGTGCTGCAGCCACAGGTGGTCTCAAAGCAAACATGACTGACACTGCACAGGAAGCTTCGAAGCTGGAACTAGTCTTCATATGTCCGAGCACAGTCTCCGAGACCAGCAGGATAGGGCGCACGCATCACGTCTAGAGGCAGAGGCCGGGCAGATTGAGGCTGAGGCAGCGAGTATGCGAGCTAAGGCTGCGAAATTGAGAGCCGATGCGGCAGGCATTCGAGCCGATCTGGAGGGTCGCCAGCTCACTCGATCGGTGAGTGAGTGACGTATGCTTTGAGCTTAGCGTGGTGATCCTGTTGTCGTTCAAATGGCAAGAGCGATCACTCTCAACCTCCAGCCACACCGACACATTGCGCCATGGCGAAGCGGGTGAACATCCACCAGCTACGTGCCGCCTGTGCCTCGCTCGAGGTTCAATTCCCTTGGGAATTTGGAGACGAAGTAGAAGACTACAGTGATGCTCACAGCAAACTCGAACTTGCCAGACAACTCGAAGACGAGTTGAATGACCCCGAAGGGGAATGGATGACACTCTCAGCAAAGATCAGTATGCAGAAGCGCTCGAGCGCATGGATTAGAATGATAGCGGATAGCGCTTACAAAGCCGGCCGCATCGCGGGAGAAGGTAGGTGTCACTCTGTTTGCGAGACTTTGCTAACACGTTCGCAGAAAGTGCCGACAATACAGATTACTTGTACTGGACTGCCATTCTCGGACCGCAGCACCATCTCCGGAAAGCCTACGACACCCTCGCAAATACACATCGGCAATGCGCCGCGACAGAGAAGACTCACGCCGAGTCCCTCCAAGAGTGCGAAGCTGCACACGAACAATGCTCTAGCATTATTTCGACTCTGCAAGATGAGGTCGCCCAGCTTGGTGCGACCGCAAAAGAGCACAACGCGTGCAATGGGAGAATAGAGCTCTTGTCCGAGCAACTGCGCCGTTCCGATATCATTGTAAAAAGGCATAGTGCATGCAGCGGAGAGATGGACGTCTTGACCAACAACGCCCGCGACGTCGAAAAGAAGCACAAGAAGTGTGTCGAGAATATTGCGTCTCTAACTTTGAAGCTCGGCAAGGCCGATATCATCGCGAAAAAGCATGATGGATGCAGGGAAAGTATAGACACATTGAACTACAAAGTCCGCGACCTCGAACTGATCGCAGAGGAGCACAAGAAGTGTGCCGGGAAGACCAAGTCTCTGACTGAAGATCTCGAGCAGGCCAGCAAAGTCGCAGAGAAGCACAAAGACTGTGAAAGCAAGCTCAAGGCATCCGAACAGCGTTCAGTAGATCATCAAGACTATATGCAGGCTATCAGTGATCTCAAGGCGCGAATCCAGCAACTGGAATCTCCCAAAAAGACTGCTCAGCAGATCAGCCAAGGAAACGACAGACCTGACGTAAACAACGACAAAGCTCGCATCGAAGTCCTGGAGCAACAACTTGCCAAGATCGAAGCCGATTTCAAAGACATTTGTGTGCTTATAGCCATAATATACGAATCGCATGTCCATCGACACTCGAGCTCCATTACGGAGTCTTACCGAGAACTAGCCCGTAGGCTGAGAACATGGACATGTGCTGATATGAAACCACATAGCCTCAAGGGCGACCGGAAGGCTACGTTCATGGACTTTGTTAGAGAAGTGGTGGTTGGTCTCGACATCTTGACCAAAAAGTACCACAACACCATAGACGAAATAGACAAGGCCACGGTCGCAGTGGGCGAATTGAAGGATGATATAGAGGCTCTCACGACAGAGCGAGATTCATGGAGGGTGGACTGCATGGAACTCTTGGAGAAGGCGCAACTTGCGCAGAAATCGCATGACGCGAAGGAGCGTGCGCTTGCGCAACAGCTGACCGACCAGGACCTTTTGATTGCAGAACTTCAACTTCTCCTAGCGGAAGCTGGACTAGATTTAGCTGAGTAGTAACCATAACCTGACTTCTAAACGTGCTGCAATGCTTCATCGTGCTGGTTTCCCGATTGGGCTAGCCCCAACTCTGGTCATGTACGTTCCTTCCCTCCCAATACTTCCGATCCTTAGACACCACACGCCCACAATGCCGCCGCAAAAGAATCGCAGTGCTGAGGTCCTTGCGGACCCAGATCCAGGCGAAAAGTGAGCACAGCACCTGTAATGTTTGCGGCCATCGACTAACGCAAGAGTAGCATGGACACCAGCAAACGCGTTTTGCGAAGCCGCCCCAGTTTGACACAGTCATCAGAAGCCTCGCAGAAACCAAAGGCTAGCAAGCGCAATAGCGCCAATCCACAAGCACGTACCGCAAGCTGGGATACCAGTTGAGTTGTTACCGCCGCGCACAGCAGACCTCGTGTTTGAGGTTCACGTTGGATAGCTACACAGACCCAGAGTGCAACGAAAAGAACTTGAGTCAAGACGTGCCCAATGCTGCCTCCAGTGCCCTGCGTGATACCCATCGGAGCTGACCTCCATGCGACATGGATGAAACAACATTGCTGCAAGTAGATGTCACACTGTCTTCACTGTTCTCGCAGACATGCCGAGCATGCTCCAAACCATCTTCGGCTCCTTGGAGAGGACCACTCAGGCTGTGAGGATAGCCCGGCTCACGTGGGCAGCATCTTGAGCAAAGGAGGCCGTTATACTTGTGGCCGTTTTGGGTGAAGATGGCCTGACTGCTTGAGGCCATGGACTGTCCTGGACGATTGCAGCCGTCGTGGATTGCGAGGAAAGTCAAGCCCGTGTGGTTCTTTGCCTTTTTGTTCACTCCGTATCTTTTACCTCCTTTTCGACAAGGCGATACCGATAAACCGCAGCATCTCAGCATGCGCTCCACGAGGCGAGATTAGATGACGATGTGAAGCTGCAGACGGTTACTCATGGTATGATGTAATTATGCGAATGCGACAAAGAATACATATTGATACACAAGAAGACACCAAGTAATCCAAAAAAGCAAAGGAAACTATTACGAGTGCCCGCTAATCTAATGTTCTCAAGGAAAATCCAACGCCAATCAATGCAGAAATGCAAAAGATGCACCAGGTACTCCCCCTTCCTCTCCTCCTTACCATACCATCTAATTGTAAATTTCCAACGGCGCAATCTGGTCGACATTATACAGCCAGCCCCCACCCTTCTCCTCCGTCTCGAGCCAATCATACGGCCACAGCACAAGATGACCCTGTACCAAACCGAGCAATGTCCTTGCATCTTCCTTCGCCAGCATGGAATCTAGATCCGTGGCGGAAAAGGCGCGGTTGCTCGACTTGGTGGTCGCTCTACGACGTGAGCGCTTGGTCGCGCTGCGATGTGGAGTGTTGCCATGTGCGGGCTCGGAGATGGTAACGGTGCGATTGCGTGTTGTTGGGGTCGCAAAGTCGGCGGTTGCGGTGGGCATGGGTTCAGGCGGCGGGGCGGGGAAAGTGAATGTTTTGCCGGGTTGGGAGGGGACCATGGGTGAGACGATGGCGTCGTCTGCTGGCTTCCTCTCTCCGGACTTCTCGTTGTACTCGGCAGTTGTGTTGCTGGTTGACAACTTCAGGCGGTCCTGGCTTTGACTTTCGATGCGCTTTTCTTGGTCTTGAGTCCATTGCTCTACGCCACCAACGCGAGAGTGGTGTGTGCTGCCCAGTGTATCTTTATCAGAGTTATTGGTGAGCTTCTCAGACAGCTTCTCGCCTGCCGCCGACATTTGACCACCGACGGAGCTTGCGGCCATGCTGAATCTGTCTGCAATAGGGCCGGAGGTACCAGGAGGTCCAGTCTTACCGGGAGCATCTTGCTGTTTGTGCTGCTGGCTCTTGTCTCCACCTTGGCTCTTTGTGAAGCGCTCAGCAAAAGCTGCGTACTCCTTGTACTGTGGCCAGGTCTTCACTTCGTTGTCTGGCATGCAGCGGAACACTTGACGGAAGATCTTAGTGTTATTCTCGGCGACCTGGTGCCACGTGTCGAGGAAGAACGAGTCGTTGATAGGGTCGCGCATGCAGTCGTCGGTGACAATAGGGCGGCGCATTTCTGTTAGCAAAGGATTGAGGAGAGATGATGAGCCCTGGCTGAATGTGCGCTGAAGGGGAGGCCCGCCAATATCAGTGTCGTCAAGATGAGGCAGGGCGGGCAGCTGGCTAAGCTGTGTCAGGCCAAGCTTGGCAGTATCCATACGCGGGAGGCGCGGTGGTGGAAGACCGGCGAAACCCTCTTGTTGGCTGCTCACTCCGCTCGCCCTCGTCCCCGTAGTGTTGCTACGACCGCGGGTTCTACTTGTCGAATGCTTCTTTGGCGTGGGATGCAAGCCTTCACCCGCGACGTCAGACACAAGCTTTTCGTGACCATGCTCATCGTAGTAAGAATCTCGACCTTGTGAAACACTAGGACGATTTGCCTCCACGTCTAGCATATGATCAGCACCCTCACCGCGCACATCCTTTGCATGCTCGGAATTGTTCATGACGCGAGGGTCCGAGGACTGCTTCTTATTGGATTTGAGATGTGGATTGTCGTTTTGCGCCCAGTCGAAATCATGGTTGAAGCTGTGCAGCTTTTCCGCCTTCGCGATCAAGTCGTCTTGCATGCGGTAATTGTTCTCCTCGAGCTTCGCCTCAGTTGCGCGTTGTGCGGCTGGAGATGAGGGCGACGACGATTCAGTTTGGAAGCCGACGCTATCGGCATCGGACATTTGGCTCATCCATTCTTCCTCGCCAATAGTATCGGTGTCTACGCCCAGATGCTCGCGCATGAGCCGCATGCGAAGCGTATGGGGGAACTTGCCGACCTTGTAGGGCTGGCCTGCCATGTAAGAGTCAAGCACTTCCGTATCACGAATGACGGCAGCCACTTCAGAATCTCGCGAGCCCAACATGGAGCGTTCGTTGATGTTGGCAGAACCAATGATGGCAACGCGGTCGTCAACGACCATGATCTTGGCGTGAATGTACAGCTGCTCTGTCACGAGCATCTTGTTGGGTCCAATCTCACCCCAAGATCGTAGAGCGTAAAATTCAATGTAGTCTTCTGGCTCGATGCCAGCCGCACGCAGGCGTCCAAAGATGGACGTCGGCCCGCGGCAAATGCTGTGGTACTGGCAGGTCATGATGAGTCGAACACTGCTACCTTCTTGCTCATCGACCGTGTTCTGGTAGCCTGGCATGAGGGGCAATACAATACATGCTCTCCAATCCTCGTCGTTGGCATGAGCGCGCTTTATGCGATCGACAATGGCATCATTGATCTTGTTCTCGATCTTGGTACCGAGGACCTCGCTGCTGCTGATGTAGAATTGGTTCTCAATGTAGACAAAGTGCTCCGAGGTCGCAATCATCTGAACGTAGGCGTTCATGATGCTGTGCTCGACCTTGTTGGGCGTACCGAGCGACCAAGCACAAGCAGATCGCAGGATCTGCACCTCACACGTTCCATCCAGACCGAGCGCCTCAATATCAGCGGGATTGAAATCTGGCGGTGGGAGTAGGAATGGTGTAGGGCGAGAAGGTTTGCGTTGTCGGAGTAAGTAGTTCCATCGTTGGACAAAGTGACGGGTCAGATCGCGCGCAGGTTGGCCCACAATCTGCATGCCCACATCGTGCCAAGGCATGCGGGGAACTTTGCTGCGGTCGTACATCTCCTCATAGGGCTTGTCAAGAGCGTAAAAGTCCTGCACACGCGGGTTGGAGTAGTCCTTGCCTGGCCACAGCTGGCAGTGGTCGGCGTCCTTGGGGTTGTCGTCGATCTCAAAGCCCGTCAGCTTATCATCAACCACTACATGCTGTGGTGTATCCCAACGACCGAAACACAAATCGACACCACCGCAGAATGCAACGGTGTGATCGATGACGCAAATTTTCTCGTGATGCGACCAGAAGAACGTGTTCTGACGAATCTGGTTTGGCGAACGCTGAACGAACACGTTGGGGTGCAGGTCGAGAAGTGAAAACTTGGAATACTCCGAGTCTAATAGGAATGGCTGCACCAATGTTGCGGTACATGATCACAAAGATCTTGACACCCTCTTGCGCTTTGCGTTGCAGCAGTCGATCGAGCCTCCACTTGTGGCTGATGGCTGCAGGTCGTCGCAAGTAGAGCTCAGGACTCAGCCACCAGTCGTGAATGTAAATGACATCTCGAGCCATGCTGATCGCACGAGAGACGTTCCACATGTAGTCACGGCCATCAACAAGCCACTGAGCGTAGATCCTCTTTCGCACAGGCGCAAAGCTGCCGAAGCGCTGAGGTTGCGACCAGAGAGTGTTCTTAGTCATAAAGGTGATGGACTCCTCGAACTGTTGCAGCATCTTGTCGTTCCTAGCGAGTAGCTTCATCTTGCGCTCAGAGTTGACAAGTTTGAGTTGGTGATGGCCCGTGGCGGACGCCTTGGCTTCGCTGGCAATGTCCCTAGCTTTCTTGTCCCGCAATTTGCCGGACTTCGACTCCATGTTGAAGTCGGCGTCCACGAGAAATACGTCGTACACATTCATTTCTTCTGGAGAATCTACGCAGACGACGTAGCTGTGGCGAACGAGAAACCACTTCGGCCACGAACGGTTGATAATCGGCATGGGATGCCATTTCTTGTTGTTCGTGACACCCTTGGATGACTTGATCATCATGAACCCTTCCTTTCCGTGGTAGCCCCCTTCAGCAGCTAGTCGAACACCCAAGGCGGACAGTTCGAGAAATTTGCACAGCCGGTTGCTATCGGGCCGGAAGATGAGGTAGGCGATGAGGCGCTTGATGTACGTCTCGAGCTTCTTCCGTTGCCGGTCCTGGTGGTTGAGTTTGGCTTGATTGGGCCCGCCTGCTCCAGCAAAACTACCCTGTCGTGCTGAGAGCGGCATAGCAGGCTGTTCGCTACCTCCAATGCTTGACTTCCTACGGGCAAGCACAAAGGACGACTTCCGTCGCTTGTTCTTAGCAGGCCGATCGGTAGCACTGGCATCGCCGTCAGGACCACTGGCGTGCCCTGCTGCAGCAATCTCCTCCTCTTCCTCCTCTTCTTCGTCATCTAGCGCGCCGTAACCTCGCAGACCTCGTAGGTACGGTAATACACTTCTGGGAAACCGAGGGAGCTTTGTTCGTGGGTCTTCTTTCTCATCTCCCTTCTCATCAGTGCCGCGTCCCGAGGGTCTGTTCCTGAATGCATCCTGCTTTTCTTGAATCTTGAACTTCAGATGCAGATTGGCAAAGTCGGTCACGGTCCTGTAGACGACCCACTTCATGCGGGTCAGTCCACTGCCATACTCCAGTTCAACGCGCAAGGCTGTGTGTCGGTCGCCGTCTTTCAGAGTCTTGTCTTTTGTTTTGTCGGTCTCGGTGATGGTGACTTTCAATTGTTCGAGCAGGACAGGAATGCGCTTATGTCCGCGTTCGTCCCGTTGGAACATGCTGGCCAAGAATAGGGCTGCAGGCGCACCAGCCAGCAGTTCTGCCATGAGCTCTGCAGACTTGGCGTGGTCAACTTGACGCTCCGCCTTGGCCCTGTTGCCCAGCAGCTTGAGACTGTTCTTGATAGACTTCCACTTTTGCGCGCTGAGACTTGATGTTCGCTCGCCGCGCATCCTCCAAGGAGAGGGTCGTCCGTCAGCAGCGCCAAAGGCTGTGAATCCGCGATGGTGGCCCGGACGCCTTTCGGGGCCTTCCTCTTCCTCTGCATTGGAGTCATGCTGTCGCAGACCACCATATGACAGACCCCTCGCACTGTGCAGTCCGCGCTTCCACGCGCTTTCCTTGGCGATGCGGGAGCGCCCCTCGTCCTCGGAATAGCCCTGGCGCTCGTGCTCGGGTATGTCGCTCATGGTGCCGCGACGTATGAAGCCAGGACGGTTGGCCGTCGCAGCAGTGGGTGTGGCGTTGGGCGAGTCGCGATCTCGTGAGAAGAAGTGGTTGCTGCCGGTCTGCTTGGGTGTTGTGGGTGCCGTCTGTGTGCCCTCGCCCTCGACATCGAACCACCTACGACTGCTCTTTCTTCTCCGCCGCGACGGGCGTGCGGACCCTTCACCTGCACTCGACTCGCCGTCCGCATCTGCCTCGCTGTCTTGAATGTCGTACCGGGGCTCGTCGCGCTCCGAGGTGGGCGACAGGGGGGCGTGTGGAGAGGCGGCGCCATGCGTGGAGGAAGCAGTCCGGCCGTGGCCCTGCATGGGCGCGGTGAGAGCTCTCAGCTTGCCCATCAACGACGACCCGTGTTTGTCTCGCTCCTTGCCCTTGCCCTCCATTTCCTCCGTGTCCCATGACTGCTGCCGTGACGTCGCGGCTTGTGAGTCGGTGCCGTACGTGTTTGATCGGACGAACTGCACGCTCTTGCGCTCCCTGGGCTCGGACGCCTCGTCGCCGGTCGGGTGTCTCGAGACGGGTGCGAACGGTGGATAGTAGGAGCTGGTCGATTTGTTGGACATGTGCGAGGACGGCTTGTGGACTCTGCCAGGCGATTCAGCCGCCACTGAAGGAGGAACTGTGCCATTGGCCGTATTCGAGGGTGCGTTGAAGGGGAATTCGCCGGGATCCTTGGTGTACAAGGGCGAGCCGGTGGGAGCAGACCGCATGATCTTGGGAGCTCCGTTGGACGTAGACGCCGTGTGCAACTCTTCTTTCTCATTCGCACTCAGTCCTACTCGCAGCGGGGAGAGAAGCCGGCGGGGCTCCTTTCCATCTGCGGCTGTTTGTGCAGTAGCGCGAGGGCTCCGGCCCATAGGGGACACGTCGGATTCGGGGGTATCAGCCATGTTGCTGGGGCAAGATGAAGGTTCGCGGTGGTGAGAGGGGTCCGACTCTGCTGTAGAGAGAAGGAGTGTCGCGTGGCCTCCGCAGAGGGTTGCGGGGAGAAAATGTGTTGCTTGGGGTCGGGACGTGTTATATCATGGTTCGCAGGGGAATCGCGTTGCCCATCGGCAGTCACAGTGGAAATATTACTTGTAGCCACGAGGGAGGCGTACAGCAGGGTGGAAGACCCTGAAGAAAGTAACGCAACGGCAAGGCGACGTAATCCGCTGATCTGTATATTGTCTGGAACATCTCGAGAGTTGCAATCTCCCATGTCGTTTCCCCGACGCTAAGACAGCACGACCCCTGCTAGCGCCATCCATGAATCTCCTTACCAGCTCTCGTGCATCAGACCGCCTTGGACACCGCCCTGCAGCTAGGACGTGCAAGTTGCACAATGACTGCACGCGGGAGCTGGTTGTGTTGACTGCGCTCCTTCCTACTGTCTTCAATCGAAGTCTAGGCTTGCTTGCAACCATCTCATCTCCTCTTCACTGCTATATACAAAGACCCGAGGGGAAATACCCCACCATCACTTCCGCGCCTGCCGTCCACGCTGGCCACTGGCCTCGACAATGCGCGTAACACGCCAAAGTGCTCAAGAGATGTGTTCACGCGGACGTTGGAAACAATGACAAGTGCCGTATCACGTGAAATACCTATGTCCAAGTACCCACGGACGGCAGTGAAGTGGTGTAGGATGCATTTCTGCCCTATGCAATCATGTACCTCGGAAGTCCAGAATCACCCCCACTGCGATATCTCCGAAGCTATGTTTAACGTCTCCGCTGCAACTTCCTCTCCAGCTTTCTAGCACACGCGCCCATGGCAGCTACGAACAACCCTCTCGAGGGCACACACACCACCACCGACCCCTCCGTCTCCTCCCACACCTACACCATCGCAGGCATCCTCGTCACTGTCCATGGCCTCTCCGAACTGCCGCCATCCTGCACCTCGGTTGCCTGCCTATGGCTCCTGCACCCACGTCTCCAGACCAAAGATACAATGGCGCCGATAGCTGCCCAGGTCATCTCGGCATGGAACGCGCGCATACACAGTGGCAAAGCGGGCGAGCACCCCAAAGGTCTTATTGCCGTGGCATTCGACCAGCGAAATCACGGCAGCAGACAAGTGGACAAACTGCACAATGAGGCTTGGAGGCAGGGAAACCCAAGACACGCCCAAGACATGTTCAGCTGCTATCATGGCACAGCAACAGACACCTCGCACCTCATGAACCACCTCGAATCCTACGTCTTCAACACCAGGACCAGCCCGACCATCACCCAGCATCTTGCCCTCGGCATATCACTCGGCGGCCACGCGACATGGCACTGCCTGCTTTCCGACCCGCGAATAACAGCCGGCGTAGTGGGTATCGGCTGTCCAGACTACACCCGCTTGATGACTGATCGCGCGCGTCTGTCCAAGAGGGAGACATACACAAGTACTACACCACCAGGCGCGTCGTTTCTCGGATCCCCTGATTTCCCACAAGCCCTGCAAGATGCTATTGCGCAGTATGACCCTGCGGGTTTGCTTCTGCCTGGTCATTTCAAGCCCACAGAGCCCGACTCGCCGCCATCGAAAGCTTCGTTGGATCGCTTCGGGATACTGGCACGTGAGCGGCTGCATGGTAAGCGCATATTGAACTTGAGCGGTAAGGTGGATAAGCTAGTTCCGTACGCGGCCGGAGAGCCGTTCCTGGATATCTTCAAGCAGGTGTTACACGAGGATAAGACTTTGGACATTGCACTCGAAGACGTCTTATTCGACGGCGTAGGACATGCTTTCCCAAAAGCCATGGCAGACAAGGCGACGGACTGGATATGCGACGTACTAGCGCAAGACACTGGTGCGTCTGTGCCGAGCAAGCTGTAGACAAATGTCCATTGACACAACTGCAGCGAAGGCGTAGTTTCGCACATGCATGTACCTGACTTGACCACCAGTCGCCCACACAATTTTCAATCACCAATCTCGTATCCTGTATTCACATCCCTCCAATCCCCGCTCCAAGCGTCCCCCCTCCTCCCACACTAATCCTTGCTCCTCAATCTCTTCCCAATATTCGCGTCCTTTTCTTGTCGCTGCGACTCCTTCTCTAGCTGCTGCGACTTGCGCCTCGTCAGCGGCGTTCTGGTACTCTCCTCCGCGGCATTGTCTGCCTTCTTGCCCTTGCCTTTACTCCTCACATTGCCTTTCGCGCTGGCAGGCATGCCACTAGTCCTCGGCTTGCGCGGCGAGAAGCCGAACTTGTTCTTCACCGGGACTGAGGGCATGAGCGTGTTCTTGAGCAGGCTATTGCGCTTGGTTCTGGGCTTCTCTTCGACGTCCGACGCGTGCGGCGAGGACGCGCGCAACCTTGTATCAGTGCGCTTGTCCGCGGGGAGTTTCCTGCCCTTCGCCGCGTATTTGGGCGCGGGGAACAAATCACTGTGTTCCTCCTCGCTGTGCTCGATCTCGGCTTGCGTGCGCTCGAGCTTCGGCTTCTTGCTGCGAGCTGGAGCGTCGCGCTTCTTCTTCTTGACACTCGTTATCTCGACGTCGGATGAGCTGGAACTGTCACGCGTTGATATGGACTGGCGCGCACGCTTCGACTGCCCGTGGTGGAGGCCGAGATGCATGCCTGGCGTGAATGTCGAGCCCAAGGCAGCGAGTTCGCGGTTCGAAACGGGGTTGCGGGGCGGGCGTTGGTAGGCCTTTGTCTCGGACGTGTCGGTGAGGCGCTCTTGCACATCTTCTTCGTCATCGTTGAGGGGTGCTTGGATTTCTTCACGGCGGGTGCGAGCGTCGATTGGGCTGTTTAAAGGTCGTGTGTCTTCCTCGAAGTAGATCTCCGCTGAGGCTGTTTTGTTAGTGTCATGTTGTATGATCCCATCAGATGTCTCACCAAAGCGTTCTCTTGGGACCTCCTGGGGGGTCTTCAGCGCTTTAGGACGCTTGAGCGGTGCAGCGGGCCTGGTGGTTGATGAAATCTTCAGGGAGTTGCGAGACGTGGCCTTCGACTTGGAAGTGCCGCTCGTCTTGCTTTTCTCCCTGAGTGGAGCTTGTTCTTCGGGATTCGGCGTGGTCTCTTGTTTAAGTATACCTTCAGTCATCGGGATTAGTAGAGGGATATCACTGGCATCAGCATGCTCAAGCGCACTCTCGGTTGGTGGTGTCGCCGATGACTTCGAGGCAGTTTCATCCGAGGCCAATATGGTCGTGCCAGCATCTAGGTTTCCACCTAGAGGCGGAGGTTGCTCGCCAGAAGTGTTTGATGGCGTTGTTATCGTGTCGTAAACATCCCTATGTGCCGAACCTGTGGACGCTGGTCGTGCTTGTGATGGTGCTTGTGATGGCTCTTGCTCAAGTACTTCAGCTCCTCCATATCCTGTAGGTAGTATCTCAGATGTACTGTTGGTGGCTCCTGCATGTGCCGCTTCTTGTAATTGCGAATCCCACGACTGGTAGCCGTGTACTCCTTGATCTTTTTCGCGTACTGCACTCAGGTCCAACGGATCCAGCGAGGCAATGGATGATGTGGTTTTGGTCGGTTCACTCTCCGTCTGACCAACGATGGCGCGGTGAGTCGCTTCAGGCTCAATGATCGCATCGGTGCTCTCTCCTCCATCGATAGCGGCAATTTCAAGGTTGCTAGAGACGGTTGTTGGGGTAGAGATCGAATCTAGAGTGGGTGCCTTCAAAGGACTAGCGATCCATGGCGGTGAGACGGGGATGTCCGTTGATAATGGATGCGTTTCGAGCTTTTGCCTCTCCCCCGGTCGCTCGTCTTCATGTTGCGATGAGACTGCTCATACATCTTCCATGTGAACCGTGAACTGCGTCTCAGTCGCATCAGCATGCTCGACACGCTTTTCACCTTCGTCTGTGGCAGTGACCTCAGTGGGCGGCACTGAACTAGCTGCTATGAGGTCCAATCCATCTTCAGGCGTCGACCAGTCGAACTCCTCGATAGCCTGAAGACCTTCCTCCCTCGTGTATTCCTCCAGCGGCTGAGTACTCTCCACTAGTCTAGTCCTGTCAACAAGCCGTTGTTCCCAGGGATAGTCAATCTGTTCCACTTCCCAAGCTGCGGTATCTTGCATTGGTAGAAAATTTGGGAATCTCAAATCCCCAAGCTCGCCGGGTGCAAATATGGACGAGGGCAAGGAATTGTTCAAGGGATCTTCTGGTGTATAAAGTAGGCTGAGCCTGTAGGGCGCCACTGGATCCTCCGTGGCATCGTACGTGGGGTTTTCCGAAGACATTTTGGCCGAATTCATGGTTTTGGTGTCTGAATTGAGCTGTTCAACTTAGCAAAAGATCAGTTGAGACAAAGCGAGTGGGAAGTGTAGGCAAGAAAATATCGCTAGCTCTGCGCAAACGAATTGACGCGACCGGCCCAACAACGACAAACACGCGACGTACACGTGCTTTGGCCGGCTGGGTGAAAGAAGGCTGGACTTGCGCAGGGTTCCGCGTTGGCCATACAAGAGCTGAGGGTGTTCGGTTACTATTTCACTGCACCCCGCTGAGCGGACTGTCTCCGGCGAGAACGCGCTTATACTGAGCGATGGACGTGACGCTTAATCGCTGAGTGAGTTAAAGCAATCAGTAGCAAGTATAAACGCATGGGAGCCAACGTTCATGTGACCAGCTGAATAGTGCAATAGACATACCGCGACTGTACTTCCTCGATTTGGACCTTTTGAGGGATTCATGTAAGACAGTTCACTTGCGGACAAGAAGTTTGGACGTAGACACTGATAAGACGAAACGGCATAAAGAGGTAAAGGATATCATTGAGAGATTCAGTAGAGGGTTCATATCGGAATCGCATTGCTGATCGCATTCCCTAGTTGGAAGTCAGTGTCTGCGTATGATGCTTTGGCGGAAGTTCAATTACCGGTGTCGACTGGCAAGGCAAGCACGCTGATACGTTAGCAATGAAATTTTCGAGATTGAAAATCACTCACCTCTTCCCAGCATCTGTCGCGCAGCAGCAGCATAGGAGCGAAGCTGGCCAGCAGAAGATCTGTCATGTGACTTTAGTGGTTTGTGCGCAGCTGGTGCAAGTACTGGGAGGACACACGGCCATTCCAACTGTGACGACGAACCCTATTGTAGGGCCAATAATCTTACAGTGGCACGGATTCTGGTTTCTGTACTGGGTTAGAAGAAGTCGTGAAGTGATTGTAAGGTCTTCGTACGTTCCGCATTGGAAGCAAATCGGTATGGGGACACAGTCACACATGTTGAATGGACGCGAATTGAAGTTTCCTTATTGTAATTTGAGACGTACTGAGCGAGGAGTTGAGCGTTGAAGTGGAAATCGAGGACTTGCGCAGTGTGTAAAAAGCGACAGAATTGGGCCTCCGTGAAGGTTGACAGTTGTAACGCCAAGCTACGTCATCCTTGTCGATAGGCGATCGGGCAAATGTGACACGCGTCTACCAAGCAACACCAAATTGATCCTTCACCCCGACATGCATTTGACTGGCATATCCTGCTGCACCGGCGCCACAACTCGGTCAATCCAAAGAATTCGGTGACTGCGCCATTGCCAGCGCTTTGCTATCCCTCTTCAAGACCGCGGCTTATTCCTTTTCTGCTTCCACGCGTATCAGCTCCAACTCTACAGTCCTCTTTCCTTCCTCAACCTTGCCTTTCAGCCCATTATCGTGACGATCGAAGCACAGAGCCCACAGTCCTTGCTCTTCCGTCTCGACAGCCATGAAGCCTTCCCACCTGTCCCACAGGAATCTTATCTCTCCATCTGCACACACTCGCGCTCCCCATGGTCCAGGCAGTCCTTTCTCCGCCTCTACACGCAGACCATGCCAAATCTGCAAAGACTCCGGGTCCAGGTATATCCAGTTCAGTTGTGGCGGGTTGTCTGAGATGGTTGACACCAGACCTTCAAAGTTGCTGTCCGGATAAGGTAGGTAGTAGCCGGAGAAGGGGTGAATCGCTTCCCCTAAATAATATGATAGCTGAACGTACAGCTTCCCATCCCGTAGTACGACGTGGTTGTTGACGAAGATATCTTTCCTGTCCTTTGGCGAATTGGCTGTCGGGCGACACCGCATATGACATCGTTCTGTCTTCCACTCGTTTTTGAGGCCGTCTTTTTTTGTGCTCTCAGCCTTGTCCTGGAGCGATAATACAGCTGTTGCCGTCATTGGGATAGTCCCCGCTAGCGCTATCAGGCCCAGTACCATGATGGGCTGAAGGTCTGTGAGAAATGTTTGGCAAGAAGACAATTGGAACTTTATGGCCTGTCCACAAGAAACAGCTGCTTGTTCTTTTGTGCAGCCACTATCACGATTGCGGTTGAGAACGCCCGCGGGATTCGTGCCGTCTACACCCACTAAAGCCCGCCGCTAGATGCATGATCGACGCGGTCCGAAGGTACGCGAGTCGCCTCTGACGATAGGCATGCATTACGTCGCCCAGTAGCTCGCATTAGCTTTCCACTCGATAATACGACGTCAACAGCAGTACCAATTGAGAGATTTGGCGACTGTATTAGGCGAGCACCGACTACTACATTCGGACGACAGATTTCCAGCTAATCTCTCTCCGTCAAAAAACAAACATTAAGACTCCACATGGGCCTCGAATAAGAAGTCGTACCAGAACATCCTAAAGCACCATGCATGCACGACCTCTTCGCCGAGGTTGATGATCGATAATAAAGCTCTGCTAGCTACAGCACGCACAGGTGGCCAGAGAGGCCGAGCATGACATATGCAGCTCCCCCGAGCTCTTATAGCCCCAGCCCATGCTCCCGAGCCCTGCTGTGAAGTATCAGATCCATCCACCTATCCTTCTTCTCACCACGCAAGAAGATCTGGCTTCGCCGACAACTCCATCGAAGCGCAAAAAGTCTAAAGGCAAGCGCCAACCACCGGACGAACCACCCTCTCCACCCAAAACTCCGGACCAAAACCAGAGCAATTCAAACATGTCGACCACAGGGAGCGAGTATGGTTGAGCTCAGCAGTCATGAGCCCTAGCTAATACACGCACAGCGCACCAAGCACCACCAACCCCAGTGGCGGCCGCAAGGGTGCAGCCGATACCAGCGACCCAGCCAAAGCAGTCACTGGCCTTGCCAACTCTGCAGCTGCTGCTACGAGTCCCGCTGGCGAGAAGGACAACAATGCAGGCTTCGGCTTGGAACATTTCGACAAAGACGTGAAGGGAAGTTTGAAAGTTCACATCAAGCTAGATCTCGACGTCGACATACACATCACAGCTCGAATTCGCGGTGACATCGCTATCGGTCTGTTGTAATATCCTCATTGAGTAGGTGGAAGTTCTGAGACAATATCAGGTCTTATGTAACGATCAACGAACCGCGAAGTGCCCGCGGATGCATTAAGTGCGTCAACAAGGCAGATATCATAGTATGAGGAACTTGGAGGCAATACCCATGGTCAGTTCAATCCTAAATGCAAAAGACCATCCCTTCAGCGATAGCCGATGTCTTTTCTCTTTGTACTTAAGCAGACGTGCATTCGCCCCCTGAGCCAACAATCCTCATACTTACGTCCGCTGTGTTGAAATGTTCATGAAATTTACAGGGTGACATTTTAAAGGCCCGTGTTCACAATCAGAGAAAGTGCACGAAGTGCTGCAAGGCTCCTCGAGCTGGCGACTCTCACGTGACGTCACATCCGTGTTTGTTTTCCATGATTGCGAGGGCAGGCGCTCACCACAGCACAATCCCTGTTCTGGAAGCCATGGAGCAAGCTGCAAGCGCTATCAGCGGTTCCATGGAGACAAAGCGAGCATTTACAGCGACTTTACATACATGTCTCAAACTTCGAGTCTCATGCTCGACGCGCCTGCCTGGATTGTGCGTGCCTTGCGCCAAACCTTCACATAGATAGGCGAGGCGGCTGAGATCATCGGTCAGGGTTTTTTGAGACTGTCGGGTTTGATCAAGCCTCCGAGCCGGATATCCGAAGATAAGGTTCAATTATGTATGCACGATATATCCTTGAACATCCCATGGACTCGTACCAGATCTGTCATGTTACAAGAACCCACGCTATGCCAAAAAAAAAAAAAGAGGATCTGTGTCATGCAGTAGCTCTTGCCAGTCAGACCAGCGTGTGTGGACAAGTGCAGATCCTACTCAGAAGTGATGCAGTCGGTGTCGGTTGTATCCCCCACAACGTACGTCCTAAAGTCATAAACTGCCTCATCAGCATAGCATCGAAGGTCAATGGTCAGTAGGGCGAAAACGGAACGTTTATGTTTACATCACTCGTCACGAGCCGTTTGCACTAAATCCGTCTAGGTAAGTCCGAACGTTCCTTCCGCCTCAGTTCACCCGAGGTCGCTGCACTTGCTTTACGCGAACATAACTTTGTGCATCCATCACCGCAGCCATCAACGATCGGGTAAAGAATCGGCAAATGAACCCTTGGCAATTCATCTCAACTGCGAGTAAGATAGCGAGACGTCATGCAGATCTCCCCACAAAGACGGAAACCCGCTGATCCTTACCGCTTTACCCCGCAGAGGCACCGCTACCGACCCCAGATGAACATGGAGAATCCACAACCAAGGTCACGGTTACACGATGCCCTAGCTGACAGGCGACCGGCCTTCGCCACGAGGCTCGGTCTTGTCAAAGGCCGAGCTGGTTAAAGAGGATGATGTAGCCGACGCAATTTTTTGAGATTCGCAGCTTCAAAACGCTCCAACGACTGCATCCTGCGTCAGCTCCAAAATGGCCTCCCCCCCAGCTGATATCAAGCGGGACGAAACCTACGACAATCGCGTCGAAGATATTGCGGAGAAGACCTCTCATTCGTCTGGGGAGGTTGACTCGCAAGATGTCGAGCTCGACGAATCAGAGTCCGCCCGAGTCCTTCGAAAGGTGGACATGAGGCTGGTACCAATATTGTCATTGCTCTACTTGGTCGCCTTCATCGATCGCAGCAATAGTAAGTTTATATACGTCTTCTATCCTACGTGTTGTCGTCCACGATAGCGACGAGGGTGGAGCAGTGGGTAGCTCAACCGATATCTTGAAGCTATGCAGCATGGCTGGGCTTTGACCGCGACTGCAACGCACTATCATCTTCCCTCGTATCTACCAAATGACGTTATGGCCACTTTGCTAATTTTCTGAAGTCGGCAATGCAAAAATCGCGGGCATGACGACGGACCTAAACATGCCCTCCAACACGCTGCAATACAACACAGCTGTGACCATCTTTTTCATCCCGTACACACTACTGGAAGTTCCAAGTAATATCATCTTGAAGAAGATGAAGCCTTCGCACTGGATGGCCATTTTGATGTTCAGCTGGGGAACAGTAATGACTTTGATGGGTATTGTCAGCAGCTACGGCGGACTGCTTGCTGGTCGATTCTTTCTCGGTGTAACTGAGGTGAGTCGGGTTGCGTAATTGGACGTTTGTACGACGCTGACCGCATCATTCAGGCTGGCTTCTTCCCAGCAGCAACCTTTTTGCTCACCATCTGGTACCGTCGATTCGAGCTGCAACGTCGCATGGCAGTTTTCTACGTCGCAGCATCTCTCGCTGGTGCCTTTTCGGGTCTTTTGGCATACGGTATCCAGCAGCTTGACGGACGCTCAGGATTGGGTGGATGGCAATGGATTTTCATCATCGAAGGGCTCATCCCTGTTGCACTCAGTCTATTCATCTGGAAGATTCTCCCCGATAGCCCAGAGACTGCGGCATTCTTAACACAACCAGAGCGCGACTTGCTTGTTCGAAGGCTCGCGAACGATACGTCATCGGGCGCCGGACGTACGACTAACAATGACAAGATTGGCTCCAAACACATCATCGCCGGACTGACTGACTGGAAGATCTGGGCTGCGACCGTGATTTTCTGGGGCAACACTGTCGGTGTTTACGGGTTTACGGCCACGGTGCCTACCGTTATCAACGGTCTCGGATACTCGAGTGCCAACGCACAACTGCTCACGATTCCAATCTACGTCTTCGCGGCTATCGTCACGCTCATCTGGGCATGGGGCTCTGACTTGAGCCAAATTCGATCTCCCTGGATCATTGCCGGCTACGCGATCGCTATCTGCGGTTTCATCGCTCAACTGGCAATCCCCCATCCTCGATACCCGGGTCTGACATATGGCATGCTCTTCCCCGTGGCCGCAGGTCTTTACTGTCCGTTCACGTGTCTCGTGTCATGGGTTGGCAACTCACTTGCCCCGAGTTCAAAGCGCGCAATCGGCATGGCCTTGTTGATCTCGGTCGGAAACATGGGAGGTATCATGGGTTCGAACATCTACCTGTCAAGAGAGGCGCCGAAGTATACCACTGGATTTGCAGCGAGTCTGGCCATGTGCTGTGCTGCTATCCTGATGACACTAGTGCTGCGATGGGCGTATGCGCGCGAGAACAAGAAGAAGGACGACATGCTTGCGGAGCTCGGCGAGGAGGCCATTCGCGCCAAGTACAGCGAGGACGAGCTGATGCACATGGGCGACAAGTCTCCGTTCTTTAGATACACGCTATAGATGGGTTCCTATTTTCTGATGTAACTAATAACATGACGGAATTTACGATACATTATACTGGAGAGTGCGTGCTCATGATGTCTCACCAGGCGGATTCCCTCAATACTTGAGGTGCATCTGGTACACTAATCGAGTCGAACCGTGGTAGACACAGCACGGACTACGAGCCTCTGGGGTCGACTCCCTAGTCTACTACGGGTCAGAACTGTTCAAGTATAAATTAAATTGAAGAGCAGTATACAAGAACGTTGCTCGACATCAAACAACTCCCCAAAACCAAGTATATCTTACCAGCACTCAATATGCTAACAGACAAGACATCGCGCACTGGGCGCGCCCTCTTACGCACCAGGCTCATCGGCTTATCCTGGACCTCCGCCATCCTGACCTTGGTATACGTAGCAGCTCAGCTCATCCTGCTTGTGTTCGTAGCTGTCCGTAGCGCTGTCTCTAAAACATCGTCCCGGACAGTACACGAAGTCTCCGCGGACTGGCTCAGTCTCCTCATACCAGAATTCGGCAAACAGTGCAACGACATCACAGCAATATACGCGGTAATCGTCATTGCCGCACTCTTGCTCATCAGGCCCGACAGGCTGTGGCCGAAGAGTTTCTGGGTGCTGCAGATTGTCACGCTCTGCGCGCTGAGCCTCTGCATGCACCTGGACCAGGAGACTTGGGCCGATGGAAGCAACCAAGGTCTTCTAGTGGCTGGCTTGTTTGTCGCACGCACTTTTGTCACCGCGCTCGTGGTCAATACGCCGGGCTGGGACGTCTCGTGTATGGGCACGTATGAGGACTGGTTTGTTCATCCGGTACGTTCTTCACGAGGCTCGCTGCAGTATGTCGCTGATAGTATCCGCACTCAGATAACTGGCACGGCTGTAGATTCAAACCTACAAACACTGCGGAGGTACTTCAATCAGCCATACGACCGTACCATGCGCATACGCACTGTCCTCACTCGCCGGTCCTACATCCAAGTCGCCGAGCAATTTATCCGTATGATGTATCTTTATCGCCACCTGGACTCGTCTAGCACGGCTGCATACGAGCTGGTTAGACTTGTTGCAATAGCCATCGGGCTCCAAGCGTCGCATTACACTTTTCTGCGGTATGCGACACGCAAGGCGTTCAAGTATGATGCTAAAGAGGGCCGAATAATGGCATGGTATGATCCCCCGCAGATTAAGCGTCACCAAGGAATTATAAAGCTTCTTTCTGGTGAGGAGACGTCGCTGGGTCATAATGCTGACGACATGGTACCGGAGATGAATGAGGCGGCTGAGTACATGTCTGAGAAGGGATATGTTGAAGAGAAGATCGGGTATGACGCAGTATAGTCAACAGTAAATATGTACGAAAAAGGCGCGAAGTGAACAGCATCTGCTAACGGCCCCTTGGCGCCTTGAGCTTTTGGTCATCTTTCTTCCTGATTCTTTTCTCCGATACTCGTATTGGATAGGACTGGGATAGTGTGGTGTAGTACTAGCCGAGGGGCCGTGCCTTCACATGGCTGCTGGCTAAGAGGTCTTATACCTCCAATCCTATTGTGACCTACTCACTGGAAACAACAGACGTCGGCAAGATTCGTGTCTGCTTTGCACCTACATAATATGAGCGGATCCTCTCAGAGCTGACTAAAGGCGCCTGAATGTATACGCTGCTATGAAATAGATCACTTCATGCTATAGAAGTCGCTGAACATATACAGAATACCTCTTCATCTCTTCTCCTTGACTAACGTGGAACATGTATTATGTCGGCGCCAAATGGGAACGTGATCTTACTCTAGTGCAGTATTTGTTGCAGCCCTGCCTCCTCCGCTGCTTCCGCCTCCTCTTCCCCAATAATATCGTCCCATCGACACACCATATGCGCTCTCATACATGGCTGACAAGCACTACCGACTCCTAAACTCTTGCATTGATCAACCGTCAGCCCTCGTGCCATGCATCCAGTGCAGATCCTCAGTCTCTTTTGCCCCTTCAGCTGGGCCCTCAATTCCTCATCGTCCATGACTTGGTAATCGATGCCGATAAAGCGCCAGTAGTCGTCTGAATCGTACATCCATTCCTCCATCGGCTCCTCTTCTCCGTACATGTATGGCGGGATGTATGCAGTGCCTGACGGGAAATTTTCTCGCGAAATGAGGAACCGGCCGTTGTATGATTTGAGAATGCTTGCAATCTTGTATATGGCGGGACGGTCGAGAAATAATGACGATAGGAGGCGATTTTGCTCTTCCGGGTGCGCAATGACAAACAGGCGGAAGATAGAGTGGTCGGAAAAGTGTAAATGTATAGTAAAGCCCGGCGGAGTCGTTGCAGGCAAACAATCGGTGACGATGGATGTAATAGTGCGGAAGGCAACGGCGGCCATGGATCGTATGTCGTGACCAGCACTTATCGACAAGGCCGCATCCAGAAACTTGAGTGACTTCAACGACGGTGGAAAGCCGTTGTGGCGCAAATGATAGTTCAGGTGACTCTCGAACCCGAGCTCTAGATGCTCAAGGCTAGTTAAAGAGCGTAGTTTTGCAGGACCTTCAGGATCGTTTACTCGTGTTGGTATGTAATCTAGCAGACCGCCAATGTGAGTAAGGCGTTGCAAAGAGTCTGCTTGCCTCTGTAAAGCTGTGAGGAACAGAGGAGACGAAGTGCGCTTCTCCCAGTCCACGGAGGGCTTGCATTCGTCAAAAACGTGCAATCGTTCCTCGATTGAGAGCTCTTTCAACGCTTTCGGTAAACTCAGAATAATGTCTAAAAACTTTACGTCGACATTGCACTCGACAAGAGTCAAAGATTGCAGTGGTGTGGTGTTCTGGTTCTTTGCGACCATGTCGTCATCCATGTCTGCTTCAAAGTTCAAACATGACAGTGTGATCTTGCGAAGAGTAGGACTCAAAAACATCGCCTTCGCGCGCCCAAGTATAAATTTCTGGTCTCCTATACCATGAGCATGAAGTGTTACTAGGTAGAACGTGTCAGCACGTGTAGCTTTGCAGACCTCACGCGTGGTACCTACATGACTGCAACATAGGCATCGAAAGTGGCAGTCCTGCACGCGGATAGACAGCGCTAGCCAGCAGGTTCGTAAAGTCGATCCTAGAGTAGCCATCGAAAAAGAGGCCATTGCGCCACTCCGAATTATTCGGGCAGGGACTCTCCAGCATCAAGTGTTTAAGCCTCGACATTAGTGCTATATGGTGATTGAGTTCCTCGATTCCTTCTTTATACTCAACCTTGTATCGTATTGATAAGCTTCGGATATAGTCAACTCGCTCATCACGGCTGTCCAGAGCCTGTGTAATGTGCCTTGCATGGGATCCTGTGAGCACCAACAGATCGCGCCAGATGTATGGTTCTACGAGGCCCTGGAAGCGCGTACATGTCGAAGCAAGATGACACAGCGCTCGGCGGTTGTCGATGTGATCGATGATGTTAAGGAGTAGTTCGTCTACAAGCGACAAGAGACCACTTGAGGCAAGCGCTAATTGTGTGCTGCCGGGCTCCTGTCGGGACATTCTGAAGATGTAGCCGGAATGGCGCGTCTTTCGCTTCTTAGCTCCTGCGAATGAGATATTGGGCATACGATTGGGCGGAAGAATGAGACGTCGGGCATACGATTGGGCGAAAAGTGATTGGTAGAGTTTTGGTGGTTGGCTACATACCAAATGCTGCTTCATGTTTGGGTGCTGACGTCAGCAGACCGCGGCCTACATTGCGCTTGCTGCATTCGGTTAGCAGGTGTAGATCTTCAGGCAAGCCCGCAAAGCAAATGCACCACAATTCGAATCACATTAGAAAGCTTCCTCCATGAACATGCTCATTCGTACTAGTTGTTGAAGATCCAAATATGGTGGTTACATTCTATGAAAAAAAGCCAACCCAGATCATCTAAACGATCCTCCCTCAAATCGTGTACATGTATCTCGGGTTGTTCTCTCCCATCTCCGCAATCTCCTCTTCAGTCTTGCCCTCCATCAGGTAGTCGAACTTGCCCTCGCGCTTCTTCTTGTTCTGCATGCGGAAGTAGAAATGAAGTGCAGTGTAGAGCATGATTCCAACAGCCAAGAGTCCGATGGTTGCGCCATATCCGGGTAGGTACTCAGGCGCAGTGTTGGAAGAGTACAGGAAGGGTGAGACTACACCAGAGATGTTGCCGATCGTTATTTGCATGCCGGAGGCGAATGCACGCTTGCCATAGCGAGGGTTATTGTTATTGATCCAGGTGAATGCGGCTCCCGTAGATACCCACAGGCCCAAAGCGACGATAAAGGTACCGCAGTAGCTCAGGATTAAACCCTTATTGATAATGAGGAAGATGTATCCCAGCATACTGACTGCTAAACCGCCGATGCAGAAGATGCCTTTCTGTTGGATCTTATCACCGTACCAGGCGCATACGATGTAGGAAGCGAAACCGGCAAAGTACACGGGAATTGTGAGTGCTTGGACGACTTGGCGGCTCCATCCGCCACCCATACCATCGATGATAGTCGGCAAAAACACGCTGAAGCTGTACAGCATGCCCAAGCCGACAAATTGGCTGATAGCATAAGCATATGTCTTCCAGTCCCTGACTCCATCCATGACGTCCTTCTTGTTCATCTGCTGTCCAGATTTTGTTTGGCCAATTTCAGACATTCGGAGTGTCACCAGGTTTCGGCGATCTTCTTCAGTGAGGAACTTGGCAGTCTCGGGGCTGTTGGGAAGCACGAAAGGTGTGACGACCGCGGTGAGAATGGTAGGGATACCGTTGATGAGGATACTGCATGCAGTGTCAGCAAACACTTTCAGATAGTAGACTAAAAATCGTCGGAGTTCGAGGCACGCGAAGCAACAAAGCGGTTTTTGTGTACACATTGGAAATCACGACTTACATCCATCGCCATCCAGACCATCCAGCAGCTCCATCTAACTCTCCAATAGCATACGCTACAAGACCACCCAGAGCGCCAGAAATGGCACTGGTACCGTAGAAGTAGGCCTGACGCAAGGCCAGATTGCGCTTGTTGTAAACTATGAAATATCAGCCTCGTTAGGACGGGTCATTGCGAAGCACGTACACATTGAGAGGTACAGAATGACACCTGGGAAAAGACCAGCCTCGAAAATACCGAGGAGGAGTCTGCAAGCCACGAGTGCGGCGAAATTGTTGACAAAGGCGCTGAAGGTAGCAACCATGCCCCAACAGAAAACGAGTCCGGCAAGGTATCGCGCTGGCTGAAGCCTTTTGATGATCATGTTCGAAGGTGTCTCAAAAATCTTGAATGCTTGTCAGCAGAGGCAGTCCTGGTAGCTCGACCTTACTTACAACATAGGTAACAAAGAGTAGCGACACAGCAAGCTGGTACTGGTTGCCAGACATGCCAAGATCATCCTCGAGCCCGTACAGCTTTGCATTGCCAATGTTCACTCGGTCCATAAAGTTCATCTACAGTGATTGAGGAAAGAAGTCAGTAATGTCTCAGCAATCAATTTCGTAGGCCTTGAACTTACCAGATAGATCCAGCACACCATGGGAATGATGCGAATGTCTAGCTTCTTCAACAGCCTTCTCTCTGTCTCCTTATCCACAGCAGCAGAGGTGCCGATCTTCTCCACATCCTCGACACGGGCTGGCGGCGTGCCTGGAGTATCCGAATCGATGTCTTTCTCTTTGTGCTCCGACAGGGCAGCCGATGAATCTATGTTGTTATTCATCTTGAAGAAAGGCTGGTAAGTGGAGAGACAGGAAGTTTGTCGATCGCCGTTGCAAAGATCGAGAACGATCGATGGTGGACCTTGGTTTTATACTCTACCACGGGGTTGGAAAGGGACCAACCCCACGGGGTAGTCGAGACATGCCATGCCCACCCAGCCCTTGGAAAGCGCCGTTGACGTCGCTTAACCACGTTGGAAGCTGAGCCGCGTTGATAAACACTGCCTTGAGATCTTGGGCCAACAGCTTTCCGGTTGTCCGTGGTTTGCTGACGAAACGCGGGCTTCCTGCCTGATATGGATGTCAAGACTTCGTATCTCGTTGAGACAGGGAATACATAGGATCCACCCTGAGGCGCAAGTATTGCAATAAACGCGTGCCAGCTGCACAGGAGCGCAAGGTAGCACTGGCCTGTAATCAGGCCATCAGATGCGGATCTTGACTAGGCCAATCTTGATCTATGCCGTGGAATTACTCCTGAAAGCTTCGTTCATCTCTCCATGAGCTGCATCTCCATCTCCGCGCATTCTGTCAGTTGTGCATCCAAAATGGGGCGACTTTGATCGAAGCGGAGGCTTGAGCAGAGCTTTCCGAGCGGACAGGGCCTTGGATTGAGAGCCTAAAGCTAATGGCGATTTCATGTTTGGTTGAAGTATCCACTTTATCTGGAAAGAACGGCATCTTCGTGATCTTATATCTACATTTATACTTGGCTCAGCCGTGGCGTCTCCCGTAACTGTGGCTGTTGCGAGTTCCAAGGGCTTGACATGTCCTTAGCACACCTAAGCGGCTTGGCTGGCTGTACTTGTGTCCGTGACCGGCAATGAGCGGACAGGGCAGATGGTGTACACTGTCGCGAGGTAGGCGCCCGGAGGTTCCTACTGTGGAGAATGCACTACAGTTTGAAGTTGAGTGCTGCCTGTCAGACCTGTTGACTGAGCAGGTAGTGGTCAACGCACGAGACTCGTGCGCCGCCAGGAGGTCGAACAATACTGAAGTCAAAGACTTGGTTTCGAGGCTGCTGACTAGCTAGATCTTATCGTGACTGAACATTGCGTCAGGTCCCCTCCCAGGACGAAGGTATCGCTGAGGACCCGCATCATCCCCCAGAGCTCGGCGCATGAGACGTTCGAGACTTTCATAGGCGGAGATATTACCTGGGGAAAATGGATCCGTGCTTGTGGAGTTGCAAACCTGGTGGGACTCGCTTATTGAGCGGACGCGCCAAAGTCGCGTCTTCGTTCCTTCCTTGCCTGTCACGTGCCTGCATCACGCTCAAATCAGGGTCTAGCATTCCAGCGAATGACATTACGTACAGCTCCGTCTTGCCGGAGTAGCTGGATGATGAGTTTCCTTGGTCTGATACACTTTAAGCGCCGTACCGCAAAGAAAGCGCCGATGCTACCGCTGTGAGGGGCTTTGATCGCGGTAGATTTGCTGGCAAGGTCGAGGAGCTGCCAATGGCTTAGTGATCCTCAGTCTTTCCCTGGACGTCGACGACAGCCTTGATGAGCTCCTCTATCACTTGAGTCGACAAGCGCACCTCCTCTTTGATCTCGCACTTTGGCACGGACACGAACACATGGTCCTTCTTCCCCGTCGTCTTCTCTGCTTGTAGCATACTAATGTAGTACTGATATCCACATGTATAGGACGTTGGCTCGTCGCTCAGCTTCACATCGACCGCCCACTTGTATTTAAACTCAAGGGTGCCGTTCTTCATTGATGATTCCATCGCCACGGATGAGGTCAACGAGGAGCAAGCAGTCTGCCATATTTCGAAAACAGAGTCAATATCCAGATTGGTATTCAAAAAAGCGGCTGGTTTTGTGAAAACATTTTTGTATCCTGCTCGGGTGAAAGCCTTACGATCGACATCTGGGATATTGTGGCATCCCTCTTTCGGCGCAGCTCTCCCAAGCTTGAAGACTCCAGCCCCGTTATTGACATCTAGCCTGACATGTACGACCAAGTCTGGTGACCATTGCTTGACTTGGTCGGCAGTAATAGCAAGCCATTCGCGATACTTGGTTGTAGCTGACTCCTGTAGTGGTTTGTCCATAGGGAAAATCTCGATATATTCGCCATTGGTGGCTCTTGTGTCTGGAGGTAATTGGTAGATGAACTCTCGTGACGGCATTTTGGAGGTATTCTGGTCGGGCTAGGGCCGTGTTAGCTGGGGTGCCTTTGGCTGCTCTGGGTGAACGCACGAAGCCGGTCACCATCACGACTTTTGTATCCTTGTCTGGAGCCCACATGATTCAAAGTATTGGGTCTTTCGAGGTTTGAGGATGTAAAAACCGATGGGCAGAATGCTGTGGTTTTTGTAGTCAATGTGACTCACTGTACGAATAAGGCCTCCACATTTGACTACCTTTCTGCAAACATGCGCGGATTCTTACAGCCAGAAGCAGATGAGTTCCTGGCTGTGCACTGTCCTTGGAGATAAAGTGATGCACATTCGTCTCTTTCAATGCGAGATGCTGTGCGCGATGCTATGACGTAGCACGCACTACGTCCCTTCGCGATGCCCATCATTTCCCGCGTGCTACGCTCGAGACACAGTCACGAGAGACGGTTGCATCATAAATTCCATGAGCTATTCCCCAAATGGAGTGAACAGTGAATAGATGAAGTCCGGTGTACGGTGTTGTACATGTCGGGGTGGCAGGGAGCGAGGGGCTCGGCTAGCGCATCTGCAACCTGGGAAGGTCCGATCGGAGCTGGCGCGCAATAACTTTATTGAGAACCAGTCACAGAAGCTTACACATCAGTCAGCACAAAGCACTTCTGTGACCAATTCACAGGATGCAAATACTTCGTCCCTCCTGAAAACTATTCCTATCTTCCTGAACAATTTAGCGGCCTAATATCGACAGTTGGTTGTTATTCGCACCTTCTGCGGGACAGTCATAGCCCACCATGGCGACCAACGGAGTCAAAGCTGAGCCCACCAAGGTCAACATCTTGGGCAAAGACTCGATAGTCGTCGACTACGGACTGTGGCAGAGCTACATTGCCGAAGATCTGCTGCAAAATATCCCCTCGTCCACCTACGTCCTCATCACCGACACGAACATTGGCCCAACCTACACACCCACCTTCGAGCGCTCCTTCTCCGCCGCGGCTGCCTCGATAGCCTCTTCCCCACGCCTCCTCACATACACGATCCCACCTGGCGAGACGTCGAAATCACGAAGCACAAAAGCTGCCGTAGAAGATTGGCTTCTGTCACAAGGATGCACGCGCGACACGGTCATCATAGCCCTGGGTGGTGGAGTCATAGGCGATATGATCGGATACGTTGCCGCGACTTATATGCGCGGCATCAAGTTTGTGAACGTGCCCACCACGTTGCTGGCCATGGTAGACTCGAGCATTGGCGGCAAGACGGCCATTGACGTGCCTGCGGGCAAGAACTTGGTCGGCGCATTCTGGCAGCCCGAGAGGATATACATCGACCTGCAGTTTTTGGAGACACTGCCCAAGCGCGAGGTCATCAACGGCATGGCTGAAGTGGTCAAGACAGCAGCCATCTGGAACGAAGAGGAGTTCACAGCGCTAGAGGGAAACGCAGACGCCATCCTCGCAGCCATGGACCAGAAGACCACCGACGGGCGCAGAAACTTCGACAGCATAGCCGGAATACTGAAGAGAATAGTCCTGGGCTCTGTGCGCGTCAAGGCAGAAGTCGTTTCAGCCGACGAGCGCGAGGGCGGGCTGCGCAATCTGCTGAACTTCGGCCACTCAATCGGACACGCCTACGAAGCTATTCTCACGCCTCAAATCCTCCACGGAGAGTGCGTTGCGATCGGCATGGTCAAGGAGGCGGAGCTGGCAAGATACCTGGGAGTGCTCGACCCATCCGCAGTCGCGCGCTTGACAAAATGCATCGCTAGCTACGGTTTGCCGACATCACTGGCAGACAAGACGGTGCGCAGACGATCGGCGAACAAACACTGCCCGGTAGACGAGCTCATCAAGATCATGGCTGTAGACAAGAAGAATGCCGGTGCGGTAAAGAAAATTGTGCTTCTGTCCGGCATCGGCAGGACGTACGAGAAGAAGGCGAGTTCCGTCGTGGATCGCGACATCAAAATCGCTCTGTCGCCAAGCATCTCCGTGCACCCCGGCATTCCGTCCGACTTGAACGTGACATGTACACCTCCTGGCTCAAAAAGTGTCTCCAACCGAGTGCTCGTCCTGGCAGCGCTCGGCACTGGTTCGTGTCGGATCACCAATTTGCTCCACTCAGATGACACCCAAGTCATGCTGGACGCACTCGCGAAGATGCAGGGTGCCAGCTTCTCCTGGGAGAACGATGGCAAGGAATTGGTCGTTACCGGCAACGGTGGCCAGCTGAAGGCCTCGAGCAACGAGCTGTACCTTGGCAATGCTGGTACTGCAGCGCGCTTCTTGACATCGGTGACCGCTCTCTGTCAGGCCCAGGAGGGTGTTACATCAACTGTGGTGACTGGCAATGCGCGCATGAAGGAGCGCCCTATCGGCCCGCTAGTCAAGTCGTTGCGGACCATGGGCATTGATGTCGACTACCAGGAGAAGGAGGGTAGCCTGCCCCTACGTATCTCTGCTTGTGGCGGCTTCGGTTCTGAAGCGTTCAGCGGTGAAATTGAGCTAACTGCGAATGTGTCGTCGCAGTACGTCTCTTCTATTCTCCTGAGTGCGCCTTACTCCAAGAAGCCAGTAACACTACGACTCGTGGGTGGCAAAGTCATTTCGCAGCCATATATTGACATGACCATCGCAATGATGGCATCCTTTGGTGTACAGGTTAAGCGTGATCAGAGCGACCCCAACACCTACCGCATTCCCAACAAGCCGTACACCAACCCAGCAGAATACGTCGTCGAGAGCGATGCTAGCTCGGCGACTTATCCACTTGCCATTGCAGCAATCACCGGCACTACATGCACGGTACCAAACATTGGTTCAGGCTCACTCCAAGGCGACGCACGCTTCGCGATTGAAGTACTGAAGCCCATGGGTTGCAAGGTCGAACAAACCAAGACCTCTACTACTGTAACAGGCCCGCCTCGTGGAGAGCTCAAGGCCGTGAAAGAGATTGACATGGAGCCCATGACAGATGCCTTCCTGACTGCATCGGTCCTGGCTGCGGTATGCTCATCAAACGGCACTTCGACGACCACGCGTATCTACGGTATCGCAAACCAGCGTGTCAAGGAATGCAATCGTATCCAAGCTATGGAAGACGAGCTTGCCAAGTTCGGCATCACGTGCAGACAGTTCGATGATGGTATTGAGGTCGATGGGCGTGGATATCAGCTGGATGCACCTAAAGTCGGCATCCACTGCTACGACGATCACCGTGTAGCAATGAGCTTCGGCGTACTTGGTTTAGTCGCACCCGAGCCCGTACTCATCCTTGAGAAGGACTGCACAGGCAAAACGTGGCCGGGATACTGGGACATCTTAAACCAACAGTTCAAGGCTGAGCTTACTGGTGTAGAGCCACCGCAGCAATCTCATGGTAAGAAGATCACATCAAAAGGCCAGCAAAAGTCCATCTTCATCATTGGAATGCGTGGAGCCGGCAAGACAACAGCTGGCGGCTGGGCATCACGAGCTCTCGGATGGCCACTCATCGACTTGGACACAGCTTTGGAGCAGCACATGAGCATGACCATTCCCGAGATCATTAAAACCAGCGGCTGGGACGGATTCCGCAAAGCCGAGCTCGAACTTCTCCAAAGGACGGTCAAGGAGAAACCTACAGGCCACATCTTTGCATGTGGTGGCGGTATTGTGGAAATTCCTGAAGCGCGAAAGATCCTTGTGGATTATCAGAAGAGTGGGGGCATCGTGCTGCTTGTCTCGCGAGACATCAACAAGGTTGTCGAGTTCCTGCAAATTGACAAGACACGACCCGCGTACGTTGAGGACATGATGGGTGTGTGGCTAAGGCGGAAGCCGTGGTATGTGGAGTGCAGTAACTATCGCTTCCACAGTCAAGCCGCTGGATCCAAGGCGTTGGCACACACGCAGACTGAGATTGGGCGCTTCCTCAACATCATCACTGGAAGAACTTCAACACTGCAGGACATCAAGAAGAAGAAACAGTCTTTCTTTGTGTGTCTGTCTGCACCGAACCTTGAGCCTTGCGCAAAAGATCTGCCCGAGATCGTCGTTGGCGCAGATGCAGTCGAGCTGAGAGTTGACTTGCTCGAGGATCCCGAAGGCTCAGAAGGCCTGCCTACGCCAGAATTTGTGATTGAGCAGTTGACGATTCTAAGAAACGTCACAACCATACCAGTCATTTTCACACTGCGAACGAAGGCGCAGGGTGGCAAGTTCCCTGACGAGGCGTATGCTGAGGCTCGATCGCTGTACCAATCCGCGATACGGCTTGGCTGCGAATTCGTGGATCTGGAGATGACAATGCCGGAGGAGGTACTGCGTGAAGTCTCGGAAACGCGCGGCTTCACAGAAATCATCGCCAGCCACCATGATCCAAAGGGCGAACTCAGCTGGACCAATGGCTCGTGGATGAAATACTACAATCGCGCACTGCAGTATGGAACCGTCATAAAGCTGGTGGGCGTGGCAAAGTCACTACAAGACAACTTTGCGCTGGCAGAGTTCAAGAGCTGGGCTGAGACAGCGCATCCCACCCCGCTCATTGCGATCAACATGGGCGAGCACGGTAAGCTGAGTCGCATATTGAATGGATTCATGGCACCTGTCTCGCATCCGCTGCTTCCATCGGCCACCGCACCAGGCCAGCTCTCCGCTGCTGACATCCGTCGCGGGCTGTCATTGATGGGTGAGATTCCGACCAAGAAATTCTGCATTTTTGGCTCGCCCATATCGCAAAGCCCCAGCCCACGTCTGCACAACCGCTTGTTCCGCGAGACAGGGCTGCCGCACACATACGGTCTGCACGAGACAACTGACGCAAGCTCGATTCGCGACATTATCCGAGCACCAGATTTTGGCGGCGCAAGCGTGACAATCCCTCTCAAGCAGGATGTTCGCCCGCTAATCGACGGTGTCGGCCCTGAAGTCGAGGCCATCGGTGCGCTTAACACGATTGTACCTGAGGTATCTATCGATGAAAGCACTGGCAAGGAAATCACACGTCTGATCGGGCGCAACACGGACTACCTCGGTATGATTCTTATTCTTCGCAACACTGGCGCACACGGTGTAGGCGCTGGACTGGTCATCGGCGGCGGCGGTACTAGTCGTGCGGCCATCTATGCGCTCAAGGAAATGGGCTACGGCCCGATCTATCTCCTTGGTCGCAACGCTCACAAGATCGAAGCTCTGAAGAGTGACTTCCCGTCTTCCTACAACTTGCAGGTCATCACTTCACCCGAGCAGGTTTCTTCTCTGGACGCCATGCCAACCGTCGCTATTGGCACTGTTCCAGCGGACCAGCCCCTCGATCCAACTATTCGCGAGACGCTCTGCGCATTCTTCGAGAAAGCTAAAGACGTAAAGACGGAGCGTGGCGAGGAGAGGATCCTGCTTGAGATGGCCTACAAGCCACCGGTCACGGCGCTCATCCAGTTGAGTCAAGATGCTGGGTGGAAGACCGTGAACGGGCTGGAGGTACTCGTTGGACAAGGCGTGCATCAGTTCGAGTACTGGACGGGCGTAAAACCGCTTTACAGCGTTGCGAGGGTGAGTCTGCTAGTACCAAAAATAACTGAGTAATGCTAACATAAGAAGGATGCTGTGATGAATGGCTAAGTCTCCGCGAGAAGGTGCTCCTGAGGTTCTGGCAAGTGCTCTTCCAGCGCTTATTTGTCTCGCATTTGGGACTAGACAAAACAATCAACAAACAATTTTGTGTCTCGCATCTGTGTCCCATGCTGATTGTATTCCCCTTCTGATATCTTCACATTTCCGGCTTTTAGCACATTGCCCACTACCAGATCCCCTTTCCATCTGTCTACACTGAAGCAACATGAACCGCCCTCACGACCCCAGCAAGCCTCCCGAGCATACTGCAAGTGACCACAGCTCCAACTCCTCTCACACCATAGGCTCCCCAGATACTCCCACCTCAACTCAAACTACTCCAACCATTCCGCGCACTGCAGCACAGTCCCCGCCAAAACAAGCATCCTCCCATACCATCGGCCGCTCTACACTCTCGCCTTCGTCATCAAGCTCCATGGCCTCGTCGCACACTGTCGGACGCTCCGCGACGCCTTCTCCTTCTCCGTCTTCCTCACATACTCTTGGTCGCTCGGAGATTGGTGAGGCGAGCCCGGCTTCGTCGCGTACGCTTGGACAGGAGGGCTCTGAGGAGGCGGGAGACATGGGAGGGGGGAATGGATGTAGTGAGGATGGTGATGATGAAAGCGAAGAAGAGGACGACGGGGATTTGTTTACGCAGAGTTATCGTGAGGGATCGTCGAGGGCTGGTTAGAAACGGGGTGTTCAAGGGTGAGAAGGATGGGGGATGAGGGGTTCGCAGACGTAGAGATTTGGGATCAAATAAAATCGGTTGTGTAAGACTTGAAATGGCAATTGACGGTTCTGTTTTTAGAACTTGGAGTGTTTTGTTCGTGTCTGGAGTCACAGGAGCCTGTCCGTCTTCAGCCCCCCTGTCTTAATTTTCAAGAGTGCGGTACAAGACGAATCAGCCTTCTTCAGCCCCTACTCTTCACACATCCAAACCCCCTCCCTGCCTGCACTAGCGCCACTTCCTCGCCTCAATCAACACCCCGACGCGATTTCCCCCGGGCGTAAATACCTTCCCAGCCCTCGCATCCTCCTCGATCTTGCGATCAATCGCCGCATCCAAACTGCTCTCAATCTCCTTACTCGGCGTGCGATACGCGTTCGGATCCAGCGCCCTCGACGCCGGCGTACTAGGCACCGCACCCCTCAGACGCGCAAGTGCTTTGTTCTGCGCCTGTGGAGTAGCAGGAGCCGGACGTTTGGGTGTCAATGCGAGGGACTTGACTTTCGGTGGCACGAGGCGCGAGGGTTTAGTCGGCGAAGTTTTTGGAGTGTTGGATTCCTGCTTCGCTGGTGAATCCTTGGGAGTGGTACTATCCATCTTCCTCCGTTTGCTCGGTGTCGGGTCTGGTTTTCGCGGCGTGCCCATCGCAGCTTTCTTCCTATCTTCACTGTTCCATTCGGCGATGCGGCCTGCGATGGCCTGCGCGCTGGCGAACTTGGGAATCGGGATGCCATCGGAGTTGAGCGTTGGGCCTGAAGGCGGGCGAGCTGCTGTTGCAGGGCGAGGAGTCTTTGTGCGAGATACTGGTGTAGAGGTCTTATTGGGCGCTGGGGAACCGAAGACGGACTTGCGAGCACCTTGTAGGATATTACCGGCACCGAATCTTGGTTTAGCTGGTGTTGTTAAAGGTTTTGAACGCGTGGTAGGAGCTCCTGGAGTTGTTCGCGCTCGTGAAGGCGTGGCGGTCACGGGTACGTTCGCGCGAGCAGGTGTGCCCAATTTAGCACTTCTGTTTCGAGGCGTCAAACTCAGTGCCTTTGCTTTGTTAGTAGTACAAGCTGGGGCAGTCTTCATGGGCGAAGCGCTCGCTGGCACGTTGCGGTGAGCGTTGTTCAGTTGCTTATGATCCTCATGCTCGTCCACCTTCGCGGCAGTCAACTGCTCCCTGCGTGCCTGCACAGGCGTCTTGCTCGCATATGGCCACTTCGGGGCTTTCAGTTGAGGAGTAGGAAGCTTACTCGGAGACCGCTTCGGGTGCATAAACATGCTTGCCCGGACGGACGAATGCGTCGTTGAGTTCGATGTGTTTGACACCTCAGATGTAGTCCGCAGCAAAGCCCTTTTGGGTCTAGTCGCCGCTGGCATATTGGACTCTAGTCCCTGTGTAGAGTTCGCCATGACTGGTAGCTCAAAGGTGTTTTCCTTCTCCTTTCCCTTGCTAAACCTGAAGTCTACTCCGAGGGAGTTGCTCAAAGATAACTTAAGTACATCCATCTCTTGCTGCATAGCTAGCATGATGTCTTGATCAGTACCGCTCTGCCCCGATGTTCTAGCAAAGACTGGTCTTGACGACTTCTTGGCAAAACTGTCGCAAACTTTATCGAACTTGACATGTTTCTTGGCTGGCGAACGCTCATCCTCGGTTGCTTCAGGGTCGGGACGTGGGAATAAGAGAGGCCGATACTGCAGCGTCTGCTCCGGTATCTTGAACGGCGAAGTGAAGCGAATTTCTGTCACCGGCTCTGCGAGGAGGATGGGTACGGTCTCAGTGACCGTCTCAGGCAGTGCTCCATCTGTCTTAGATCGTAGCTCCGCAATCGAAACGATGGGCTGAATTACCTCGGCCGCCTTTCGCAACGGTGTAGGTGGTTCCGAAATGTTGGCCTCGCCCACGCGCTCCACTACCTCAGGCCTCGATTTCGATGCGTCCAATCTGAGACCCTTCATCATGTCTCCGATGTCGAATGAAGCCCCTCGCCTTATTCGAGTCGGGGTTTGTCCTGTCGCATTCAATGGCGGTCGAGGCGAGCCTGTTGATGTTGGTGTAGCAGCTACCACGTGCACGCTGGTCGCGACTTCTGCTTCCGCGACTTCTGCTTCCGCGACGTCTTGTACATCCTTGGAATCCTTACGTGGCGTCGACACACCTTCCACCAACTTGGTTTCCATCTTTATCGCTCTCGTTGGAGATGTCCTCGCGCTATCGACGTGCTTGTTGGGAGTAGGTGTCGTAGTTTTCGAACGGGGTGTATGAGACAAAGCATGAGCGGACTTCCTCGGCAATCCATTCCTCGTGGCACTTGACTTGAAAACAGCCAAATTTCTGACGGTAGGCTTTCCTGGTATCTCTTTCTTCACGAGCGGCGAGCCAAACGGGGGTCTTGACGGGATCTGCTTCGCGGGGCTCGTGCGTTCCGAAGGCGTTCCCTTCACTGGGGTCGCGGCTCGGGACGGAACCTCTACCTTTGCACTATCCATCTTCGTAGGACTAGGCGTCCTGCTTCTCGGTGTACTGACGTCCTTGTTCGGCTTGTTCGGCACGATCTTGCTCTCGGGAATCTCGCATGTGAAGTGGAATCCGTTCTGGCCGACTTCGAGCTTCAACTTCGTAGGGCTATCTCTACCTTTCGTAGGCGAGTCGCCTCTTTTGGGTGGACTGCTACGGCTCTTGGTTGGGCTTGGTGACCGCGGCGGCGTCGCGGGCGACATGGTGACCTCTTTCAGGAAGCGCCGATACAGTGGCGTCGATTTGTTTGGTTGAGGGGGAGTTGTTGGGACCGAAAATTTAGTAGGCGATGTAAGAGGTGTTCGGAAAGCGTTATTGTCGTTGTGGTTCGGGTCCACATTCTCGTTGGACTGGTTGGGTACCGTTGTAAACGGGTCTGGGCCACAGTTGGGTGGGGTAGCCATGTTGGGACTCGAGGTGAAAGCCATCATCATGTGATTATTTATTACAACATCCGCGACCGTTTTCGCAACCAGACGAAGAGGCAATCAGAAACAAGCGAAGTGAAGAGACAGTGATGGGACGCAATGTTTGGAAACAAACGTGTGCGACAAACAATCTGAGACCCACACGCCATGCATGCTGCCGTGAGACACTGGCGTACTTGCTCGTGCTTGTCAGAAAAAGGAACGCCGAGGAACATCACGCATGCTACAATTGCAATTTGTTGCATAGGTGAGGATAGTTCATTGACTACATATTATCGTAAGCAAAGACTCCATCTACATGCTCATGGCTTCTGATATCTACCAGCTCACGTTGACGTCAAAATAACTCAAAGCTTTTCTTTCAAACTCGCCTTCAACCTCCTCTCAACGGCATCGAGGTACTCGTTGGTGGTTACCCACGCACTCCTGTCCTTCTTTCCTTGTGCGAGCGCCAAATCCTTGGTCATGATGCCGTCCTCGTTAACGGTATCCACGCAGGCCTTCTCCAGCTGCTCAGCAAAGACAACAAGCTCGGGGGTGTTGTCAAGCTCGCCGCGCTTGATGAGACCCTGCGTCCATGCATAGATGGAGGCGATGGGGTTGGTGGAAGTCTCGCGACCCTTCTGGTGCTCGCGGTAATGGCGGGTGACGGTGCCGTGCGCGGCTTCAGCCTCGAAGGTCTTGCCGTCGGGAGTGATCAGAACCGAGGTCATGAGACCGAGAGAGCCGAAACCCTGGGCGACAATGTCGGATTGGACGTCACCGTCGTAGTCTAGTCATGTTAGTAATAATTTGTCACTGGGTAGTTGATGCCATACTCTTCATAGCGATAATGTAGCCACCTTCGCTCTTGATCATCTGCGCGACCATGTCGTCAATCAGGCGGTGCTCGTACCAGATGCCAGCAGCCTCAAACTCCTTGCGGTACTGGGCCTCGTAGATCTCCTGGAAGATGTCCTTGAACCTTCCGTCGTATGCCCTTGAGGATGGTGTTCTTGGTGCTCATGTACAGCGGCAGCTTCTTGTCGAGCGCAAGCTTGAAAGGAGGAGTGCGCAAAGCCCTTGATCGACGCGGTTGTGTTGTACTGGGTCTGAGCGACACCACCCTCTGCAGGGAAGTCGTAGACCTTGATAACCTCAGGCTTGCCGCCCTTGGGTGTGAAGACCATCTCCAGGGTGCCCTCGGTGTCGATGACGCGGTCCTTTGCGCGGTACTGGTCGCCGAATGCGTGGCGGCCGATGATGATGGGCTGCTTCCAGCTGGGTACAAGGCGGGGGATGGCGGGGATAACGATGGGTGCGCGGAAGACGGTTCCTCCTCTATACTTTGTCAGTGCGACAATCCCTCAATTGCGAACATATGCCTTACAGGTGGTTTCGGATGGTGCCGTTGGGCGACAGCCACATCTTCTTCAGCTTGAATTCCTCCACACGCTGCTCGTCGGGTGTAATGGTCGCGCACTTCACACCGACTGAGTACTTCTTGATAGCCTCGGCAGCATCGAGAGTGACCTGGTCGTTGGTCTCATCACGGTATTCCAGGCCAAGGTCGTAGTACTTGAGATCAATGTCGAGGTATGGGTGGATGAACTTGTCCTTGATGACCTGCCAGATGATCCTGGTCATCTCATCACCGTCAAGCTCCACCACTGGGTTCTTGACCTTGATCTTGTTCATTCCCGTAGAAGACGCCATCCTGCGCTGGCCGAATTGGGTAGAAAAGCTCGGTGTTGTGATAGTAAAGCTATTTGCGCTGGTCCTTCGTGTGCTGGAGAGCTGGGCCGATGTCGCAATGGAAGCAGTTTGGGACGCTAAACAACGAGTTGCAAAAGTGCTGTCTGTCGTCGGGGGAGTCGTGCAATGGAGGATGCAGAGCGGATAGCAGCGGAGGCAGAAGTAGCAGGCCTCATAGTGGCGGCAATTGGTGTGGGTGGTATAACCTCGGAAACGTGAAGCTGCAACAATGGTTTCCAGTCAGGTTGCTTGGAGGCCGCGGTCTGGCTCCGAAACGCGCAAAATGGCGAGGGATTTCGGTAGATAGGACGGCGCGACTAGCTATGGAGACGCCAGAGGGGTAAAGGCATCCGAGGCATGAAAAGCTTTTGTACCCTCGCAGGGCTCCAAGCGCTGACATCTCGTGCTCACATTGCAACTGTGTTTGCCCGGACGTGCGGGTAATTACCCCACGATCGTACTCTTGGGTGTACGTGAATTGATTGCCTGAGGGGACGGCATATGCGCGCAAGGAGTCGTCACGCGCAGTTCTTCGTCCTGTCAACGCGGGGCAGTCGTGATGGCTGGCATGACGTGCTTAGCCGAGCCAGGGCGCGTCTATGCGCGACAGGGACAACAACAACAGTCCTCCAGCAGTGGTGTGAGGGGCAGAAACGAATGAAGACATGAACAAATAAAGGGTCCATCTGAATCGAGGTGAGTCGAGAGCTTTAACTTATGCGCGCTTCTTCAGCGTCACCGCGCCCGCATCGTCCCCTCACGAGCACATGCGGACCGCCGGATCCGCTCCAGCGCCTTCAACTCCAAGGCGAACATGCAATTGGCCCGTGTAAACATATCATGGATTTTGAGTTTGAGGACGAGGTAAGGAATGGGCTGTGACTTCATCTTCCGAGTTCCTCCGTGGCATTTGACAGGGCAGGCGTCTTGAGGGTCACGACTTCCTCGGTACCCAACCCGCAAAAGTGAAGAGAAGAGCACCGAGGCATGTTTCTACCACCCGAACGTCCAGACAGCCGCTACAGGTTTGCACGGAACGTATGCACGCGCAGTATGTGTTTGCCATCGTCGTGCCACTGTACCTCTGAAGTCATGTTTGGCCCTGCCTCTCTCCGCTTCACCCCCGCAGATTGACCCAGCGGCTGCTTCACGTGCATCAATATACACGGTAGTTCGGCTTTAGTCTCTCCTTGGAAAACCTGGATCTGTTCGATGAACATGCTGCCAAGCTCAGCCTTGTGTTGGATGAGGAAGTACGCGAATCCCTGGACGTTGGGTGAGCCTGTCCTTGTTGTTAGTCCATATGTTCTACGTATCTCATCATGTCACTTCGCCTACCCAGTATCGCCTTCGTTTCGGGCCACATCCTCTCAAACGTATGTCCCGGCCACTCACTCAAATGCCAATGATTCGCTTCCAGTGCCCTCTTGAGAATCTGCTGCGTCTCGACGTTCGTTATGCTCACTGACATGAAGTACTTTATGTTGTTCAGTCTCGTTTCCTGGGACCAAGGAGGCTTGTGCATCGCCGCCCAAGTAATCCACGCAACATCCGAGAACTGGTTGAGTTTCGGTAGATAACTGTCAGGAACTGGTGGGCTGCGGTCCTTCACCGCCCACTTGGGTGACTCGCGGTTCAGGCTGATGATGATGCCTTCGTCCGGATTTATGGTGAAAGAGAAAGAGGCTCCGGTGGCTGGGTACCATTCTTCGTCGATATCGTACCATTGCTGTTCCAAGGGCAGTGCTTTGTCTTCGTAGCTTTGGTGAGCAATGTTGAGCAAGTTGTTCCTGCCGCTTTTGTACTCGTTCGTGTACTAAAACGGTGTCAGAAGACCTCCATGTATCCACCAGGCTTGAGTTAGAAACGCCGTACATCGCTGATACCCAGGTCTTTGAGGACCCAACCAACGCCCCAAGTTGCGTACAAATCATGGAAGGACTCCTTCAACTTGTTGTCAGGGAATATGTGCCAGTACCACTTCTGGAGATCGGAAGTGCCCTTGTACAGACTTCTCGCCGAGTCTCTTTCGGGTACGTACAAGGCCCCTGCGTCATGGTCCTGAGCTTGCACTGTGCACAGTCAATACTGAACGACTGCAGTTCGAACTCAAATTTTGACTCACTTCCCCACCCAAGAGTACATCCTTTTGCTCCAGCCTTATCCCACAGCTCATCACTGGCTGTTTGGACCCCTGGGGGTGGCCGAGGTGGCTGCGGTAGTGGCGGAGGCGGGCGTGGGCGTGGGCGTGGGCGCGGGTTTGGCGGAGGTGGTGGATCCGTGCCCGTGACGACACCTGAGTCCGGATGAAAGTAGTCGTCACCAGTGTCTGGTCGCTTACGCCAGGCCAGGTTGTCTCTGTTCTCATCAGCATTGTCGAGGGACAGCAGGTGCGAAGGACACGTACTTCTGGCACGACGTAACACGAATAGCTATCACGGGTAGTGCAAGCTGCAAGCAAAGCAGCCCAAGAAGCGCGACTGCTCGCATGATTGAAGTTGAAAGTTAGAACAATGAGCAAAGCTTCAGCGAGACCTGAGCTGTGAGTATGCTCGCTCTTTCCTCGATCGCCGCCTAGCGCCTTCCGTTGGTGTTTGTCTCAGCCCACTTTCACACAGGTACGCGTGCGAAGCTGATGAGTGCCCATTTCTTTAGCTCAGCGAGAAAGGTGAAAATTCTGGTCTACCGCTAGACTGGACTGCGACGTCTACATGACAAAGCAGCCTGACAAGATTGTAAGGAAGCTGCAGTGTGGTTTGAAGGCGAGATGGTCATGGATGGTGATTGATATACGAAGCCTGCTCGTCCCATCATGGCTCAGGCAATGATTTAGCATTCTCAAGACTCGATTTGGATCCTGATAGTGGCGTCTCCCACCATACTCGTGGCATCAACGTGCTCAACAAACCTTCATAAAATCAGACTGCTGCCTAATGGTGCAGTCCATCACTCCTTACAAGCGTCACCTTTCACTCTCACCACCTCTGGTATGAAGCAAGGTGCGCTACCAGGTGCTCGATATAATGCAATTCTTGGGCCACGAGGAGTCCGTCATTCATCAACCACACTCGACAAGCTCAACCAACTAAGTCACATCAACCAACCTACACCATGACCACTACCCGCACTGGCTATATATACAACAAGGGCAAGATGCCCCAGGGACCCCCCGTCACTGATGTGTCCGCTACCGAACCCCCTGATCGTGGAGGAGCCGCACCGTTTGTGCCGCAGCCAGTGCAGCACCGATCATACCAGCACACCATCCAAATCTACCACTTCCGCACCAACTTCCTATCAGTCAACAAGTTCCGCAAGCTGCTCACCGACCATGCTGCATTCGGCTACGTCGACACCCTGATCGGGCCCGACACGCAAATCAACCTCTTCCGCCCAGACGGCGACGAGCTGCCCGCCAACACCATCGAAGTGGCCTACCTCCCCAACATCTTCAACAAGAAGTTCGTCAAGGGCGGCGGCTTCGCTCTGGGCTTCCGCACGCACGACTGCCGCACCAAGAAGCTCAAGAAGTACAATATGCCCATCAAGGCTGACAAGACCATCGAGTGGTTCTGCTTCGACCGGGCCATCGAGCGCACGATTCTGCGCAGCTGGATTTGCGAGCTCAGCACGCGGACCATGCGCCCGATGCATAGCGTGGACAGCAACGATCCCAAGCTACTCTTCGATCATGTCGCGGATCTGTGGAAGGGCACGTTGAAGAGGACGGTTGGGGATGCGCATCAGGAGCACAAGGATTGGCATTGGTCGCTGGAGCAGGCGCATCTACGTACGCTGAAGCTTTGCGAGGGCGTGTGTTGACGCGAGGTGGGCGCGTAGGGAGGAGAAATAATGCAGGTGTCGTCAGACGTCCTGCGTCAGACTGCATGCATGCTTTTAGCGATTTAACATGATTCAGACATCTCCAACCTGCGGGAGATGATCTTTGCGCCTGCTGCCAACGCTGCATCTAGCTCAAGACTTTGGTGTCGAACTAGACGCAGCCGCTGAGCGCTTTTTTCTGTGTAATATTAGCTGCGAATTGCGAGTGGAGTTTTGTTTTTGTTTGGGTGCGAACACCGACCCGTAATCTGGCACATAATACATTAATGTCTACTACTACTACATACTTCTCAGTCATCACTTCATCCACGTCGTATTTCACAGTCGACCTAACCCTTGAGGCCAATCTCGTCAGCGGTCAGGATAAACTCCATGAAGCCAGCATTGGTGTCGATGATGTTCTGCACGTACTCCTCCGCGGTAGGATAGAAATTTGTCGGGTATCCAAATTCCAAGGTGAATCCATAAACCTTGTTGAGGCTCTTATCTTTGTGCCATCTTGAGAAAGTCCAATCGTCTGAAGCACCGCTAGTTGGATACAAACCTACGGCTTGCTGAGGAACATATGCCCGGCCGGCAGTAGCGTTCATAGCTGCAGTGGTGAGGTTTGCCTGCAACCGGATGTTATCCCAGTCTTCCTGGGAGATGTACTCCTTGTAAACCTCGTCCTCCACATCGCCGCGTTTGCCATCGAACTCGGTGTTGAAGAGGTTCTGTTTGGGATCGAAAGACTGATCGACGTCGTCGCCCCAAGAGTAGAGCAATGTGCCTGCGGCGGAATGCACATCGATGTACCAGCGGATGTTGGGGAAGACATCGTAGACCCAGGCGATGTTTTGAGTTTCGGGCTCGGAGAAGGGAGCAGTGCCGTAGAATGCCTGAGATGAGGCGTTGTTCGATGCAGGGGAGACGGTAGGGACAAACTTCTCGGTATAGTTCCAGAGAAAGTCGAAGTTGCGGTTGAGGTCGACACCGACAGACAAAGGCTCGTTTGGTCGCGAGGAAGCCGGGTTGCGGTTCTTGCGCCACAGGTTGCTGTTTGCCTGGTCGTGACGGACACCGTCGGGATTTGTCATCGGAATGAAGACAATACCGGCTCCAAGCGCTTTCTTGACGTCTTTGTTGGAGTAAGTCTTGTTGCCGTAGGTCAGGCCGATGCGGTGTTTGTTGGCATAAAGCAAATCGGAGATGAAGAAGATGAGGTTGTCAGGCCCACCACGCTCGCGAGCATGTATACCTGACGTGAAGTAAATGTACTGCTTGTCCTTCTTGATCTTCTCCGCTTTATTCGCAACACCACCGAGAAGCGTGTTGCCTTCATAGGTCTTGTGTGGCGCAGTAAAGAGCTCCAAGCCATACTCTTTCTCCAGGCCCTTCATCGCGCTGTAAACTTCGTCCGCGTTGAGAATACCAGCGCTTTCGTAGGCACCGTACGCCTCTGGCTTCTGCGTTCCAAGACCACGGGGTGCGACCTTTCCGCTCTTGAAGCGGTCGCCCTTTCCAATCGGCGCAACGGCGCTCTGTCGCTTATTGAGGTTGTCGAGCGTTTCGATGCGAACAACGGAAGTGTCCAAATTCCGCTTCAAGCTGCGCAATTCGTGCTCAGAGACCACGGCGTGGAGCTTGTGCTCCTCGCCATCCGCCATGACAACGGGACGGCAGCCATAGTCGATCTCGCTGTTGGCCGAGATGAAGTCATACAGCTGGTTCTTCTCTTTGGCGAAAAAGGCAACGCTCAAGACATCGGATGCAAGAGCTGCGCCGGGGAGCAGGCCGAGGATAGTGGAGACCTTCATATTGACGAGGCGACGATGAGTGCTGGTCGTGCAGGCCAAACAGCACGTCGCTCAGCTTTTTATTTACTTACCCTGCCTCGAAGATCATTGCCATGGTTCAAGCTTGAATGCTTGCTTAACCGCCTTCCGTATCGGGAAATGTGCATTCCTTTACCAAGACACCAAGCGATCTTGGCTGGTAATTTGCCCAACGATACTGAGCAGGTCCCAAGTCGTTATCTGGTGCCTGGGCCCGGGCGCACGCAGTTTTCAACGGTGTAGCGTGTTCCCGCAGGATCCGGAGTGTTGGTTCGTGGTTTCTGAGGTTGCGAACTTGAGTTGCCAAGACGCCATGCACCGCGTTGGTCTTCTGTCGCGTGATTGAAGACGCCACAACTTCTTAGCGGCGATAGCTCTCAATGATCAGGTTTGTCGAAACCAACTTCCAGATACGCAGTCGTCGGCAGATTTCTACACGACATCTACTTGACGAGGAATGTCGTAGAGTCCATGAGATCTTCGCAGTACAGCTCATCGACCATCTCACCATCCATGATGCCACCGACATAAGAAGCTCCAATCAGCCAATAAACATGTTGCTCTTTTTGTTTGACTGGTAACGGGCGCAATACGAAAGGCGACGGCGATCCGAAGAGGATAGCAATAATGTCGCCTGGCTGACCTGCTGGCACACATGATCCAACGAACCCATTGATGGTGGTGAAAAAAGACTTCTTCCCAGCGCAAGAATCAAGGATTTGTTCGTACTCGCTTGTTTTGGAGGAGTCAAGTGGCTCGTGGACCTGCTCTCCTGTATTCGTGATATCGTTCGCCAGGAGATCCGAATACATCGCTTCATATGACGCAGGCGCAGGCTCATAGCCAGATTTCTGGTGTTTGTTGGAGACCAAGGTACGCCATAATGGCTCGCTTTCCCTAAACTTGAGCATATGAGACTTGATGAGCGGTGGAAACGAACAAGGTCGCATCCATCGCCGTGGATGCAATAGTCTCGAAACGGCTCAAATTCTGCTTGACCGCGTCAAGTGAGGAGCCGAATTCGGCCACATCTGACACAGTATCGACAATGAGACCTCTCTCACTTGGAGTGTGCGACCGTCACCGAGCACCTTCCCGTTCTTCGCGCCCTGTCCTGCACCAGAGACATGCATCGTGGTTGGTGGATGGAAATGCCAACCTCCCGGCTGTGCTATTCTGTGAGATTCCTGGCGCGAGAAGTCGGGAACCCAGGATGGCAAGCTATCTTGCACCTTTGATGCGGGGAGAGTTGGTATTTGAGGTGCAGTAGCGGGACCACCGGACAGAAACACGCCCGAGAGGAAGTACGGGCCTTCTCCACGAGAGAAGATATGAGCTACAGCGTCCACGTAGACTTCTGAGCATGACTTGCGGTAGTCAACAGAAATCGTATTGCTCGTACTTGGATCAAGCGCTTCGTTGCTCAATAGGCCAAGAAGGCCGTAGATACGATCTCTGGGGTCCGTCGCTGCTGATGTCCGGGACATCATCAAGAGCCTCTTGAGACTGTCACCTCCGCGGGTCTGAACTGCGCATCGGAGATCGTGGAGGACATCTAGTTTCGTCAAGCTAAGGATCTCGATTTTGTCGTGTTGATCAGCAGACTCTTCAGCGTCTGCGCTGGGCTCCTTCACGCGTGTTCCTAAGTCTACGAGGGCCTTACGTGCAATACTCTGCCATGCTGCGACAAATTTGGACCAAGGTGCGCGTTTGTAGCCGCACACAACATCGGGATCAGTCTTACTCATCGCGAGTTCTTGTAAGATCCAGACGCGCGAAAACCACGAGCGGTGATCGCTCAAACTGAAGAAGAACCTTCCACAATGCTGGCGTATCTTGACGCACTGGATTCCCTGATCAGGCCATGGTATGCTTCCGGTGACTATTGGTAGGGCGTCGAAAACGACGTTGCTATCTTCATCTGCCTCGCCGAGCCAGATGGTTACTTGTGTTGCGGAGGCATAGATGTCTCGCATCATAGCGACTTGCTGATTACGCTCATCTACGTCATTTTGGTTAATACATACCGCGTCCACCCATAGCACTGTGGAATCACTGCCCGCTGGGGCTCGTAGGTGTCGCAAAGCTGAATACAAATTTGGCGTCACAGGGAAATGATCTCCGTTCAGTAAAATCCCTGGATCCATCGACGCGGATGAGACATGATCGCCCCAGACGTAAGATAGGGCATTGTAGTTGATAGTGGTAGTGAGAGATGTGATGTTCAGCTGGCACCGAAGTGGCTCGTCGTAGCTACCTGACTGGAGTGTGAGCAAGCGGATCTCGACACGACTGGCATCGAGTGCCTGGTAGGTGGCCATGTTTCGGCATAGCCAACGATAATTCCTGATCAGAAAAGGTGACCGTGCAAGAGTTCATGAGAGCGATGGTCTCGAGTGCTGTGTGGGGAATTGTGAGTGGGGCCGCTCCAGCTAGATGAAAACGCGGGCTAGTCTTATCTGGCCTAGCGCATTGACTAGCGCGAGGAACATCCATCATCACTTCGGGGCTACCAAGACTTTATAACGATGCACTTAGGCAAATTGCTCTTGAGCCGTGATACCCATTTCACATACGTATCACCATACTGTTAATGTTATACTCCGTCATCACGACCGTTCAGTATGGCTCCCCTTTCCGCATACACTCCTCCACTTCCTTACTCTTGTAGTACCCTGTGGTCGCAGTTGCAACTTCGTCACCTTTCAGACCATCCATTGGGTGAGAATATGAGATCACCCTTACTTGATGCCGGTGGAGACACGGTATGGGAAAGCCATGGAGCTGGCAGTGAAGGAAAAGACTCGTTCTCATGAGAATTTGTACAAACAAACGCCCCTTGTTCATAGTTGTTGTCAGAGTTGGCACTCTAGATATGAATATATGATTTTTGAGATCGTTCATGTAATGAATAAAGAGTCAAGGTAGTAGATTGAAGATGAAGAGCATTCTATTGATGTACGGCGCCTTTAAACTTTCCCTTCCCAGCCTTCAGGTATCAAACGGCAAATCACAAAAGCTAGGTAAAGGGCCCCGTCTCATCGTAGCCTCCAGGCATTCTCTCATCTTCCCGCCTAGTCGAATTCATCAGTCTTTTAGATATTGATGCTGTTGGTCAACGCATCCTTGATCTGCTGCGGCGTCCAGGAATCATCCGTGGGCACCAAGACATGTGCAACAGTTCTTGGTGCGGCTTTCTTGAGCGAAGTGATGCGGGTCTGGTTGTTGATCTGCACCTGCAGATTGTAGTGCGTGCTTCCGCTGGTCAACTGAGAACTCGTTAGTCGGGACGCCCAAAATGATAACCATGAGCAGATGCAGGCTCGCTCGATATGGAAGGGAACATACACCCTGCATGTCCAAGCGGAAGTCTTGGTCTTTGGCGATTGTTGTAGCTTGGCTGGGGAAGCCGGACAGCTTGCTGTCCGAGATGTCGTCGATGAAAGCTGCGACAAATTTGGTGTTCTTTCCCATGATTGTGAGTTATCTGAGGATATGTAGAGATGGAGGTAGATGTTTGGAATATGATTTGAAGAGCTGTGTTTGTGAGTTCCTATACTGAGCGGTGCATCAAGCGGTACTTATACCATCATTCGAGCACAAGGAAGAAGCCGAGTGTAACCACTTCACGCCCCCCTGTGACGCAGACGCTTGTCGAGAGCTGCACGATCGGAGTGAATTCATGCATTGAGACGAGTATCAGATGCTACGCGTAATAGAAACCGCTCACCGGAAGGGTATGACAACAGTGAATGCTTGTTGCCCTGGTCCTAACCTTGCCATCCGTTGATGTCGACAACCACCTGCATGCTTACTCGTACCACTGTCACATCATTTGCAACGTCCCAGTGGGGATCTAGAGTGTCGATCAAGGTGTTTGAGAGCGTGTATGCTCAATTGGCTTTAATTCGGCTCATAATCGGCAGGTTCACTCCATTGTATGCTGTTATAGGAGGCTGTGGTCGAGAAAGAACGTGCGGAATCTTACCGTGACCAATCATGAAGGAGAACAAACTTCCCGAGAATTATAGCGAAGAGTAAGTTTGAAACGAAGCACCTCTTTCAAGGCGATGTTCCAGCCTCAGCTATGGATGATTCACCACTCTTGTCACGTGCATCTCGACTGAGCTCATATGAAAAAGACCCTGATAGGCCGGCAGGGAAAATATGCCTTGAGCAGCACGAGTAGAGAGACGTCTAACAACACAGCACGTTCCGCCAAAGTCTTTACTATTCGGACCGTGGACTACGGGCGAAGCCGTCAGTAGCGTGCGAGTAAAGTGGGCACAGTGCACTCCCATGATTGCAGCACTAGCGCTCTTTCGGCGACAAGGGTTAGTGCTGGGGTTTCGACATCCAATCGGTTGAAATTCAGATATTGCCCTTGTCACACACAACAGCATCAACATTCGGTCATGGGGTGCACTGTTGTATTCTTTGAGATGACTACTCAATCATTTTGGCGGCCAGACTCTCTACATCGCCTTGCTTGAACGCGTCTAGCCACTGACGCACCACTTTGAACTGCCAGTTGTTGTCGCAGTTGTGAATAGCTTGCTCAAAGTCCGATTGGAGTGTACTGGACTCCATAGTGGCGACCCAGCTCGCGTTAAGCTCCGCCATTTCTTGTTTGAACAACTTGCGAAGCTCTGTTTGTTCATACTCGAGCAAATGCTCCCAGTAAAGGCTATTAACGCCCTCGTTATCAGGAGCATCAGGATCCTGCTCTTCGTCATCGTCATCTGGCCCATACTGGTCTCGCTGGGGTTTTGTGTCTCTCGTCCGCCCTTCTAGAAGCTGCGGAAATTGGCACGCGCGCCACAAAGGTACCGTGGACACACACTCCCAGTCGACTATGGCAGCCAGTTTTCCAGTCTCATCGACCATAATATTTTGCATGGATAGATCGTCATGGAAGAGAACGTTTTGTTCACTGGCTGCTTCCGGTGGGAAGACCTTTGGTAGCTGCTCTGCCACATCCTCTGCCAACTTTATCGAGAATTCGGCGTCTTCAATGTCGTCTTCATCATCCGAAGTTTCCAGTATGCGCTGCTGATCGGCCAAAGCGAAAGTGAGCCGAGTCTTCAGCCATTCGTAGCTTGTCTTGAAAGGCCCTCGGGGCACGTCGTGCTTAAGATGGTCTCCCCAGAAGAATACCAGCGAGACGATGGGTCCCAACTCAAAGAAAGCGGATTCTTGGACTACTGGGAAGAGGTTACCAATTTTTGGGAATGGCTTCTCGTACAGCTGCGCGTGATAATGCGCCAACTGTCGCACGATGGTCTGCTTCGCTTCCCATGATATCTTCCTCCACTGCTTCCTGAGCGTCGTACCGGAAACCATCTCCATCATGATCCATTCGAAACCCAGCTCGTTCTTGTTACTTGCGTCGAAGGCTAAGATGCGTGGCACAGGCATGTCCGTCTCTTGGCGGACAAAGTTAATGGTCGCGACTTCGCTCTGCGTCTTGAGGCGTGGATACACAGGGAGAGAAATGCGCATGAGACATGCTCGACCAGCCGCCGTGATCTTGTAGAGCTTGTTGAACGCTCCTTGAGCGTGGAAGCTGACATCGATCTGGACTTGTTCGTGAAGATCCAGGTGCTTGCGTGCAATTTGCGCAATGATTTTGACGTCCGGCTCCTGGGTCCAGCGCGGCTCTAGGCCAAAAGCCGCAGACACCCACTCCAATCCGTTCTGATATGACACCATATTGTGTGAAGTCTTCAAGGTTCGTTGCTCCTCTAATAAAGACGGCGTGATTGTTTGCACACTTTTTGAATATTTTTAGTAGGGGACCACGGGCTACGAGTAAGCATAAATTTCTGCAAGGTTCAGATATCGAGGCCCGAATCTTGCTGCCACTATAAGTCGCGTCATGTTGTTGGCATGCAGGAGAGAGAATGTCATGCCTGTATCAAATTAAGCACCTCACTAGCGTCGCCAAGCGGCCGTCTAGCACCGAGTTACTTGACCCGACGCTCACCGGACGCGACACCGGCGAAGAAGCAAGCATGCGACCAGCTTGAACTTTCTGCCGCCCATCTGGGCACCCTGTGTATACTCCACGCAATGAGCTACCCGCCGATTGCTCCAGAAATTACGGTTCTTCTCCTTGGAGATGCCGAGGTTGGCAAATCAACCTTTCTATCGTGAGCCCCTCCTCCACAGTCTGGTTCGTGTATGGCACTAGCGACTATGAATACATATATGTCCAGCGAGACAACTTTTCGTTGTTGCTTACCCAAGCAGGCGCCTAAGCCTCGGTGTAAGACCTAAGAATGACGATCTACCTCCATACGAGCTCCCAAAGCTTCGCGATAGCGACCAGCCCTACGCTTTCGACATCACCCTCTATGGACGACCGTACAGGCTTCAGTTCTACGACACAGCATCGCCAACGAACTACACTCTGCTGCATCCGTCCTTTGTGATCCTCTGCTATGACATCTCCTCTCGTGCTTCTCTACACTCGCTAGCCACCAACTGGCTGCCCATCGTGAACAAGCACTTCAACTATGACGAAAATCTACCCTTCATGGTCTTAGGCCTGAAGAGGGATCTCCGGAAGCAATGGACACTAGAAGAAGTGGGACCGGACCAGACAGGCAAAGGCGCGAGCGTAATGCCCCCAGAGGGAGTGCAAACAGCACAGCGCATGCTCTGCGATTTGTACGCCGAGTGCAGTGCCCTCACCGGCGAACTATGTCGCGAAGTCCTGGAAGATGTAGCGAAGACGTGCGCGAAGACCACAACCACAACTGGAGCGAAGGGCAATCACGATGCATGTGTCGTTATGTAGCTTGCGGCTTGTGTGAAAGCAAGAGGTTTTAGCATACCTGGACACGATTGTATCAAATTAGTCGCCGCTACAGCCGCTCTGTTAGCAGGTGTCCAACATGTTCTTTGCGATCAAGATGATTGATATGGATCATTCGTCTAATCTCGGGGTGATAGGTCAAGTGCGGCTTCTCCATCGCCTGGGTCTCCGAGGATTTGGCGAGGTCTCGGGTTCATTTGATGGGGTTGACGCGATGCTTATACTGACAGGAGTGTCGGTCGCAGAGTTGATGACAACAAGTGCCTAGCCCGGTCAGAAAGAGCACCAGCAGCATAACCAGCAGCAGCAATTCAGCGCTTTGAAGCCTTCGGAGCGCTTCTCACAGTGCTCATTGACCATAGAATCAGTTGAGCCTCGTATAAAAAGAGTCAGAGTCCCGTGATGGTGGTCGGCATTTGTCGCGTACGAATTGTGCATGTCAGCATGATGCAAATTAGCCAACTCTTTCGAATATATTCGACCACGCTCGATCTAAATAGCCAATTCAAAAACCACATCACACCAATTTCGCGTTGGCGTCTTACAAAACGCCACTCCCGAGTAGCCCGGACATCGCACAGCTGCTTCATCGGACTAGTTGATCTGGAACCCGAAAATGGTTAGCGCCATGTCATCCCCGATGTCCGCCACGTCCGTTATGAAGTGCTCTCTGTTGAATCACGACTACGGAAGATTGCTAGCACAATGTTTGGACGTTCTCTCAGTGATGTTGGTTTCAGGCTCTGCACGAGCGAGTGCAACGGTGAAGAGTCCTCATGTCCAAAGTGCGCTACTGTCAACTCCGTGAACTCATGAGCCACAAGGCACTTGTTACTGTGCAACCATGCAAGCTCGGGGAAGATCAAATATTTCCCTATACAGCTTGCACTATGGATGTATAAGAACAGACTCCAGCATGCCACAATAACCTCATCAACAGCCAACAATCACTTCAGCAACAGACAGTCACTCCACAGCCATCCTTCTGCTCACAATTCAGCGATCTCTCTCAGCCTCAGATTTCCAAGACAATCTTGCAAAGATGCACTTCACCGTCCTTGCCATCACCAGCCTTCTCGGCCTCACTCTCGCAACCCCCAACACACCCAGCCTCCTCAACAAGCGCGACAAATTCGACAAGTGCTCTGTCTTCGGCAGCAACTGCGCCACTCAGGACCAGCGCTTCTGCGACCCCGACACCGGCAAGATCTCCGTCTGCCACGCCTTCGGCGACGACTGCTGGGTGCGCTACACCATGGACTCGTGCGCCTCCAAGCGCGAAGCCGAGCCTGCGCCTGCGATCGAGAAGCGCGACAGGTTCAACAAGTGCTCCGTCTTCGGGTCTGTCTGCGACGTCGACCGCAACGAGTTCTGCGACTCCAACACGGGCAAGATGAGCGTGTGCCACCAGATTGGCTGGGGCAGCGGCGAGTGTTGGATCAGGTATACGATGGACGCGTGCCCGGCGAAGCGCGAGGCGACGCCTGAGCCAGAGGCTGTCGTGGAGAAGCGCGAGCCTGTTGAGAAGCGCGACCTTTTCAACAAGTGTTCTGCCTTTGGTGCGGACTGCGCGGTTGATGACAACGTGTTCTGCAAGAATGGACGTAAGAGCATCTGCCACCAGGTCGGGTGGGGGACGGAGGACTGCTGGATTCAGTACACTGCTCAGGCTTGCTGAGCATGTTGAGGTGGTAATGCCAGTCCAGCGGGCAAGATGAGAACATTGAGAAGATAGGATGGGCTGGCTCAGTGCGCACGTTGATGTCGGTTGTGGATTTCCATCTTTTGTATTTTTGTAGCATATCGTTCGTCCTTATTGTACATAGCTTCACCATAGATTTTCCTTTGCTCTGGACTTCCTCATCAATGCACACCTCTTTCTACCAGCTTTCGATCATTGGGCCCCATAACTCGAGTTCGACAAGTGATGAATCGACCCACCTAGAGTATTTCGTGTTGTTTGGGCGTGGCTAACATAGAACTAGAAGTATTTGAGAGGGTTTGATTGCACGATGTACCTTCTGGCATTAGAAAGCCGTGGAAGGCTGCCAGTGGCTGTATAAACGTCGGAAACTATTGATGCGATTCGAATTGTTGTTGATTCTGGTGGCCCTTTCTTCTCGCGTACACCAATAATCTACACTGAGCTCCAGTCTCATCCACAATATCGGTCAGCTTGTACGCCCGCTGGGGGCGATTGAGCTGGCCGCGAAACTCTAACGCAGTCTTGTCTCCAACGATAGCCGAGCTTCTCTAGTCTTACGTGTTCCGGGTGAACGTCTCAGTGGATGAGGGTGCTGCCTATACACCTGAACGACACGGGCGTCCAAGTGGCCTCCGAGGCCGATTTTGCGGAGCCATGCATCCTTCACTGGCGTCAAAATTAGAGGCCGAAATGGATATGTGTTTGACGGATGAACTAGATAAAACGTTAGTCTTTGTAATACAAATGGGCGATGTCCGCATGTCACTCGACAAGCAAACTTATCCACGTACATTTCCTCGCCATCCAAGCTTCCGCATACCCCTCCTTGACCTCGAAGGCTACGACTGGCCTGAAATGCACCGACTCGGGAAGCAAGCGGATTCGCTGGATCTTCTCATCCAGGGCTTTGCTCCACGTTGGATTGTCTTGAATATTCAACACGGCGCCTATGTCAGTCCAGATGGACGGGTTGAACTCGAGGTGCAGATTAGGAGTGCGCTGAACAGCGCTCATGATGGCCAACAAATCCGTCTCTTCAGTGTCGTAGACAAGACGGCCAAGTCGTCCATTCTCATCCGGCGCGCGGACTTTCATGCGGTACTCTACGCTGGTCTTGCCCAGGGGCAATACCAGTTGTGGCCCGGAGCCGTCTTTGTCAATGCAGCATGCGCGGAGAGATTGGAAGGAGCAAGCAACTCGGGCGTGGGACTGGTAGATAGGCAGGTACTCGTAGCGTATCAGGCGACAGGTCTGCGTGAGCGCGAAGCCTTGTCGGAGAGGGGCTCGTGAAGTGGTGTGCGTCTGCGGCCCGGCATGTGGGTGGTAGTGGAGAGCTGGTGGGCGATCGTCGGGATCATCGTCGTGGGCGACGTAGTCGTAGACCCAGTTACGGAGCTCTGAAATGCATATGGTTAGCAGGGTACCTTCACGGTTTGTCTTGGACTTACCAGCGGGTAGATCAAGAAAGCCGAGTCCTGAGTTGCTCAGCTGCTCAGGGATGATTGTAATGTTAGATTTCTTCGCCCGCTTAGCCGGCCTCCCTGGCACCTTGCTTGATGACTTTGACATCCTGTGGTTGATTGCGCTAATGTAATCTCGGGGTGATTGAGAGTCAAGTGCGAGCTCTTGAAACGCAAGATAGTTGAGCAGGTGTGGTGAGTAGCTCAAAAAGCAAGCTTGTCAAGCTTGTCTTGGTCGAGTTGGAGGTAACGGGATGAGGAGCGCTATTGTTAGTGCGTACAGGCTACAAGGGGTATGCAATAGGTAACAGTTGGGTGCCCAGGTGGTGTCAGGTGATCCTTTCACAGCTGCGGCAGCGAATCAGGGGTGCCCGATCACGTAACGGACACCAATGGAGTGACGATAGCCAGGCCTATATTCGTTCATAGCCCTTCACAAGCCAAAGCTGCCGGGAAAGCTTTCGAGTCTGACCAGGCTGATGATATTTAACTCTTGGCGGACTCTAAGAATGTCTTCAAAACATTTCTTTCCTACATTTTCATCACTGTGATTTCACCCCTCCGCAGCGTCTACCCGTCCTTGCAGATGATACGCAGGGTGGTCTCGTGCTGGTCGTTACTGCTTGCCCCGGATTCCTCTCCTTGTCTATGCCCTAGCACCGTGCGGGCATCATTGTCAGGTTTGCAATTACGGCCACTGCTGGTATGGTGCTGTATCTGATATCGATGATTCGATTTGGCGGGACGAATATGTACAAGTACCTGGGAAGCGCGTGGATCATTCCGCATATCTGCCTGACGCAATTCTCCTACGTAGTAGTAGATCTAGGGTATGCCGGGCAAGACAGCGCACTGATGTCGCGGTGTGGTGGATATAGCGACTTGAAGTGGCTGGTGGCAGGACTCTCGTGGGCTTGAAAGGTGTGGTTCGTAGGGGCCAGCTTCCTCTTGTCACTTCACTGCGCCGCCGCGGCCTCGGCGTCTAGTTCTAGTTGGATCCGCATGGCCTCGTTTTCCCAGAACTCGGCAATATGTGCGGCACCACGAGCGCCACCAAATTGTACACCATCTTCATCACCCTCTGCACCGTCCATGAGGCGCAGGAAGCAATGCTTGTTCTTCTTGTCGTTGAAGTGGGCATAAGGATGATCCGGGTTCAGCCAAGCGCCGCATAGATAACAAAAATGTGTTTTGCAGTTCATGCATGTCATATGGTTGCACCCATACGACTTTTGGCAGGGGACTGAGCAAGTGGGACATGGCGAAGTGTTGTTCGCTATGAAGTTGAGCGAGGCCTGGTCGTCTTCAGTGAGCTCCGTCTTGTCTCTCGCTTCGCAGCGAACGAAGTCTCCATGCCATGAAGCCAGACATATCTTGCAAAACGAGAAAGTACAGTCTTCACACTGAGCTAGGCGGTCCATGCCTTTGGTCCCGGCAGGGCGCTTCTCGTGATCTTTTGCATCTTCATGCTGCAGCACTGGAGTATCTTCATCGGCTTCGGAGTCCGACTCGTCCATGTCTGCTATGTCTGTAGTAGGCTTTGGATACTTGTCCGTTCGCATGGGACCTTGACACCACGATCGCGGACAATATACGATGGTTGGATCGGACTCGATCTTCTTCTTCCGCTTGATCTTGACGAAGCGTTCAACCGTATCGCGAGCCAGTGGGATCTGCAGCAACTCCTTTGGAGACAGCAATCGATCCTTCTTTCGCTTGCTTCCAACAGGCTTGCCGCATTCTGTCGACATACATTTGACGTTGTTGACATCGCCTTCCTTGATGCAGTTGTTGTAATAGTCCTGTAGGCAGACTACGCAAAAGACATGACTGCAGCGCTGCATTCGGTAGCACACCGAGCCCTTCTTCGGCTCCAAGCATACCCCACAGTCAAAAGTCTCCTTGTCGAACAGTTCACGCTTCATTTGCTTGCTATAGGCCACAAGATGTTGTCGCAAGTCCGAGGGAAGCGTGAGGTCCTCAAGGGCAAACGCCGACTCGGCCTGCTCTTGCAGGGAGCTGATGTACGAGTACAGTATAGTCCCGCGCCCATATTCTTCCCATAAAGACGTCGCCTCCTCTGTGAGACTCTGCAGGACATGTGAAGGCAGCCATGGCGGCGAAGTCGAGAGTGTGACTGTAGGCGGGGCTTCGGCGGGGTATGCGGTTGGGAGGGCCATGTCGATGCGGAGAGAAGGCAGGTACGACAGACGCTCTACATCCAGTCCTGGCTCAAAGGTAATGGGCAGAGGTTTCGAAGGCGCTACAAGGAGCTGCAACGATGCCGAGTGTGGAATGGTCGCATGTTTTGTAAGCTCTGGGTAGATGCTCTGCAGTGTGTCCAGCTCCTCAGCGCGTTCGTCGTAGAGTTCTGAGTCGTCCATGGTGCCTGTGGTCTAAGTTGTGCTGCTTGGGAGGCACGGCGGCGATAAATTATGTCAAGATGTGAGGCGTCGGAGTAAGTGCGGAGATAGCCAGTCGTGGTGGAGGCAGAGGCGAAGAAAAGGGAGGAAAAGGGCGGCGCCAATATTGACATGTATTACGGGAAAAGGCATGCTGGCGCCCATGGCGAAGAGTCACTCACGCATAGGAACCTGACGCGCTACGAGCTACCTAGCCGTACCTGCTCGAGTGGTTAGTACTTCGTGAATGCACGGTATGCTTCCGCCACGCCAAGCCGCGGACCCCCGGTGCGGAAACCACCGTCATGGTGGCTTCGTAGACACTTTGCATGCCGAGCACAGCCTCGCCTTCTCAGCTTCCACCACCAGCGGCCATGGAGGACGCCCCGCTTGCGTCACTGTCTTTGACGCATGTTCACTATGTATGCTCTGCAATGTAACATTTGCAAACAACGCTCACCTCGGTAGAACCCCGCCGACCGCATCTCATACCTGTGTGCATGGCTGGCCCTCGTCCCCCAGGGGCTCTGTGTAGTCTACGCGACGTTGATATGGAGCAACCGCGAGATTGAGATCGCTCTCATGTTCGCCGGCCAGATGGCCTGTGAGGCGCTCAATTGGGTCTTGAAGCGCTACATCAAGGAAGAGCGGCCACGAGGTACAGCCTGCAGCTTCACCCAATGAACACAATATTGACAGACTACAGAGATGCATGGAAAGGGATACGGCATGCCTTCGTCCCACGCCCAGTTCGTATCCTTCTTCTCCGTCACTCTGACGCTCTTCCTCCTCTTCCGGCACGTGCCACACCCAACCGACACCCACACGCCCTTTACATTCGGCGGTCGATTACTCCTCTCCCTTGTCGCCATAGCCTGCGCGGGAGCTGTGGCTGCAAGCCGTATTTATCTCAGCTACCACACCAACAAACAAGTCATTGTAGGCATGGCAGCTGGAGCCATCTTTGCATTTGCCTGGTTTGGCTTCACAACGTATCTAAGAAGAGCTGGTTGGATCGACTGGGCACTGGAGACCTGGATTGCGAAGATGCTGCGCGTACGAGATCTCGTAGTCCAGGAGGACTTGGTCGATTCTGGATGGGCAAGATGGGTCGAGCGGAGACAGAAGCAGAACTTTCGAGTCCAACAAGTTCAGAGCAAGAAGGTTAGGTGAGTATGTACGCTCCAAATTCAAAGACATGCGACGTATTCGCAGTTCTCTCGATACATGGAATACCAATGCCCTTAAAGCACGCTTCTCCCACAATGAAGAATTGCGAACACGTGGAGCAAACTCCGAACAACGCATGCCTTCAGTTGATCGTCAGGGCCAAATCTGACTTGCTCTAAATCATGATCATTTGGCATCCTGCACACTTCTTAAAATGGCTCGATCGCGCTAATCGTGGGCCGTTGGCCGGAAGTTTGTCATGGCGGGAAACACCGCACACTATCCTGCCAACAATACCAACAATATTCTGGTGTCGACTAATCATCTTATCTACCCATGTGTACAACAGTCCCCCTTTAAGCCGCTGACCCGAAAGTCGAATGTCATGGACCCTGCAGCATCACACTGACGTCAAGAGGCTTGTCAGCCGTGATACATCCTCCCACAATAACCCTTACCATTGAAAAACTCCGAGCCGGTACACCTTGTGCGTGGCATTCAACCTCATAAAAGGTGCGCCATCTATGCACGTTTCAAGTCTGAAGTCAAGTAGAAAGTTTAACTTCACATCTCCGGAACGAGACGCGCTACGCCAGGTAGTTAACCACTGTTTGGGGCTTGACCGCGCGACCCCATCCGTCGTCATCGATATGCCCATGTCCCGTTCTCTTCTACTGGCTGGGCTTGCCTCAAATACTTGGTTCTCTTCCACTATGCTTAACGGTCGATGACTAGTACGCAACGTAATCTGAACTTAGTTCCAGCCTACCGTTCTTGACACCATCCTATTCAACAGCCGTTCGCACATCGAGTAGGTAACGCCATCACTACATTATTATCCGTTCCGTCTCCTCATCCTTAGGTCACGTCTGCAACCAACATGCCCCGAGTACCCGTACACCGCGAACCAAAGGCATCTCCCCATCGAAGTCCAAATCAACGAAGCTTCGACTATGAGAATCACAGACGCGGCCGTGACTATGACCACACCATCAAACGTCATCCACGTCCCCCTCCAAAGCGCGAGATCACCACTCTCACTGCGCACTTGGTTGCTGCCGTCGGTGAATTTGTCGGAACATTTATGTTTTTATACTTCTCCTTTATCGGCCAAATCATGCTCGTCTCGCAAGCTGCAGAGCGCTCTACTATAAATGGACAAGCCAGCAGCCAGCAAAACATCTTCACTGCCTTGTTATACGGGTTTAGTTTGTTGGTGAATGTATGGGCCTTTTACAGGATTAGTGGTGGTCTATTTAACCCTGCGGTACGCATATCTTCATGAACCTCCTATAGAGAAATGAGTCAATACTAACATGCCACAGGTGACGTTTGGCCTAGTTCTGTCTGGTGCATTGCCTCCCATTCGAGGCCTCTGTCTCTTCCCAGCACAACTCTTGGCAGCCATGTGCGCGGCTGCAATCGCAAATGCCATGGTGCCGGGCGACATCAGTGCCACGATCACGTCCCTTTCCCCAAACACGAGCGTCGCCCAAGGCGTCTTCATCGAGATGTTCATGACTGCGGAACTAGTCTTCGTCGTGCTCATGCTGGCCGCGGAGAAGAGCAAGGATACGTTCATTGCACCTATCGGCATAGGACTAGCGTTATTCGTGGCTATGATGGGTGGTACGTCTTCAAACTCTTATGCTTTTCTGGAAGCAATACTGACTGGTGGAAGGCGTCTTTTATACCGGTGGCTCGCTGAATCCAGCACGCAGCCTCGGTCCGGCTGTGGCGTCGGCGCAATTCAATCATTATCATTGGATCTACTGGGTTGGTCCTTTTCTTGGCGCTGCGTTAGCTGCGGGATTCTATCACTTCGTCAAGTTCTTCGACTATGAGCAGGTCAATCCCGGGCAGGACTCGGCGGGTGGAGATTTCGATGCGGATGATCGAGTCTGAGGAAATGGGCTAGTGCGGGAAAATAGCATATACGGATCTTACATGATACATTGATGTCGCACAAAGTGCGAGTTGGGCTGCAGCAAATCTTGTAGAAGTCACAGGGTATCTCGATGCGGTAAAAAGAAAGGAAGGATACAGTGAGTATACAGAGTAAACGGACTACATATGAGTCTCGAAGATGAGTTTTGAGATCATTTCGATCAATGCTACATCATCTTTCTTTGTGGCTGCTTTCATATGGGGCCAGTGGTAAACAGGTGCCAACTAGATGGGTCGGAGATCATCAAGATCCCCTTGGCAAGAGTCCTGCTTTTATACCAAGCTTTAGACGACATCGCTTCTCGTGTGGAGACTTTAATTGGCAGAGACAAGTACAGTGCCGGACGACTACATCATCAGAGTCACTGGGAGACAGCCCTTCCCTATTTAAACGCCGCCTGGACATAGTGGATGGTCTACCGCAGTGTACCATGTACATGAAGACGGAGCTAGTACTGTGATGCGAAACGGTGGAAATGAAGGCGACAATTTGGCCTTGTTCCTCACAATATACCATGACCTACTACAGCTTCTCCGCATGCGCACTACACATCTTCCCTTCTCGCCAGACACCGCGAATATTCAAGGTCGCCGAGATATCTTCCAGTGGATTTCCCTCCACCAGCAACATATCAGCATTGAGACCTTCTGCCAGTCTCCCTCTATCGTCGAGCTTGAAGCACTTCGCAACAACGCTCGTGGCCGAGCGAAGCGCATCGCTCGGTGTCATGCCGACTTGATGCACAAAAAGATACAACTCATGGTGCATTGAGAGCCCAAACGCGGTACCTTGGGCTGGTCCTGCCGAGTCGCTGCCACTGCAAACATGTCAGGCTGCCCACCCGTCGGGAGTATACCACAAGCGGTTTCACAAACTCACCAAAGAATATCAATACCCGCATCCTTCAACGCCCTCACACTCTCATACGCAAATTCGACTTTGCCACGCTCAGCTGCAAATGCCATACACCTGCACATATTGCCAATCTTGTCATCATCAATTAAGCCCGTTATCCTCGGATCGTGTGCGAACTGATGCTGCAGGTCTTTGCCCTCGGTGGTCAAGCTGCCCATTGTGGCCAGGGTGGGATTGACCCACGCGTTGTTCTGCTTGTATGCGTCGATGACTTCCTGCGTAGCTGGCTGGTCGCAGAAGGTGTGCGTCAGGCCGTTGACGCCCGCTGAAAGCACTTCGAGGGTGTCTTGCAACGAAGTCGCGTGTGCGACGGTCAGGTATCCGCGCGCTCGAGCTTCCGAGACGATGATGCGTTGGAGTTCGACTGTGGGCTGGCTGAGTTGTTGGCCCATTACCCTGCCGCTCTCGTGCATCAGTTTTATGTAGTCTGGCTGTATTTCTTTCCCGGCCCAGTCGAGATACTCAATCACGCTTTTGTGGTCGGTCAGTTTGGGCCATGTTGCGATGGCGGCCAGTGTTTCTGGACTCGAATCGTACGCCGTGATGACGGGGATGGGCCATCCGTTTTCAATGGTAGCTGCCTGCCCTGCTGTCTTGTAGGACGCAGTATCTGGCTCCAAGGCTTGCTGTCTGAGCTTGAGAACATTTTCCAGCTCGTTTCCCATTTCGCAAACAGTAGTCACACCAAAACGTAAGGCTTGAGGTAATGCTACTGGATCGGCCCTGTCGGCATGTACGTGGCAGTCAATCAGACCTGGTAACACAGTATGGCCAGGCTTCGAGTACGTAGTGATGGCAAGCTGTGGTGTCCCAGAATTAGGTCCGACTGCTTTGATCTTGCCATTCTCAACCAAGACGAATCCGGATTCGATCGTGAACTCGCCGGTGAAGACGCGCACGTCTCGTATCAGAAAAGATGTCATTCTGTAACGGGTGTGAGCTTTGGTAGTTGCGCTTTTTATTTCGACAAAGCAGGGCGTTTATCAGACGTCAATGGGTATAGAAGGCGAGAGGCAACGGATCCAGGCGCACTTTAGGGGCGCATTGAGCCTACATGTAGTCCCACGGGCTGAACCTATCGAATTCAGGCCACCTATCTAGTCCACCTACAGAAATAGACGAGTCAACGTTAACACCTCTTTGTATCGTGTTTGGTTCGAAGCGCTAGCCTGCTTGCGCAAAGCTGCATGCTTGTGGCATATTTGTCCCCACTAGCAATGATGCTGTCAGTTAAACAACTTATAACGTAGACCAATCGATAGCCAATCTGAGTGGCGTAAGTGTCGGCATCTTCGCCTCGTACTTCGGAACTGATGACCGACTCGAAGGAAATCACTGAAGGATCCGACATGAACGCAAGATACATACTTTTGGTCGGGAGGTGGAGAGCCGAAGCCGAAGGTATTAAAGACCCTTTTTGGAAGCTTTGTACCACCGTGTTGTAGTGTATTTTCTACCCGTTCTGTACAGTTTTATTCTGTTATATACGTTTGTACATGTGTTTAGCGATGCGCATACCTGAGAGCTGCTTCCGCCTCGCTATCAAGGCCGCTCAGATCCCCGTTCTTCAGACCTCCATCTCATAACCAGGTAAATGGTCCAACCACCCGTCAACATCTTCTTCCACCGTGCTCTGTACACTACACTTGTTCATCTCCTCCACGGTCTGCGTCTTCAGTACCCCCTGTACTCCCGGGCTCCCGCAACCATGAAACATACAACTGTCGTTCATCGCACGCTGCAAGCTGTCTCCCTTCCACCCAAACATGTAGTCCGCATGCGTGCCGTATCCCTTGTGGTCCGAGTAGCTCCACACGAACGGCTGCGAGCCATCCTTGGGCCACATGTCCGCGAAAGCCGTCGTGTTCCAGAGTGTTTCGTATGCTAGCTGCGGCATGCGGATGGGGTGAGAGGATGGGCAGGGAGAGGCAGGTCGGAAGTGGCCGGGATCGGTATTGTACATGTGGGATTGGTGATCGGGCGAGTCTAGGTTCTTACCGTCCCAGCATGACGGGAAGTGATGGATGGCTTGGAGTAAAGTCAGTAGCTGTCCGAAGATTTGTGAGAGTGTGAAATTGTACCCATGATGCCTGCGGGACAAGGCTTGGTGGGGAAATCCAAAGTTTCAGAACCGCGAGTGAGGACTGTTTGGAGGCATGTATATGCGAGACCATTTCGAGTACCGTTCTGTGCGGAGTTTGCTGGGTTTCCAACGGTCATGCGGAATCCCTGAATCATGTTAGCAAAGCTTCGCGCAGGACTTCACTACTTACGGGTGGGAATGCAGTGATGTGGTTGTCAAGGTCTGAGCTATTGAAGTCTTTCTGAGTGTAGTAGATGGTCATCCCGCCATTTATATCAGCTGCATCCTGGCCTTCATATCCTGGAAATATCAACATACAGCTTTCTCTCTTGCAGCTCCGCTTGATGCACGTACCGAGTTGAGCGTTCGGATAGATTGGAACGCGCTTGTATGAACCATTCTCATGCTTGAAGTACATCGCAGCAGTCCAGTAATTGGAAAAGTCTCAACTCAATATTAGCGCTAGAGTTTGGCAAGGCCTGAAGCAGCTCACCTTCGGTGTAAACACAAGTAGTACAAGAGCCCTTCTCCCCAATGTCACCAGTCATCGTTGCATTGAAAGCATTGCCACCTAAGATTAGGTCAGTACACGTGTCGTTGTACGGAGCTGAATCTAGCTTACCAACGATCTGGTGCACCTTGCGATCGATGTCAGTTCAAGATCGGCTCTTTGTACTTGGGCAACAAACATGTGCTGAAGGGATTGACCCAGGTTGTACCACAGGATCCAAACGCTGTATAGAAACACTGCTGCACCCAAATCGTAATGCTGCTTGAGCCAGCCCGGCTTGGGAAAGTATCGTGTACCAGTTCATTTTTGGCACAGAGAAAAGTTCGCTGCGTACTGAGAATACCTCGAAGTTCGTGCTATTGGTCTATGTGGCAAAGTTTGTCGATTCTGTTCGGATGGCCGAGATGCCCATCGGATGTAGGTAGACATGTATGATACACATCTTCCTGCCAAGAATGAAATGACGAAGCCCTCGTTTGTTGACGCCTGCACGTTCGTCTCAACAAGGAGTTTCGGGCAGCTATCGTAACTTGGCACAGAAATGTAAGAAGTAACATATTGCCATCATATACAACCTGCATGTGAGCACTCGATACTGTAGGGCTACCACGATGTGCCGGTGTGGTGCAATCCCATGAGCCTGGCAATGTGGGGCCTACCCTATGCCTCACTCTACAGCAATTAGCCTCCACACAGTTGAGTCTGATTAACTGCAAACGTATCAATGCCTACTCGAGCCGTTTCGATGAAGCTTTGGTCTTGTCGCAAAAGGTATCAGAGCATCCTTCGGTATTTGCGATCAGGATAACAACACATCACAAGCCAATACCTCGCAGAAACTGGAGTCTCGCATACTGTTCATGCCGCGTAGCAAAGGTGTTGCATATCGGACTCTTAGTTTGATGAGTGCGACTTGTGCAACAAACTTGTCATCCATATTGCACCTGAAGACGAAGACGACTTCGAGAAATCGCATCGGGATAATTAACGAGGGAGAAATCAGTGATATCTCCCACTAATGCGTAAAGTCTGTCTCTCCACGGAGTCAAGATAGCGCGTCCTGGCCTAGTGATATAATCAATGAACCGGTCGATAGGGGGAGGCTTACGAGAGAGATGCTCTCATTCTACTAAAGCAGGGAACACGCTTGTGAGGTGGTTGTTTACAAGTGTAAAGATTGGCTATTTCGCTGAAGGTTTACAGACCGTGCTGCATCGTCGCCGTGCAACAGACAGATTAGCCTCGTTAACGCCGAGGCATGAACAGGTACCCTTGTCAGGGTGTTAGGCTTGCGAGCGTGAGTCCTGCAGTTTGGCAGTTGGAGGGGATCGGGGAGCTTTGGATGGACTGGTATGTCATGTCCTTTTCTTGCCATGCTAGGCTTGACGTTAGCTCGGTGAAGCAAGAATGTCGTGAGAGATGCAGTTGCTAGAAATGCTTGCTTCCAAGATGCTAGGATTGCGGACGACCGTGCGCAGCTATGACGAAACGCGACAAGTCGGCTGCACGTGCGCCGTCATTGGCTGGGCATTGGTTGAGGAAGCTCTACCCAGTCGCGCATCCACAGCTTCGACAGCTTCTTGCGTCGTGGTGAAGACCTTTTCTTTCGCTGGACCTCCCTTGGAATACATCCGCTATTGCTACTGGCCTGCAATTGTTGGTGTTACTTCCTTCCCTTGCACCGCCAGCTATTACCACATCTAGCGCAGACACACGACGATGAAGTTCGGCACCACCCTGCGCAAGAGCGTGTATGCACCATGGAAGGACAAGTACGTCGACTATGACAAGCTCAAGAAGCTCCTCAAGGACAACGAAGACGATGAGACGTGGACCGACGACGACGAGGAGGCGTTTGTGAATGAGCTTGCCAACGTGCAGCTGGAGAAGGTACACACCTTCATCCAGGACATCTCGCAGAAGCTGCGCGACCGCACCTCGGCCTGCGAGAAGAAGCTGGAGCCGTTGGCCATAGGCATCCAGACGCAGGACAAGGAGGATGGCAAGGACAGCGACAACAAGAACGACGAGGGCGAGGGCTTGTTTGCACAAGCCGGCGACGCGAGCAAGAAGCAGGAGCTCAGCAAAGAGGACCGCGAGAAGCTCCTCAAGGACGTGTTGCGGGAGCTCGACAGCATCACCCAGGAGACCAAGGAGCTCGAGGGCTTTAGTAGGCTGAATTTCACCGCCGTCATCAAGGCGACCAAGAAGCACGACAAGCTTCGCGGCGTCTCGTACAAGCTGCGGCCCTTCATCGACGCGCGCATAACAAAGCGCCCGCTGCACACCGAGGATGCCTCGCCGCTGCTCTACCGCCTCTCTGCGTTGTATTCCTTCGTCCGCCAGAGCCTCGACGGCAAGGCCAAGGAGTCCTTGTCCTTCAGCGAGGAGACCGCCGGCGGCGAGGGTTTCCGCTCTCTCAAGTGTAAGTCGAAGCCATCTGCAGTCGCATACTCCAGCTAACCGCCGCAGTCTGGGTCCACATGGACAACCTCTTCGAAGTCAAGACGGTCATTCTCCGCCGCCTCCCCGTCCTCGTCTACAACCCGCAGTCGTCCAAGATCGCCGAGGGCAACCAACGCGACCCCACAATCACTTCCATCTACTTTGACAACCCCAACTTCTCCCTGTATACGGACAAGGTCAACAGCAAGCCAGACGCTGCTTCGCTGAGGCTAAGGTGGTTTGGCCAGCTGAGCGAGAAGCCAGAGATCATGTTCGAAAAGAAGATGATGAAGAAGGGCGACGACGCCGAAGAGGTCAGATTCCCCATCAAAGCAAAATACGTCCAGGCCTTCCTGCAGGACAAGTACCACATGGAGAAGAGCATCGAGAAGCTGGAGTACCGACCGAACAAGAACCAGAAGGATGTCGACCAGCTCAAGAAGGCAGTCACGGAGATTCAGAGCTTTGTCAAGGACCAGAAGCTCCAGCCTGTGCTGCGAGCCAACTACACTCGCACCGCGTTCCAGTTCCCGGGCGACGACCGCATCCGCATCTCCCTCGATACCAACCTCGCCTTGATTCGCGAAGATGCCTTGGATATGGACAGACCGTGCCGTGATCCCGACGACTGGCACAGACGTGACATCGATAACGGCAACATGGAGTTTCCCTTCAAGTCCATCAAGAAGGGCGAGATCCACAAGTTCCCATATGCTCTGCTCGAGATCAAGATCAAGGGCACCAAGAAGTACGAATGGATCGAGGACCTCACAGACTCACACTTGGTCAAGGAGTCGCCTCGCTTCTCAAAATTCGTCCAAGGTGTTGCGAAGCTCTTCGAGGACAACGTCAACACATTCCCCTTCTGGCTCAGCGAAGTCGACAACGACATCCGCAAAGAGCCGGAGACAGCCTTCGATGAGGAGCAGGAGCGAAAGCGCAAGGCTGCGGAAGACGACTTCGCAGTGGGCTCACTCTTCGGCGCCCGGGCGAGCCCAAGTTACCGTCCTTCAATCTCATCACCCGTAGGCACACCAGCTGGCGCACGCTCGGCACCCAAGAACGCAAGCTCAGCAGCACACTCGCAACCCGTCGTGAAGGCGCCAGTTGTGGGTTCACATCTTTCCCACGTCTCACAAGCACAGCACGAGAATGGTGACCGCACAGCAGAGGATGTCGATTCCGACGAGGATAATGGCCCCAGAATGGGCAAGGCTAGTGGTCTTGGCTCTCTCTTCCCCTCCTTCTCTACCTCCAAGTACGCACGCAAGCAACGCAACAAGATCCAATTACCTCCTGGCATTCGCGACCCCGGCATTTGGATCAAAGATCAAGGGCCTGTGCGTGTTGAGGCCAAAGTCTGGCTCGCGAACCAACGGACGTTCATAAAGTGGCAGCACGTTAGCGTTCTGCTAGCCTCGCTGTCCCTAGGCCTGTACAACGCCGCTGGTGAGGGAAACAACATTGCGCGCGCCCTGGCCGTTGTGTACACTTGCGTCGCAGCGTTCACACTTGCCTGGGGCTACGGCATGTACATGTACCGGATGAAGTTGATTACGGAGCGCAGTCCCAAGGACTTTGATGCCATTACGGGACCCCTGGTGGTATGTGTGGGACTGGCAGTTGCGTTGTGCTTGAACTTTGGATTTAAGGTATGTGATGACAGTGTGATGACATGTGTGATACTGTGCTGACAAATGTGGCAGTACAACGCGCTCGTCAATGAGAAGCAGCACCATGGTGGTGCCAATGCGACATTTGTTGATGAGAGGATGGAATTGAGGATATAATGCTCTCGCAAGAATGGGAGTTGGTGCCATGGTGAAAGAGGACCGTAAGATACAACGGTTGATTGAGTAGAAGTACAGGCTTCGATCTGTGCTCTGCGCATATCAAGGCGTACCGTGCGGTCTGTCTGGAACATCGTTAATAGTGTACATCTCTAGCACGTCTATAGGAGGTTGGCAAAAATCAGGGGCATATCGTACCCAAGGCGTAGATTCGTTTGTGTGTAGTATTACAGGGGCGTTTCCCCACAGCCACGGTTCGTATTGTTGTATAAATTGCATTCGAGCAACCTTAGCTTTTACCTCATATATATCGCGCCTTGTTAAATTTATCATCACTAGTGAACTGGGCAATTATTGGCTCTCATCGGTTACCTTGATCGTAGATTTCGCGGCTCCTTGCACATATGCGACGGTAGAGATCGAGATGCGTTGTGGCTGAAGCCGCAGATGAAGTGACAGATCGATCAGCAGCAAGGTCCTGACGTAACACGAGTAGATTTGTGACGAGCTTGGAGGAGCGAAATACTCGCCGTCTTTGCGCAATGCCAGGGCTTGCAATGCGATCTTGGCCGCAAACATTTCGGAAACTTATGCTTTAAAAGTTGCTAAATGTCTGGTATTTCAAACGTCCCACAATCATCGCCAAACTTTTCACTATCCAAGCACGAAAGGATGTCCAGGAAATTCTTGATGGTCGTTCAGGCGTGCAGTGTCGCGCCGAGCGCTGCAGCAAGGGGATTTTTCCACGGCGCTAACTTACAGTGACGACCTGCCGGGTTCGAACAACGTGACCAGGCGGTCATATCGTGTGAGGTTGCTAAGGGACGGTACCACGCCCAGCCCTTGGGTTTCACCGAAGCTTATAGCAAGCGCCAAACGGTTCTCGTGGTGCTTGTTGTTGGGTGGCTGGATCTCGTTGTCAAAAGCAAGGAGAGTTCCTGGTGCGTGGCTGCCACGCCATTCTGCCTCATGGCTCGCCTAACAACACGGTGACACCCCGAGTCTGTCGGACGAATGTACGCATAGCCGTGGCAAGCAGGGGACGGCGATCTGCTCAGGGCAGGGGCCTATCGCAATCAAATGGGCATCTCGCATAACTGGTTCCCAGATTGCTGTAGTCCGCCTAATTGTCCCATGGTAATGGTGGCAAGAACGCTTGCCTCCTCAATTATCCGTCCCGCGCATTTGGACATGGCAAAGGCTGTGACTGTGCCGGAAGAGTAACTATTGGCAGCTCAGCGTGAGTGTGGCACAGCAGGCATGTTGGTGGGTGTGATGCATGCGATCTTCGCAAAAAGATGGAAGTCAATGGTTGAGCCGGCACCGGGATAAACTGCGGGTACCTGCCGGTGAAAGCTTGGCGGGCCCACGGTGGACCCGCGTCGACGACTCCACTCATGAGGATCCGAAGGTACTTTGTGGTGACCAACGCGAGCCGTTACAAGCCGTCATGTGCTTCACCACTACAGAAGTCTTGTCGAGGACGCGCTATGCGACATGGGAGGTTCGCCTTATTGCACAAGGCCTTCATCAAGACAGCCTTGGAAGGCCATATCCGACCTCCCAACTACGCACACTTGACCGGAGGCTATGTCGTTTGCGGCTCGCCTGGTATCTGTACCCTTGCTCTGCCAGGTTCCTATATAGGCAGTTGATGTGCTACCCACGCAAACATGATTGGCGTGACACTCTCAAAGCACGTTTGTACACGGCTTGAGCATCCTAGTGCACGCGCTGTTACTCAAACGACATGCGGTTAGTTCGTCAGGTGCCACAGATGGAGCTCTTTGTCACTAGTATTTGTACCTGTTCAGGCCCATTAGGCATGCGTCACTGCTAGCCGTCAGGCCCTTACACCTGGGCACTACCTTCCTCCTAGTGTCTTTTGTTTAATTGAAAGAGAAGGGAGCCTGTCACAAGTGGGAATCTCCGCCTTATTGGAAACCAGATATCGCTCACCTATTTCACGGTCGCACTGCGAGTGAAGGTGCTGTGATTGCACGTAGTAGCCGTTTGTTGATACCGGAGCACTACACGTGACCCTCTATCGCTCTTTCCTTCGACCTCAAAAGGCAACTGCCTCTGAGCAGATTGCTCCAACCCAACAATCTCTCCCGCCCCTCAACCGTCATCCGACATCTTACATTCGTTTCTGCCTCGTCCTCGACCTGACCTTCTCACGATCGTTACGGCTCACCACCTCATTCTTTGAGCTGCCCACTCGCTTTACACGGCTCAATCGCGCTTGCTGGTCTTACGTCATGAAGGCGTTCAAGTTTGTTGCCCTCGCGGGACTCACCTCACTCGTTGGTGCCTCTCCGGTCGAGCCGTCCCGCACACTGCCCATCAAGGCCCGACAAGACAATGGCACGTCTTCAGCACCATGCGCTCAGGTCTCGCAGTACATGTACGGCGACGGCACCACAGTAGTAAATACTCAGGTCCCCGCAGGACTTAGTTTTGCTTGCCTTGACAGTGTCCCTTTCAACGCCACTTCTGGCAAGAAGCTCATCGCTAGCATCCGCCCCTACATCAACTGGCAGAGCACCCTCGTTCAGCTCAAGAACCCGCCTGCGGAGTATGTTCAGAAGGTGCAGCCTCCTGTCGACGTTATTGCTGGCTTAGATCGGATCGATAGCGACATCGACGCCGGCAATTTCAAGACCGAATACGACTTTGGCTGGGCGCTGTACATCCTGATCCAATCAGCTCACGATGGCCACTTCACCTACATCCCGGATATTGTAGCCCAAATCTTTACTTGGGGACGTCCAGTTCCCCTTGTTTCTGTCTCCGAGGATGGTCAGCAGCTGCCTGCCGTATTCGCTTACGTGGACGTCATTGGCACTCAGTACAAGAACATCTCCTACACACCGTCCCCTGTCGTAGAAATCGATGGCCAGGATGCCATCTCCTGGCTGGAGAACTGGAGCCAGCTTGGATCATTACAGGACCGCGATGCATTGTACAACAATGTCTTCTACGAGCTTGCGCAAGTCAGCCTCTACACGAGTGGTAGCGGCACCGGCACGTTTACTGGAGGAGGTCGTGGTCGCTACGTCTACCCAGGTGACACAACGACACTTAAGTTTGCCAATGGTTCCGAATACACCATGCAAAACTATGCCCGGACCCTCATCAACTTGCGCAACGTGACGACTGGCGAGGACCTTGCCAGGAAGTGGCTCAGCTACGGTGCGGAGAGCGGCACTGCCAAAGTCCAGTCTGTGAACACAAACCCAAATCAGCAAATCTCGACCAGCAGCCTCAGTACTGTTGGGGCTGGCGGAGCATCACCTGGTTACCCTCCAGCTCTCGTCTCTGGTCCTAGCGGTAACATCAATGGCTACTTCATCGATGCCCCTGATTACGAGGACGTGGCCGTACTTCAACTTGCCACCTTTGTAGCTTCTACGGGGTCCGGGGCTGACTTCCAGAGAACCACACGAGACTTTCTCACGAAAGCTCTAGCGGCAGGCAAGACAAAATTGATCGTCGACGTGCAGGCCAATGGAGGAGGTACCATTTTGCAAGGCTATGACTTGTTTAAGCAGCTGTTCCCCGATGAGGACCCTTACGGCGCAAACCGTTTCCGCGCCATAGAAGCGATTGATTTGATTGGAAAGTCCTTCAGTGCCATGGCTTCCCGCGCTCCTCGCGGGTCTGATCTGAACTACACCATCAAGGGTGCGCAGCAGTCCTGGTTTGACTACCATACCGACATGACCGTAGATGGCAAGCCTTTCGCCTCATGGTCAGACAAGTTCGGGCCTCAAGATATCAATGGCGACAAGTATACCACGCCTGCTCGTTGGAACTTGTCCGACGTATACATTCCGTACTTCTCGGGCGGTATCAATGTTACTGGGTATGGGGCATGGGCCAACGTCACTGGGCCACCCAAGTTCAAAGCAGAAAACATCGTGATCCTCACCGATGGTTACTGCGCTTCGACTTGCACGATCTTCGCCGAGTTCATGACTCAACAGGCGGGAGTAAAGACAATCGCCATGGGAGGCCGCAGCAACAAGAATGCAATTCAAGCTATCGGCGGTGTGAAGGGAGTCAACAACTACGCATACAGCTACATTCAAAATGTTGCGCAGACGGCTGTCAAGTATGACCGTTCGCTCAACAACTCGCTCCTGAGACAGGACTACTACAATGACCTTGTCTTCACGCGCGCGTCAAGCTACGGTGTGAACAACCGCGATGGCCTTCGTCGAAACGACACGTCTGGCATCGCACTACAATTCATCTATGAAGAGGCAGATTGTCGTCTATACTACACTCCGGAGATGACCGTTGATATTACTGCGCAGTGGAAAGCCGCTGCAGATGCGCAGTGGCGCAACAGCGGTAAATGCATCTCTGGTGGGACGTATGGTCAAAGGCGTAACGCAAAGGAGGTCACGACCACGCTTGGTCGCAGACGTGTCCACGTCACCCAAGCTGCAGCATTCAAGAAAGCTCAAGCTCTGGAGGACAGCTTTGCGCTCGAGACCGAGTGTCAGTTGAAGGGCGACGGTTTCATGGAGCCATAAGGGTAGCTTCCTTAGCGTTCGCCGCCGAGTCGTTTATTTTCAACAGTCATTTGCATGCGCACTCGGGCTCTCTCGCGTCGGATAGTGTGCAATAATTGTCAGGCATCACGATTGCCAGAATCATAGGTATTCAGTCGACAGGTCAAGGGACGGCTTGTCCGGTGCACAGTTATAGTTGACGATAATAATTAATGGACCCACGATATTTCACAATTTGCTGAATTGGTGCATGTGCGAACTTCGATCATGCTATGGCTGTATTGGCTCGTGATGAGCACGAAGGTCGGAAGTGATGTAGATGGACTTAGGCTGGTCAACGTGTCCGTTTTACATGTCACAATTTGACAAGCTAAATAGTTTTCGGGTGGGAATCTCGAGGATCTACCCTCCTCCTGTCATTGCCATACTTTCTAAATATAGCCGCCTGACTCGCTCGACGTCGTTTAGCGAAAAGAGCGGCAGGGTCAAACCCACGCTAGAAGATGCTTACTGAACGTTGATAGGCTTCTTGTTTCGACCTTTGAAAAGCTCACGGAGGGCATGAAGCTACGGTTATTTGCTGCGGAGGCGACACCCGCTAGTTGCTGACACCTCAACACCTCGGTCAATGAAGCGCCGTCGCCAAGGACGAAGAACGTCACCTCCGCACACAACGCCATCGCGCGAACCCACAAGCCTCTTGTGTTGTCACAATGTAACGCTGCCGTGTGTCTTGAGCGCGCCGAGTCGCACGGAGACCTCGTATCGTTCTTGCAATGATTCAATCAGCCCGTATTAGGATATAAATGCGGAAACATATGTGGGACGATCTACACAGGGGTAGGGTACCGCCGAATATTGAGATTCCGATGCATGAACGAAGCAGCTGCTAAGAATTGGGGGTAAGCTTAAGTAAAGCGATGGCTCCGGTGCTTAATGAAAATTCATCTACCACTTCAGACGTTCTTTCCTCGTCTTGTCATTCGCTTTTTGTCGCCCAGGTCGACCGACACGTTAATTCGTTCACGGTCACCATCACGGTTCCGGCTCTCTCCTTCCTTGGGCTTTGTCAACGCAACAACCTGACACGCTGCGACCCATAAGCCTTCAAACATCAGCTCTACTATGAAGTACCTCACGCTCGCAGCTGGGCTTCTTTCCCTTGGTCTTGCCCAGGCCCAAAAAGTGTCAACAGATGGTTCATGCGGCGGATCAAGCAGCGTAACGTGCAAGGGCAGCGGTTTTGGTGACTGCTGTAGTCAGTATGGCTGGGTAAGTTAAACTACTTCAGAATGCTAGTGACTTGCTGACTGTGATTTCAAGTGTGGTTCATCGATTGACCACTGTGGTTCATCATGCCAGTCTCAATTCGGGACATGTAGCGGTAGTGATTCCAGTCCTACGACGAAGCGTACCAGCTCTACTCTAACCGTCCGTACCTCGACTCTACAATCGGCTGCTGCAGCTTCGACGCCGACAACCAAAGTCTCTACAGACGCTACGTGTGGTAGCTCGAACGGCGGAGCAACTTGTCTGGGGTCCGAATTTGGCGATTGCTGCTCGAAGAGTGGCTGGTGTGGTAGCACCTCAGCATACTGCGGGGCCTCGTCGTGTCAAGCAGGATTCGGCCGTTGTGAAGGAACAGCCGCCCCAAGCTCGACACGTCCAGCTACGCCGCCTTCTGCTTCTGGCGCTTCGTTGGCGTTGCAATGTCTGAATGACAAAAATGTACCCTACAAGATGACGTCAGATGCTGAGTACGCCGATCTGATTGAGCCTTACAACACGCGCCTTCCGTTCTTCCCAGCGGTGGTTGTACTCCCAACGACCAACCAACACGTCCAAGATGCCGTGGTATGTGCAGGGAAATCCGGCCTCAAAGTCCAGGCAAAGTCTGGCGGACATTCATATTCGAGCACCGGGTTGGGTGGCAAGGACGGATCCATGAGCATTAACCTTCAGTCACTACAGACAGTTCAGCTTGACACGTCTTCCGGGATTGCCACAGTCGGCGGAGGTGTTCGTCTTGGCAACCTCGCAGATGCCCTCTGGAACCAAGGCAAGGCATCTATTTCTCATGGTACCTGCCCTGGTGTTGGCATTGGAGGCCATTACACACACGGTGGCTACGGTCCCACTTCACGCAACTACGGTCTTGCCATGGACCAGATTGTCGCAGCCGATGTTGTCCTTGCGAATGGCACACTCATCAAAGCCACTTCAACAGCCTATCCCGATATTTACTGGGCTGTGCGTGGTGCTGCAGATTCTTTTGGTATCGTTACCACGTTCTATTTGCAAACTCGCCCAGCGCCAGCAAGCATTACCTACTTCGCATTTCCCTTCGCTGGCGTGTTCGATTCGAAGACCAAGTTCACCAACACCTTCCTCCACCTTCAGGACGTTGCCAAAAACGCTTCAGTTGTCGACGACAAAATTTCCTTTGGTATCTACCTTGATGGGTACGGCACATTCAGTCTCAGCGGCGCCTACTTTGGCAGCGTTGCAGATTTCAACTCGAAGGTCAAGACCGAGCTTCTGCGCGGCCTTCCCTCCTCAACCGCAACCGTCGAGTCGATGAACTGGTACGACTACCTTGTCAAGCTATCAGGCGAAAGTACTCTCAAGACTTCCGTCACCGGTTATGATGTGCACGACGACTTTTTCGCAAAGTCCGTGACAGTGCCCGAATCCGACGGCCTCGCCTCCAACACGATGGATGCCCTGTACGACTATCTAAAGACTGCAGATGGCACGGATTACTACATGATCATCAATCTTTACGGCGGTCCAGGCAGCGCCATCAACTCAAAGGATACCAACTTCGCAGCTTACAACGACCGCGATAGCCTCTGGGTGCTGCAAAACTGGGGCTATGGCGGCAACTCTGTCGACTTCATCAATGGCATCAACAGTGCCATCATCAACGCGCAGCCGCAGACCAAATTTGGTGCGTATCTAAACTACGTGGATCCGAGTTATGATGCTGCGACGGCGCACAAACTGTACTATGGAGACGCGGTATACTCGCGGTTAGCAGCATTAAAGAAGCAGGTTGATCCACAAAGCGTTTTCTGGCATCCTCAGGCTATTGGGGCTTAGAGAATTTGATGCAGTTTTTTTTGTAAATTAGACATATTAGTAATGAAAAGTTATCAATAATTAAACTGTGTCTGGAATTTGTTCTGTGTGCGAGAGGCAGATCAGTGCCGGATTCGTGGCGAAGGCTTCGACGTGGCTTGGTTACAAAATGGTCCTGAATACTGGCCAGCATTCAGGCTACGATTAACAGGATTTATGCCGCACACCAGTACCACAGCCTCGTTTTTTACAAAAGAAGGTTAGGCTCGAAGCCCTTGGTTAACAGAACAGCTGTAGTAAGTCTGCCTTGCATCCTGCTGCATGCGCTGAAACCATTGGATTGGTGTAATTTCTGCACGTTTTGAGGCTCCTCAAACGCCTATTTGGGAGGCCTAATTGCCAAGTCGGATAATGAGATTTGAGGCTTGGTGGGCCTAAGACATACAAGGGTCCTTGAAGGACTAAAATGTCGTGATAAAACTAATGGCGCCTCGTGTGTCGTACACTTATCCAGTGATTTGAGATCGAGGAGTTGTGATCTTTTCACCTGGGCCAAACGCTGGAATGGTGGAACACAACCGATGGATGACCGGTAGTAACAGGGCTGATGCGTTCCTCGACAATCTCGAAACTCGAAACTCACAACCATTGAAGCGTCGCTCGCGGACTTTCTGGGCTACTTATCGTCTATATTCCGCTTATTACTCTACCGTGGATTTTGACCTGCATCCTTGCGCAAAGGCCGGTCAACGCATCGTCGTACATCTACCAAAAGGGCTTTTCTGACAGCGAGTTGCGCAGCCTACGCCGTTGGAAGAATGCTGTCGATATCCTCAACTCCATAGCTGGGTTGATTACCATTCCAGTCCTTTCCACACTGCTCACTCAAGCAGCAGTGGTGTTTTGCCAACGGACTGGCTCCGGACAATTTCTCAGTGTGCAGGATTTGTTTGCGCTCGCTGATCGAGGTTGGACCAATGCTGCTACCATATATCGGTCGATGCGTTCAAAGCCAGATCAATCCACCCCAGGCGCGAAATGGGGAGGATCATTTCTTCTCCCTGCGGTCTGTTTGATCCTGCTTGGCGCACTCCAGCAACCACTTTACCAAATTCTGGTCCACATGGAAGGAACTTCCGTCACGACATGTAGTGATGTTGGATATCAGTATATGTCCCCCAATGCAACACATTGCGAAGGCAATTATCCACCTGCCCATCAACCAATTGGCGTCGATATCGAGCCCGCACGAATGGCGCTCATATACCACACGCCGTTCTTGCAGCGTTTGGGATCCGATCTTGCATCTGTCACTCTTGATGCAGAGCAGCCGAACTTGTGGAACGACAAAATGCCAGCAGATGCATGGAGGGTGTCTAAGGCTAACGGACAAACATACTACAAATCGCTAAAGCCCTGGCTTTCAGGTTTTACCAACCCATACAATGACTATGAAATGCCGGAATTCTTTGTCGCGGCGATTCCCACTAATTCGACTACCGGGGTTTTGCGTCAGCACGCAATGAGATTCAATTCCTCCGTGCAGTGCAAATCAATCGAACGCACATCTTTCCCGTCCAATTGTCCGGGGAAAATGCCCTTCTTTACCGACATACGAAAGTCGAACGAAACTAGCATCCGAGTCTGCGTACCTGGTGAAGTTGGCGCCTTTCCATGGACCAAGTCGCGGAACCGACAAGACATTATCGAGGAACTCTATCTGGATCTATGGGACGGTGATGTGAGCATCGCGAATCCTAACGAAGGGCAAATACCCGTCAATGCGACAATCCGATGCGAAGCAAGAACGACGCGAGCCTATTTTGGACTGGGGAACTCACACAACAATAACACTTACAGCCCGTTGCTGACGCAGTGGCCGAGTCGCGACCAAATGGAAGAAAATTCCAACGACTGGGTCGAGACAGATTACTACAACGGATTCATACCATCTGAAATGTACGCAAGCCGAAGCTGTTCCTCATCCTCGCTAATTAGTTTAGGGATGACTATGAAGGAGAAGACCGTCCTCAACCATTCTTTCGCGGAGCTAGCCTGTCCGGTGAATGGCGAGTATCAGGACCACTGACTACCTCTGCAATCGCGCTGTTTGGAAACACCTCATGGATCCACAACGCAGTGGCATATACTGCAAACATGACCTGGAAATCTGCAAAAGACCGAACTACGGTATCATGGCATCAGCCGTGTGCAGGAATGCCTTTCGGACTCGTCCGTTCAAGTTACTCTGACTACCGCACATCCGATTTCTGCAGATTGAACTATCAAAATATTCTTCGCGGGCTTGAAACACAGCAATCCGACTGGCTAGGAGTCATACACGCATGGGTCAGGAAATTTGCACCGATTCAGCGCGATGTGGACAGGAACGTCATGGCGACGGTCGAATCTCTATTGCAAGTCAGCCTGTTCGCTGCCAATCGAGCACTCTTGACCTTCTACTCGCCGGACGTGGCTGCAAGAGATGAAACCGACCAAGGATATGAGGGTCGTATAATTCGTTCCTCACCAGGTATGAAGGTGCAGAAGCCTGTGCTAGGCAAGGCTGCAGTCATAACGTTGTCTCTTGTAATAGCACTGCAGCTCCTTGGCCTTGCTTATCTTGCTTACTACATCTATCACGTCCCTACGTGGTCCGGAGCCCTGGACGCAATGGCAATAGCTCGAATTGGAGCAAATCTTGGTAACGAAGGACTATTGCCTCCGATAGGTCCAGTAACTGCGAAGGATTACGATGCATTGCGGCACGTTGATGGTCTAATTGGACTTGGAGGGATTCAAGATGGTATGGATCAAACACAAAGGCTGTCGCCGAGTCCCACCAGTGATGACGGGAGCTCTGATGTCGAGCTTCAACTTGTTGAAACCAAGGGAGTGTATGTCAATGTGGAAGCCCAGAGTCCGTCACTGCAACTTGAGTTGGGCGCCTCCGGAATGATTGCTGCGCGTAGTGGAGATAGCGGTCTCGCAAGACGACGGAAGGATGAGGATGATAGCACGTCGCAGCCGATACTGAAGTGAGGTTTCTCACAGCAATGAATGAAAATCATTTACCTACAAATCGGACCATGATTTAGTGTACTACAGGTTCTCCAACCATGACTAGGATCGAAATATAAGCAGCACATCTGATGGTCTGAATCTGTACACACAGCCTTGGTAACAGTTCATGTAGCTTCCGGCTATGAGGTGCCACTGTCAGTGTTCCTTCATATCTAATAACCTGCAGTTGTGCAGGCAGGATGTTGAGATAGTGAAAAGCTAATAGCTAGAGACACAAAACCAGGTTTCGTTGATTATCAGATGCGTGCTTGAAGTCACATTTGGGAAAGACCGCGCGCATTCGGCCTTCATCGCACCGTAATTTCAATGAGCGATGGCGTGAGTCGTCGGCGCCAATGAGACCCACCTCGGCTATAAACGGTCGTAGAAGAAGCATTCATGGTATGCAGGATCAAATTCCTCTGCCGTCACCACCTCATTCGTAGTTATTCCATCCTCACTCCTCAAAGTTAAAATGTACAACAAAATTGAACAGGTGAAGTGATGTTGGCCGACGAACACAAGTTCAATCAGTCATAGTGGGGTACAGATGCGTGCTGATAAAGCCGTCTTTGCGCTAGTGCGATGTAGGGCGTGGTAGACAAGGGCGCCGCTTGCCCACCTATGGCAAGGATGGGCAATGAGTCGAAAAAAAGTTCCGACTATACATACTTACCTCTGGTACTCCGCCCTCATTTTACCACCATCCACATTTAACCAAGATTTCTTTACTATGTCAATTCCCGACGAGGAACAGCCTTTGCTGAGGCAAATCACCGAAGACGATACCAAGCATGATGAAGTCATTCTGGACTTTGAGCCTATGGACCCAGAGGACCCGAGGAACTGGAGTCCCGCATTCAAATGGTGCATCGTGCTGTTGCTTGCTAGCATGGCATTTACAGTGTATGTACCGGTTGTGTTTCTCGATTGCATGACCCTCGTCGCCACTCCATCTTCAACTTCCTCAATTATCGGTGTACCTCTTTACTTTTCCTTTCCTTCGTGTGGCGTGCACCGATCGTGTGGCATCGCGTCCCAGAAGTTCACATTCGTCTACACTTTTTTTCGGTCTTTTTTTGAAGACAATACAGTCGTCTTGAAGCACCAAAGCTAACGCATAGCAGAACTTTCACATGCATCGGCGTCGTACCAATTGCGAACCGAATCGTCGAGGATCTTGACGGCCATTCTTCTTCCTCGTCGACATCAGCACTACTGGTGACGATCTGGGAGTTGGGCGAAGCCGCTGGACCTCTTCTGAACGCCCCATTGTCTGAAGTCGTCGGTCGTGCTCCCGTCATGCATGGATGCAACGTTTTTTTCATTCTATTTACTCTCATCGCTGCCACTTCGCAGTCTTCCAAAATCTTCATTGCAGCACGTATGCTGACGGGTATTGCTGTTGCCGCCAACGTACTCAATCCGGCGATCATCGGCGACATGTTCGAGAGCGAGAAGAGAGGGAGCGCGATGAGTCTAATCATGCTTGCACCACTCATTGGAGGCGCTATTGCCCCGGCAATCAGTGGTGCAATTGCGCAGACTCTCGGGTGGAGACAGGTGATGTACATGGCGGCCGGCTTGGCTATTCTGTGCGAGGTCTTGTTCCTCACTTGCTTTCAAGAGACGTACAAGATGGCCATTCTGCGACGTAGGGTCAGGAAGATACAGCAAGAAAGTGGCGAATTTGATGTTGTCAAGGTCACGAGCAAGCGGGAAAGTGCGTTGAAGATCTGGCACTCCGCCACCCGCCCGTTCTCAGTGCTCTTCGGATCAAGCGTCTTGATGCTGTTGTCGCTCTTTGCATCTATCGCATTCAGCTACTTTTATGTCATGTGTATCTCTTTACCCCAAGTCCTGGAGGAGGAGTATAATTTTACACCCGCACAGGTTGGATCTGCCTTCCTGTCGATGAGTAAGTTTGAAAATAAGCTTGTTGTCGCCAATTACTCACCATTTCCCCAGGTTTCGGCTCTTTTCTGGCTGTCATCTGCTGCAACTTCGGCCTCGACAGGATCTACGTTAAGCTTCGTGGGTCTGACGATGCGAAGGGTAAGCCTGAGTATCGACTTCCTCTGGCTATACTCGGTGGCTTCGCGCTTCCCCTGACTATCACTGCGTATGGATGGATAGCTCAACTCCGACTCCCAGTACCGCTGCTACTTGTTGCGGCGGGTCTATTGGACCTCTCAATCCTTCTTACGATTGTTCCGCTTCAGGCATACATCGTGGACGCATGTGGTCTTTTCTCGGCGTCTGCGATGACAGGCGTTATTGTCACGAGATGTCTAGCGGGTACTTTCCTACCACTCACGACGGCCCCATTGGCCGAGCTTCTTGGATACGGGTGGGGTTTTACTTGCCTCGGTGCACTGAGCTTGGTTCTTGCGATCATCCCTGTACTGATTCTACGTTACGGCGAGAAATGGCGACAGCAATCCGCGTTCACGAAGGACGAATGAACTGTTCTCAGATGAGCAGAGCATGAGTATGATCAGAGCTTAATATAACATAGACTCCACATGTGACCGGAACACGACTTATCATTTATTAGTCTCCGGTCCATGGGTTCCACGACATTTTTGTATTTATCCAAGCCCCTCTTTGCAATGCTACCGATAGTCACATACAATGTGTATTACGCTTAGGCAAACATCATGGAATACCGCTTTTCCTTTCGGGGCGTTTGACCAGAATACGACTCTGGTCTAGTTGTCAATTTACTGGGAGGACTGACTGGTGTAGGTATCCCGTCCATGGGCGCCGTCATCGGACCGCTCCGCCAATCAGTGTCCCGCTTCTGGAGCATCACCTCTGGAATCGTCTTGGAGAACGTCTCCCATGATGTGTTCGCATCGTCTTCTGCTGCTTTATTGCTCCTACCAGCGACGTCGAGACTTCTGTTATCCGCCAATTTGGGAGACAGCATCGTACCTCTGTTGCTCGACACCTCGTGCGACCGTGACCTTCTATGGTCATGCATATCGTGTCTTTTCGAAGAATAGGACGCGGAAGCTCCTTCCACAGTATGCAACGTAATGCGCGGACTCAACAGTGCATCTATCCCGAGTGTGTGGTCAACATCTTCAGGTTTTAGTAAACCTCTATGCGGATCGTCCTGCCGGATAAACGATATGGATTCATCCGAGCTCGTGGCATTTTCGTTAATGTTGCGTGCGTCACCAATGGTTTTGTAACGTGCCATTGATATCGCCTGCATTTCAAGTTGGAATCGAAGAGCATCTTCAGAGAGGTTGCCTGCAACGGCTTGAGCTACACTTTTTAGCTCATATCTCGTGATACATACAGGGTACAGTATAGTTATGGGCAAGAAGAACAACTTACCATACGTGCCTGTCATATCATCGGCAGGATAACACTTCAAATAGGACTTGAGTCGTGCGGTACCGATTGTATCGAATTGTCGCTGATCTGGTGACGTGTCGCGAGGGAGCGAGCGGCGCATGTCAAAGAAAGAATTTGCCGAAGGAAAGACGACAGGATTTCTCGATAGCTCTAAGATTTGTAGCGTTTTCATTCCACCAATAGCCAGTGGCAAACCCTGGATCCTGTTGTCGGAAAGAAGCAAAGATTGGAGTGCGGTCAAACGTGATATCGCGCTTGGTATGGCACGTAGCATGTTTCCCCTCAAGTCCAGCGCTACAAGAGAATTCAGTAGCAGAAGTGGCTGTGGGATAGTCTCGAGATGATTGTATCCGAGGTCTAGACGGCGGAGGTTTGTGCATAGGCCCATGCTCTGTGGCACAGTCCGGATGAAATTCCAGCTCAGATCTAGTTTCTGTGTGCGCTTCCATACCCAGGTCTGCACAGTTTCGGAAGGAATATCGACAATGTGTGCTTTTGTCAGAGTTATAGCGTCGAAATCCAGTTTACTTTCTGCGACATCATCTTGTTGATCATCTACTCTAGCCACATGTTCGACTTTGCCTTCTTCTGAGATAGCGTTAAATTTCATCCCAGGGGGGCTTCCTGTCTCCAACTCCGGCGGGGTGGCATCATCAAAGCCGTTTGGCGTGCCTCCAGATTGCGCCAAAACAGCGTCGAGAGCACTGGCTTGGTCTTTCCAAAGCCGATCTGAGAAAACCTCCGACCTGAGAGCTTCTAGGATCTGATCTTGTAAACTCCAAGGTTGCCATAGAAGCCATTTTCTAAATTGTATGTAGGTGGCTTCTTGTCCAGGCATGGTAAACGTAACATGGGCTCCTGGTAGCACCGGCTCGTCGCTGGTTTCAACTACCTGACCAAGGAAGCCTTCTCCATGCAGCGATGTGTCAGAATTATCATGGTTCGAAAGCAACAAGGCTGACCAGCGCTGTGACAGCCTCCGATGGTCTTCTTCCATTAGTTTCGAAAGCCTTTGGCTGTGGCGGACAACTTGATCCTGTAGACTGTCCTCTCCCCACGAACTTCGCGTGAGGCTGTCTCTTATGGAGTTCACTTCCATCCGTGCAATCTGCAGTATTGTTGCATGTTGCGATGCGTCACCCGAGATTGAATCATCCCTGACAACGACGTTGGTGTCAATGATCGTATCAAGCCAAGCATACTCTGCAGGGGATTCGGCATCTTCTGCTGAATGCTGTAGAGTGAGCTTCTCATACTGGCGTTCAGCTTGCTCCAGGCTGATTAGGGAAGCGCGATGGTCTAGCTCAAGGCTTTGTAGAGTGGTCCGCTCTTGATCGTCCTCGGCGACGTTACTGAAGTGTTGTGGAATGGATCTACTTGTGTGAGCACATTTCAAAGAATTGAAGCAGTTGTACGAACGTTCTTCTTGCTACCTTCTCGACGGTGTTGATCGTACCGAGCATCAAGGCGATGTTTGACTTGTATGCTTCAATCGCAGCCCTCAACACAACTATCTTTGGCTTTTGGAAGACTACCCAATTGACTCTGCTGACGAACTTGAACTTCCCATCTCTCCCATCTTTTCCATTAGTCATGCTTCGTAGACTCTCTGCCGCATTCAGGACTTCGGTAAACATTTCCACGCTCGCAGTCGTCATATCTCGAACCATGTCAGAACAGTGAGCATAGTAGCTCGAATCGCTAATCTTTCCCATGGTATCCTTTAGAGTGTTCAGTATTGTGCAAAATGTGCGTATCTCACTACTGATCATCCGGGCTTCTTGGCCGGCTGAACCGATATCAGAAGCGAGCTGGGACAGCACCAGGGCGACCTTTGTGCCGGCTGATACGATGCCGACGATACTTCCTGCGAGTTCTGCCATGCCGACGCTGATGTTCTGATGATGCAAACGACAATGATAGCATTTGGCTCATATATGCAAGAAGTTGGCATACCGGTCAGGCTGAAGGACTCTGACAGGGGCCTAACCGCCGTGGCTGTGTGGCTGTGCTTCGATACGTGGCTATACATGCAAGAGCAACCTGCATCTCGCAATTTGAAACAAGGCATCTGTCGAGGCTGTTTCCAGAATACACAGGTAAGTCTTTACAGCAAATTCCAAAGTCTGTACGGACGTAACGCTCACACAAGAGCACCCTGGTGATGTACACCATCGAGTAAGTGTCCTATCTTCTTCTAGTCACTACTTGGATGGGCACTTGAATCATAACCCTCAATTCGACGATCATCCCCGGCGGATATTGTCATGATGTTCCGTTGGGCATGTGAGATGAACTACCTTGGAAGAGAGTCTCGTGGCCTGCCCCTAGATGGTCTTCTCTAGTGATCCCGACTTCGTATCGCAAATTGATGCAAATGAGCATATGTCTATCGAGACAATTATAAGTGAAAGGCTAGAAGTCAACGACAGAATCAGCACGGATGGGTTGCAGTGTTAAGCCGAACATCTCGGTATTACGTTTCTCCGAATGACGAAGCGGGTCGTGAACCGTCGCAACCATAGCGCAACCCTCCAGCATCAACTTTCCCAGACAATTGCCAACAATCCCACGATGCAACTTTCAATAGCAACTCTCGCCTCCCTGGCATCCAGCGCATCCGCCGCCCGCTTCCTCCTCCAAATCCCCACCACCGGGCTCCTAAACCCCTCAACCCTCCCGTCCACAACGCACGCAACCCTTCAATCCAGCGGCGAACCTCTCGACGCCTACCTCACGCGCTCCAACACGTTCAATTTCGCCAATGTCAGCGAGGGCTCGTATCTCGCGACCGTGCATTGCCGCGACTACATCTTCGAGCCGCTGCGCATCGATGTCAGCCTCGAGGAGGCCGTTGAGGGAAGCGGCGAGAAGAAAGAGGTCGTGAAGGCGTGGCAGACGTTTTTGGGGAATGAGTGGGATAACAAGGGTGAGAGCAGGGGTGAAGGCGGGAACGGGCTGGTGATTGAGGCCAGGGTGGTTGGGACCAAGTTCTACTACCAAGAGCGCGGTGGATGTGAGTCTTGATGGGAGCACACGTTACTGGGACGATGCTAACGAGTACAGTCTCGCCATTGTCTTTCTTGAAGAACCCCATGATCCTCATGGCAGTCGTGTCTATGGGTCTGATGTTCGGAATGCCCAAGCTCATGGAGAACAGTAAGTTTCACGACACACGCGAGTTACACTCAGGACTGACACTCATACAGTGGACCCGGAAATGAAGCAGGAATTCGAGGAGATGCAGAAGAATGGCGTCCTCGGATCAGGTACCACAAACACTGCCCAGCAGCTCCAGAACTTCGATCTCGCGTCTTGGATGGCTGGCAAGACCGACTCTGGCAGTGCGAGCACTGCTCGTGCGCCGAAGCAGGAGGGTCAGGCTAAGCTGCGGTAGAAGGGTTGCGGTTGCATATACGAGAGGTGTCTAGATAGAAAGCTGAATGAAGCATCATGAACTACTTTTAGATTCATTTCCAAGACTATATCGCACCAGCTGCAGCATCAGCACCACAACCATAAAACCCCACGTGTTTGCCCTGGACACCAAAGTGCGCAAAGGTCCGACATCAGGTTGTCATCTCGATGACCCGAAGATATTTACAACGCTACTCGTTTCCAAATCCTACTCTTGCTAGGTGCCAATCAACCTCAACAAGTTGCAGTCAATACACTGTTAGTCCTTACCTGCAACAGGCGGCTGCTGATGCGCGAAGCGAATTGTCCTCTGTATCTCCTGAGAACCACGCGACTCGTCATTCACCACCTTACGTCTTGTAGGTTCTTCCTCATCTCGAGCCTGTGTTGCGACCGCCGATAGAGGAGCTGGTGTAGGTGCTTGAGAAGTTACCCTGGAAGTACTCCCCGAGCCGTGGCCAGAGGGGATGATTGACCGCCCGATGCGCACCACGCGCTGAGGTAGCGTATCTCCGCTACGTAGTCCTCCTGTGCGTCTGCGGAGTCTAGCTTCTGCATCCGAGTCTTCGTTTCGTCCTGAGATGTGGAAGGGGACGGGCTCGTCTTCTTCACTGCGTGCGATGGATAGGGCATTGGATAGTGTCCTTGGGATGATGAAGCCGAGTTTAGCCATTGGGATGCTGAGACCGTGGACGACCTGCGTACAGTGTTAGTGTTAGACTTGATCAAGATGCGGCCTTTGTTGACTTACGATAGAGCAAATGCAGAGAAACCAAATGACCACATTCATCACCTCGATCAGGTATTGTGCATCCTCCCTTATCTCTCCGTCTACCTTGATCTTCCTCAGGAACTCTAGGCTGACGTAGAGGTAGAAGATTGCGCTGACCCCGATCGGTCCAAAGAAACCCACGAAGAGAGCCTGTCGCTTCTGCTCGATCTGCGGAATGTATTTATGCATAGCATACACAATCGGTGGCCGTCGAAGCAGCAGTACCAGAATGCCGAGGAATATCAGGCGGTGGATAGGGATTACGCTATTGTGTGCGAACTCAGCCCATGGGCAGACGGCACCGAACCAAATGAAGATGGTGACATTAAGGAGCATGTCGATAGTGGGCTGGAATGAGTCGTCCATTGTCTCCAGCCGAAACCAATCGTCCCACGTGAAGGTGTTGCCAGCGATGAAGCAAGCAAGCACGTCATCACTGCCAATCATTCCAACAGTCCCGACAATAAATAGCTAAATGAGATCAGTTTTATTTCTTAGACAAGTTCTTCGTCACTTACAGCCAGCGTGATTGCAAAAACCAAGAAGCTCTCACGATCAACATACTTCCTCTCCTCGGCCCAATGCAGCAGCTCCTTCGCGATCCACCCAACTGTCGCACCATATACCACACTCAGAATGATAGTGTATCCCCATGTTTCTCCAAACCACAAGCCCATTGCAGTCTTGACGCTGTCGTCCGAGCCCTGTCCACCGTGCCCAATATGCATGATCAGATACAGCGGCAAGAACAAGAACGGATACCCAAGGCCATCATTCGCACCCGACTCCGCAATGACGATCTTCTGCAACTCTTTCGGGATATTTTTATCTGCAAATTTGCCTTTGACAATCGAGTTCGACAACACAGGATCGGTGGGCGTGACACAAGCACCGACCGCGAGAGCTTGTAGGAAGTTGATATGCGGCACAAATGCAAAGACGAGTAGGCTAGTAGCAATCCACATCACCGTCATGCCTGGCCCAAGCAGGAGAGCGAGACTCTTCCATTCTGTCTTCAGGTACTTCGATGGAAGTTGCACGCCTGCGAGAACAAGCTGCACACCGAGAACCAGACGGGTGAAATAGAGCGTGATGGACTCTAAGACCTCCGGCTCTTGCAGCGCATATTCCTCCGGACGCACAAAATTGGTCGCATGTGGCGAGAAGATGAGTCCCGCAACGAGCGAGATTACTAGTGCATGATTAAGATTTACATCTAAGCTTTCTGGTCAAGACATTGCTTACATGCTTCAGAGAGGTAGAACTTCTCCTTCAAAAGATACGAGACAAGTCCAAAGACAGTGATGAAGCCTCCCAAAGTCGCGCACACAATGTTGAAATTCGTAATCGCGAGGGTAGGCATGATCGATGCGGGATTTTCCTGGTCGCACGCTTGTGGTCCTGCAAGCTGAGCTTATGTCACTTTTCCTGTTCCAAAGCAAACGAGACGTGTGTGGGAAGTCGCGATCATTGGGCAGTTCTACCAGGCTGAGAGTGAATACTTCTTGGTCGGAATCGCTGGGAATTGTCTATGAAAGATGGTGAGAGGCAGTGCACGATTGGGGATCCCCAGACTCTATTAGCGCCTTGGCTGACAGCTTGACGGCGATATTTGCGGCTTGATTATTTGCTTGGTATTTGAGCACCAGCGATGTTGTCACCACAAAGCAATGTAAGCAGGGTCCTGCTGATCCGATGGCCTGAAGCTATACACAGTATTGCCAGACTTCGTATACAACGGCAACACCCTGTGTATAGCTTCAGGCCGTTAAATGAGCTGCCACGTGTTAGCATCCTGGTTGCCAGTGGATACCTACAGTATTCGAGCATATTGAACAAACATACTGATAATTGTGTGCACTCATTCAGTGCGGACTGCATGCCAAAATTTAAAGAAAAGGTTTCGCAGGGCTATATACAAGGATTCGCCAATGTCCCTCTCAACACACTTATATGTTCGCCGCTGCTGCTACATCGGGTCCGTAGCCCACCTGAGGGTATGGCTCACCTGGGGCCATGAAATTTGTCTTTGGGTTCTTCTCCGCCTTTGCTGCTGAGCAACGGGCCATGGTCGGTGAGCTGTATGAAATTAGCATGAGTTGTTACTTGTACAGACTGAAATACGTACTTTCTCGATATTGAGTCTGTGAAGAAGAAATTCTTGATAGGCAGCTCAAGAGCCTGGCCGGATGCTTGTGCACCCTTGTTGTTGTCGACTAATTGGACCTTGCTCAAGCCAGGTAGTGACACAGGCTCGACGAGGTCGTATCTCCGAAGCGCGGGAGAAATCTCCTCCATGCGGTCACGGAGAGCCTCAACATCGTCATAAGGTAACTCAGCACCGAAGTATTCCGAAGCAGCACGAATGATTTTCCAGTCTTCCCTTGATGCGCCGGGAAGGCCGACAGCAGCGCGGGACATTTGTACACGGCCCTCAGTGTTGACGTATGTGACGGACTTCTCGGTGTACGCAGCACCTGGGAGAACGACGTCGGCAAATTGCGCACCTCGGTCACCGTGGTGGCCCTGGTAGACGATGAAGGCGTCCTTGGGCAGGTCGGCCTCGTTGATCTCATCTGCACCAAGCAGCCAGATAAACTTGGCCTTCGTGTTGGCAACCTCGGGCGAGGGCACAGTAAATCCAACATCGTAGGCTCCAGTTCGGGATGCTGTTCGCTGGAGAATGTTGTAACCGTTCCAATCCTCAGCATGGAAAGTGTCCTTGTGCTTCTCCACAAACGAGCCAACCTGCTCGAAGAACGACTTCGCATCGGGATGCTCGGCAACGGCGCTTCCAACAATGATCATGGGCTTCTTAGCCGACTGCAGCTTCTTGGCGAAGTCACCAGTAAGAGCAGTCTTCAGGTCATTGGCATTCTTTCCAAGGTTTGTGTACTCGAAGGTGCTCTCGAAGTCTTCACCAACTACGCCAATCTCGAGATCTGACCTCAGCCACCCCTTCCGGATGCGGGCGTTGAGCACAGCAGCCTCGTGTCGAGGGTTGGTACCGATGAGAAGGATGACATCAGCCTCCTCCACACCGTAGAGCCTGGAGTTGAAAGAGTAGTTGGACCGGACATCAATGCCGTGAGCAATGGGTTGACTACCGCCGGGCTGGTCAAGAGCCAAGTTGTCAGACCCCAGCCTATTGGCTAGGTCCTTCATGGCGACAAGAGTCTCCGTCTCGACGAGGTGGACCGGCAACAGCCTTGAACTCGTTGCCTTTGGGCGCGATCTTCTTGTAGGCGTTGCCAATCTCTACAAGCGCCTGCTCCCAAGTGGCGGGCTGGAAGGAGCCTTCGGAGCGGATGAGGGGGTTGACCAGACGCTGTGTGCTAAGCGCATCGCAGGCGAAACGGGTCTTGTCGTTGATCCATTCCTCGTTGATGTCCTCGTTCAGTCGTGGAACAACACGCATGACCTGAAGACCTCTGGAGTCAACACGAACATTCGAACCTAGACCGTCAAGCACGTCGATTGTCTCGGTCTTGTAGAGTTCCCAGGGACGAGCCTTGAACGCGTAGGGCTTCGAGGTGAGGGCGCCAACGGGGCAAAGATCGATGACGTTTCCGGAGAGCTCGGAGTCGAGGGCGGTTTCGATGTAGGTGCCGATTTCGAGGTCGTTGCCACGGCCGAAGGAACCGAATTCTGGTGCGCCAGCAATGTCGTTGGAGAAACGGACGCATCGTGTGCAGTGGATACACCTGTTCATGGAAGTCTGGTCTCGTCAGCACGTCGCCTGTCGTGAGCTCGCTGACAGTCCTACCTTGATGAGAGGTCCAACGTTCTTGTCTTCCACGGCACGCTTGCCCTCAATCTCGTGGAATCGTCCACGGTCGCCACCATATCGCATCGACTGGTCCTGAAGATCACATTCTCCTCCCTGATCGCAGATAGGGCAGTCGAGCGGATGGTTGGCCAGGAGAAATTCCATGACACCTTCTCTCGCCTTGTGGACGAGGGGCGAGTCTGTCTTGACCACCATTCCGGGCTGGACGGGCCATGCGCACGACGCAACCGGCTTGGGAGCCCGCTCCACCTCCACCAAACACATACGACAACTTCCAGCAATCATCAACTTCTCATGGTAGCAGTATCGGGGGATGGTGGCTCCGGCCTTTTCGCAGGCCTGGATGAGGGCGGCGCCGGCTGTTTGGGGCATTAGGATCGTGTATACAGCCTGCTTGGTGCATCAGAGACTCGCGTACCTTCAATCTGAACCTTCTTTCCATCTGTGATGCCGATTAGCAAGTTTCCTCAGCGACAATGGACAGTGGCACAAACCGATGGTGAGCTCGATTTCTGCGGGCCGTGTGGCGGACGCAGCAAAGGCCCGGCTGCCATTGAATCCTGCACGCAGCGCAGGCCTCTTCAGCGACCGGACTAGATGTTGCCGCAGCATGGTGAAGCTTCAGGTTGCGAGGGTTGGTGCACTGCGAAGCTCGACCCGGTCGTTGACGATAGGTCTTGCGCTTGGCATGCTGGGGTCTCTTACGAAGTAAGCGCATCCGTCCGGGCGTGGATTGGCAGGAGCGACATGGTCCGTGCCCTCCACAAATTTCGGACACAGGTATAAGAAGAAGAGCATCCCCGGCCCCCTCACACGCAAGTCACTCATTCGGTCGCAATTTATTGTTCTGCAGCTTGGACATCCACCTCGCTGCGGTCTATTACGCGTCCTAGAGCACGACTCACCGTGCGAGGTAGCTGGAGCAGATGAGGTTTTCTGATGATATCTTGTTCCTTACCAACGTCGCTACATTCCTTTTGACATGACCAATTACTGTGTATACCTTCAGGCCATCGGATCGGACATCGTCCGTCTGCTGCTAGATCGCTTGGGTGGATATATCCTGTGCCAATGCTGCGTAAAACGACCTGTGGCCTGAATGAAGACGACTGGACGCAGTCTGAGAACAACTCTTGTCGTCAGAAGAAAATTCAACGGCACTATGAAGTCCTCGCATCCACAGCGCAGGCAAGATAGTCATGAGCATGGAAAGTTGAGTGCCTGCCTTGAATATATGATCCTGAAGCGGCACGCAGCTCTTTGGCAGACCGTCCAAATGACTTTTGTCCCGGCAAATATCTCCAGGCTCGACTAACCTGAATAAGGCGTAGATGTAAACTCCAAACGTTCTGTCAGGTGATTGAATACGCTACAGACACCACTCAAGATCTATGATGTCTATACAGTCACCTGCTGCTCATGTGGCGCGAAACCTGGGGTGGGCCGCCGCTTGCTGCTCATAGGTCGGCAACCACATCGAGCTCTCTCTAAGCTGTCGTGGTAAATGATACTGTGTATGCCTTAAGTCTTCAAGGTAGACTAAAGAGCCAAAACGTGCTGAAGGGTAGCTGAGCTGACGCATCGCGTGAGCAGTTGCGGGGAACCTCCCCATCCGCGAATGTCCGCGTATGTTATAACGCAGCATGTAGCAGGGATTAATTGACACACAACGATTGATTGATGAACTTTCGATTCTCTGTTACTGATCTACCCCACTGCTACTACTACAAAAAGGTCTACAAGCCTCTCCACTACGATTCATAGGGCCGTATTATCCTAGATGCTCTACTTGTCTACGCTCTAATCCGCACTCGAGGAATGGAAAGATAATAAAAAAGCTCCAACGAGCCGAACCAAAACGCCAAAGACTGCAAAGAGTCCTGCTACAAATCGTGATATCGTATCGTAAGCTCTACTCGTTGTCGGACTCAGGGCCAACCTCCATTTTCGCACGCTGGCCAGCAGTCGACTTGGCCACCGGGGCAGAAAGCTTCTGAGGAGGTACACCGAGACCGTTGTGGTTGCGGAAGAAGAGTACACCCTTGCCCTCGCCCTCGGCGTCCGCGCTGGGCTCGACCCACTGGCACCAGCGAGCGCTCTTCCACATGGCCTTCAAGAAGCCAATAGGACCGCCCTCAACATCCGAGCGGTAATGCCTGCCCATGACAGGCTTGATAGCCTCTGAAGCCTCGTCGGCGTGGTAGAAGGGGATTGTGGAGATGTAGTGGTGGAGAACGTGGGTCTCGACAATGCCGTGGAGAATTTCCCGTCCGATGAAGCCAAACTCGCGGTCGATGGTGGCAGCGGCGCCACGAGTGTAAGTCCAGGTGTTGGCATCGTAGTGGGGCAGGGTGGGGTCGGTGTGCTGGAGGAAGGTGATGGCAACAAGCCAGTGGTTGACCCAGAGGTAGGGGAGGATGTACCAGACGAAGAGGTTGGCGAATCCGAAGTTCTTGCCAACCCAGGTAAGAGCACCGAGGGTGATGGCGATACCAAGATCACTGAGCAGGATGAGGTGCTCATCCTTGCGTTCATACAGAGGGCTGGATGGGAAGAAGTGGTTGACACCACCGCCTGGGCCATTGTGCTTGCCCTTGCCCTTGCCCTCGGCCTGGCGCTCGTGGTAGTTGTGTCCGGTAACGTTGAGGATGATGTACAAAGGCCATCCAGCGAGCTGCTGACCGATGCTGTGGAGGAGAGTGGCGATGGGAGTCTCCTCGGTCAGCTCATCGAGCTCGTGGATCATCTTTCCGATACGCGAAGCGTAGACCTCTCGCGTCTTGGGGACGAAGACCATGTCGCGCTCCATGTGACCAGTGGCCTTGTGGTGCTTGCCGTGCGAGATCTTCCAAGAGAAGTATGGGACGAGGAGGGCGGAGTGACAGAACCAGCCAACGGTGTCGTTCAACACCTTGGAGGGAGAGAAGGACTGGTGGCCGCACTCATGGGCGAGAACCCACAGGCCGGTACCGAAAAGACCCTGGATGACAGTGTAGACGGCCCACAGACCAGCGCGGACAGGAGTCGAGGGAATTGTCTCGGGTGTGACATAGTTGTGGAAGACGTAGAAGACGGCCGCAAGCGAAGCGATGTCACGGGCAACGTAGCCGAGACCACGAAGACCTGAGCGCTCGAAGCAGTGCTTGGGGATGGCATCACGGATCTGCTTGATGGTGTAGTCTGGAATCTCAAACTCGTTGCCGTATGTGTCGAGAAGCACACCGCGGTTGCTCTTGGACTGAGCGGGACTCTCGTCAAGGGACGACAGCGAGGTGTTGGAAGCCGATCCCGCAGGCGAGTCGAACGGCGAGTTGTTGGCGTGGGTGGAGGGCGAGGAGTCTGTTGTGACGTTCCTCTTCATGGCTGGAGCCTGAGCGCGGGCAGTTGTGGTGGCCATGATGGTGGAACGAGGATGCAGGATCAATTGCAGTGAAGAATTGAGTGCAGGGGGCAAGAACCTCGGTGTACTTGAGGGAGTAGTGGTGAGGGGCCCAGCGTTGGGGTCTTGTTGGGACGTAGGTCGGTTGTTGAGCTGATGGTGTGAACGAAGATCGGCTTCGTTGCAGCACGGCAAAGCTCAAGGACTCTCGAACGAACGAGGGGAAAAGAAGCTTCACAAGGGGCAGGAGAGGTTGAGGAGCACAGCAGGCGGGACACCGCAGAATTTAAAAGCGATGCGTGTGCAGGCGGTGGAGGGAATTTTGGTGGACCCTGGCCTGGTAGCGCCTGCTCGGGAAGGTTAGGGTGTGCTAGGAGGCGTTCGAGACAGACAGCTCCAGCTCACAGCATTCACTGCTAGCCGCTCTCAGATATTTCTGCCCTACCGCGTCTCCATATTCTCGCCACCGCACTGTACGCATGCAGACAATGCGCTCGCAACACGTTGGGCGAGTCTTTGAGGTCTCTGATGCGTGTGCAGCATGTCTCCCCTAGCCTCGATATGCCGCCCCCGTGTATCGTCTGGGGCGCACATTTTTGCAGCAGATCATTTACAACCGCTGTCTTGGCGCAGTGTTAGGGCATTTGTCGGCAGACAGACCGCCAGTTTGCACCCATCATGGCGTGCTGATTCCCTGCACTCCCTCCATGGGCTCGCCTGGAGGTCGGCGCCCAAGCTTCTACCGGCCCGCTTTCAGCGCACAGCAGCCCACCAGAACGGTGCTGGTTGCGAGGCATCGGGATCTGCAATTGCCATGTCTCCCCACTGTTTCTCAAACAGCCAATGCAGCCTGGGCTGGCGAGCAATTGCTCCAACAGCTTCAGCAGAGACTTCTGTGAATCGCAAAAATTCGGGTCCTGCAGGGTCCTCGGCTAGTCTCAGGCACAGGTCGATCCGGTTGATTCGCTGACTACATTCCGCCGAGGTTGCTCCAACACGCGCCACCATTCCACGTTGCATGTGGAGATCCGCGATGCACCAGACGTAGTGTTCGCTCATCATTTGTGAGATGGTACGAAAAGCGTACGTTTGTGAACAGGTTCATGAGGTTTCAACGCACGCTCTATGGAAGGTTTTGTAAATGTGTAAGGATGTCCAAAATCAGTGCCACCGGTTCTGCTTGAATGTCTTCCAAGCCGCAAAGCCCAGAAGAGCGGCAACGCCGATTCTCGCAACAAGTGCTGTAGCTACGGCCTTTCTCACGATTGGATAATATCCTTCCCAACATGGAATTGACGGCCGCGCCTCTTGCAATCATCTTTGATCTTCCAGTCCGTCCCCACCCTCTCCCTACGCCCAAGCCTGCGATGCCTACTTCGCCTGGCTTCTCGTTGTAGAGGCTTCCTATTCCTTCGCTGCCCAGCCCTCGCAAGTCTTGTATCGGTGGAGTACCAGGATCGGAACTGCTCGCCATGCTTGACGTGCTCATCTCCTTTGACTTCTGCTGCCTGAACCGATACGACATGGCCCACATGACAAACCGAACGTCCCAGCTTGTAAACGTAGGATACGTCCATAGTTCCAAGGCGTTGTGAGGCGGGATGTGCTCCAGGAAGTCACTCACAACGCCTAATGTTAGGCCCCAGAGCAGAAGTGGTGGCTTCTTGTCTCTTGGACCGCCTTCCATACCCTTCAGTGTGTCCTTGACTCGCGCCATGAGGCCAGTCGATGGCTCGTCCGCCAGTATAAAGTCTGGTATTGTAGAGCAATGCGTCGAGTTGGACGGTACGAGATGTATTGCGGCGAACATCATCTTGCTAAGCATAGCCTGGAGAAACCATCGCTTGATGCCGAGCTCAGACTTTGCTAGACGGGCGCTCACGTCGGCGTACTCTTGCGTTCGAAGAGCAGGGAGTAGGAGGGCGCGGAGGGGCACCCAGTGGGAGGAGGCCACTTCGGTCGGCTGTAGGCATTGCGCTGGGTAGGACGGAGAGGTGAGAATGTATATGTAAGGGCACAAAACCATCAATCTACGACGCATCAGTATTACCCCCCGTGTGCACAGCCGTTCGAAGGAACTTACGGCACTTTTCCCCAGCTTGTAGTCACAATTCTCTGAGGCAGATTCCCTACCTCTATTGCATTACCGTCGCTGAGATCTATGCCCACCTCTTCGTGGGCTTCTCGCATAGCTGTGACCGCGTCATCGGCGTCCTCTGGGTCTCGCTTTCCGCCGGGCAGCGCGACATGGCCGTTCCATTTGTCACCTATTCGCGCTGCTCTCTTGATGAATAGGAGCTCAGGATCACCATGTTTCACCCAGTCCTGTTCGAAGAAGGCATTAAGCTTATCTTCAAAGTTCAGCTTGTGGCTTGAGGTTACGGAAGAGCGACGGCGCTTGGTCGGTGAGTCTGGAAAAAAAGTAGGCGACGCGTTCTCTGAGGACGTGGGCCAATGTGAGTACCTGGGCTGTACACGTAGGATGAGGGCTACAGAGGCGCGTTTGGGCACGCCATCTGGACATGCGACCTCTGGGTATGGATGTCCATTGACCTCGAGGAGCACCGACTTGAGGTTGCTGATGATTTCCTGGGTATCGGACGGTGTGGGCATGGTGTCGTAGCGTATTAGTCGCGCGGTTGTCCGATTGACGATAAGCCGTCCAGCACCGCACGGTCACAGGTACGCAAGCCTTTGATTCTGCCTTTGAATGGAAATCAGGCCTCTGATTTAATTATAATGACAGATTATGTGTGTTGTCAGCGAAAATAGGTTCATGTTGACATCAGCGAGTTCGACATTGATACTGAGACATCAGCAAAGTCACGCACGACCGAGGTTTGCTGGCAGACGCAATTGACAGTCATGATCATTACACGAAGCGCTTGAGAAGAAGAGGGGATATACTCCAATTCGATTTGCAGATTTTACTATGCTATAAAAGTCTGTTCGTACGAGGTTTGCTGATGCGCCGGAGGTCAGTAGCATATTTAGGTACACCTGTGCTGAGAAGGAAGCTTTGACCAATCCCGATCGCGGAAGGAACAGCTAGCAAGCTGGTGGGGTAGTGACGCGGGATCGCGGGGCTGCGCAACTTTTTTTGAAATAGCATCTTCACGTTGGGGTAGCAATTCCCTTTGGATTTACTACTTCTTCTCTTCCAGTCACATCTCTGAAGAGTTACGAGGTGTAGAGAATCATCATGGCAGGCCAAAAGACAGGTAAATTTCACTTTCTGTAGGAAGAGCCAATCCAGACTAACCACAACAGCCATCCTATCGGTCTACGACAAGACAGGTCTGCTTGACCTGGCTAAAGGACTGCACGAATGCGGTGTCAGGCTACTCGCTTCTGGTGGTACGGCGAAGATGATCCGTCAAGCCAACTTCCCTGTCGAGGATGTCTCTGCCATCACCAAGGCACCAGAAATGCTCGGTGGTCGCGTCAAGACCCTACACCCAGCTGTGCATGGAGGCATTCTTGCGCGCAATCTCGACTCGGACGACTCGGACCTCTCAGCGAACAGCATTGACAAAATCGACTTTGTTGTCTGCAACTTATACCCCTTCTCCGAAACCGTCGCCAGGATCAACGTTACCATCCCAGAGGCTGTCGAGGAGATTGACATCGGAGGTGTCACGCTCCTCAGGGCCGCAGCGAAGAACCATGCGCGTGTCACAATCATCAGCGATCCGAACGATTACCATGATCTCCTCACCGAGCTTAAGAAGGACGGCGAGGTCTCAGAGCAGAGCAAGCAGCGATACGCGCTGAAGGCTTTCGAGCAGACTGCAGCATACGATAGCGCGATATCGGAGTTCTTCAGGAAGAAGTACGCAGGAGATGGCAACCAGTTTCTGCCCCTTCGATACGGCGCAAACCCCCATCAGAAGCCCGCGACCGTCGCGATGCCAGAAAAGCCACTGCCCTTCAAGGTTCTAGGAGGTGCACCGGGATACATCAACCTCCTGGATGCGCTCAACGCGTGGCCTTTGGTGCAGGAGCTTTCTCAGGCGCTCAACTACCCCGCCGCAGCAAGCTTCAAGCACGTGTCGCCTGCCGGTGCCGCTATCGGTGTGCCTCTGAGCGAGGGTGAACGCAAGGTGTACATGGTTGATGATATTGAAGGCATCGAGAACTCTGGCCTCGCCCAGGCATATGCTAGGGCACGAGGTGCGGACAGGATGTCAAGTTTCGGCGACATGATTGCACTATCGCACGAGGTCGATGTAAGTTGAGAACTCCTGAGCAAGAATTACGGATACTGACAAGTGGTAGCTACCCACTGCAAAGATCATCAGCCGTGAAGTGTCAGACGGTGTCATTGCACCAAGCTACTCTGCTGAGGCGCTTGACATTCTCAAGAAGAAGAAGGGCGGAAAATACCTTGTGCTTCAGATGGATCCCGAATACGTACCCGCGACCGAGGAAACAAGGACGGTCTTCGGCATCACCCTCAAGCAACACCGTAACGACGCGAAGATTGTGCCTTCTGACACATTCAACCACGTCATCGTACCCAAGAACTCAGGCACTCTGCCAGAGTCAGCTCAGCGAGACTTGACAGTTGCCACCATTGCGCTCAAGTACACTCAGTCAAACAGTGTCTGCTACGCGCTCAACGGGCAGATCATCGGTCTTGGTGCAGGCCAGCAGTGTAAGTGATAACATGACGATCTAAAGTGACAGTCTAACATTACCATAGCCCGCATTCACTGCACGCGTCTCGCGGGTGACAAGGCAGACAACTGGTGGATGCGCTTCCACTCCCGCACACTCGGCTTGAACTTCAAAAAGGGCACAAAGCGCCCGTCAAAATCCAATGCCATCGATCTCCTCTGTTCCGGCCTTGTTCCTGAGGAGGGTATCGAGCGCGAAGACTTTGAGTCACACTTTGAAGAAGGCCAGGTACCACAGCCTTTCTCTGCTGAAGAGCGCAAAGAGTGGCTGTCAAAGTTGAAGGGTGTCGCTGTCAGCTCCGACGCGTTCTTCCCCTTCATCGACAACGTTTTCAGGGCGCAGAGGAGCGGTGCAGCATACATTGCAGCGCCGACAGGAAGTCAAAACGATGGTGCCGTCTTTGAGACTGCGGAGAAGCTGGGTATCACGTTTGTTGAGCAGCACATTAGGCTGTTCCACCACTGAGCAATGAGCGAGGTGGAGGGCGACGATTGATGGTCATGACTTTCATGAACAACAAGTCTTAGGTAGACTGGATTTGGGGGTTTCTGGGTTGAAGTAAATACCAAACATTGAGAATGCATCTGAAACTCGACTGCACTGCTATAAGCGCTTTTCAAGCGCCGTCTTTTGTCCAGTTCGAAGTCAGTTGCTGCGAGCCAATTGTCGCCGTGTTTGCTCTCCTACACCAAGAAGACGCGTTGGCGGGGCAATCGTGTCCAATCCGGTTTAGCGGCATTAGCTGCATGGGACGAAGAAATGGCAGGCGGTCACCTTGACTTCTCCCGCTCTGCAATCGCAACAACAAACAGCTCACAGACCTTTCAATCGCACTCATCCAAATCACTGCACCCCTTCGAAACATCCCACGCACTACCAGCCGCGATCACCATGTCTGCACAACAGGACAACCAGATGCAGGGTGTCCAGGACCCCGCTGCCGAGGGCAAAGGCAAGGGCAAGGCACCCGAGGACAACACCGTGGAGGAGTCTATGGACGACGACTCCAGTGATGAGTCTGGTGCTGAGGAGCAGGTACGTTTTCCGCGCTGAATCCAGCATGCACAGGCGCAAACAGCTAACTCGTTCACATCAGGCCGGTGAAGGTATGCTTCCCAAGTGAACAGCGAGTATGCTTCCGTCTAACATCAGAATAGTCGAGGAGCCCGACGAGGACAACATGGAGGAGATTGATACGGCTAACGTCATCGGATCCCGCACGCGCGGCAAGAACATCGACTTCGCCAAGGCCAACCAGGAGCTCGGCGACGACGACGAGGAGGACGACGACGAGGACTTTGTCGACCCCGATGACGAGATGAAGGACTAGAGAGTTGCAAGCTGCACTCTCTGTGTCTTTTGGTACGTTGCCAGCTTCCGCTGCGTCAGACGCAAGCGGCTGACAAAACACCAGGTCTCCCTCCACGCGATCACGAACTTTTCAACGTTCATATTTGGGTTGGGTTTGATACACAAAAGGCTTTTGGGCATTGGATAGCGGGTAGGCTCATGCAGATATTGGAGTCTTGGTGCGCTTGCCAGTGGGGCTGCCGTGGGGTTGGACATCTGCTGTGCGCGCGTTGAGCGTGGCATGTTTGCAGTATGGAAAAGTCGCACAAGCATAGCACTCAGCGTACATGAAATATCAACTTTACGATACCTGTCTGTTGCCGCGAATGTTGTTGATTCACCGCCTTTTGCAACATGGCCGCCAAGCATTTGGCTGGAATAGCGTTAGCAACCTTGGGATTCGCACTGGAGGTTATCAATCAAGATGGAAAGTGTACAATAGCAGCCACTAGCGGAGCTATTTACAGCATCGCTGGGCTTCAACTTCGACGGCAAGGCCCTGTGTATATAGCCCTAGGCTATGAAAGTGACTGTTGTACATTGAGCAAATCAATCGTGTAAGCACTTCATTAGCGTGTTCTCAGTCGCTTTCGCTACCATTACGAAGATTGGAATCCGTTGGTGGCATGTCAGAGGTTGATAATCCGCATGTTATGACTGGGATCGAGCCTTGGAATAGGCGCTGGATGCCAAATCCTCCGTTCATCGACGTTGCTTCGCCAATGCATCTTAGGTAATGCGTTTGAATGGTAACGAAATCTTTCAGCATGTGAGCGTGTGGCAGTCGAGCGAATAAGTCGTGTATGATCAAACATCTCGTGCCAAGGGGGTCATCAAAAGAACAGACTCCTGAGGAAGTGCTGGTAAATAGACAAGTGACCAATTCATCGCAAATACAAAAAAAATCTCATCTCGTATCCCAATTCGAACAGTACACAGGCGAACTTGGGAGAAGAGCCGGCCATAATCGTAATGGGTCCTTGTTAGAGTGTTATTCTGGCCTGTGGTAGTGTTCTGGTGGCAACCTCAATGGTTCGTATGGCTTCTCGTGGTAGACCATCATGGACACCCGAGAGACCCGTCCTAGCGAAAGTGCCATGGCAACACCCCACATGCGTTCGATGGCAAGTTCGTGCAGCTTGGTAGGCATAACGTTTGCACCAGGTGTCGAGTACCACGATTCTGCTTTTTGTACTGTGGATGCATAGCAGGAAAGACAAGACGACCGAGATGGCGGGCGGACAAGATTGGAACGTACTCGACATTGAATGCTGCTGGAATTCATTGTTCTTTGTCGACTCTGTGCTTCTCGATTGACGCGCGTCGCGATCATGCCATGGAAGTTCCTCGGACCGCATGCCATAGCATTGGGAAGATTCCGTACTCATACTGATGATATCGTGCTTTGCAAGTGGGCGGCGTCTCAGGTATCGTCTGATCGACGGCATTCCCAAGATGACGCCAAATTTGGCAGTGCTTGCACTCCAAACCTCTTCGGCAAAGTCGTCATGTAACTCCTTGACAGCTGGACCGAACACTCTGTTTGCGACGCTTCTGTAGTCCAAGCGATTTCTTATGCCACCTGCAGTGGCATTTACACCACGTCATGCGTAACGGCCATGAATCTCCGGGACACTCGACTGAGCGCGAAAGTCATCGCGATATCCCACATTCGCTCAGTTGCAAGGTTTCGCAACTTATGAGGCAATACCCTTGCACCGGTTAGCAGGAGCCAGCAAAATTCGTGCCTGCCTTTTCTTGACGAGAAGAGCTGAAGAGGTAGCCTGTATATATTCAAATATCAGAGCATTTTGTACCAACGTATATATCCAGGCTCCTCTATAAACTTTTATCAAGTACAGCTCTAAAGAACATCAGCTTTACGTCGCAGGCGGCAGAAGTGAGCAGGAATTTTATCGTTGCCCTAGTGAAGTTGAAGCGTAACATGATGTCCTAAGGCAGTTCTCTGGATGGAACACGGCGAGGACGAGGCAACGTACTTAGCGATTGGGTCCATCATTGTCCAACTTGACGAGCATAACCTGCTGAGACATTAATCGTTATCACTATGTCCCGAATCATCGTTGAGGAGAGGTCTTGGATCCGTAGTACCCATGGAGCTATGGTCAGAAGCAGATGATTTGGTTGCGCGGGCGACTCTTCACGTAACGATCGGTCGAATGCTGTGCCAGGATGATCCCGAATTTCGCCTCGCTGCAGTCCCATACATCGTCAGAGAAAGCATGATGCAGACCCGGATGAAGGTTCCAAATGGCGGTGTCTTTGAATTGTCGCTTGTGTTGTGCGTTGATGGTACGACGGCAGAAGTCGTCTTGAAATAAGGACTTGCTCATTAGCATCGTCTTCCCCAAACCCCCAAGGCTTAAATTAGAACCGCTGGCATATGCTTTTCATTAGGAGGGATCCCTCATCGTCAAGTAGTCAAAAACTAATGTGGTCCGGAGGGTGTGCTCTCTTTGATGCAACTTTATCGTGCATCCTGATGACGTACGAGGGTTTGTATTGAGACTGTTCGTGTTTCGAGTGTTTTTGTGAAGGCATCCAAACCAGCACTGTCAGGAAAGGAACGTAGAGATCTCCTGTATCATCTAGATGTGTGAGCGTTGATCTTCACGGGACTTGTTCTCTTCGACTGAGATTGTCAGTAGCATGGAAACCTTGTGGATACTTGCTCGCCACTGTCTGGCCAGGGTCTGAGCTGTCAGATGCACTAGGATGGATGCCCTGCATAAGTGAAATGCTCTAGCACGGAGGACCTGGCGAGACTGTCACTCATTTCTGGGTCGGTGTTGGGCCAATTGAAAACATGGGCGCAAACTACGCTGTGTGGCGGCATTCGATTGAGACTAAATGTCTTCATTCCTTCTCATCGTTTCATGCTGTAATGAAGGCTACGCTCGTAGATGCAGCATGTCCGGAGAGCTTCGGAAACGGTGGTGCATGGTGTAAGCTTACTCTGCCACCCCACCAGGCGCCGACAAAGTTCGTGCCCGCCTTGTCCAACGAGAAGAAGTAAAGATGCAGCCTGTACATATTCAAAGACCTCTACAGAATTGGGCAGAGCATCTTACATCTGCGCATATATTCAGGCTTCTCTAGGAGCTTAAAATAAGTATATCTCTAGAGTCTATCGGCTCAAGCTGCAGGTGCAGAGCGGGCACGAATGTTTTGCCGCTGCCTGGTGACCCTGCATACATAAGCATTGTAAGGCGTTGAGGGCGCCGTCGTGATTCGCCTCAAGGGTCTTCTAATAGTGCCCAGCTAATTGGTACGAGATCTATAAACCATGTTCGCTCCGAGATCTCTGCAACGCACGGACCTTCGGGCGAACTACTGTGCAATGGATCGGGTGCAACGTGTAAAGCGTGGTAGGCTATGGATGCGGGGAACGTTGAGGCGAGATGTCCCTCGGAAAATTGGAGGAGGGTGTGGAAAAGCAATATGCAAAGTATCACGAGGGCGCAATCTCGATTTGACCAGGGCTCTTGCAAAGTTCGGGAAAAGAGATGTTCGGATCCCGACGAACGACCCCCATGGTAGGTAGGTAGGCCGTGTTTTTATGAGGAGATGTTATGATGTCAAGCCTAGGTGTAGACTTTTCCGGGACGGAGAATTGACGCCCACGGCTAATTCCATCAGGCTCGATGTAGGCATATATTATGTACATGAATCCTGAGGTAGAGGGCCTACATGCCACAGCCCCATGTATGGCTTCGCTGGTGCTAGCTCATAATCATGGCGCCTCTAGGACGGGCAACCGTTCCTCGATTATCCGCCGCTCAACCATTTTCACACGCAGCGGATGAGGCGACATCGGCCTGGCCAGCGAGCTTGGATACACAGATCCTCGGGATACAGGTGAGATGGATGAATCGTACGTACTCGTGACTCATCGAAATTCTAGACGAGAAGGCTCCGCTGCCGTTAGCTGGTGCCCTTCCGAGTTATCCCGATCATAGGGACCAGGCTGATTTGCAAGGCGTGGCAATTGTGGACGGCGTCGCCCGAGCAGGCCTGAGGCGAACGAGGATCATGAGGCAAAGGAGGCTGCTTTTCGACATTACGCCTGGCAGGGGATCACCCGCCCATATACTCTGTATGCGAAGCGATGATGTCGACGAATGCGCACGAGACATATTTGCATTCCGCTGGACAATGGTGGACAATGGCGGGGTCTAAAATATCTCCGGCCAATGATGTGCGGGCGCGTCTGGTCCGACGCGCAGATTTCCGCCGTTACGGTGCGATAAGAGACAGCATGAAATTACTCGACTGCAGACGAGTCCACCGAAGCGCTGCCGACGGCGAATGAAGCGACAGGCATGATGCGTGGGCTGCGGAGTGGAGATGGGGCCAGCGGGAGAGACGCATCAACGCAGTCATCTTGCGGTATCGGCTCTGCTAGCTGCATTGACCGCCCCAGAGGAAGCCAACCAGCAGGCGAGCATTGTCACGACTCGGCAGAAAAAGAGCGTGAAGAGCGTGGGGTAATTTTCGAATGCGTGTGAACGGTTCCAATATGCCAGCGCAGCTAATCAGCATACGAGTATTGCTAAAGATGACCTCGACACGTACCTCACTGTCATGAAGGTTGCAGACAGTGGTGTTGGCTGCAAACATACGGGAGGGAATCGGCGGCTCCTTGTGCAGCGGAGGGAGAGATATTGGCATGTGCTTCTCACTCAGGAAGAAGTACGCGACACGTAGAAAGTTGTACAATGAGAATACCAAGACTGCACCCAAGGCCCCGTGAAATTATCAAACGCTCCGAGCAGACGGCGGAGATCACCCTGGCATCTACGGCAGTCCCTCCAGGAGCCAATTACCGGTCTCGAGCGTGTCCAAAGTGAAGGTACCTCTAGCGTGTCTGCGAATTCCCCACTCCCACTCCCATTTCCCCTTCATAAACCAGCGCTGCCGACCGCCCGCTTCTTCCCACCTGTTTCGTTCTCATCAACTACAAGTTGCCTGCCGGAACTCGCGATCATACTGCCAGTTCCGTCGATACCCACTACACCAACCAGTAAGTCAATGTCGCCTCCACCCTCCATCGTCGCACCTCTTCCCCAATGGCCACGTACAAGCTGCTTGTCGCGCAAGAATCAAGTGGCAACCTACGCTCCTTCGAAAGCAGCCCCGCGCGTCGTATTTTGCCGGTTCTTATCAGCACATCCTGGGGTACTACGACCAGCTATCGGTTCCCGCACGTCGTCATCGGTCTCATCTGCGCTCCTCTGGGCAACCTTCTCTCGCGGGTGACCGAATCAGAGCATTGTCTGCGCTTGCGGTGGATTGATAGACGCATGCGACACCAATCGGCAGACGTACATTCTTTCTTTCGAGGCTAGAGCTAGTGCATATTCAAAGCTCCGAGTCTCGAACCTCGCACCTCGAACCTCGAACCACAGCCACTCAGCAAAATCGTTTGATATCAAGCACTAACAGATTGTTTGCAGACTTCTTTCTACCATTATAGAGCAGGCGCGATCCGCCAACACTTATACGATACCCCACCATATATTCCCAGAATTCGGCCCTCGCCGATACCATGGGAAAAGTCACTTTCGCGGAAGATACCAACTTGCCACAAGATACCCAGATTGAAGAGGAGCAGTCATCCGTTTTTCAGTACCAAGATGGCCCGGAGTATAAGAACAAATCCTGGGCTGGGGCCCTTCCGGTGAAGCAGGGTCTCTATGATCCTGAGAATGAGAAAGATGCCTGCGGTGTAGGCTTCGCCGCCCACATCAAGGGTATCGTGTCGCATAAAATAATCTCTGACGCCCGGTCGCTCCTGTGCAACATGACTCACAGAGGAGCAGTCGGATCCGACGCCCGAGACGGCGATGGCGCTGGTGTGATGACATCCATCCCCCACCGATTCTTCCTAAAGGAATTTGAGCGAGAGCAAGGCTACAAACTGCCTGCGCTTGGCCAGTACGCTACTGGTAACCTCTTCTTCAAGCCAGACTCCACAATCCTGGAGGAGACCAAGTCGATGTTCGAGGACGTTGCAGACCAGCTAGACTTGAGAGTACTCGGCTGGAGAGTGGTACCACGCGACTCCACACTTCTTGGACCGGCAGCACTCTCACGAGAGCCCATCATTCTGCAGCCTTTCGTCGTCCTGAAGGCTGCATACGGAACAGGACGAGAGCCCAACGCGGACTGGGCACAAAAGTACGACAACGGCTACTTTGAGCGTCAGCTATACGTTTTACGGAAGAGGTCAACGCATGTCATTGGTCTTCACAACTGGTTCTACATTTGCTCCCTGTCGAACAAGAACATTGTATACAAGGGTCAGCTGTCTCCTGTCCAGGTGTACGAATACTACCACGATCTGCTGAACGTGGACTACGAGGGGCACTTTGCTCTAGTGCACTCCCGATTCTCCACAAACACATTCCCATCCTGGGACCGGGCTCAACCGCTGCGATGGGCTGCTCACAATGGTGAAATCAACACATTGCGTGGAAACAAGAACTGGATGCGAGCAAGAGAGGGTGGCATGAAGTCGAGTCTCTTCGCCGAGGAACTCGACTTACTCTACCCAATCATCGAGGACGGTGGTTCTGACTCTGCAGCTTTCGACAACGTCCTCGAGCTGCTCACAATTAACGGCGTTCTTTCGTTGCCCGAGGCCGTCATGCTAATGGTGCCTGAAGCATGGCAGGGAAATAACACCATGGATCCCGCCAAGCAAGCATTTTACGAGTGGGCTGCTTGTATGATGGAGCCGTGGGACGGACCGGCGCTCTTCACATTCTCAGATGGTCGGTACTGCGGTGCCAACTTGGACCGAAACGGTCTGCGCCCTTGCCGATACTACGTGACCGATGATGATCGCATCATCTGCGCTTCCGAAGTCGGTACCATCTCCATTGAGCCTGAGCGTGTCGTTCAAAAAGGCAGACTTCAACCAGGAAGGATGTTGCTTGTCGACACTGTCGCAGGTCGCATTGTCGATGACGCTGAGTTGAAGAAGACTGTTTCCGAGCGTAACGACTTCCGCGCATGGATTGACAAGAACCTGTTGACTCTACCCAAGGTATTGAAATCTGTGGTTGAGAAGGGTGTTGATCTGTCATACACTTTGACAGAGACAAAGCTACACGAAGACCCGCGCCTACGTGCCTTCAACTACTCGCTTGAGCAAGTCAGCTTGCTTCTCGGTCCCATGGCAGCAGACTCCAAGGAGGCTCTCGGATCGATGGGTAACGATGCTCCTCTTGCGTGCTTGGCCACACAGCCTCGTTTACTCTACGAGTACTTCCGCCAGCTTTTTGCCCAGGTTACCAACCCTCCCATTGACCCTATCCGAGAGGCTATCGTCATGTCTCTCGAGGCTTACGTTGGTCCTCAGGGTAATTTGCTCGAGATGGACGAGTCACAGTGTCACCGTATGCTTCTGCCATCACCTGTCCTGTCGATTGAGGAATTCACAGCCTTGACCAACACATCCAAGGTGCACTCTGCATGGACGGTGAAGACCATTGACATCACCTTTCCCAAGAGTGAGGGCACAGAAGGTTACATGAATGCGCTTGACCGCATCTGCGAGGAAGCCGCGCAGGGCGTCAACAACAATGACAACATCATTGTCCTCACCGACCGCGCAACTTCGCCCGACCGAGTTCCCGTGTCTGCTTGTTTGGCCACCGGTATGGTACATCATCATCTTGTCCGCAACAAGTGGCGATCCAATGTCGCTCTTGTGTGTCGAGACTGGTGAGGCTCGTGAGGTTCACCACATGTGTGTCCTTGTCGGATATGGTGCCGACGCCATCAGCCCATACCTTGCCATTGAGTGTATTCTCAAGATGCACAGGGAAGGTCTCATTCGCAAGAAGCTCACCGCTGAGCAGCTTATCGACAACTACAAGCATTCTTGCGATGGTGGCATCCTGAAGGTCATGTCTAAGATGGGTATTTCTACCCTACAGTCATATAAGGGAGCCCAGATCTTTGAGGTTCTTGGTCTTGATGACTCTGTTGTCGACCGATGCTTCACTGGAACCGCATCGCGTATCAAGGGTATGACTTTCGACCTCATCGCTCAGGACGCTTTTGCCCTGCACGAGAAGGGTTTCCCAACCCGTCCCATTGTCGAGATTCCTGGTCTATCTGAGACTGGAGAGTACCATTGGAGGTCTGGAGGTGAGCCGCACGTAAACGACCCAACTGCCATGGCCAACATCCAGGATGCTGTTCGCACCAAGAACGACAAGTCATACGAGGCTTATTCCATGGCCGAATACGAGCGTATCAAGGACTGCACACTGCGTGGTCTGCTTGACTTCAACTTCGAGGACCGCGCCCCGATCCCCATTGACCAGGTTGAGCCTTGGACTGACATCGTGCGCCGCTTCGTCACTGGTGCCATGTCCTATGGTTCCATCTCCATGGAGTCTCACTCTACCCTTGCCGTAGCTATGAACCGACTTGGCGGAAAGTCAAACACTGGTGAGGGTGGTGAGGATCCAGAGCGCAGCTTGCGCATGGAGAATGGTGACACGATGCGTTCTGCCATCAAGCAGATTGCCTCTGGACGTTTCGGTGTAACTTCCAACTACCTTGCCGATGCCGATGAGCTCCAGATCAAGATGGCTCAGGGTGCTAAGCCTGGTGAGGGTGGTGAGCTTCCCGGCCACAAGGTCTCTGGCTCCATCGCAAAGACCCGTCACTCCACTCCTGGTGTCGGTCTCATCAGCCCTCCTCCTCATCACGACATTTACTCCATTGAGGATCTGAAGCAGCTGATCTACGACTTGAAGTGCTCCAACCCCCGCGCTCGCGTCTCCGTCAAGCTCGTCTCCGAAACTGGTGTCGGTATTGTTGCATCTGGTGTTGCCAAGGCCAAGGCCGACCACATTCTCATCTCCGGTCACGATGGTGGTACTGGCGCCTCGCGATGGACTGGTATCAAATACGCTGGTTTGCCCTGGGAGTTGGGTCTCGCTGAGACTCATCAGACTCTCGTCTTGAACGACCTCCGCGGTCGTGTAATCGTTCAGACCGACGGTCAGCTCCGTACTGGACGCGATGTTGCCATTGCCTGTCTGCTGGGTGCTGAAGAGTGGGGCTTTGCGACCACGCCACTCATCGCCATGGGATGTATTATGATGAGAAAATGCCTGGAAACCGCCACTGTCGTTCGAACCAAGCAAGGCCCCAAACGCATTGCTGACATCCAAGTCGGGGATGCACTCTATGACACGGATGACCACGAAGTCCTATGCACCAGCACAACCGATTCAACTCAAGGGGATCTTCGCAAGATCTCCTACCTGCGGTACAACTCTAATGTTGTGGATTCATTTACATGTACTCCTGATCACGAGTTATTGTTGGTCACATCTGCATGTGTTCCATCATGCACCGAAAATACTGTTACCTGGATGTCACGATGTGATCGTCATGAACCGAGACAAGAAATCGGGGACCTCCAATTGGAAGTCATGGCAGATTCATTCTTCCGAGACCTCATTGATGAATGGGATAACGACGAGGACACTGCTCTTCCAATCCTCGATGACAAGAAGCTACACCATTACGCGGACCGCGTTCTTGACCAGCATTTTCACGAAGGTCATCTCACTTACTCCACGTCTATTGATCGATATCTCCAGTACCTTGCTGAGAATGAACTGGACAACTCGCCTGAAGTCTTTAGGGAGTCACTTCATGACCATATCAACCTATACTGGCGTGGACGTGGTGAACAGGTCATTGCACTAGGAGAATTGGCTGTGGATGAGGACGAAGTTGACACATCCTCAACTGTGTTTGATATTGGTGAGAGTACAATTTCGAATGCAGTCCTACCAAGCTCAGAGCTTGGGTCTGAGTACTCTGGACAGTGTCCATCCTCAGATCTGACTATGACCGACTCTTCCAGTGTGAAGGAGAGTTCTGCTATGGACATTGAACCGCAGAACAGCAACAAGTTTGAGAGTGTCCGTCGATCACTGGACAACAAGCTGTGCAGCTGTGGTGGAATTCGCAAAGTATTTCGCAGGTTTGCCTCACCAGATCAGGCTCAGCTTGTTCATTCCATCCTTCTTTCTGAGCACCATCATCTTGTGGATCCTCTGGTGGTTTACAACAATGAAATGTTCAGAATGAGTGTGGACAAGTTTGAAGGATTATGTTCCAAAGAAGCGAAGAAGACTCACCTGAAACTCTACCGGGCTCCACTGCGATTTGTCCCTGCTCCAACTTCAGGAGCGCAGGCTACCGCTCCTCTTCCTGTTGACGCCTACTTTCTTGGAATCTGGATGGGAGATGGCACAGCTACAGCTGCAGAGGTTGCATCTTCAGATCGTGAAACTGAAGTCTGGCTGCATGAATTGGTCAGATCAATCAACAGACAATGTCCAGACGGTGCTGCACCCCTCAAACTATCATCACGTCTTACATCTACTGCTGGAACTCTGCTTCGCAATGGATACTACTCTAACTCTGATGTCTACGCCCATAGGATATCATCCACATACCAGACAGAAGGGGGCAATTTCTGGAATCCAGTTCTTGACGGCCTCAAAACTCTATCTATGCTACATAATAAATCTGGTGGCATACCGAAACAGATCATGGAAGCTGGAGAACAAGACCGTCTTGCTTTCATTGCTGGTCTAGTGGAGAGTGATGGTTGCTATGTTAAGAGTCATAATGCTTACAGAGTGATCCAGATGGGAGATGACCACAAGAAGATTATTTATGATCTGAAGGATTTAGCTCTGTCTTGCGGGATTGCTGTTACTGGGGTTGATATTCAGGACAATTCTGTGTCTGGACAAAGCTTTCGCCGCCAGGATGGTACCTTTCCTAAGACGTATATTGTATATCTCGGAAAAGGCTCAGAAAAATTCCAACACCACCTCAAGATTCCCCGAAAGCGGATGACATTCACTCGAGAGTACTACAACCAGGATTGTCGCCCCATCAGATCGATTGAGCATGTCACAGGTTCCTACCGTGGAATTGAAGTCTCAGGTCACGAATTCCAGCTAGAGAATCGCACTATGGTCAGCAACTGCCATCTCAACACATGCCCAGTCGGTATCGCTACCCAGGACCCCGAGCTCAGGAAGAAGTTCACCGGTACACCCGAGCACGTGATCAACTTCTTCTACTATATTGCCAACGAGCTCCGTGCGATCATGGCAAAGCTTGGTTTCCGTACCATCAACGACATGGTCGGCCACTGCGAGGTCTTACGTGTTCGTGATGACCTTCGCACTGCAAAGACTGAGAACATTGATCTGTCCTTGATCCTGACACCAGCACACACTCTTCGCCCTGGTGTTGCCACCTTCAACGTTCGCAAGCAGGACCATCGTCTTCACGTGCGCCTTGACAACAAGCTCATTGCAGAGTCTGAGCTCGCTCTTGAGAAGGGTCTCCCTGCTCGCATCGAATGCGATGTCATCAACACCGACCGTGCTCTTGGAGCCACTCTCTCCTACCAGATCAGCAAGCGCTACGGCGAGGCTGGTTTGCCACAAGACACGATTCACGTGAACATTCGTGGATCTGCTGGTCAGTCCTTTGGAGCTTATCTCGCACCTGGTATTACCCTGGAGCTTGAGGGTGATTCCAACGATTATGTCGGCAAAGGTCTGTCTGGTGGCCGTCTGATTGTTTACCCACCCAGAAATGCCGTCTACCGCGCTGAAGAGAACGTTCTCATTGGCAACGTATGTCTGTATGGAGCCACGAGCGGCACTTGCTTCTTCCGCGGTATCGCTGCTGAACGTTTCTGCGTTCGTAACTCCGGTGCTACCGCCGTCGTTGAGGGTGTCGGTGACCACGCCTGCGAATACATGACTGGAGGTCGTGTTCTCGTCCTCGGCTCCACTGGGCGCAACTTTGCTGCCGGTATGTCCGGTGGTATCGCTTACGTCCTTGACATTCACCAGGACTTCGAGCAGAAAGTCAACCAGGAGATGGTCGAACTCTCTGGCATTGAGGAGCCTGAGGAGATTGCATTCCTTCGCGGCCTGATTGAGGATCATCACCACTATACTGGCTCTGAGCTGGCTGCTCGTATTCTCCTCGACTTCACCCGCGCACTGCCTCGCTTCGTGAAAGTCATGCCTGTCGACTACAAGCGCGTACTGTTGGAGGAGAAGGCCAAGGCTGCTGAGAAGAAGAAGTCTGAGTACCCTCTACCCCTCCTCGCTGGCAACCCTGTTCGCACTGCGCACGAGGACTCTCGCAAGGCCGAACACGAGCACGAAGCCAAGGAGAAGAAGAAGAGCGACCTGCTCGACATCGAAGAGAGTGTCACAGACGCAAAGGCCGAGAAGAAGAAGGCACTTGTCTTGGACAAGACCCGCGGTTTCATGAAGTATCAACGCCGATCCGAGAAGTACCGCAACCCCAAGACACGTACTCGTGATTGGCAAGAGCTGTCGCAGCGTCTCAACGAGGACGAGCTGAAGTACCAATCCGCCCGTTGCATGGACTGTGGTGTTCCCTTCTGCCAGTCCGATACAGGTTGCCCTATCAGGTAAGAGACTAATGTACACATTCTCTATTAAACAAAGCTAACTTCATGTCAGTAACATTATCCCTAAGTGGAACGAGCTTGTTTTCCAGTAAGTTGCATTCTTAAGATACTACATGCTGTCGGCGACGATGGAATTCAACCAGGGTGCAATAGCCAGCAGCGGATCCGATAGCCTGAAGCTATACGCAGTCTCGCTGAGCTTCAATCGCAACGGCATGACGCTGTGTATAGCTTCAGGCTATCGTATGCCCTTGTTCGCCTTCCATCGTAGTCGACATGTAGCCTGTAGCCTACTGTACAAAGCTAGTACTAACTTTTGAACAGGGGCCAATGGCGCGATGCTCTCAACCGACTACTTATGACTAACAACTTCCCTGAATTCACTGGTCGTGTCTGCCCTGCTCCTTGCGAGGGTGCTTGCGTTCTCGGAATCAACGAGGACCCCGTTGGAATCAAGTCCATCGAGTGCGCCATCATCGACCGTGGATTCGAAATGGGCTGGATGGTTCCATCGCCGCCCCAGAACCGTTCCGGAAAGACCGTCGCCATCATCGGTTCCGGCCCTGCTGGTCTGGCTTGCGCAGATCAGCTCAATAAGGCTGGCCACACTGTGACCGTCTACGAGCGTGCCGACCGTGTCGGTGGTTTGCTCATGTATGGTATTCCAAACATGAAGCTCGACAAGAAGGTTGTCCAGCGCCGTGTTGACTTCCTTGCATCAGAGGGCGTCACTTTCAAGACTGGTGTTACTGTCGGCGAGGAAGGTCAAGTTACCCTCGACTCCCTTCGTGGCGAGTTCGACGCGGTTGTGTTCGCAACTGGTGCTACCGTAGCTCGTGACTTGCCCATTCCCAACCGCAACTTGGACGGCATTCACTACGCCATGCAGTTCCTGCACAAGAACACCAAGTCGCTCCTCGACTCCGAATTGGCTGATGATGCCTACATCTCTGCCAAGGACAAGCACGTCGTTGTCATTGGAGGTGGTGACACGGGTAACGACTGCATCGGTACTTCCGTCCGCCACGGTGCCAAGTCTGTTGTCAACTTCGAGCTGCTGCCTCAGCCTCCGCCAGAGCGTGCCCGCGACAATCCATGGCCACAGTGGCCCCGTATCTTCCGTACCGACTATGGTCACAACGAAGTCAAGACCCACATGGGCAAGGACCCGCGCGAGTACTGCGTCATGTCCAAGGACTTTGTTGACGATGGCAACGGCAAGGTCAAGGGTATTAACACCGTCCGTGTTGAGTGGACCAAGTCCGCCAGTGGCGGCTGGGACATGAAGCACGTCGAGGGCAGCGAGCAATTTTTCCCCGCAGACATCGTGCTGCTCTCCATGGGCTTTTTGGGACCCGAGCAACGTGTCATGAACGACGCGATCGAGCTTGACCCACGCAAGAACATCAAGACTCCTCCTGGCAAGTACAACACCAACCTGCCCGGTGTCTTCGCCGCTGGTGATTGCCGTCGCGGTCAGTCACTCATCGTCTGGGGCATCAACGAGGGTCGCCAGTGTGCTCGCGAGGTTGATACATTCCTTACTGGCTACGCCACTCAACTGCCCGTCACTGGTGGTATCGTCAAGGCCACTCCCCTGCAACTGGGCAAGAACAGCGGCGCTGCTATTCCTGTGGCTGCTTAGACCATTTGTACGACTATAATGTGTAACGAAAGAAAAAGGCCACGAAAAGACGGGTCACAATTCGGGGGTTTTCGGGCCACAGATGTATGATGTGGGTTGGAGTTGGCATTGGGAATCTTTATCGCATATTTTCCTCTCGTTTTGCCTGCAAGATACCTCTTTCAAGTTTGTGGAGTCATCTGGGCGGCATTTGCATTGTACTATGTTTTACAAGATTTTCGCACCAATTTGTGTATATAAGCGAATTGAATTTGATTGTTACGTTTGAAATTTGATGCCTTATGACGAAGTGCATGTAGCTATAACGACAACTAGACCAAGCTATGAATTCGTGCCAAGAGTGAGGCGCAAAAATGACGTCAGCTCTTTCCCATTCCAACGACTGACCACGAGACAACGATCGACAAGTTTGCTGGGCATACAACGAGCGAAATGAACCGATAGCAACAGAAGTGATCATGCTACCACAAATTGGTAGATACCATGCGGGTCGAAGACCACTGCAGTGTTGTGTGACGAGGTAGGCAAGATCTTTACACAATTACAGATCTTCCCATGGATCCTGACAGGCCTTCAGAACCACACTCATAACACCGCATTCACAGTTCGCATGGTCAAGTCTGCAAGCATCGCGGCCATGGCCCGCAGCTGGGCGCTATGCCTCGCTCCAAGCAGGCGAGGACAAGACAGGCCATATCAGCGCCGGACCTAATGAAGGCATTCTGTTCTTCAACAATGTCTTCCCTATCCAAATACGTAAAATCATGGGTCTTCCTATGCCAAGAATACTGGATAGACTCATCAGCCCGGCCATGTCTGGAACGGATCCAAATACTGTGATTCAACGCGCAAAAGCTAAGCGAAATTTGCCAATTGAAAGTACTGAGATTCTGCCCCGAGTGAGGGAGGGTGGAGCGTTTGTAAAGTTCACGCATGATGGCAGCACCCCGACTTCTGAGATTGAAAAGACTTTGCAGGAGTATCTAAGGGATGAGCCTGTCAAGCCGTGGTGGAGTCCCTGGAAGCGAATGCGCGCGAAAGTCGTTAAAGGACGACCATGGGTTGAGGACATGATGCGTCTACCAGCACCTCGACTACGCGTCGAATTCGTCCCTGGTGAACCTGGAGCTTCCGTGACTGAGGCCGTGGACCTGAGCCAGGAGCAGCTTTTCCAATTCTTCAGACCTTATGGCAAGCTGAGCGACATTGTCATGCAGGAGTCAGACTCCAAGGTCCTCCCCAAGTTTGCTTACCTGGACTACTCGAGCATTGGCAAAGCGATCATGGCTAAGAACTGTATGCATGGCTATCTGGTCTCAGAAGCCGAAGGTGGTGGCAAGAAGGGCACTTTCTTGAGGCTCAAATATGAGCAGAAGATCAAGCCTCGCTACATTAGGGACTGGATTATCAATCACCCGAGAATTATTATTCCGATCATCGCAGCTTTGATCGCCGGTACAGTCGCCATTGTTTTCGACCCGTAAGTCTCAGATTCAGAGCTTGCTGGCATCATTATTGACTAGATTCCAGTATTCGCACATTCTTCGTCAAGGCTCATATCACACGAACGCTCCACCTTGAAGACAACAAGTGGTACAAGTGGATTAAAGGCTATGCATCCGACATCATTCGAGGCCACAAACGTGATGAAGATGACTCCTACGATGCCATCTGGGATGACCGCAAAGGTAATATCGAGCAGATTCAAACATGGCTCATGGAGACTGCGGACACCTTCATCATCGTTCAGGGTCCTCGTGGCTCAGGCAAGAAGGAGTTGGTGGTTGACCAAGCCCTTCAGGACAACAAGCTCAAACTTGTTATTGACTGCAAGCCCATCCAAGAAGCCCGTGGCGACAGTCCAACCATCAGCGCTGCGGCCGCGGCGGTTGGTTACAAACCCGTCTTCAGCTGGATGAACAGTATCAGCGGCATGATCGACATGGCTGCACAAGGTGCTACTGGTATGAAGACTGGCTTTTCGGAAACCCAGGAGACTCAGTTGAACAAGATTTGGAACACTACGACTACCGCTCTCAAGCAAATTGCCCTTGAGCGCAGACACAAGGACGACAGGGACGCGAACTTGGCTGATGATGATTGGCTCGAGGCCCACCCGGAACATAGACCTGTTGTTGTCATTGACAACTTCTTACATAAGAGCCATGAGGGCGGCATTGTCTACGACAAAATGGCTGAGTGGTAAGTTCGAAGGTCGTCATCATCTTCGTGTTGAGCTAACTGTAGTCAGGGCTGCTCGATTGACCACAACAAACATTGCTCATGTGATCTTCCTTACAAACGACGTCGCCTTTAGCAAGTCACTATCCAAAGCGCTTCCCGACCGTGTCTTCCGCCAGATCTCGCTCTCTGATTGCAGCCCCGATGTGGCAAAGAAATTCGTCGTCACTCACTTGGACGCTGATGTCGAGGACGATCCAGCGCCAAAGGATGGCTCCGAGAAGAAGCTTCCATCGCAACATCGCACAGATCTTGCTGAACTGGATTCGTGTATTGATCTGCTTGGTGGACGCCTCACAGATCTCGAATTCCTGGCAAGAAGGATCAAGACTGGCGAGACACCAAATAAGGCTGTCAACGAAATCATCGACCAGTCTGCATCCGAGATTTTGAAGATGTACATCTTTGGCGCAGAAGATGATGGCGGCAGACGCAAATGGAGTCCTGAGCAGGCGTGGATGCTCATCAAGGAGCTCGCCCAAAAGGAGAGCTTGCGCTACAACGAAGTCTTGCTCGACGACATCCTCAAGACGGGTGGAGAGTCAGCCCTCCGCGACCTCGAGCAGGCTGAGCTCATTTCCATCATTTCCGGACCGAACGGACGGCCATCGACCATCAGGCCCGGCAAGCCGGTGTACCACTCAGCTTTCAAGCGCCTGGCACAAGACAAGGTGCTGAAGAGTCACCTAGACTATGCCATCCTTACCAATCTAACCAAGATTGAGAACGCGACCATTGACAAGTGCGAAAACGAGCTGCTGCTATTGAGCAAGCTCAGGAACCAGCCTGCACAGACTGCCGGCCGCGTACAATACTTGTTAGCCAAGTTGTCAGCAAGCCAAGTCAAGGTGGAGAAGTATGAAACTGAGATTAAGGGCCTGAAGAAGGTGATGGCTGAGGAGGACTAGACGATGTGTTTATCTTTGGTTCAGAGTGCAAAGCGTACATAGTGATACCATGTCCAATCTGGCATTTTGATTGCTTCCTGACGCCGTTGCGAGTTCTAGGCCATCCTTGGTGCCGACGTCAGTGTGCCGAGGTCGGTGGTGTTTTGCCGTTCGTCATTTGCCTGTGCGCGCCGTACCCGCGAGCTCGTCCCATCTTTCCGGCCCTAAAGCTTGCTTGCCAACGTGCGCGCAACCTCAACTCCAAGCTGCGTTTCATCATTTTCTGCGACTTGCCATTGCGCCCGCCCCACGCCAAAATTGACTTGTAGCTGCACATCTCCGCCGTCTTCTTCACACCCCACAGCAATGGCGCCCACCACAGACCCGGCCGTCAACGAGCTCAAGAGCACGGTCCACAAGCTCGAGCAGCGCATTGCCGAGCTCGAGGGCAGGTTATCGGGTCATGGCGGGGGTTCGTCGTCGGCACAGGAGAGCGTCAGGATGATTCTGATGGGGCCACCGGGAGCTGGTGAGCCGAAATGCTGAAGGAACATGGTGGGATGGATGCTGACAGTGTACAGGCAAGGGCACACAAGCACCACGCATCAAGGAAAAGTTCTGCGCGTGCCATCTTGTACGTCATACCACCAGGCACTCATGGGATTTGAGTTTCTTCAATTTCGAGATTCCGCGATGCTAATAGCGCCAGGCCACGGGAGACATGCTGCGCGCGCAAGTCGCAGCGAAGACGCCGCTCGGCCGGGAAGCCAAGAAGATCATGGACGCCGGAGGTCTTGTCAGCGACGAGATCATGGTCAACATGATCAAGACCGAGCTCGAGAACAACCAGGAGTGCGCAAAGGGGTACGTCAAGATTTCGGACATTGGTTATGGAGCATCACAATCGCATACTGACTTCACTGCAGCTTCATCCTCGACGGCTTCCCACGAACAGTCACCCAGGCCGAGAAGCTCGACGGCATGCTCGAAGCCACCCAGAAGCCCCTCCAGCACGCAGTTGAGCTCCAGATCGACGACCAGCTCCTCGTCTCGCGTATTACCGGTCGTCTGGTCCACCCCGCATCCGGCCGCTCATACCACAAGATTTTCAACCCACCCAAGGCCCCCATGACCGACGACGCGACTGGCGAGCCATTGATCCAGCGGTCCGACGACAACGAGGAGACCCTGAAGAAGCGTCTCTCGACATACCACGCCCAGACCAGCCCTGTTGTCGCATACTACCAGAAGACAGGCATCTGGAAGCCTGTCGATGCCAGCCAAGATCCCGGCCAGGTCTGGAAGAGCTTGCTCAAGATCTTTGACGACAAGGCATACGTCGCTGGACGGTCAGGCAGCCTCTTGAACAAGATCGGTCTCAAGAACTAAGCTTTCTTTTGTGACTGGAAGAGACAGAGGCCATGGTCATGTTTGGAACGCGCAAAAGTCATCTTCACGCCTTGGCACGAGGGAACGCATGTAGGTATTGGTTCAATGTATTTGTACAGAGGCATTCGGATCCGGTCGTTGGGGGGGTTTTGCGGGGATCTCACATGCGCTTTTCTTGATGTTCGTGGACTATACTGTATAAATCAGACAATCAAAGCTTCTGTGGGAATACAAACGTGGATCAAGACTTGAATTCTACAAACGCTGGTGAGTGATATGTCCTGGACGGTGCACTGTTTGAAAGTCTCGATGCATCATCCCCAGAACGTCAACGCTGTTCTGGACACGAGGGCGTTCAGTGGTTCCTCGGCGTTAGCCCTAGCCTCGACCTAAGCTCCGACGCATCATCATCTTTCATCCCCAAAGAAACCCACCCATTCGAACAAGTGTCCTCCACAACCCGGCTCCCACCCGCTCCCTCCCTTCACATCGCCGACCGTCGCACCAACCTTATCCCATAGTCGTGCAAGGAAGCGCATTCTGCGCGCCACACAACATGTCCAGCCGGTACGCGCAAACAAGCCCAGACAATGAAAGTCGTAGTCCTGGAGATGTTAACCAGACCCCAGATTCGGCAGAAACGACGCGCGCGACGACCTCTTCAGCTCCTACAACCGCAGCACCTCGCCCTCCAAATCCAAGCAAAAGCCTCGTTCACCCTACGGCGGCTCCGGTGGATACGGGTACACCTCGCCCTCCACCGACGCCGGCTTCGCTGCATACCCCAGCGCGTCGAACAGCAGTACTGGCAATTTGTATCCCGGTGGGAGTAGCTATGGCGTAGGGGGAGGCAATGAGACGTTCCGCTCCGCGACGCCGAATTCTCGCGGCCAGTACAGTTCGGCGGTGCTGGATGAGCTGGAGAGCCAGCATGATGATCAGCACGTGGGCATTTTGACGAGCAAGGTCAAGCAGCTGAAAGATGTACGTCTTTCGTCTCCATTCATGCTGCACTGGGCGATTGGAGCGCGTGCTAACACGCGTCTAGTTGACACACCTCATCGGCGACGAAATCCGCGACTCGACCTCCCTCGCCGAGAAAATGAACGACCAATTCGAGAACTCGCGGAATCGGCTCAAGGGCACCATGAATCGCATGTTGAGGATGGCGGAGAAGACGGGCGTGGGGTGGAAGGTTTGGTTGGGCTTCTTTGCGGCGGTTATTTTGCTGTTTTGGTGGGTTTGGTTGAGTTAGGGAAAGATTGGGATAATTAGGGGGATAGATGGCACGAGCGGGGGTGGCAGGAAACGGTGTATAGGCTGCATTGGCATTGCATTTGGCGAGGCGTTTTGGCGCATTCAAGATCAGAAGATGGGGCACATGTACCAACAGCATGGCATCGATATATCTTAGGGCGGCAGCATGGGATGTTTGGTACAATAATCCCCTCTATTGGACACATGGACTTCAGTACTAGACCATTATGCAGCATCAATGTGACCACTTCAGTGATTGTTTAAACAGCGCTAGACAAAACAACCACAGACGTTATCGTGACTCCAAATGACCCATCGACAGTATCGTATATTGCTTTTCTCAAGAAGAGAAGGAGTGCAAAGTTTGGAGGATCATGCGGGTTAAAAAGAGGAGACATTGGTGTTTCTGTTCGATTTCAGTAAACAGCACATCGCCCAATGGAAGTCTTCCGATACGTTTTTTTCGCCCAGAAGAATCTCATAATATGGTCGTGGTTTGTTTTCTAGTATTCCCCACTCTTGCAACTCGGGATTTTCATAGGGGATAGAGGTTGCAGTCTTTCGCGAGAGCAAGAGCACTCCAAAGTCAAAGTAACAATCATCGGCGGGTTTTTAGAATCAAGGGATATGGGTGAAGTGTCGAGGAGAGATCAGCAAGCACAAGGTGGAATATATAGCTCTCGGTGACAGTATCGGAGACTCAGGTCGATCAGCCCGGCTACTGGGTTTTTGGAAGTAAGAGTTTGGTGCTTAGACCAGAAGATGATAAATCTTTCCTTTTGTTCGTACTGACGCTCATGGTCATACTTATCGTATTCTTTGACAAGACAACATACATGTCAACGACTGGTTTTAGTTTTATAAGGGTCATAGAGAAGGTGAGTGGCGGAGCAGAGAGGTGTGAAGACCGTAAAGATATTCATACGCATATTGTACTTCGTTGTCCTTTTTCGAGAGTGTAGAAAACGCCCATAACGTCCAAGAGATCTTGCGTTTTTTCGGAACGAGTTCCAGACTCCATATATGACAGCAAGCCCAGCCAAGTCTTTCACATAGAAGTTAGCAAACCTGACTTTGGCGGTACTGCGGGCGAAGATGTCAAAGACACGGAGCATCGTCGAAACTGGCAAAGCTTACATGCCATCAGGTGGGCGAGAAGGCGTTGGTACCATGAAAGTTCTTCTTCTCTACTTTGGGGGTCGGGGAGGCATATATAGCATAAATAACGATGTACTGATCCTAAGTATCGCTTTTGTGTGGTGTCATTTTGGACAGAAAAGCAGACAGAGTGGACATGGTAAGCGTTTATGTTTATTTCCTGCTCAGAAGCTGGAGGCCCTCAAAGCTCATGGAAAAAACCCCCACTCGGACTTTGGGATACACATCGGTGACTGCCAGGTTTGTTTTACGAGGAAAATCTGGTGCGGATAGGTAACTTCAAGTCAAAGACAGGGACGACCCTCAACAATAATGGGCAGACTGCTCTTGACTTTTGGAATGCATACTTGGTGCTTTTGCGTCCAGAGAATTTAGACCTCTATCTCTTCTGATTCGAGTCTCTGCCACTCACATATGGATACGGCGAAGTGTTTTTGGACACGCTATCGGCAGGTCACATCGAGTCTTCACATCGAAATTTTGGAGTCGGCCAGATAGCTGATAGGTGCTATTCTCTCGGACGTTCAGGGAGAACATCATAGATGAAGGATCGAAAGCTTTTAGAGTTGTCAAGGAAGGCAAGCGGTGCAAGAAGGAAGACACAGCGTTGAGGTGGTTTTATAGCGAGAACTAGAACCCGCGACAGGGTCATGGTCATGCCAGTAATTATTTTTGAAATGCCTCAGCTTCGCAAATGTTCCATGCAACCCTGTCAAGATGTTTTTGGATAGGCGGCAGTAGTCATGCGCTGTTTGGTGGAGAGATTTGTTGCGAGTGGAGTAAGTTATGTCGTGAAGAAGAGAGACAGGCACCGCGACATGGGGTGCATAGTGAAGGTTCTTTGGACAAGACAGGAGCCATACCCTGCATACTCGGGCGTTTTTGGTGGAAGAGCAGAAAAGGCGGCCATGCCACGAAGTTCTTTAGGTTTTGTGGCCAATGAAGTAAGGAGATGTGTGGGAAGATAATATTGAACTGGAGATGAAGTTTTATACTCTAAGAGTTGGAGTATATGCTCCTCAAAGCGCCCTTTTTGAGCTCATGGTATTTTACGGCCAGCAACTGCTGCTTATGCCGAGCCCCCCACGGCGCCTGAACTACTAGCCACCACCCTAGCTTGGTGGTATTAAGCAAGATCCCAGTCCTGATCCTCCGTTCTGTATGTGTCAGACCCGAGTGAATACCGATGTTAAAATGCGCCAGACAGGATGGAGAGCCATACCACAGTTGTTCTTCTGCCACGCGTGACTGTTCTCCGATGGATAGGCTCACTGTCGAAATCTTCCCTTGGAAGGACACGCGCTGTAGATATGTCCGCTGCCCAGCTTCGATAGCGAGCCTCCAGATATGATTTTGTAGCCCTCATGGGCTCACCACGTTCGCGCTCACATCCTGCTCGGCGATAACGGCCTGTTGAATCCACCCTGCCTGTTCATGTACTGCCTAGCCTCCATGCGCTTCTCCCTCCTGATGCCGTAGTTCTTGTCATTGCCCGGCACCTTCTGGTTCTTCGTCGACTTGAAACCCGCAAAGCCCATCATCTTCTTCATCTCCCACGTGTCGTCGTCCATGTCCTCTGGCTTCTCCGCATCCTCCTTCATCTCGACATCGGGCGACTCTTCCTTCTTGGCAGCCGGTGCCGCCTTGACTGGTCCGCCACGTGCTTCGCGGGTGGGGAAGTCGGATCTGCGAGGGCCGCTGGGTGCTGATGCGCCGCCGCGGGAACCTCGTGGTGCATCGCGCGGGCCTCTGTCTTGGTCGCGATCCCCGCGGCCTCGTCCTCGTGGCTCACGTGTGCCGTCTTTCTCGCGGTCATTGCCACGAAAGGGCGATCTTGATCTGTAGCGGGGGTTGTCGCGTCGGCCACCACGTTCTCGTCGTGGGCTGCGCGATCGGTTGCGCCGCTCGCCGGGTGGGCCTCCTCCTTCGCGGTTGCGGTCTTCGCGTGGCTCGCGGCGGCTGTCTCGCTCGCGGTGACGGTCACGTGGGCGCTCGTTGTCGGACATTGTAGTGTTGTTGGTCGAGTGAGGATGGCGAGAAGCTGTGGCGCAATAAAGATGAATGAGACCTAGGTTGTGGGTCAGAGGATGACGCTAGTGCTTTGCGCAACCTTCCCAATGAGGAAAGTTCTCTCATGGTGTGGATCATAGGGACAGGTACTGGGGGCATGAGCAAGCGCCTCACCTAGTCTCCAAACTGCCTTGCACATATGCGGCACGACGTGGCAAGTCACAATATGACAAGCCATCACAGCGTGAACCAAACATTTTCAGACCTTTCCTTGTGATTCGCTATGGACAGACGATTCATGCAGCGAACGTACGCAACATGCAACAAAAATACACCAAGAGTGCCCAAGAATCCTCAGAAACCATCACTATTCTTTTCGTAACGCCAACCATGCAGGGTATATCCAGACCTTTCAGTTTCGCAGACTACCAACAGAACCTTTGCACACCACGGACCGCGCATCTCATGCTTATATCTCATCCTCTTCCTCGTCAAAATCATCCTCCTCACCCATGTCGTACAAGATGCGACCTCCCTCGCCGCCCTCGCCCTTCTGTGCATCAAAGTACGGGAGCACGACACCCTCACGGGCCTGCTTCTGCTTCTCGGTAAGACCAAGGTTGAACGTCGATTCCATGTCGTCAGCGGCGGCATTGACGAAGCCAACCACCTCCTTACTGGCATACGCTGGAACCAGTTCAAGAAGTGTGACAAACTCCTCCTTCAGCTTACCAACAACCATGCCGGCAGTGGGCGCGCTGTAGTCGGTGGCGCGCGCCTCACGAAGGAAGTAAGTCTCGCCCTCGGGGCGACCTGACTTTCGGCGAAACTCAGCTTCGAGTACGATGCCTTGGTAGTCGTTGGCGTCGAGACACTGGACGATACCTTCAGCGCCTTGAAGGAGACCAAAGGTGGGCTCAGGAAGGCTGCGCTCTCTGGCGGCCTTTGCTGCGAGGACATGGGCAAATGACTTGCAGACGATGACAGATGTGGCCATGTACTTGAGTAGCTCGAGCGGCTGTGGAGCGTATGCATTCTGCGCATCCTGCGTGGGAAGCATGTCCTGGTGGTAGACTCCGACCAGTGTCGATGCATACTTGTTTGCGACAAGGTTGAATAGCTCGCCTATGTCAATTCCCTCTACCTCAAGAAGGTCGGAAAGGGAGTCTACAACGACAAGGCTCTCTTTGGCCAGCTCTAAGGCGTTGCGGAGATCTTGCATGATCTGTTTGCCGCTAGTCGCAGCATAGGCGGGGATGTTCTGAATGGCGGGATCGTACTCGGTGGCCTCAAAGGACACCACGATGACGTGAATGTTGCGTGACAGGGCGCGGCGCATCATCTCGTGGACGAAGGGCATAGCGCGTTGGTTAAGGTCGTCGAGGACCAGAGTGAAGGGGGATACATTGTTGCGTAAGCACAGAACTCGCATCATCAGATGGATAGAGTGGCGATGATGCTGCTCTGGAGTAGAGATTGCCATCTTCCTGGCGGGTTGCCAATCGGCTGCAGGTTTGCGCCTCTGTGTCCGGATACCGTAAGTGTCGTAGTTGTCTTCCACAATCCAACCTTTAATCTCTGCAGGTCGAAATCTGCGTTGACTCCTGATGAGTGCTTTGCGCTCGATACACTGGTGTATGGAGATAAGCCAATCTGGAATGCAACCGAACTCGTTGTGTACTTCCTCCCAAAGGTTTGGAGTGCTGAAGATTTGTGCCCACTCTGCTTCGGAGCAGTCTTTTGCATTGAACATATTGTTAGAGTCGTGATTTCAGAGCTTGACTAACGTAGAGATTGAAGGGATTGGATATAAGTGGAAGATTGAGAGGAAAGCAAGAAGTGTGAAGTAGATGGTGGTTCGAGTAGTAAGAAAACTTGCTGAAGGACGGGCGCGAGACTTCTGAATATCAGGGGGCTGGCAGGAGCCAAAGGGGCTGGGAGCAGGCCTAATGAGAGGAATGACGCATAGAGTGTACATACCTTTTCTTCTGTGAGGTGAAAGGACCTGCGAAACCTCGCTAGCAATCACGGTGCGAGGTATGTCAGATTTTGATGTTGGAGCCAGTGAGCTACTCCATTCCTTGAAGTATTGTTACATGTATCCAGTCAGTTATACAAGGTCTTGTTGGGGGATCTTGACATTTCTGCTGGCGTGGGGTCGTGGTAGTGAGGTGAGTAGTGAATGGTCTATTCGGTTTTGGTGCGCACTAGCACACATTGGGCTACGCTAGCGCATCCCGGATTTAGGCACTTGCATATCCGCCCCACTGCTTCATCGCGCATGCGGGCGAAGCTATCATCTAAGGTACATATGTCGTCGTGAAGCGCCACTATGCGTGTGTGCAATCTCATCTCATCATGACAAGTGCCACGCCATCGTCGTCAAAGCCAGCTCGCCCACGATCCCCGCACTTTCCTCCACACAACGCTCCACGTGTATGGTTCATCACCAGGGGTGTATCCCCAATCGCCATCGCATTAGCAAGGCAGGTACTTGAGCATGGCGATTATGTAGTAGCTGGTGTTGTGCCTACAGAGTTCGAGAAAAAAGAAGGCCAAAGCGAAGACTTTCGCAATTTCCTCGAGGAAGTGAAGAGGACTGACAGATGGCGTGAACGATTGCGAGTAGTTGGTCTGGATGCAAGAGTCGTTGGTCAATGTCAGGCAGCGGTTGCAGAAGCAGTCGAAGCTTTTGGGCGTATCGATGTGCTCTTGTGTGCGGCTAGCGAAGGTAAACCCTGCTCCTTCCCGTCGTAGCAAGCTTAGCTGATGCTGGATTACAGCTGTGATCGGTGCTGTAGAAGAGTTGGCTCAAAGCAATCGCACTGTAAGCTTGGTGGACGAGATCTTCGAGATCAACTTCTTTGCCAATGTCAACATCATCAAAGCCATCTTGCCAGTAATGCGAGAACGGAAGAACGGTCATATCATAGTCATAACTGGCATAAGTAAGCTGCTTTCAAACTCTATACCTCGCAGTACTAATCATGCATAGCCGGCCATCTTGGCACACCAGGACTGGGCATGTACTGTTCCTCGCAGTGGGCGACCGAAGGATACTGCGACGTAGGTAATCCATCTTCAGTCTCCATGCTTTCGTTAACGATGTGCAGAGTCTCGCGTATGAAATCGCCCCTTTCAACGTCAAGATGTCTATAGTGCAAGCCAACATGGAAGTCAATGTGTTGACCAACCGCATCACTTCAGTACCACCCATGGCCGAGTACCTGCAAGAAGAGAACCCTGCTCCCCTCGCACGCGAAATCTTCTCTGGACTTCTGGACAAGTTGGAGCGCATCGAGAACCCACGCCCAGGTTTCGATGCTAGATCCCCGGACAGCGAAACCACCACTACCCCGGATGCTGGCATGGATGAGCCTACTATGGGCGATCTGCTCAGCTCGGACAGAGTAACATCGTTGTATGCGCCGTTGCCGTCAGCTGTCAAGAGTTCGTTGATCGCCGAAACAGTTCATGCATTGACTGCGATTGGTGGACATGATAATCCACCGGCGAGGCATATCGTTGGTACAGAGGGTGTCACGGCCGTTAAGGAGAAGCTGAAGACAACAAGCGAGGAGCTGGAGGACTTCATCGAAGTCAGTAATGCCGTGGACATTGCAAAGATGGATCACGACACTATGAGTTCGATGGGTTTTGATCTTAACATGATGTAATGCTTACATTACTCACGAACTTGAGGCCACTAGGCAGCAGCAAAATTCGTGCCTGCTCCGCATCTGCGGCTTGAACCGATAGTCTTTAGAGGTGTACTTAACATAAGTTTCTAGAGGAGCCTGCACATATATGCAGGTGCAAGATGCTCTGCCTATCTCTATAGAGGTCTTTGAAAATATACAGGCTACCTCTTCACCTCTTCTCGTAAGGAAAAGGCGGGCATAAATTTTGCCTGCGCCTGGTGAGGCTAGCATGTTCGCACAGCAAGAATGAAACAAAATGGAGATATGAATGGAGCAATAGCCCCTTCTTAACAACATAAAAAACAGGGCTCCCATCATCTCAAGTCAACGCTCATTCCTTCAAGTTCCGCGACGCATAGCGTTAATTGCAACTCCCTCTCCATCAATCTAGACTCAAACAAGTACATCCCGACCCAACCCCACGAGTCGGTATCTCGCACCGCACGGATGGCAATCTCGATATCCATCGATCTGGTTGAAAGCCCAGCCAAATGTCTTACTTGTCGTGCTTCAACCAAGTTTCTGTCAAGCGTGGTAATGTACGCATGTGCCCGCCCGAACGGAAGACCATTGTGAAATCCCTGCCTAAAGCGTAACTCGTTCGTAGCCTCAGCACCATCTCTATAAGCATAGGCTGCAGCGGACCCGTCATCAGCCGATCGAGTTCCCAGCATGTTGTCGTAAGCGTCGTCGTAGCGGATGGGTTCGGTATTGCGTTCTGGTGAGGACACGGACACGCGGCGGGCATCGCGAAACCCTCCCGTTTCGAGTAGATGTTGGATACGAGCATCGACGTTTTGAAAAATGGCAGCTCGGGGTAGTGGACGTGGTCGCGGGCCATAGACTGGTTGGGGAGCGCCTTGTAGGACTATTCCATGAGTCTCTAGAATCGCGACAACGGCTAACCTGTAACAGTCCAACATCATGGCCAGCACCCATTGAGTCTCTGGATATGACGAAGGAAAACGCAGTGCTCTTGTCACTTGGTTCATGTTGGAACGCAGCGCTTCAACATCTCGCACGGGGGAAAGGAACTCGAATCTATAGATCGTGTGTGTCGCATGGATATTGCTTCTAGCTGTTCCATTATGAACGCTATCGGTGCGAACAACGACCGGTTGGAGACTTTGAGGATTGGTAGAATTGCTGTCAATATCGATGGTGTCATTTGGAGTGCTGCAATCTGGAGTGTTGCTGTTTACGCCGGGATGAGGGAAAGGTATGTCGATGGTAAATGCCATTGTTGAATATCCACGGATTGGAGCACAGATATCGAGTAAAGAAAGTGATTGTTGTAGCGAGATGCCGCAATAGTAATGGGTTGCGTATGCTTGTATGTATGAGCGAAAGAGAACGGATCCTGAGTGCCTGGCCTGAAAACAGATGCATAGCTTTCACAACGATTTGAGGCAGTGGCGTAAGGCCTTCAAAACGAGCAGTTGTGATATCATGTATGCGCCTGGAGGATGTCGCGGCCGCCAACGCCACTCTTGTTGCACCTTCCTTCCTTTCCGGCGTCACCTCATACCAGTTGGCAAAAGACAGTCAAGAAGCACGCATCGCCGCCGGAGCAGCCATAAATCCGAAGCCAGTGGTATTGCCTACGCCGGTGTCTTTTAGCCTAGACTGATCCGCCTTCCATCAAGTGTAGACATGTTGCCATCGTCCCAAAATTCCCCATGGTTCTGGTCTATCCAAAATCATTCGCAGTACCTTAGCGTCCAATTCGCTGGTATCAAGACCAGCCAGCGCTCTTGCTTGACGCATATAGATAACGCGAGCGTTGGTCCAGTAGACATCGGGAAAGATCCAACGGATCCTACTGTTGACTAAGGTGCCATCTGGCCTCATTCTGAAAATCGGTTGTGTGATGTCGCTCATAAGGCCGTGCTTTGGGGGACTTTGAGTTTAGGAAGGTGAGTGTGGGCTAAAGAATACGGAGTTGAAAAGAGCTATAGCTTTCTGGAATGTTTGTCGTGGGTACGGGAAAACATTGTTACCAACATATGGGCAGACTGCTCATTTGGCTTTGAGCGATCAAACCGACCGCACATTCGACATTGCAAAAATCCTCAAAGATGCTTTCAAGTGGAATAAAGAAGGCATGTCCGGCACAGGCGACCAGTGGACGCCTTATTTCGAGTTTCCATTGGTTCTGAAAGCTCTCCCAGCGGGTGACGCAGACGAGGAAATCAGCATGCCGTGGTTCCACACCACCGACCAGAAATTGATGCATTACAACATGCACAATTTCCTCGTCTCAATTGTCGCCTATGCTGTTGTGCCCGAACCAGACGTCCTCGAAATCTGGAGAGGCGCATTTGTTCAGCATGCACTAGATTCGAGATCTGGGCAAGTAGACGACCAGTACAATTCAAACCTCGGACAGGTAGCGTATGACAACATGACGCTTCACAAGTCGGACACCGAACTTCTGGCCTCGTTTGCCTTCAAAGATGGGCCATTCGCCCAGCGCGTTGTGGTGCGGCATCTGTCTGGCAGTTTGCCATCTCGTACCTATCCAATCAGGCGGGCGCTCCTGGTGCCCCTTGGGCCATTCATTGCGATTCCTTTCATTATTATCAATGAGTTCATTGAGGCACTTGGGGCGATTTTGAGTTACACACTGGTCCTGGTAAGTCTTCTTGCCGCGTTGGCTGGCTATCGCAAATTCCGGATATCGAGGTGGAGGCAGAGCGATAGCAGAAGCCGATCAATGAATATTTGGGGCCCTACAGGCCCGGTCGAACCAACGAAACAGCGCGACTGGCTGAATGAGGAGAAAGATATAGGCTTGCAGCGCCCAAAGACGATGCGAGTAGGAAGAAGTTGGAGAAATTGACATTTGGAAGCTTTGCTATTATTGAGTCGAGAAAATAAACTTGTGAAACACCCCACGTTGCATTCATCATTCCGGTGCCCTCTGACCTCGTGTCTGTTTTTGACCAGCTAACGGCGCCAGTGAGTTTCTCTGGGAGCACAGCGTTAGCACATGCATGGGCAGCGGAGAAAGGGCGCATTCAGCCGCAAAGGGAGACCGCTGCATGCTTTAGTAACCATGGAATTCAGGCAGTTAGCCGGTGAGCCATTTCGTGAATAGGTACTCGGTAGTGAACTAATCAACGCGGGGTGCACTAGCCGAGCCATGGCGGTTGAAAGATTCCAAGGTTCGCAATAGACTTGCACGTGACGGGCCGGGATCAGCAGGCTCGAACTTCCTTCATCCTATGGGGAATGCGCAATTACTGACAGCAAGTGAGGACAGCAGGGCCAAGAAGGCTCGTGGCACATGCAAAGGCTACGGAAAATGGTTAGTAGGGCCTGGCCGTTACATGGCTTATCCATATGCATGCAATGATTTCGTGCTCAGACCCAGCTCGGCAACTAGGCCGGACCCTGGGAGCTCTGAAAAGTTCCTCTCCCGCAGTTGACGCAGCGCTCGATTGATTTCACCACCATGCTTCCCAATTCTTGAGACACTGCTCTACCAGCGCCCACTCGGCGACTAGGCCCCAAAACGTTCACTCTGCGTCTTGCGCGCACACGACCCTGAACATCCTTTCACCTTTGTACCATCTAGAGGCTTGACTGAAAGACCCCACCACTTTCATCATGGTTCGCAACATCGTCGTCCTGGGTGGGAGCTCTCACCCGCAGCTCACCGAGTATGTTGCGACAGCAAAGGAACTCCTCCGGCATCCCGCTGACCAGCGCGCAGGACCATCTGCAACCACCTCGGCATACCACCTGCCAAGGTGCTGCTTGACAAGTTCAAGGGCGGTGAGACGCGTGTAGAGATCGAAGAGAGCGTCCGTGGAAAGGATGTCTTCATCATCCAGTCTGGTGGAGGCAAAGGTATGCTTCCTCCTTTTCGTTCGACGCGTCCTGTGTTCTGCTGGGCCTTGCTTGGGGTAGCATCCGTCCTCTCGCAAACTTGATGCCGGAAACGGCTTCCACCCATTCTGAAGTGACGACGCTAACTTCACGCGCAGTCAACGATCACTTGATGGAGTACGCCCATCCTCACGATGGAGTTGTATGAAGTACCTGACCGTCTCTTAGACTCCTCATTACCATCTCGGCATGTCGCACTGCCTCTGCGAAGCGCATCACCGCCGTTCTCCCTCTCTTTCCCTACTCCCGCCAGTCTGATATCCCGTACAACAAGACTGGTGCGCCTCTCTCCAAAGTCCCAGGCTCGCGGTCCAGAACTGGCACATACACCTTCGACTCTCGGCCGCAGACCCCACATCCCGGACAGCCTGAGAGCGCGGGTATGACCAATGGCGCTACTGCTCTCCACCACCAGCTCAGTAAGATGAAGATGGACGAGCGCGCCGGAGGTGGTCCTACTTCCAATCCTGTCAGCCCCGTCAAAACCAACGGCATCAAGCGCAGCGACACCGGCGACTCCAAGTCAGACAAGAACGGCTATTTTGAGAAAGATCACGGTGCGAACGGCAGCCCCGTCATTAACGGTCTCTCGCGACAGTCCACGACCAAGCCACCTGCTTTCGAACCCCAGGTCGGGTATCGCCAGTGGGTTGCTCAGGCTGGTACACTCATTGCCGACCTTCTGACCTGCGCCGGCGCGGATCACGTCATTACTATGGATCTTCATGGTACGCAGTATACTCGAGTTGTGCATCAAGTCTTGCTAACAAACTGCAGATCCCCAGTATCAGGGCTTCTTCGATATCCCCGTGGACAACCTCTACGGGCGCCATCTGCTCCGCAAATACATCCAGTTTAATGTTCCCAACTACCTGGATGCCGTCGTGGTCAGTCCCGACGCTGGGGGTGCCAAACGTGCGACCGCTATTGCAGATGCGCTCGGCATGCCCTTCGCGCTCATCCACAAGGAACGCCGCCCCACGCAGATCAACGACCGGCAAAATGCTACCATGATGTTGGTCGGAGACGTCGCAAACCGCACCACCATTCTCGTTGACGATCTCGCCGACACATCGAACACGATCACCCGTGCCGCGAAGCTGCTGAAGAAGGAAGGTGCGACGGAGGTCTATGCGCTCATCACGCACGGCATTCTGAGCGGTGACGCGATCGATCGCATCAACGCTAGCGCCCTCGACAAAGTGGTTGTGACCAACACAGTCGACCAGGCTGATCACAAGGCACGATGCCCCAAGTTGGAAGTGCTGGAGGTGGGCAATGTGTTCGCTGAGGCAATTCGACGTGTCCACCACGGCGAGAGCATCAGCGTGCTGTTTGACTACAGCTAGTGGCTGGGCTAAACCTGTGCTTGCTTTCCCATGTCGAGTGTTTTCGGGCCGATGGTCAATGTATCGCTGTGAATATCCCTCACACCGACTGAAAAAGAAAGAATAGAAAAATTAGAGGCGTTTGGCGGGTGGTTTATTCATGGGGCACATTGGGTCGTTCTTACCAACTTTGTACACTCAGCAATGCTATGTGCTGTACTGCATCCAGTGTCTTGTCTTCAATATCTGCTGAGAAGTGGCTTGTTGACGGACCTGCTTGTATATTATCTACTACACATCAATTGCAAACTTGCATGGCTGCATTGGGTGGCGTTGAATGGTGCAGAATCCTTCAAAAGTTTGAATCGAGAAATTTTTGTTCACTGGGCGTATGCAATCAGGTGCATGTGATTGTAGTATCTTTGAAATTGCGTGTCAAGAAGTCTCAGCATTCAAATGCAGTCACTAATTCGTGCGCGTAGTTCACACAAATCTTCAGAGTTCTTAGGACCTGTGTCTATTCACACCCACGACAGCGCTTCTCCATGCCTCTAATATAGTTTCTCCAAGGTATACGCAGCTACATCAGTATCCATTGCGAAGTCAAAAGCTCAGTGAAAGGCTTCAGCTTGGTTAATCACAGTCACGGTCAAGCGGCAAATCAGGCAGGATCTCGAGAATATGCATTATTATACTACCCGTCTAGAGGGGAATGAGTCAACTACTCTCCAGCGAGTGTTGTGGGTATCGAATAGCAAACGCCAAGTCCCAACGTCCTTGGGCCTAAAGCCGCCGAAGCTGTGCAAACGAAAAGAAAATGGTGGCCATGCCTCCCCAGCTAGGAAATAAAAACACTTTTTAAACGCCGATAGGGTGTGCTGGACATCGCCAGCACCCTGATGCAATGCAACGTAGTCGTAATAGTCATGCCTGAGTCTAGACAGGGCTCAGCTCCTCCTCCTCCGAGGCGTAAGTGTAGGTTGGGTCAGGCCACACGTTGGTGGCAGCAGCAGCCTTCCACTCATCGGAGTTGGTAAGGGCGTGCACTCCAGCCCAGTCTTCGGAGGTGAGGTCCAGGTCCTCCGCATCCGGCATGTCGTCGAACATGTTTGTAGGTACCAAGGGCGTACCCGTCAGGAAGGAGGGGTTGCCAGCATCAGACAGGACACTGGGCGAAGGGACGAAAGCCTCACGCAGACGGCTAGGCTTAGCAGGGGTGTGCTTCATCAACTTCTGACGCTGGCGCTCAATCTCATCCTTGGGCTGCTCTGTGGTAGCGGAGGGAGCTTCAGCGGCGGCAGGTGTTCCGGCAGCTGGACCTCCAGGAAGGGGAGCATGAGCAGGGACAGGAGCTGGGGGCGGCGGCTGAGTCCAGAGAGGAGAGGCCGTGTTGTCGGCATCAGAGGTCTCGCCTTCAAGAATGGTTGACTCGTCTTCCGACTCTTCCGAACCATAGTCGAGGCCGAATGATCCTTGCGATGGGTTATGGGTGTTGGTAGCTTCCTTAGTCGCCTCTTCAACCATTTCATGTTCGTCGGCTTGGAATTCTGCGGAGGCTCCATGTCCGCGCAGCTCCTTAAAGATGTTGCTGCCGGACTGGTGGGGCGGTGAGGATGTGAAGATTGGGGAAGGCTCAACCGAGCGACGAGGGTGTAAGTCCATGAGAGATGCAGAGTGGCCATGACTGTCATGGAGTGGCTCCGTGGCACGGTCCATATCGTTCAAAGACAGCGTATCGTCAAGACCCATGGAGACCTCATGGCTGGCCTTCATCCTCTTTTTCATGGGTTGTTCCTGCTCTGAGATGATCTCTAGCACGACTGCCCAGACTGGGACGATGTCCTCATCATCGAGGTGGCCGAGTGGATCACCGAAGCCAGATTCCCAAGGCTTGCTGGAGGGAAGCTGCTCCAAGTCCTGTAAACGGACGGGTTTCTCGAGACGCTGGCGCATGACAGGAAAGTCCAAGTAGTTCTTTAGGGTGGGGATCATGTGCTTTGCCCACTCCTGTGCCTTGGCCATGTCGCCGGGCTCAACACCCTTGGTGAGCAACTGGAGCATCAGGTTCCGCTTTTGCTTCCTAGGGCGCACTTGCCTACGTTCGCCAACAGGTGTAGGTGGGGTGGAAAGCAGCTCGGTGAAGCTGTCTGGAGGCGGAGCACGCGATGTAGATGATGGGGCAGGAGAAGGTTGCGCTGGGGTCGGGGTTGACCATCCAATCCTCGACTTGATCGCAGATATTGACCGAGTGAGGAATGATGGTTTGCTGATGGTGCGCACAGGCGTTGCCTCGGCAGCTTTGCGAGCAGTTTCACTCTCGGTGGTTTGTTGTTCGGGTCGTTGTGACGACTGCATTTCTACGTCGCTTTCGTCGTCGGAGTCGGGTGATATGGTGTGTGTCTCTTGCGCAGAAGTCGTAACGTGGTCGAGGAGGTCAAAGGCTTCGGCATTGCCTTCGCCATACCTGTCGTTCATGCCGAATGTCTCGATTTCTAGTCGTACTTCGTTAGCTGGGGACCAATAGCTCTGAGGTAGATACGTAGGCGGCGAAGGCGGTAGACAGTGCTTCAATCGTGCAATCTCCGAGTCCCTTGCCCATTTGTAGCCCTTCAGCTCGATGTTGTCTCCTTGAAGTCTGAAGTTCCTGGCCTGAACAGCTTTGAGTTGCTCTCGGAGATAGTAATTCTCCTCGCGCAGTTGTGCCTCTAGAGGAGTGTCTGTAGAGACGTGTCCTGTGAACTGGGGGTAGGATACAAACTTGGTATCTACATCGGCTGAGACTCTGACCCAGGTAGGCACATGAGTGGCATAGGTTGAGGGTGAGGGAGAGACATAGGGAGAGCCGGGCTCGTCGTGCGGAGAAGCAGACTCGCGATGCGGCGTGACAGGATTGCCTTCGGAGAACGTTGCAGTATCATCCTGATGGCAGGTGAAAGCTTCGTGCATATAGGCATCATCGTTCAGAAATGCGAACGAATCGTTGAGACGAGGAGAAGAGCCAACAGGAACAGACTCGATGTGCTTAGAAACGGCAACGGAATTGATGTGCTCAGGAACGGCAACAGAATCAATGTGCTCAGGAACTGCAACGGAATCGTTCTGCTGACCAACAGCATCGGAATCGTTGACTGCTCCATTGGGGGCGTGAATAGGAGGGGGGGTAGGGTAAATGAGAGAGAGCGACTTGCGCTGGTTACCTTTAAACAGGCTATTAGTGTGTTCAGAAGGGGGAAAGAAGAAACTTGTTGCATACTCTGTGTGAAGAAGATTCCCTCGTCATCGTTGCTCTCGTCCTGTGCAGGCGTGGCCGGCTGCTCAGGCGTGGCACTGCGGCCAATCTTGTCGTAGTGTGACGCGCCATACTTTCGCTTTGTCTTGAGGGGGGTTGCCTTGACTACTGGGTCTTTTGCGCTGGACGCGGACGCTTGCTGCTGGATGTCCTCGAGAGACTTGAGCGGTGAGTCGGTCTGCTTCGATCGCGTGCGCCTCACCGCAGCCATTGTCGTCGTCGCTGCTACACTCTTAGACGTAGTCGTGGTCGCGACAGCTGTGGCCTTCGTGGTGGTGACTGTGGGAGCTGCTGTCTTCGCGGCTGAAGGGGTGCGAGCGGTGACCTTGCGGCGGCTAGTCTTCTTTACGGTAACAGGCGCTTCATCGACTTCTTGCTCCGTCGAAGCAGCAGGCGCAGCGTGCGATTGCTGAGCAGGCTCGGCGGCCTTGCGGCGCGTCACAACCATCGCGAATGGTAGCTGAGGGTGAAATCAGTTGGAGCGACGCGCAGCAGCCGCGAGGGACTTACGGGCACAAGCTGTGCAATTGCAAGTTTCAATGGGTCGTGGGTACAATGCGATATGAGTTACGACCAATTCGAAGTGGTTTTGGGTGAATCGCAATGTAACTCGAGCTGTGTCGAGAAGTAATGCAGACAGGCGCGACCTTTGTTGCTTATCGGGCCGGCTTGGCGTCCTGTGATTACTTAAGCCAATCTTGTAGCATCAACAATGCGCGAACGGCTGGTGTGTGCGGGGTATCCTAGCAACCATTTGCTCGGTATTGCTAGAATCGTCTTCATGAATGTTTTTGTGAGTCACACATATCTCGTTGATGAAATACGAACTCGCACCTGCCAGAAATCTAACTCATCTGGCTTTCTTCTCGAAATAGTTAGGGTCCCTCTCCTTCTCATCTCAACGATTCATTTGCAGCGCTGTCAACAAGCCGTACTACAGTAAGCTCCATTACAGCTTACAGCTTATACAAGCTGTGGGTAGCAGAGGGTAAGTAGGTAGGTCCTATAGTGATACTAGTAATCACTCAGGAGTTATAGGACCAGGTACATTAATTACGGTTCAGCATATATAGGAGAACTAGCCAAAGGCTCAATTGAGGTTAGCTAATACATCTCTAATCTAATATATAGTTGTAGATGTCGGTCTCACCGCGCAGCAGTCCTGAAGGGCTAGTATCTATCCCGAAGGGACTATCTAATTCGCCCCTACTAGAATATCTAACTCTAGAAGAAAAATATCCTCTATAGCCCTTGCTGTTGCCGTGCAAAGACAACGTTTTTCGTCTATACCTATAGTTTTAATATTCCTTGCTATTAATTAGAGTAGTTAGAGCGTCTTACGTAATCTTTGCAGACTCTTATTTTCCTAAGTATACTAGTATCTTATCTTCGCGTATCTGCAACTATCTTAAAACTTGCGCTTAGCTTAACTACTATTACTTTCTAGCTACTATGCTACTGCGTCGTCCTAGTTAACTGCCTTCTGCTTCTATACTAACTAATTTCGCGCCTATAGTAAGCTAGTTATTATTCTTAATATTCTATACTAGCTGCAAGCTCTACAAAGCTCCTAGTGCTTTTGCTTTTAACTAGATTAGTACTGCCTTCTAGCTGTATACTAGTTGCTCTAGAGTATTTATATCTATTATCTCGCCTTTTATTATATTAACCTCTATTTAGAGTAGCTGCGCAACCTAAAAACGTTATTAATTTCTCTTCTTACTGCCTATAACGCTCTCTCTTAGTTCTTTTTCATCTCTATTATTAACCTTTACGCCTCTGCTATTATTCTTAGAGATATCGCTAGGCGTTCTTAGTCCTTTTTTATCTTAATTATCGCTCTTTACGCTCCTGCTATTATTCTTAGAGATATTGCTAGACGTTCTTAGTTCTTTTCCTATATAATATAATAACGCGTTTATTAACGAACTTCCTCGCAACGTTCTTAATACTCTTTAAGATCTAGATTAGCCTGCAGCGATTAATTATAACTATTTTAACCTTAGTCTATTATTTATTCTCTGCGAATTCTATTATACTTAACACTAAATAGCTAAGCGTCTATCCTCGTCTAAGCCTAAAGTACTAATTTTTACGAGTTATTATAGTAATAGGCTTATAGACTTGCTAGAAGTACCTCTGCTACCTAAATACTTAAAGAATTTACTTAGGTTAAATAGTTCTTAGGCCTATAACTTCTATATAAATATCTATTGCTATAACGCTGCCTTTGCTTTTACGTCTTTAGACTGCACGCAGACTAATTAAGGCGTGCAGAGTAGTAGCGTGCAGGTTTTTTAGATTTATAGCGCTCTTTACTATTATTTTAGTCTATTAGAGAAACTTAAGAGTTAGTTACTGCAGTACGCTTAGCTATATTTTTATAATCTAGACTACGCTTCTGCTATGCGTCTCTATTATAATTTATAATTATAGTTTAGTACTATTCTTAGTCTTACTAAGATGCTCTATAATATTAAGAATCTATATATTAATATTTATAAGATAGTTAGAAATTATTTATAGAAAGCACTATAGAATTCTTACGTTATTCTTACTTCTTAGCTTACTATTACTTTAGAAACTAGTTCTAATTAACGCTGTAAGAACGTTCCTACTAGTAACAAAGTTAGTTTAATTATCTTAGATGCAGCTGCTATTAATACTGCGCGTTCTATCGTTCTTACAGCTTGCAATTCTACTACTTTATTCTATATTAACGCCTATTACCCGTCTTATATAGCGTTATACTATATGCTTATATTTCCTATAGGCTAGAGAGAATAGCACCTAGGCCTTTTGCTTCGTAATTTGCCTAATTAGGATAGTTCTAAGCGTAAGTAAGAGCGTTTAACGCAGCAAATATACTATTAGTACTATTTATTCTCTTATCCTAGTAGTATGTCTATTTCTTTTAACTTTTACTATCTTTTCTAATAGTATATAGTTAATATTTAGGCTCTTCTTAAGCAGTCTGCTTTGCTTTTCTACAAACTAAACTAAAAGCAGCTCTATGCAGATCTCTATTAAGAGATTGCAGACGCTTTAGTTAGTAATAATAGATCTGCTATTTAGTTAGAACGTCGTATTATTCTCCTCTTCTCTTATATTAGCAGTTTATAGAATATAAGTCTATATTATTAGAATTCTATAGCTGTTATTCATCGTTTAGAACGTTTTACGTTGTTTATTACCTTTACAGTAACATCTTAGTAGATTAAAGTAGAGCGTAAGCTTTATTAAGAATAGTTAAGTATTAATTATCTAGACCTTATATGCTAAGTTTTCTATTTAAAGATAAAAGAATTACTCTATAAGCTAGTTAAGAGTCTTTTTAGAGAGCATCTTAGTTATATATTTACTATTAAGTACTAGAAACAAGAGTTACTTTATATTTATCTGCTTCTTTTCTTGCCTGTAGTTATCTGTAATCTCTTTATAGATCCTAGTTATATTAATTCTTATATTTAGGCTAAGATTCTAACTATAGAAGAGGATCCTTCTAGCGTTCTTACTGCTCTTATAAAGAAGTTTATAATCTATAGACTATATAGTAAGCATAATCTAAATGCTTCTTATATAGTTTATAGGCCTAGAGAAGCTTTTCTAGTTTATTTAAAGAAGTTTCCTAAGCCTTTCTATGCTAAAACTATCGTTTATTAAGATAGTTATCCTAAATATTAACAGCGCTAGAACTCTCGCGTCCTTAAGATTAGGTGCTGTAGTATAGATATAAATATTAATAATAGCTAAGTTATCTCTTATAATTCTAAACTGCTTCTTAAGTACGCTGCTTATATTAATATTAAAGTTTGCAGTACAATTTACGCTATTAAATATATCTATAAGTATATCTATAAGAGCACTAACAGAGCTGTTCTTAACGTTACTAATAGTAATAAGATCTAGCAGCACTTAAATAGTTAGTACGTTAGTCTCTTAGAAGCAGTTTAGAGAGTTCTAGATTATTCTATATATGCTAAATACCTACTAGTTAAGCAGTTAGCTATCTATCTACCTAACTAGCAAACTATTGCTTTTTCTAAAGATGCTACTTATAAGAACGTTTAACGTTGCCTTAACTATTCTATAACTACTCTTACTAGCTTCTTTAACTATAATACTGCTTATAACTATAGCTACTACGTTCTTTACTAAGATTTTCTAGAGCAATTTATCTAGTAACTATCTAAAAAGATATAGAAGTTACGTTAGAAAGGTAAGGCTATTAGCTATATATACTTTTATAGTTCTATCTAAAGTAAGCGTTACTATTTACGTTTGCTCCTTACTATTATTCGTAGTCTAAAGAGCTTTAAGAATCTGCAAACGTTTCTTAGTTAAGAATATCTAACCTTTTAGGCCGCTGCTACTGCTTATAGCTTACTATTATATAATAGTAATTAGATTAAATGCTTTAAGGAGGCTGTTATTTTCTAAACTAGTAGTACTTTATAGTTCTTTTTTATAGCTACTCTTTTAATAGGTAAGGTTTATAATCCTTTAGCTATATAGACTACCTTTAGTTCTAACCTCTATAATAACCTTTATACTTAAGCAGCTACCTTTTCTATCTCTTCTAAGCCTAACGTCTATCTTAATTATAGCCTTTACTTACTTAAAGGTGCTTTATTGCAGTCTAGTAAGTAGTTAGTAGACTTTTAGCTTCCTAATTGCTAGTATAACTAGAGTTTACAGACTAGTAACTAGCTAATAGCGTCTAAACTTACGTATAATACTATTAAACAAGAGAGTACTTTTATAGATACTTATGCTAGATTAAACGCAGATTAACTAGCTGTGTTTAATACTATTATTAATTAGATCGCTAATAATCTTAGTAAAGCTTATTTCTTTATTTAGAGTCCTGCTAGCACTAGTAAGACGTACTTATAGACGTCTATCTGCGCTTACTATTATTTAAAGAGTAAAATTATGCTCTATATTGCCTCTTCTAGAATTATAGTAGTATTATTGCCTAGTAGACGTACTACACATTTGCAGTTTTAGATTCTAATTAATATTTATAATAATTCTATTGCTAGTGTTACTCTCTATTCTAAGTTAGGTTATCTTTTACGATAGGCAACGCTCGTTATATAGGATAAAGTGCCTATGCAGCACTATTACTACTTTAAGGCTGTTTATTATATGCTCTAAGACGTACGTAGTTTATCTAATTTATTTAGTAAATTGCCTCTTATTGCTAGTAGAGACTTTGCCTAGATCCTTCTAGTTATCTATAGAAGTAGTTAAGCTGCTACTATAGACGCTTATCTCTAATAATCTTATATTATATAGCTAAAAATAACTATTCTCTATCTGCGTTAGAATATGCAAGTCTATTCTAGATAAGCTAATTAGCAGTTTATAGATTAGACGCGTACTTTAGCTACTAAGAAAACTAATAGGCTTATTTCTATACCTTCCTATATAATAGTTTTCTATAGTAAGGATACCTTTCTTACTTACGTTTATCTGCCTAACGTTATTAAGGCTGCTGTTACTAATTCTTAAGCTCTTACTAGTCGTGCTATACTTACTATGCAGAATAATAACGTTAGTAGTATTAATAATATACTTCTTAAAGACTTCTCTAGAGACGCTACTAAGCTTCTTTCTTATAATAGTGCTAAGATTAAGGATACTTCTGCTTAGGATAGACCTTTAGCAGAGGTGTTATAAGCTCTTAAACCTCTAAGTCTTTCTTCTTCTAAGCTAAAAGTAAAGGTTAGCGCTTCTATTATGCTCTTGCAGAATCTTTACCTTAGTTAAGGCCTTTATAATAGTACTTGCTTAATTATTTCCTATATTAGCCTATAGATACTTAAGGCGCAGATTATAGATAGTAAGTTTATAGAATAGTTATAGTTAATTCTGCATATTAAACTTACGTCTACTAATAGCAAACTACTCTTTATTATTACCTATACGCAGTTCTTAGTTTGCCTATTATTCGCAATTACTATAAATAAGTCTTAAGAATAGTCGCTAGCTATTATTAGTATTAATTTATGCTATGCAGTCTTTACTTATAGCTAGTTATATATTGCTCTCTTGTAGGTAACTACTCTTGCTAGTCTTTGTATATTATTATCTAGTATAACTAGTACTAAAGGTGCACGCGTTATCTAAAATATTATATATTCTAAGGTTTTACTTTCGTAAACTACGTTTTTAGCCTTAATTATACTTTATTTTTATATTTTAATATTCTTCTACGTCTAGTAACCTACTTTTCTTATATTAACTTTCTCTATTACCTTTTTATATATTAAAAATGCTCCTTTGCGTCTTATATTATATTTCTACCTTTATCTACTATTCTGTTACCTAATATTCTATTGTCCTAGTAACTAGAGGCTAGAGCGCTAAGCGCCTAGCGCTATTAGCTACTATATAATATCTATCTCGCTCTCTACCTCTATCTTTTCTATACTCTACTGCCCTCTACCGCCTGCGTTATAAGTATTATTGCTTTTTTTTAGCTATAATATCTTTTTTAAGTTATTACTAATATTATCAACAACTCTTAAAAATATTATACTGCTTTTTAGTCTTTTTCTATTATTTTTCTAGTTATTTTACTATATCTTTTATTATCTTTAAGGACTATTTCTATATTCTTACTAATTATTTTCTAGTCTTTTATCGTCTGCAAATACGTTCTAAACTAGCCTTTAAGGCTCTATATAGCCTATAAACTGCATCCTTTTCTATTCGCTTATACTGCCTTATAAGACTCTAAGGCCTAAAAAGGTCTCTCGTTAGACTCTAGTTACGCCTAAATCTAGTCTGAACCTTCCTGCTCTAGTTTCTAAAGAGTCTAAAATTGCTTTCTCTTTAGCTAAATTTAACTTCTCTCTGCCTAAAAACGTCTCTAAGACGTCCTTTAAGCTGTTTAAATTGCTTAAAACAGCCTAAAATTCATCTTTCGCTTAGCCTTTAGGATTGCTACCTTATTCTTTACTGCTCTTATTGCTCTCTATAGAGTCGCTAAATAACGTTAACAATAGCTTTAAGAATCCTTATAAGCCTAGAACTCTATCTAGATATATCTTTCCTAGTTAATCTCTCTATTCTTAAGTGCCTATTACAGATCCTTTACTGCAGAGTTTAGAACCTTAAGCGCCTATTTCTAGTCCTTAACTGCCTATTTTTAGTCCTTAACTACCTGTTTCTAGTTCTTAGCTGCCTATTTCTAAGCCTAAAGCGCCTATTTTAACTACCTAGCAAAAGAAGGCTGCTAGTAAAGCTGCTGCTAAACTAGCTAAATAGATGCTTAAGGACTAAGGTTGTGCTCTATTAGAGACGCTTTCTTAGAACTATTTTATTACTCTTTGCTCTTAACAGCTTAGAAATATAACCTATTAGCGCAGTTTAGTCTACTATAAGAACTCTTTATCTATAGAAACTATTACTAGTAAGTCTAATTTTATTATCTTTTCTTATCCTTATTAATAATTTCTAGAGCGATCTAGCAACGTTAAGGCTACTATAATATAGTTAACTAGCAACGTTAATAATCCTAAATGCTGCTATTGCAAGAATAGTTATAGTAAATAGGCTCTTTGCATATCTATTCTAGACTCTATAAAGAATACTTATAGTAATTACCTCTTCGTTAATAGCTCTCGCTGCACTATTTGTAGTAAGTTTCTTATCTTTTAATCTTTTTTTATTATTTACTAACTCTTTTTATAGTTTTTAAGGATAATTTAGACGTTAAGAAACTGCTATCTAAGACCTCTAGGAAGCGCAGCGCGCTCTTAACTCCTATTAAACTATCGTTAAAGAAGGTTAAGAAGGAGGTTAAGAGGTCTAGTAAGAAAGGAAAGATTAAGGGCAAAGCTGTTAAGGATAAGTCTAAGGGTGCTAAACTAGTTAATACTACTAATATTGCTGCCCTTAAGACTGCTCTTACAGCTCTTAAGGAGGCTAAAGTAGCGCTTAATAGCTTAATTGCTACTGTCTCTGCTGCTCTTATTAATCAGATTATATAGTTTAAGGTGGTTTTATAGAGTTTTCAGACCTTATACCTCTTCACACTACTTTTACGGGCCTATATAGGCTGGCTTTTCGGGCCTATAAATCTATAGTTTACTGCCAATTTTGCTATAGTGATTATCCTGCTTACTAACAATTTAACATTTCATTCATTGGCCAATCACTAGGCATTTAATAGGCTAAACATAGATAGAAACCTTGGAAGTTAATGTAGGAAACAAGTGATCGTAGCAGTACTATTCTCCGAAGGCGATGCTGTTACGCCTCAGCACGACCCAATAGTCTGCGGTGGCACACTCTCCAACGTCGGCACAACCGTCTTAATCAACCCAGCCTCATCAAAGTACACCCTATCTACAGTTGTCTCGCGATTTGTCCCACCCCCATTCGGAATAGCAAAGCGATGGTACGCAATATACCAATCATCCGTGCATGGCACGTTGACAATGCTGCTATGTCCCGAACCGAGTATACCCTTGCTCGTATCCTTCTGCAAAATCACACCACGGTACTGCCACGGGCCATGCACGGAATCGGATGTCGCGTAGCCAACGCGGTAGTTCTCGGAGCCTGTGTCGTCGATTGAGTAGGTTAGGTGGAAGATGCCGTTGCGGTAGTTTACGAATATGCCCTCACGGAAGTCGGGCAGGTTGGGGATGGCTTTGATGCTGCCGGGGACGAGAGAGAGCATATCTTCGGACAATTCGGCATACAGGGCGGGCTCGCCATTGCCCCAGAATAGGTAGTACTTGTCGGTAGTGGGGTCGTGGAAGGCGGCGGAGTCGATGGCCTGGCCGGTCTTGACGGCTTCGTTGTTTAGGATGAAGGCCTGGGGTTGCGCGGTGAAGGGGCCTTCGGGCGAGTCTGCGACTGCGACGCCGATGGTTTTGCGGTCATAGGTCGGATTCTGGCCACTGAAGTAGAAGTAGTATTTTCCGTTGCGCTCGATGATAGTGGGGGCCCAGGCGTTCCCGGTGGCCCAGGGGACGTTGCCGGATGTACCGTTGAGGGTGAGGAAGGGCTCGGCGGAGCGTGTCCAGGAGACGAGATCGGGAGAGCACCAGACGTAGAAGACGTTCCCACCCCAGCCGGGGAATCCATCGGTGGTGGCGTAGATGTAGTATCTGTCACCGAAGATGGCGATGTTGGGGTCGGCGTAAAGACCTGGGAGGACAGGGCTCTTCCGTGCTACGAGTGCTGCTTTCTCTGGCTCCCTCTTTGTGGCTGAGGTGGTTGTTCCACGTAGTGCAGCGAGTTCCTTTGCGGTCACCGGGACGACGGTACCGTGGCGAGGGCTGGCGGGGAGCTTGTATGAAGCGGAGACTATCCAGCTTGGGTTGGCAATGTCGAGTGTTTCCAATGGGATGTATCCACGTCCTGAGTACTCGTCTACGAAGAGGTAGAACTTCTGGCCATTAACGTCGTTGGGGTTAGCCTTGAAGGAAGTAGGACCCTCAACAGCACTTGTGCCTGCGTTCCTGCCAATGCATGCAGCAACTCGGGTCCACGAGCTCAATGTTGCGCGGAGCGAGGTTGAGCGCTCTTGGATGATATCTGCGCAGCCAGTTCCAGAAGCACCCTCGTCCTTGGTGAAGCGGAAGTATGCGTCGCCTTCTTTGATCACAGTCGAATCAATACGTGCCCTGCCATCGTCTTGCCATACCACTGGCTCACTGAAGGTGACAAAGTCGCGCGTTGTTACATACAGCATACGATGGTACGAATTGCCGGTGTGGTTGGGATCGTTCTCTGCGTACAAGGATGAAGCCCAGAAGACAACATACTCGCCAATCTCGGTGTCGTAGTATGCTTCCGGAGCCCAAGTGTTTCCAGCATTGTCTGGCGATACCTTGACATGTCGTTGCTGGGACCATGTCTTGAGATCTTTGGACTCCCAGATCTCGAGGTAAAGACTGCCTTTGCGTACTGCATCGCCCCAGGAAGTGCCAGATCCGATTGAGAGATCCGTTGCCAACAGATAGAAGACGTCTCCCTCGTGTGATCGGATGAGGAAGGGATCGCGCAGTCCCTTGGTGCCTTGCGTTGAGGTCAAGATAGGTTGCTTATTGTTCAGCTCTGTCCAACTCAGAGCGTTGTTGCCTTCACTCGCAGCTAGGAAAATGTTCTCGCCTGCTCGCGAGTTGCCGGTGAAGTAGGCGAACGCGTATCCTTCAAAGGGGTCGAGCTGAACCGCTTGCCGTACTTTGGCACTGATTATTCGCTTTTGTGCCGTACCATCTGAATCGATCGTCGCTGTGAGGTCAACCACTTTCTCAGTATCCTGTCTCTGGACGATGCCATCGGCAGAAATGACCGATGGATCGCTACTAGACCATGTTACGTCCAGGCCTCCAGACGTCTTCGGTAGATGAAGGTTGCCACGGACATCTTCCACTTTAGTTATGGTGATGCTGTCCAGGGCCGCTTGAGCCTGAGCTGCCGCATTTGAGTTGGATGCTGGTAGCGACCACGCGCCGCGGGCGGCAAGAAGGAAAGGAACCAAACGCATGATCAGAGACTGCTCCAGAAATGAGAGGTAACGATGCTTCACGAAGATCACCTACACACTGCCCATCATATACAAATTAAAACACTGCCACAAGGAGCAGGTGGTACTACCCGGTCCTTAGTCAATAGATCATCCTCTTAACGACAAGAATCGCGCCCGGCCCTTTAATGAGCTATGTCCCTGGTAGTCCGAGCCTCGTAAAGTAAATCCACGAATACACGAGCACGGCTACAAACTCCAGGTCTGATGACGCAAGAACCTGGGGTAGGCCTCGTCTTTGCGGGGTGCGCGCTAGACCCAAAAACCCGGTCGCGCCTTGGATCATCGTGAAATGCCCCGAATTGCCGAGCGTCAAGTCGGGTAACTAACTATTTGTGAAGTCCTAGCCGGTGGTTCAATGGAAAGTGTAACCATGCCAATGGGTCGTCGATAGCCTGCTTACGGTTTCCTACCTCGATTTGCGACATTCGCCGCAGAAGATGGTGTAACCTTGTACCTAAAGTTTCGCACGTGCCTCTCCATCCGAGGTCTACGGTGCTTCTTTTGCAAAGTTCAATGGCCACATGCTACGTACAGGGCGACCTCTTCTTTTAGGTGCTGGGTTCCGGCCTTGGCCTTGAGCGACCACATGTGCGCCCGTGATCGTGGGTGCTTGCAATCAGCACTGTCCAGGCATTCTCAAAACGTAGTCGCGAGCGAGAGAGCCGAGAATTGGGTTGAATTGCCTTGGTGATACACGGATATCTACCGGACCTTTTGATCTGCGAGTGTCGTGCTTCTTTAATCCTGTTTGAACCATGGCGTTCCAGTCAGGAGAATACCTCTTCCATGGACAAACGCAGAGCCAACATTTGTGAGATGATTGCCTGTATACCGGCGAAGAAGAGGAGCCCAAAGCCTGGCCGTGCAGTCGTGTATCCAAAGAATATTGACAGACTGCCAGACGATGATAGAACACCGTCTCGAGGTTGCTCTCCTCCACAAGCTAAAACCTCTGTCAATGGGTGTGGCTTCGAAGCGCGTGTTGTTTCTCTCCGCGAATCCACGTTGCTGAAAGCAGTTATCAAGGCGGACAAAGAGACCCTCACCGATGCTGTCTGAGTCTGGCAGGGGCGATAGTGAATAGCAAGCTTCGGCACCGGGAGCTTGCCTGTGAAAGCTGGCGAAACGTCGCAGTCACGTGATGTCTGAAGCAACTCTCCAGGGCTGACATGTAAAGCCTACCTAGGTATCACGAGCTCAAGAAGATGCTGCCCAAGGTCACAAAGGTATGTTGCGTCCTTCATAATGTTGACACGGCGTGGTTCGGCTCTGATTGGCCAGTGCCAAGCCGAAGTTCAGCCGTTGGGAGCCATGACGACCTAGCTGTAGCTCTCTTGCCTGCGCGACCTTGACAGCAGTTCGCATCAAGCATCATGGAGGGCCTTTACTACAACGTCAAATACGGGTACATCTCCTGGAAGCCACAGACATGATTCAGTGACTAACGCGCGTCCACAGCTACGTCGAGGGCATCGTGCGCGGCTACCGCAATGCACTGCTCACCAGCCAGAACTACAGCAACCTGACACAGTGCGAAAACATCGACGGTATGACGCGAAAATCAGTCTCCTGCTACCATCTAACATCTCTCAGATGTCAAGCTACAGCTCGGGCCAGCTTACGGTGATTTCCTCAACTCGTTGCCTCCCAATCCCTCGACTTCTGCGCTCGCCGCTAAGACCACGGACAAGCTCGTGGCGGAATTCCGCTACCTCCAAGCCAACGCTACCGGCTCGCTCTCAAAGTTCATGGAATACCTCACATATGGGTACATGATCGACAACGTCGCGCTGCTCATCACTGGTACGCTGCACGAGAGGGACACCCGGGAGCTGTTGGAGCGATGCCATCCACTCGGCTGGTTTGAGACCATGCCCGTTCTGTGCGTCGCGACCAACATCGAAGAGCTGTACAACTCGGTTCTGATCGAGACACCTCTTGCGCCCTACTTCAAGGGCTCCCTCAGCCACCAGGATTTGGACGAGTTAAACATCGAGATTATCCGCAACACGCTCTACAAGAACTATCTTGAGGACTTCCACAACTGGGTCAACACCGCACCTGAAGTCGCCGGAACACCGACCGCCGATGTCATGTCCGAGACTCTGGAATTTGAGGCAGACCGCAGGAGCATCAACATCACCTTGAACTCGTTCGGCACCGAGCTTTCGAAAGCGGACAGGAAGAAGCTGTACCCCAGCTTCGGCAGGCTCTACCCAGAAGGCACTCTGATGCTCTCAAGGGCTGACGATGTCGAGGGTGTCCGCATTGCCGTGGAGGGTGTGTCGGACTACAAGACCTTCTTCGACCAGACTGGCCTGAGCGGCGGCGGCGGTGTGGGTAACATGTCAGGTGGTGTTGGCGGGGAGACTCGAAGCCTGGAGGATCTGTTCTACCAGAAGGAGATGGAAATTTCCAAGCTAGCATTCACTCAGCAGTTCACTCACGCCATAGTATATGCCTGGGTGAAGCTGCGGGAACAAGTAAGTGCACTAAAGTGGTGATCACATTCTCAGCCACTAACAATGTGTCCAGGAAATCCGCAACATTACCTGGATAGCTGAGTGCATTGCACAAAACCAGAAGGAGCGGATTGGAAACTACATCAGTGTCTTCTAAGCGCAGTAATCTATGTAGTTATAGCATGTTCGGTTTCATGGAGCGTTGGGTGGCGTTATGGTCTGGTTAGTATACCTGTGTTCAACATTTAGACTGTATATGTTGCTTCCCTGTTCCTTCCGTCCCCTTTACTGTCGTTTGGTGCTTCGTGCAGCTCTCTGCACTCATCTGCCTCACCGCTCAGTAAGCTGTCTCACTTTCACCTCGCGGCAGTCGCGATGGGACGTGTCACTCACGCGTACCTTCCTCCTCATTGATCACCCTTGCCGCCAAGACTTAAGCATCCTCGTTCTCACACTTCACCCATGACACTCACAAGCCTCTCCACGCTTTGCTTCTCTTCTTTTCGTTACCGCGCCTTGTCTCTTCAGCGTCTTGCTTAGTGTGATTTCATGGGGAACAGAATGTCGCAGCACACCAGCGGAGGCTACGGACAGCTTGACCGCCACGACAACGCGTCGGAGCAGCTCGACTACGACGGGCATGCAACCCAGTCCCAGAATCCAAGCATGCCTCGTCTTCGTGGTGGTGACGCCTCGTACGACCCCAATGGGGGTATGAATGACAACGGCAGGTCAGCTCGGACTACACAAGGAGAGGGCTATGGTCGCCTCCCGCCCGCCGTTGCCAACGGAGTAGTCGACGAAGATCTCTTTGAGGTCCCGTCGACCGACTTTTATGCTGCTCAAGGCTCCCGACGCAACCGTCACCCGCAAGGTACTGGTCCAGCTCCGCGTGCGATCAAAAATAGAGGAGCTTTCAATTTCAACGACGCTCAGCAGCCCAACCCATGGCATGGTGCCCAGCCTCAACAGAGGCGGGTTCCTGAGCGGCAGCGCGTACTCTCTCCAGAGTATGAGCCCAATGTGGAAGTCGAAGTAACCTCTGACCACTCCTTCCATTACAGACACTAATTACTGTCAGGTTCGCCGCTTCGCTGAGTGTCATGATAGAGATTTGCGAGCATACCTTGCAGCGCGCTCCATATCTTTTGGGTTCCTCACGGAGATTGACCAATTCATTCGAGGCCACCCAGAGATCTCTACATGTGCTGAAGGTCGGGCGACACTGCGCGAAATCAGTGTACTTCCTCCGCTCCAGGCGTACAAGTACTTCCTGAAGGGCTACACACGACCAGCTAGGTAGGTCTGGCCGTTTTTATCTTCTCATTTTTGCCTTTGCGCGCGCGTTTGCTCAATTACGAGTCGAGAAGAGCGCGCAGTTGTGGTACCACCTACACGTCAATTGTCGAATTCATTCTGTTTATCTCTTTCGGGTATTGCTGGCGAACGTCAACACGCAAACAGCTGACTTTTGGCAGATACATTGACGGTATTATCCGAACAGACGCCTTTACCATACCTTTGGATCTCACTTACCAGTCCCTGAGTACGAAGAATGATCCTGAGCTGGTCGACTTCTTCGATGGCTTCGATTTCCGTCATGACATAATCGAGCGCATCGACAAGGAAGTGTACATGGGCATGCAGGATCTTGTGAACGGCAGGCAGGTACCTTTGTCAATGCGTAAGCTTATCTGCTACGCTGTCTGGGGCAATCCTGTGGACGCGTACAAATGGTTTGAGTACGCGTACCAGAACGAATACATGCCGCACAGGTATCTACCTGAGCATGTTGTGTTGCGTCACGTCCCAAAGCCCGTCAACTATACCGAGCCCCGTGCGTCCGTACTTACCGGCCACAGAAAGCATGGCGACGTTCGGGCTCGTATGGCACGGGCAAATGACCAAGGTGTTGGTGAGTGAACTTGTTAAAGCTGTAGCCTAACGTGATGCATGTGATTCTCGAAGCTAATAATGCCAGACGTGCTCGAAGGTTCTCATCGCTGAATACCGAATCGCTCTGATTCGAAGGGCCCATCGACGATTCGAGATTGATGATCTTGTCGCTCGGGCGAAGCAGCGTTTGGAGCGCGAGCGTCAAGATCCAACGGGTACGCTACTCTTTCTAGATGAGTTCAACTTGACTGCGTACTGACCAAAAACCTCCAGGTGTTGATATCGTGGACTTCATTATGGACGATGCAGTATCTCGCCAGGGTACAAATCGTCGACGCGAGTTCCGCCCTTCGAACCCCCGGAACCGCAAGACATACAACCTTGGGCCCCACAATGTTTCCCTAAATGGAGTCCGCATCAATGGGGGCAACCATACCTTTACACGAGCGAACGAGCGTCGAGGTCACGGCTTTCTACAGGCCCAAGCGGCGGAACTACGACACGCACGCACAACTCTAGTACGATTGTACACGCAAGAGCAACATGCTTTCGACAACAGCCGAGGAGCCAGCGCACGCCAGTCTTCGCTTCAGATGGTACAAGCCAGTCGAGCTAGTGCCGAGCGCCGGTATGTGAACTGCTTGATCCGATACTGCCGGGACGCCAACCAGATGAGCGCTCAGCAAGCAACTCAGCTGCAGAAGCACTTCACACGTGAGAGGATGGGTGACTTGGGTGTCTCACACAGCGACTACTTGTTGAGCATGTATCCTCGCGAGTTGAACTACTAGAATGGCTGTATGATGCTTGCACCGTGCATTGTCAAGCCGGGTGTGTTGTTTTGCGCTATATCACGTCGAGCGAATACAGACTGCAATCGCTACTGCATCTTGTACGTTACATCAATGAAAGCTGTGGATAGGCTGTATTCGACTTCTAAGGGGTCCGATTTTCGAAGGCATGTCGTGGTATATACTGGTAGATACTCGACGACATTGTACACGTCTAAGATTCGCTTCAAAGGCCAAGTCCTATGTGATGATCAACGCAATGTTTTAAATTTCCACACAATGTCACGTAATGTAGCCTGGCAAGAAAATGTCACGCAATCAGAGGAGAATTTGTGTCTATTGCGAACATGACAAACGCAGTTGGAGTATATGAGGTCAGAAGCAGATCACTCCGCCCAACCCCTGTACCCAAGGAGTCGAGCCCGCTTCCGCGCCACTACAGCAAGCGACGTTCAGTGACAGTAGGAAGTCATATAGGAAGTAGTACATGCGAAGGAAAAAAACGCCTAGGAAGGTTAAGCGAGCTATGTCCTGTCGCCCGCCCGATTTCCACGCTCCTCCGTTTAGAAAAGTCTCCCTTTGAGTGATTCATACTGTCGTCGTGCACAATTCGGATTCATGGACACGTGCTTTGTTGTCCCCATGCTGCTCATTATGTTGCCTTTGACAGCGGGTCGACGTGGTCGCCGTGGAAGCCGGCTTTGCTGGGGTCGTTTCGCCTCATGATGCCCTCGACAGGCCCCAGTAGTCGCTGGAAGCCGTGCTTGCCCAGGGTAGCGAGCTTGACCTCGGTCTTGCTGACTACGGAAGCGGCGCGCGGTGCGTCGTTGAGCAGAGCTAGCTCGCCAAAGTAGTCGCCCTTGTTGTACCGCCTGACGGCCTGGTCGACGCCGCGAATGAACACTTCGGCTTCGCCAGACTCAAGTATGTAGAATGACTCACCAACATCGCCTTCCTGGATGATGGTGGTGCCGGGCGGGTACTTCCTTGTTTCGAGGGCATCGGCGATCTTCGAGCGCTCGTATGGTGTGAGGCTTGAAAGGAGAGGGACCTCTTCGAGGAAGCCCTCGTACAAGCGGCGTCGCTGGAAGGCGCTGTCCATGAGAATGCGGCGGAAGGTCACACGATCGAGGGCCCAGAGGGTGGACGGCTCGCTCGACATGACTGTTGCAGCACGGGGCGCGTTGTACATGAGCGCAAGCTCACCAAAGGAGCCACCGGAGCCGACAGTGCCCACCTTGTTGCCGAGACCGTCTGCGCCGGCCTCGAGCTTGCCGGAGGGGTTCAGGTAGATGTCGAAGGAGCCCCGCTCGACCACATAGAAGTAGTCGCCCACATCGCCCTGCTGGATGACCTTTATGCCCTTTGACGGTATTGGCTTCTCGTGCAGGGCGCCGAGCACCTGTGAGGCCTGGTCGTCGTCGAGATGCGAGAACAGGAAGTTGCCGGAGACGGATGCCTTGAGTCGCGTGAGCTGGTCGGGCGTCTTCTGGTGGAAGGGCGGAGTGAAGGTCTCGCTGTCGGAGGTGGCGGGGTTCAGCGACTCGGCGGAGACGGAGGTGCGCCTGTTGGTGTTGTAGTTGCTGGGGAAGTTCTGGCCGTCGCCCGCAATGGGCGGCATCTGGGTGATCTGGTTCTTGGAGGAGCCGCCGAAGCCGCCAAAGTTGCCAAAGGCGCCCGCATCGGGGTTGCTGCTGCGGGGCTTGCCGAAGTCGATGTTGCCAAAGGTCGCGGCGGTGGGCGACGTCATGTTGTCGTGCTCCTCTTCTTCTTCGAGGCGCTGCATGGGGCTCTTCGCGAAGCCAGCACCGCTGGGGGATGTGCCAAAGGGGTTGCTGCCGGGGAAGCTGCTCTCTGCACGGCCTTGGGGGCTGGAATGCTGCTGCGACAGCAGGGCTTCGGTTCGCTGCGACTCGAGACGCGCGGTTGAAGAAGTTGGCGCAGAACTGCAGGATGTCGTGGGGCTGGTGCTTCAGGACTTCGCGGTCGAGGGCGGATATCTCATTGGAGTAGTCGGGAGGGAGGGACATTGGAAGGGTGGTGATGAGGGGTCAAGCGCAGCTCTTTGACGTCGGCTTCGCGAGCGGTGCAGGGATAGCGGCGGGTGTGCTGCGAGGGTCCGAGGCGTAGCGTCAGCGTGCAGGTGAGGGGGGGCAGCGCGCAGTCGGGCTAGAAATGGAGAGGATGGCAATGGCAATTGCACGCTCAATGCATCGGGCGGCGTGAGCTGGAGGCGTGCTGCGCGACGGTGACGGGGCAGGAAGAGGGGAGGGCTGCGGCCGGTGCAATCACGGGTGGTACGAGTGCGGGCAGGACTACGGAGGGAGAGCAGGGCAAGCTTCCTGGGGGGCTTATACCTAGGTAATGTTTCCAGAAGGCGTCTAGAAATGCCTTTCCAGCTTCTGTAGGCAGCCGCACGCACTGAGACAGCCCCCGCGACGGCACACACGCAATTGGACGGCACTGCGTCACCCACGGCGCCATCGCGATGCACGCCTGCACAGTCTCTTTGGGAGCCAGAGACACAGCTTAGAGCTCTGCTGGATAGCTGTGATAGCACCCGTGGTTTAGAGCACATGCACATGCCCATGCCAAATCAAGATGCGCCTTAGCTCCCGCGTCACGGACTGCTTGTGGGCTCCGGCTTGGTGTCGCTAAGATGTGGAGGAGCCAGCACCCAGACAACACCTCTCCTGGGCACACACTGAGGAGATGCCATGGACGCTAATTGATGGTGGTGCTGATGATGATAATGCTGATACTGATGCTGATGCTTTGAGTATTGAGGGCTCGATGACAGACGAAGAGGCGCATGCAAGCTAGCCTGCATCAATTGGTGACGCCATGGCCAAATGCATGCGCTTAGTCGAGACACACATGGCACTGATGAGAGAATCTGGTAGTTAGAGAAGGCGCCATGCCTGAGACGGCCATATCCATGACCTTTGGCTTTTACAATGACACTACCCTGCACCTAGGGATTCACATCTCCGAGCAGAAGTTGTTCAGGGTAGAAGAATCACATGCTCGCTACACCCCCCGTGCATATACTCCTCGTATGCACCGGCACTCGTTGGTGCTATGTGGCATTCTCGCACGCGGGATAATCCCATGGAGCACGATGCCGAATGCAGATCTGCTATGCAAGCACCGTGAGGGCGATGTCCTGGCTAACAGGCGGTGAGCCCGCACAGTGGGCGGCGGGTGCGGCACGAGTGTTGAGACGCGCAACCCAGGAGACAGCGAAATTTCTGCCTCATCAATATATACGGTCGCTCTGTTCGTGGCCGTGTCTGTGGCCAGGCGCACGGTATGCTGCAGAATAGTCGCCCAACAAAGCCGCCCAGTTGTTCCTGCGATCCTCTCCAGCCACTCACACCAAGCTTCAGCGATGACGCACATGGAGAGCACGAGCACACGAGGCTGACAGGGGACCTCAGCAGAGCTAGAGGGGCAGACGCGATGCTCAGGGCCAGTTAGGCCGACGACAAATTGATGCTGCGCGTGACTTGACGATGGACGTTGGACGACGGGACTGGCGGTGGAGCAGCAATTGATTATCGAGCAAGGTACCATGCAGACTACCAGGCCGTCTTCGTCATTGTACAGCGCTGGGCTCCGCTTGCTTTGACTGAAAAGGTTCGGCGCGAAGCATGACGCTAGAGGCTGCAGAATCGCCAAAGCCAAACCGCAGACCGCAGACCGCCAGCTTCACCACCGCGTGCGCCGAATTGTACTGTGCACTTCTGAAACTCTGCACCTGCGCATAAACCGAGGCCTTGCATCCTGCTCCCGCCGTCGCAAAAGTGCTGCACGTCTTATCGTCGCCGATTAGCCGAACCGCGTCCAGCGCCTTGAACGCCGCCTGTTCTAGCTTCTTCCGCAGCTCCTGATCCGCAGCCTCCCAACCTCCCCCCATCCACTCCACGCGTGCAATAAGACAGTCTCAGTCGCCCCTCTGCATTCCTCACACCCCTGACTGTACCGCTATTCTTCCGCCGACATGGGCAAATATACCTTTTCATGGTATGCGACGCTGCGCATTCTTCGGCTCCGCAATGGCTAACACACACCAGGGAACACGCTGCGAACGAAGTCCTTGTCACCGGCACCTTCGATGACTGGCAGAAGACCGTCACCTTGGAGAAGGTCGATGGCGTCTTCAAGAAGACGGTCGAGCTTCCCAAGGTCCACACACAGTACAAGGTGCGCACCCGTCGCTGTGGCCGCCTAGCTGCGGCCCGCGTGCGCAAAACTTGCTAACGTGTTTGCAGTTTGTTGTAGATGGCAATTGGGTCGTCAACGACAGCGCGCGCAAGGAGGACGACGGCCACGGCATCTTCAACAATGTTCTCCAGCCCGAAGACATTATCGACGAGCCCGTCAGCACCCTGTCCTCCGCCGCGCCCGAATCGACCACTGCTGGTCTTGCCGGCGCCGTTCCCAAGGAGGTCGAGAAGACCAAGTCCACCGACTCGTTGCCTGGCGCCTTCCCCATGACACCTCCCGCCGAGACGCCTCTGAGTGAGGCCCAGAGCTTCAACGTTGCCCCCATCCCTGCCACCGCCGGCCTCGGCAACCCCATCCACCTTGCGCCTGGCGAGCCAGTGCCCCACCCGAGCACACTCACCGACAACACGGTCGAGTCGACTGTAAGCCATGACAAGGAGCCTAAGGATCCTGAGGCACAAACATTTGGTGTCGCGCCCATCCCAGCATCCGCTGGTCTCGGCAACCCAATCCAGCTTGCGCCCGGCGAGGCGGTCCCGCACCCCAGCACCTTTACCTCCAACACTGTGGAGGGCACCGCTAAGACCGACGCTGAATCATACGCCAAGTCTGATGCGCTTCCTTCGTTGCCCGATCTCGCCCTGACCCCCCAGGCGGAGAGAGATGCGAACGGCGGCATGTTTGGCCTTCCTCCCGTCATGGGCAACATGGTCCCAGAGTCCAGCTTGCCCATGGGCGTGGATGCTAAGACCGAGAAGGACACTGGTGTTACGATTCAATCTGCTGCTCCCACAAGCACCACCGCGGCGCTTGCAGGCGAGGTTCCCAAGGAGTCCAGGGGCGTTCCCGATATCGTGAGCGAGAGCCGCAAGGAGGCTGGATATGCCCCAGAGGCCAACAGCAACCCCATCGCTGTGATGGAGAAGAAGGAGGTCGAGCAGGAGCTGAAGGAAGAAGTTCCCGAGGCGCCCGCTGCTGCCGACAACTCCTACGCCTCCCAGGCGAAGGAGACCGCTGGTATTGCTGCTGCATCTGTGGCTGCTGGCGCTGCTGCCGGCGCCGGACTCTTTACAGCCGCTACCTACGCCGCGAAGGAGAAGGCCACCGAGGTCACCGGTGCGAATGGTTCGGCAACCGCCAACGATGTACCATCTGTCGTCTCCGACAGCCAGAAGGAGGCTCATGTGAGCCCAGAAGCGGCTGCGAACGCGGAAGCTGTTCACGAGAAGAGCCAGGTCGAACAGGAGCTGCTTAGTGAAATCCCCAAGACCACTGAGACAGGCACCGCTGCTCCCGCCATTGCTGTCCCCGAAGTCGTTTCCGAAAGCCAGAAGGAAGCTCATGCAAGCCCCGAGGCCGCCGCCAACAGCGAGGCTGTCGCAGAAAAGTCTGCTGTAGAGTCTGAGCTCCTCAAGGAGATTCCCAAGACCAACGAGGCTGGTGAGCCCGCTCCCGTCCTTACGGCTGCCACCACTACCACTGCCCCCGGTGCTACAACAAGTGAGGCAGCACCCAATGTTCCTGATGTCGTCGCTCAGAGCCAGAAGGAGGCTCACATCAGCCCCGAGGCCGCTACCAGCGTCGAGGCTGTAGGCGAGAAGAAGGCAGTTGAGGCTGAACTGCTCGAGGAAGTCAAGAAGGTCACTGCTAGCGGCGAGGCAGCTCCTAACAACGCCGCGTTGTCAGACGAGGCGCTCGTTGATACCAAGCCAATGCAGTCTTCTAGCGAGCCCAATGCCCTGAATGCGCCAGCGTCGGCCCAAGCTCAGGTTGTCTCCTCCAAGCCCATCGATGCTGATACGAACGTATCGTTTGCACCGAAGGCAGCCGAGCCTACGACAACAGAGCAGAGCAACCCCACTGTCACCACTGGTACTGAGACCACCACCACTGCGGCCACATCCGGAACTTCTCCCGCCGTTGCCACTAGCAGCACCACTCCCGCGACTCCCCAAAAGGAATCGGCGAGAAAGGACTCAGACGTCTCACCGAAGGGTACTCCTGGTAGCCAGAGCATCGCGTCCGGTGCCGATGATAAGAAGAAGAAGAGGCGATCGCTCTTTGGTAAGATCAAGGACAAGCTCAGCAGCAAGCACTAGGTGTTGCTCTTTCATCGTACATAACGGCATCTACTGCTCGATGCCCCAGTCGCTTGTTATACCCCGATGGACTGCTGTTCATTGCTTATGTTCACGGAGTTGGCTTTTTGGCTATACCACTTCCCTTCGACGTGCCGTTTGGTTTTCCTTACCGATCTCTGCGTTCTACGATGCATGTTTACGCGACGATAATGGGTGTATATCGACGATTTCCGCTGCATTTCAAGAATAGGTACTTAATTCGTTAATAGGAGATGCATTAGACATGATTACGCGACGATGTTTCCTCATTACCAGTGACATACACTACCAGATTGTGTGAGACGTGGATTGCACATGCTCCCGCCTTCAGGATGTGCTAGCGTAAGAGGCTATGTCTGGTACGTGATAATATTGTGCTGACGTGACCTAGCAGCGTCACCTCTCCCACGCGCGCCCTTCCTCTTGTGGCAACGACGGTCGATTAGCGTCTGGCGTCTTGACATACGGAGACCCTCCAGTTATCTTTTCAAGGTCGGAGCTGCGGTTTTTTGAACAAAATTGGGCAGGCGCCAAATTCTCCAGGCTAGATACATCACCATCAAACTCCAGCCATGGCGATATAAGAACCCTTGCGCTTCCTCGACTTCCCCCAGAGCTACGCTGCATAGTCTACGAAAGTATCGACTTCTCCTCTATCTGGCACACCCTCGACTATGTCTATTCCCGCATGAAAAACTACACATGGCCCGTTCAAGCCTTGACCCATTCTCACAATGTCCCTCCTCTACCACAAGGCATCTCACTGTCTGAACATCACGAATCACCTGAATGCAATTTACACACCGCCACCCATATCTCTCCTCACAATGTCAAACCTCATCCAAAGACAACGTCCCCATTCTAACTATGTTTGCAAACACCTCACCATATGCGCGAGTATACTAACAATCATCCCACCACTTCTGATTATTCTCCATAAACTCTCTAAACTTCATTTCACAAACCGCTAATGTTCTCTTCACAAAGCATCGTCTCTCCATCCACCAACCAAAAGGCACTGTCCAACAAGAGAACTGCCACATCACTAGTAATGTCTTACCAATACCAGCACCAGCACCAACACCAACAACTGTCTACAGGCGCTGGCCGCCTGAATAACTCAAACACTGCAGACAATGCCCACCGCGCATGGCAATCCTTATCCCCAACGCCAAACCCTCAAGACGATATCATCACCCACATCGACTCACACCTCGCCTGGCAAGACTCCGATCCTCTCCCCTGGGACATGCGCCCCTTCGTACAAGAATTCCACGCATACCAAGCGCACGCGGCGTCGCGCGAGTCGCGCAGGCGAGGCAGTGCCGGCACTTTGGTTCTAGATTGGGACGGCGAGAGTGAGGGGCTAGCCTATTATCGGGGGCGGGAGGAAGGGTTAGTGGTAGGTGAGGTTGGATGTGATGATCGGTATGCCCAGTCTTTTACAGCAAGATACTGGCCCGAGCGGAACCATGTGCAAGGACACGATCGGGACACGAGGTACGCTTATGATTACAATGGGGACATGATGCATGTTACTTGCGGCCCTTCGCTCTCCTCATACACTGACTCAAACTCTTACACTTCCCCTTCACAATCGGAAGTCTCGGAGTACTTCGCCCTGCCTGTCGAGTCCTACACGACCGGTGTACCCTTCTCCGTTTCTCAGAACGCTGGATCTGGAAGGGACAAGGACCTCCCAGCCCTTCCAGTCAAGGGAAAGGTGGTAGGTTTCGTGGAGAAGGTCATGCGGAAGTTGGATGGATTGGGCGTATTGGGGAAGATGAGGCGAAAGAGGGAGAAGAAAAGGAAGAGGATTTGACAACCCTTGATCCTCCTGGTGGTTTTATCTGTTCAGTTTGGAATGATTTGGAGTTTCTGGTCTGGAGCCTTCGTCCTCTGCACGCTGTCGGTACATGCGTACTTTACTGCACATTTCGTTTGTCGTGTGAGTCCGCTTCGCTTATACTTGCATAACATTATATATACTTTCATTCGTCGTCTGTTCTTATCATCTCCATTGCAGAGCATAACAAAAGAAAATTCAAACAAAATGAATTAGAATGTCCACAACCATGTATCAGAATCTCCAACTTCACTAGTGATCCTGGCAGATGCTACAACGTGCAATCGCCCTACCAGCTGCAAGTAAGGTGGAAGGGTGGTGACTACATGTCTTCCATCCGCATCATGTTAACTTTCATCACTACTGATGTTCCCAATAAGCTTTCCAAATGCAGCTCGTCCCATTCACGCTAGAACGCCCGAAGACGAAACCTGCCACCATTTGCCAATTTTCCGCAAAACATCGACAATATACCCAATTCAATTCACACCGGTCCCACTTCACAAAGAACAGCAAACTTCATAACGTGAATCTCGTTAAAGGACTAAGTACACGAGTTGCGCCGCTTAGACCATAAAGCCAGACCCATGGATACATCATGCCGTACCTACCACCCGAACGCCGTGGCCGTATGTGATTCAGATGGATATATCATGCGTACCCCTGTTCGTGTTTACTCCTTGTCATGATGTCATGACTTCATATACCAAGATCGAAAGAAAGGACAAGAAGGTGATGCCACCTGTTTGAATTCGCCTAGACGAAGAACGCATCTGGCAGAGCAGAAAGCACAGCCAGGGCACCTGCCGCCCCAGCAGCACCAATCCCAAGGTACTTAGCTGTTGTGTTGATCTTTCGTAGGATAGACCTGGGCTGCTTCTTGGGCCGTGACGCAATGATTGCAGCTGTCTCGGCGATGTCGCGATCGGCTGTACCAGAAACAGGCAAGCTTGCCTCGGTCGTTGGGGTGTGTTCTGGAACCAATGAAATGGTAGGGGCCGTGATCCCTTCAACTTCCTCGAGAACGTCTGCCTTCCGCTTCATGCCGTTAAGTGACTCAGGCGTCGGCGGCTGGTCCTCCACAATCTCACCGATTGACACCTTGGTCCTCCGGTTTGGCGGTGGTGTTGAGGCCGTCGTAGTATCAGACTGTTGCATTGACGGAGGAGTCTGGATACGGTCTGAACTCGGAACATTGTTTGCAGAGTTATCTTCAACCACGAGATCTGCGGCATTCAGAGGCGCCCCAGACAGAGATACTTGGAGCGGGCTGAACGGTGCGGGACGGTCAGCACTCGTATCAAGGTACGCAGGATAGGCAGGATATTCGGCTGAATGCCACGGCGGCCTATTGCTTGGTTCAGCTGCCGGGCGTGGTGGCAACGCAGGCGGGTATGAGTGAGTGAAAACCGACTCAAATCCTTGTTGTGGCGCGTTCATCCCCGGCAATTCTTCGAAACCACTGTTTACATCGATACGGCTCTGGGGCGAGAAGCTGCTATGAGTCGGTGCTTGTGACTGCATAGGCGCTAGAGTAGTTGTAGCTCTTTTCTCTGTTAGACGTTCCGCTGAAACCGGAGACGCCTCAGGCTCGAAAGATCGGCCGTCGAAATCGGAGTCGTACGCTGCCATGGAGTCGCCCATGACGGATGCTTCTGTGTTGAAATCCTCGATATCGTCGTCTTGGTCGTCACTGGATGAGTAGCCGACTCCACCGGTCACGTCCAAGTAAAGTTGGTTGGCAAATGCTGTGTCCTCGGCAGCACCAGAGATTGTCTCCCTCATGGAGTGGATGTCTGTCACAGTAGGAGGTTCTTCGTCATCATCGTCATCGGCGACTATGAAGTCCTCGCCCATCATAGTCGTGTCGGGTTGCTCGCTGTCAGAAGCTTCGGATTCCGAGTCTGAATCGTCGATTGTGAGTGGGTTATGTTGGCTGCCACGGCGAGGGGTCGTACCGTCAATGTCTTCTCCATCACTGTCAGGCACTGTGAAGCCCATGGAAAAGGGCACCGGCTCACGGTCAAGACGAGCCTCAAACTCATACTTTCGAGCAACAAAGAACTCTGAGGGTGACGGTAGGTCAGCGCTGTTCCTCGTAGATGGTGAAAGGGAGGGGGCTGTGGGTTGCGTACCTTCGTTTCGGTTGACATCGATACCGAACTGCAGCTTGTCACCAGATGCCAGTTGCTTGGGCATGTGGGTAGGCAGCCTCTCGCCGTTCACCATGGTTCCGTGCATGGAGCCCAGATCGGTGACGAAGACTTGGGGCGTGCCACTATCTGCGTGGGCGGTGAAGACAGCGTGGTTGCGGGAGATGACCGGGCTATCGATGTATGCGTTGTTCGACGCTGGCATCAAGTCCTGCTTAGCAGTGTTCTTGGACGCACGTCCGATGGGGAACTTGGCGTTGAGGGCGAGGTCGAACTGGCGCGAGGAGAAGCCCTCGAAGCCGTCGACGTCCCGGAGGATGACGCGGAAGGCTACACGGTTAGTGGAACACGACCAAGTAGTTGAGCCGAAAGACATACTGTCCGACATGTTGTGTTTGCCGCAGCTGATGCTATGGAAGCTGGCTCCAGAGAGGCAGAGGAGGGAGAGGGGAAGGGCGGTGGTCGAAGCGCTGTGGTCGTGGGACACGGTTGGGTGGGGCGGAGCTGCGGGGGAGCCGTGAAGTAGATAGAGGTGTCAGGATGGTGTATGTGAGATGGCTGCTCACTGGAAAGCAGCGCAAACAGAGTAGGCCTTGAGTCTACAGTCAGGAGCGGTTCCTCTGCAGGCGGGGTCGAAGATGAGGCAGGTGCTGCTGTCGTCGCGGCTGCCTTCCCCATGCGTCCGTGCCCTTCACTCTGGTGCTATCAGCTTATCAGGCCACATTAGCGTGCTCCTCCCCTGCTTAGCGTCGGCTAGCATGCAGAAGCGTAGAGCGGGAGCGAAATGGGACCCCACCAAAATCTTCAATCCTCGCGACTGAAGCAAACGACTCACTGCGAACTCGCCGCCTGGACATGACTCACGGCGCCTCGACTATGCACGCAACTTCTGAAGATTTCCGGTAGCACGACACGAACCCCCCGCCTACACGCACCACGCCGCCAACATGGAGGCGCCGCGCACCTCGGCGAAGCAGCAGGTCGTGGACCGCATTCCCGCGCGCATCAAGCACATCCAGTTCGGCATCTACTCCAACCAGGACATTGTGAACCAGGCCGTCATCGAAGTCTCCGACCGCAATGTCTACGACCTCACCCCTGCCGCGGACAACACGCGCGCGCTCACTGCCAACGGGCCCATGGACCCGCTCATGGGCATCTCAAGCAAGACGGGCGAATGCGGAACTTGTGGCGAGAAGCTGGACAAGTGCAATGGCCACTTCGGACACATCAAGCTGGCGCTGCCGGCATTCCATGTGGGGTATCTGAAGCACATCATCGAGGTGCTGAACTGCATCTGCAAAGACTGTTCGCGGGTGCTGCTGGATGAGGTAGAGCGACGGAGGTATTTGCGCAGCATGCGCCGACCAGACATGGACACGCTGCGGAGGACGGCAATCTCGAAGAAGGTGCTGGAGGACTGTCGCAAGAAGAAGACATGTCCATACTGCGATGCGCTGCAGGGAACTGTGCGAAAAGTGCCTGGCCACCCGCTCAAGATCATCCACAACCGCTACGATGCCTTCAATCGCTCAACCGCCAAGACGAAGAAGCCACCTGCGGGCAAGATCGAATTCGACCAGTCTTTTGAGACCGCCAAAGCTGCGAACCCCGACCTGGATAAGCATCTCAAGAAAGCTGTAGACGACATGCACCCGCTGCGGACGCTCAATCTGTTCAAAAAGATCTCACCCGAAGACTGTGAATTATTAGCTATGATCCCCGAGGATGCGCGCCCCGAGATGTTGATCTGGGAGTACATGCCTGTACCGCCCGTGGCTCTCCGGCCCTCTGTCATGCAAGAGGGTGGCGCGACCGAGGACGATGTCACAAACAAGATCGGAGACATATGTCAAATCAGCAGCATCATTCGCGCTGGGCTTGCTCGAGGATTCCCTTTGCAGATTCTGATGGAACAATGGGATTTTCTGCAACTGCAGATTGCCATGTACATCAACAGCGACGCGCCTGGACTGAAACAGCAGGGTTTACAAAAGACAATGCGCGGATTCTCACAGAGGCTGAAGGGAAAGGGCGGCCGTTTCCGTCAGAATTTGTCTGGAAAGCGTGTCGACTTTTCTGGCCGTACTGTCATCGGACCAGATCCGAACTTGAGCATTGACGAGGTGGCGGTGCCGCAGCGGGTCGCCAAAATTCTGACGTACCCCGAGAAAGTCACAAGATACAATATCAAAAAGCTGCAGAAGCTTGTCCTGAATGGTGCCAACAAGTATCCCGGTGCCAATTACATTCTCAAAGACCTAGGTCCGGATCAAGACCCGCGCAAGGTATCCTTGATTGCGCTCTCGAGACACGACAAGAAAGGCGATAGACTGCAGGGACCTGCGGCCGCGCTGAGGTTCGGCGATGTCGTCGAACGCCATCTCGAGGACGGCGACATTGTGCTCTTTAATCGACAACCCTCCCTACACAAGCTCAGTATTTTGAGTCATCGAGCCAAGATCCGTCCATGGCGAACGTTCCGACTCAACGAGTGCGTCTGTAACCCGTACAATGCCGATTTCGATGGCGACGAGATGAATTTGCATGTTCCTCAGACTGAAGAGGCACGAACAGAAGCCACTGAGCTCATGGGCGTCAAGTACAATCTGGCCACACCAAAGAATGGAACCCCAATCATTGCAGCGATTCAAGATTTCATCACTGCTGCTTTTATCCTGAGCAACAAGAGCAACTTCTACGACCGACGGACATTCTGTCAGATTGTCAACTACATGTTCACAGGAGAGGGTGCCTATGACCCGGACACGGGCAAATACCTGCCCATCGAGATACCTCCACCAGTCATCTGGAAGCCACAGGCACTTTGGACAGGGAAACAAGTTTTCAATTTACTCATGAGACCCAATAAGCAGTCCAGGGTCCTTGTCAACCTCGAAGCTGGTTGCAAACAATATAAGCCTGTCCAGGGACGCGCTCCCGACCTAGATGAGAATGATGCTTACCTTATCATTCGGAACTCGGAAGTTATGTGCGGTGTTATGGACAAGTCCACCGTTGGTGACGGTAAGAAGGAATCTGTCTTCTATGTCATGATGCGAGATTTCGGGCCCGAGCACGCTGTGCAGGGCATGAATCGACTTGCAAGGCTCTCTGCGCGCTGGCTGACCAACAACGGTTTCTCGCTCGGCATCAGCGATGTCACGCCTGGAGAAGTTTTGAACCAGAAGAAGCAGGCTTTAGTTGAGGAGGCATACGCGAAATGTGACAAGCTCATCAAGGATTTCAAAGAGGGTAAACTTCAACGCGCCGCAGGGTGTGACGAAGAACAGACCATGGAAGTTCAAATTGGTGGTATCCTTTCTGGTGTTCGTCAGGCGGCCGGTGACATCTGTTTCGAAGAGCTCAGCAGATGGAACTCGCCACTCCTGATGGCCAAGTGCGGGTCTAAAGGTTCCAACATCAATGTTTCTCAGATGGTAGCCTCCGTCGGACAGCAGATGATTGGTGGCGCGCGTGTCGCCGATGGCTTCCACCATAGAACCCTTCCTCATTTTCCGAAAGCGGCTCGTCAACCAGCTGCCAAGGGTTTCGTCAGCAACAGTTTCTACTCCGGTCTTACTCCATCCGAGTTCATCTTTCACGCCATGAGTGGTCGTGAGGGTCTGGTCGATACAGCAGTCAAGACGGCTGAAACTGGTTACATGAGTCGACGTCTTATGAAGTCACTGGAAGATCTTTCTGCACAATACGACGACACCGTGCGCAACTCATCAGGAACCGTTGTTCAATTTCAGTATGGAGACGATAACCTAGACCCTGTTGACATGGAGGGTAGAGCGCAGCCCGTGGCTTTCGACCGCACTTTCTCGCACGCCATCACTTCGACTTGGGACAATAGCGAACCCAGTCTTACCCCTGAAGCAGTCCGTGCACACACTTTAGCAAAACTCAATACCGAGCGAAACAAATACCCTCGCTTTAAACTGGACGGGATCACGCCACTCGAGTACAACGACAAGAGCGACAGTAGTATCGACCAGAAAGAATCGTTGCGAGACTTTTTGGACACAGTGCAGACTTACATCTCTGGTAAGGCACAGAAGCTAGAGACCACGCTGGTGCACCTCGGCGTCAGTCTAGAGGACTGCAGCACAAAGAGATCGGAAGCGGATAGGGAAAAGTACACTCTCGCAGATGGCATTGCCAAGATCTCACAGACTGCGCTGGACACGTTCATCGATCTGTGTCTGACAAAGTATCATCGCTCGCGTGTGCAGCCAGGTCACGCAGTCGGAGCTATCGGTGCACAGTCCATTGGTGAGCCTGGCACACAGATGACACTGAAGACTTTCCATTTTGCTGGTGTCGCTGGTATGTCAATTACCCAAGGTGTACCTCGTATCAAGGAAATCATCAACGCATCTTCTACCATCTCAACGCCTGTCATTACTTGCGTCCTTTCGAACAAAATCAGCGAAAGCGCCGCTCGAATCGTCAAGGCGCGCGTTGAGAAGACATACCTCCGCGATATCATCAATTATGTCGAAGATGTCTGGCATCCGACCGGCGCTTACGTCGCTATGCGTATCGACTGGGACACCGTGAACGCTCTGTTCGTCGATATCACCCCACACGAGATTGTTAATGCCATCAACAAACACAAGCCTCTCAAATGGGGTAAAGCTGGCACCAAAGTACGCATCTCATCATCTTTGATCCGCGTCGAAATCGCCGACCCATCTGCTTCTAAGAAGCGTCCCGCCGCCAAAGCCAGCAAGAACCACAAGGAGTATTTCGAACGTGTCCAACAAGTCAAAAATCTGATACCCCATGTCGTGATAAAGGGTTACGATGGCTGCACTCGCGCTATCATCAAGAAAGAGACTACGCCTAACAAAAACGGCGACTATGAATGTGAATTACTTGTCGAGGGATACGGACTAAAGGACTGTTTGACAACGCCAGGTATTGAGCCCTATAAGACCATGAGCAATCACGTTATGGAAGTTCGCACAGTTCTCGGCATTGAAGCTGCCCGCGCGACCATCATGCGCGAAATTAGTGCTGTCATGGGAAACATGGACATTGATCCGCGTCATATGGCGTTGCTTGCCGATGTTATGACGTTCAAGGGTGACGTTTACGGCATCACGCGGTTCGGTCTGCAAAAGACGCGCGACTCGGTGCTGCAGCTGGCGTCTTTCGAGAAGACGCCTGACCATCTATTCGAGGCGGCGGCGAGAGGCAAGACGGATACGATTGATGGTGTGAGCGAGAGTATCATCATGGGACAGAGCATGAAGCTGGGTACTGGAGCACTGCAAGTGGTCAGGCCATTGAAGCTGGGTGAGGAAGACCTAGCAAAGAAGAGGACCATGTTCGAGGAGGGATGGGATGCGTTGTAATCGATTCCGCTGCACCGGGGAGTGAGAGCATGATGCATCATTCGGCGTTCATAGCGAGGACATTTGCATTGCATAGCGAGGTCTGTACATCGGACGATTCTGTATATCAAAAGTAATTACTTTACACGTTCCCCTAGTAGCGGTTAAATAAGACGAACTTCGATATTGATCTTGACGTGGTCCGTACATGGCGCTACACCCTACCCGCTGACAGGTGATTTGGTGTTCCAGCGTGGTTCAAGCTACACAACGATGCGACGACGCGAAGGCATAGAAACGAATGGGAACACATTCTCCGTCATTTCATGAATTTCATGAAGTTTCAAATGGCAACCAAACACTACGACTATTGAAGATTGTTTGTACAACTTCGTCCGTCGCCTTCCGATGGTGACTCATCTCAACCAAGATTAGGTGGCTCGCCCTTTCTCAGGCCGAGCATCGCCCCTCATGCTAGGACTTGCACGCACTGAGTGACTCCCAAAACCACAAGTAGAGCATTTCTGAAGCATGGATCCGTCGCCGTCGGAGTATCTTCAGCAATGCGCGCAAGAAGGTCAGTACATCCAAGAGCGTGTGACCGATTTCTAATCAAGTTGTACAGACCAAGCAGGGCTCGACGAGTACATGGCAAGCAGGCCAATGACCTCATTGTCGTCCGATAGTATATTTGCCGACAGCAATGAGCCAGAAGCCTCACGTGACGCTACTTCACGAAACTTTCATGTTTCCACACACCTTGTCTGGGGTTGCGCGATGCCTGGCTGCAATAAGCAAAGAGAAGTCGCCACCGGTGCTTGTCCGATGTGTGAAGCGGTACAGTACTGCAGTCATGAACATCAACTGATCGATCGCCCGGGGCATCGATCTGCATGCTCCAAAATCAGGAAGGCACGCGCGAGTTACAAGAAAGCCGAAAAATCTCTGAGGCGACGTTATGGCGACGCAATGACCGAAAGAGATTGGCGTCCTGTTTGGCGAAGAGGCGCCGCGTGGGAGTACATGCGCCTTCGCCGGTCGCTCGTGGAAGCGCTGCTCAAAGTGAATACTGCGCAGGCGATTACGTTGGCTTCGGAACATCTCTTCGACACGCTACGGTTGTGGCGAACAGATGAGATGTGCGCTCGCGACGTTGTACCTGCGCTTCTTCTCAGACTGGGGCGAGTGCAAGACGCTTATGATTTCTGCCACTGTACGTCAAGTCCCTGTTCGAACCGTGTGCAAGACGGACACTGATTCATACTGTACGATTCCCAGGGTGGGCCACAACTGGTCACGCAGATCATGACTGGCAGGACCCGCGCGCTGGATACCTCGACACCAAAAACGCAGATGTGTTCCAGGGTCTCGAGATATTTACGGCAAGGGAGAAAGACTTGTCACATCTCATCGTCGTCACTTTAATCAAGATTCGGTTGCTTATGGATCTCCAATCTGTACAACGAGCACGGGAGTTTGCTGGTCCGCACGTCCCAAGGGAGATTCTCGACACCATTCAACAGCACTGCATCACCTCCATTGTTGCGTGTGAATCTAGGATCATTGAACGAGACGATCAGTCTGCACAAGTTGCGGGATTGCGGAAGCAGATTCTGGAGCTGTACACAGTCGTGACAGAGTTAAATCCGCATTTCTGGCCCGCGCTGATAGAACCCGGCGAACATCTCAAAGCTCGACCAGTTTCTTATAAACAAGGAGATGAGGGGCAGATGCAGCTCGTTCTGCAACACAACTACAATGCATGGTCTGAAACTCCTGGCGCAATCAGTGTCATTGAAGAGTTTATGAGGCCTTTCGTAGTGTACTAGGACTGATATCTTGTCGCAAGAGCAAGACACGAAGGTAGAAGCAACTGCTTGATCTCTTCGATGGTTTCCTACCATCTGCTGACATGCAGCGGCACCAAGCGACAAGGATTGGATAGGCGAAGCGGCTTGTTCTCATCCTGTCGAGGAGATGCAGGACTTGCCACCACCAACAACCTTCGTCATTTCGATGTTGCCAGTCATGCGATGTGGTATATGTAATCTATTCCAGGGAAGATGGCCGATCGATGCCAAAGCAGCCAGCAACCAACATGTTGGACAAGGTGTTAGGAGCCTCGTTGTCCCTAAAATCCGTTGGGAGGACTTCTTGAAGTCAGCAAAAGACTGCTACGGGTGCAGCATCATAGTGAGGGGTTGCCGTGGTGTGTTTAAACAACATGATGTATCAGAACAAGATATCGTACATGGCAGCATCCGGTTCTACTATCCGGCACACCTCGAAGATGTGGAGGAAGCGGATTGCGACAAACATATCATCTTCCAACTGGCTACTGGTCGGACGTTTGAGGTGGAGTTATTTGCGACAGAGGATGAGGATTGCCCCGTGCCTGATGCTTGGGACTACATGGCCACGCTAAGCAGAACGAGCCCGCGTACGGATTCTTCAGAGGCTTTGAACACCATTCAGGACTGGATTGTGGAGTGTACAGAGGACCATACTGACTCGTTGTGCGACATGGTAGAGTCTCCCACGTTGCCAAAGCGTGTAGTTGATGTCGGGTCCGATAACAACTCTGTCAGACTGATCGAGCCGAATGGACTAGAGCAGAACTACATTTGTCTGAGCCACTGTTGGGGTCTCGAACAGATCATTACAACCACGATGACAAATCTTGATGACCACAAGCAAAGCATCAGCTGGAAGGGTTTGTCGAACACTTTTCAAGACGCCATCACACTCACACGAACGCTTGGCTTCCGATACATCTGGATCGACTCTCTGTGCATCATCCAAGACTCCACTGAGGACTGGCAAGTCGAATCGGCAAAGATGGCATCAATCTACAGCAATGGCTATCTGACTATCGCCGGAACAAAATCTCGCAACGGCTTGGGTGGCCTGTTCTCAAGCACACCCGATTACCGTGTCGCTGGTACCACGCCCGAGGGAGAAAAGTACTGCCTCTACTTCCGCGAACGCATCGATCACCAAATCGATAACATCCTGGAAAGCGCCGGCATGACATCGTCGGAGAAATACTACCCTCTGCTCAGCAGAGCATGGGTCTACCAAGAACGCATGCTCTCCACCCGAGTGCTCCATTTCGGCCGCTACGAGCTCTTCTTCGAATGCAAATCCACAATCCAGTGCGAATGCGGCACCATCAGATTCCACGGCGCGGGCACCGAGACGCCTGTTCCGCTGATCAAGGTGGGGTACGCAGGTGCACTGGAGGCATATGACCAATGCTACAAAGCAGACGCGCTCGAGAAAGTACAATACCATGGAGCGAGACTGTGGCGCTCCATGGTGAGCTGCTATACCGCCTTGCGCTTGACAAAGTCAAAGGACAGACTCCCTGCCTTTGGCGGCCTGGCGCGACAAATGGCGTCGAAGAGGAAGACGAGATATCTCGCTGGCTTGTGGGAAGACGCGCTCATCGACGATTTACTCTGGACTTTGTACACGCCTTCAAAGCTCAAATGTCCTAGGCCTGAGCCACGCAATGCGCCGACATGGAGTTGGGCGAGCGTGGAGTCTGCGGCGGGTGTCGGGTATTACGATACGATTCTGTTTACGGATTTGGAGGATGAGGGGCTTGAAGATCGCATGCCGCATGTTCATTATAGCAAGATTGAGGGCTGCAATGTTGTCGGGTCGGCAATTGATGAGTTTGGTGGGGTTGCTAGTGGTGAACTGACGATTTCGGGATTAGTTGTCGAGGGCGTGCTGGGTCAGGACGTACACATGCATGAGGGAGATGAAACATTTCAGCACCTCGTGAAATTTGGGGATGTGACGAAACCGATAGATAGCGATTATCTCCTCGACGAGAAGGGATCGCATCAAGTACGTCCGGGTACAAAGGTCTGTTGTCTGTGCATGAGCATGCTCCAGTTGGGGCAGAAGGATTACCTTTTCTCACTTGTTTTGAAAGAATCTTCATTGTGCACAGGTCGCTTTGAGCGCATTGGTATGATGAAGATTGCTGGACCGAGGAGTTGTGTACATCCGGACAGTACGATCTTTAGGGGAGCAGACTTGAGAACAGTGACAATAGTTTGAAAACCCGACGATGTTACTATATACACAATACTTGCGTTCTTAGACTTTTTTTGCTCTTTGGTTTACTTACTCTCTCTCTCTCTTTCTTATAGCCAAGTTACCTTGCTGCCTCACCTAGGACTAAAAAAGACTAGAAATATATTCTCCGAAAACCCTGGTCATATGTGCAAAAAGCACACTAACCCCCAACTCTATGATCCCATAAATGGGCAGGTCCGGGGAAAGGCGACGTGTAAACACTTATGTTGAATAAGTATTTTCCGTTACTCGAACACACGCCCTTTCACGCCCCAGGTAGCAGGCAGGCTGAGGATAACTTAACTGCGGAAGACCTAAAGGGTAGATGTTGCCACCTAAAGGGTAGATCGATGCGAGAGTACTTAGACTAAGCAAGCCTGGAGCCAGAGCGGAAAGGACGTGTCGATGAGATGATGGTGGTTTAAGCAGGTCATATAGGCGAGTATTTTGAATGGGTGTATGTGTTTATGTGGCCGTTTGGGGTGGTTGGGTGGGGCGGAAGGCGAGCGGAGTGAAAGCGGGAGCGCAGGTGAAGGAGAGTACCCGGGCGTTTGTGCGCAAGAGAAGAGACTTTCCTGTTGTTATTGTGACAAACGCACAGTAACGCGGCACGTAGTAACAAGCGGGCGGTTTGGCTTTCTTTTAGTAAAATCTTTTCTCTTCCATCTCCTCTGTCGTCGCGTCAACACACTCAACCACACTACCTGACTATACGCAACCACCATGTCGTACCTCCTCGAGTTCCCGCCTACTACGCTGCCGCTGCCAGACGATGTTCGACAGCCGCCGTATGTCATCTTCGCCATCAACAATGTTAGCATGGTCGAAAAACTGCCCTCGCGCATCCCGCTCAAGGCCGTTGTACACTTCATCCCCAAACTCGCGCAATACGTCCTACCAGTCCCGGAGGACTTGCCCGCAGACGTCGCCAAAGGTGTCCTGCGCACCCCATATGTCGGCATTGACATCGCTCTAGACATTGGCATCGCGAGCTTCCAGCGCATCATCCTCAAGGTCCTCCAGTCCGCCGGCATGGCCGTGCCTAAGCACCAGCTACAGCTGCCCACCACCACCATCACCTCGGTCTCGATCCGCAAGTCATGGCTGCTGCTTGAGCTCCACCCCGCCGGACTCGATGCGCTCATGATCCACCTGCAGACACGGCTAATCAATGGTTCGCCAGTAACCTTGGTCGAGATTCAAGCACTCTGGGCGCACTTCCCCTCCAACTCCGAAATGCTGCGCCTCATGGCTATCAACTTCGTCCAGTCACAAGTCGACTTCCACTACCACCGAGAAGACTTCAACAAGATCCGCAGCTGGTACCTGATGAGCCGGGAGCGCCGCAGTGTCTTCCAGGCCGCAGAAGCCCTATTCCCCGAGTTTGGTAAGATGTCATCCCTGCGCTTCAGCGACCGGGTTATATTTAACAGAATGCCATTGTCAGAGAGTAGGCGCAAGACCAAGGAGCGAGAGGATCGCGAGGCAGAGGAAGCGGCTGCTTTGTCGCTGCTCAACAGGAGGATGGAAGTTTTGGAGATGAAGGCCAAGAAGATCAAGAAAGCTGAGAGTGCGGAGGATGTCAAGAAGACGTCCAAGATCAGGTTGAAGAAGAGGGTGAGGTCCGCGCCTGAGTTGAAGGATGGAGGGGAGGGCGCGGAGCAGGCGATGCTTCAGCCCACCGTCTACGATCCTTCACAGGCTTCCGCTTGAGCACGTTCTAGAGCATCGCGGCGCCGACATGCCGACCAAGGACGGCGTCGTTGCGGAGTTTTGGTGGTGAGGTAGTTCAGGATAGGGTTTGGGATGGCCTTACGCCGGCGGCTGCGGTATCCTCGGGATCCGCACAAAGATAAAGATGCGGTCAGTCGCATCCTAATACAAAAGGCGGGATATCGCCGCACATTTGGTGAGCATCGCCCGGCTTCCAATAAATCGAACTAGAAATTGACAGTGTACTTTTACCTTCATTCAAACCGCGTCTGGCACCGTGAAGCACGTCTCGCAATATTCAAAATGGGTCTCTCGCGCCATCCTGCTCTCCTCTACGCCTCCACCGCCTTCAGCTGCATACTCTTCGGCTTCGGGGTGACATACATGCTCTACCCACGCATCGGCTACTCACTCTACGGCTTCTCCGCTTCACCCTCAAGTACTTCCGAATGGGCGGTGATGGAGCGCATCATGATACTATATGGCGCCAAGGACTTGTTCATGGGCGCAGCTATCTTCGCATCGACGTGGTTTGGTACAAGGAAGAGCGCTGGGATGATTCTGATCGCGGGGGGTTTGTGTGCGGGTTTGGATGGGGTGGTTGTCAAGAATGAAGCTGGAACGGGGGAGTGGAATCATTGGGGATACGGGAGTGTGATGGTGGGGTTGGGAGGGTCTATGTTGGGGTTGTTGGGATAGGCAGGGGGAAATAATGAGATGAGCATAAGAGAGGTGCATTACAGAACCAAGTGCTGCTGAATTACATTAGAACAGTTGCGCAGGGGAGCGGAGGAGACTAGAAATGTGTGACAGGATTAACCCTAGAGAGAACTGTCCGAATTGAAAGTGCTTTCCTCGAGAAGCCGTTTAGGAGCACTGTGAAGTCGCGTAAATTACCCATGACCCGCGGCGCGTCGTTCCGCGCGTGGCATCACTCCTCAAGATCCCATCAACTTCACCATGGTCGACGTATGGAGCGGAGATATTCTGCTCTCCGACGGCAACACAATCAAAGGTACACGATCATGCTTTATTGTGCACAGAGCTTCTCTAACCAATACAGATGTCGGTCTTGCTTTGCCACATGTCGCGTCGTCGCCAATTCTACAGTTCACCTCTCTACGCTTCTTGACCACGGTTGAGACCGCCAAGATCCCGCTCTACCTCGCTGCTGGGCCCAGTCTTGATGTCTGGACAACTTGCGAAGCCACGGAAGCCTGGTTCGAATCGATATTGCTCAGCAAGCCGGCCTGGCCCCTGCGAGGAAGCAAATCACAATGTCGACGGGTGCTTGGTGGACATTGGCGCGCTCGCAGTCCCCAATTGGTATCCTTGTACAGGCTCAGGGCAGTGATGAGGAAGGACGCAAACCTAGAGTGACGGAGATACTATTCTACGGCACCATCGCGGCTCCTCCAGCTGCAGTACTTCCAACACCACCTTCGTCATCACCAGAACACGATGATGCGGGAGCCAGACAGCTACCCGAGCTACGAGTGCACGCACTGCCACTTTCATCTGATCTACTATACCAACAAGCTTCCACGATTGTGACGCCGGCACTACCAGCTCCAGCGGGCAACGATGCGGCCCAAGTCGAAGCTCAATTCATAGCACCTCAGGCCGACACGCAGCAGGCCCCAGACTCCCCGAAACGGAAACGAGATATATTCGAGGCGGCTACAATTGCAAATAAAAAGGCAAGAGGCAAGGGTGGAGCCGGGATTGCAGCTATAGCCGCTCGAGGCAGCGAGTCACAATCATCTCTTGGCCACAGGAAGTCATTCTCTGGCGATACCAAGCCTTCAACAGAGTTCAGACCAAGTTCGGCCAATGGTCCGCTGTCCAGACCGACTTCAAGACAACTGTCTCGTTCCCCTAGCATATCTTCGGACACGAGACCGCTGAGTCGTAAAGGTGTACAGGATGGTCAAACCAAGCGATCGAACCTTTCCCGGGTCGCTACCGTGTCACTACAAGCAGAAGAGCCAACAACAGAGTCGAGAAACAAAGAAGCTCTGTCTCGTGTGGTCATGGCAGCAATGCGCATGCACGGCTGGCAGCAACGAAAGAAGAATCGGTCTTACAGGGCATCTGTCGCACCTGGAACGGAAGAAAGCCAGGAGATTGGTGTAGCGACTGTGGCCGAAGAAGCAGCGAAAGACGAAGAGTACAAACTGATGTACCACCAGACGTACAAAGGTGCAGCGTTTGCGTTTGTAAGTTCTCGCCCACCCCTTTATCATTTGAGCTACGCTGATATGTGCATAGCGGATGCATATCATGGACCGACCACTTCATGCCCAGCCTGATCAGATGCGCGACGTAGTTGAGAAGCTCCTGGCTATCTATCTGAACGACCCGTTGGCGCAACCAGTACCTACAGCACAGTCAATAAATGCAGTGGCCACTCCTGGTGCTAAAGCTCGATTGGGAGTGCTGGAAATTGGACACAGCCAAGCCAGTCCGTTCGATTTGCCAAGTTCAAAACGTCCGGGTATGATGAGATCGAAAACTGATCCCCATGCCTATACTGGATCGCCAGTCAGTAGGAGGAAGGTTGGACAGAGCGAGGCACCGCCTACATGAACCTTGCTTGCATCGAGGATTCATAGAAGCTGGCTGAACCCACGGTAGTGGACGGCCACCTCTTAAATCGGATCCACTATCGCTAATTCCGACAAAAATGCGCATGGGAGAAGCGAAAGTGCCGTTTTCACATTCCAGTGCTGACTCTCAACCACTAAGCAGCGAGCTCAACACGAGCATCGCTACTCACCCAACCAAACAAGGTATCTGATAGATTCCGTGGTTATGGGGTTACCGCACATGTGCTGCCATGCCATCTATATGATCCGGTACCATTGCATCGTGAGGTGCGGCTGGCGTTGCATCAGTACAACGCTTGCCAGCTCTTGTACTCGATAGGAGATGATGAGACATCGCCAACATCGTATCTATTGTCGATACGAAAGCTTCCAGAGTATCGGATTTAGAGGCAGCGATGACGCAGATGTCTTGTTGAGTTCGAAGAGGGTATAAAGAGTTGTGAGCTCGTCGATAGGAAATGCACCACCAGCTTCCCTAGACATTTGCAACCCTCCAACGTACCTCCACAACAAGAACGCGAGATTTGAATTCAAAAAACAGAGACCATGTTCTCCAAGACTTCGATTGTTGCCCTACTCGCCGCCAGCGCCTCCGCGGCTGCTTTACCAGCGGCCCCAGACCTTTGGCTCTGGCACCTTACAGGCGCAACGAGCATCTGCACCGCAGCAACTTGCTGTTACAATTTCAACGTCTCTGCGCCTGCCGGACCGTCTGACCAGCCGGGTTTCACAGCAGCTGGCTGTTACGGCACCAGCGTACAGGGCGACTTCAAGTCCTGCGACAGCGTCGAAATCGGTGCTCGTGGGGATGTGCTCGCCCAGGAGTTCAATCTGGGCGTTAACACTGATGCTATTTGGAGTGTGAGATTCACATTCTCTGTGTAGGTTGACAAGTACACCCAATCAAGATAAGAAGCTGATGAAAAGCAGGGACGATGGCAGGAACGGAGCTACGTACTGGTACACTGGCAACGGGACCATCGCGCATGGTGGTGCGCCGGTAGATTTGTACATTACTCCGACTGAGGCGTGGGGAATTGCATGAGAAGGGTGTTTTCGATAACGCTCATAGTATCTTTGAGTAGCTCCTATGACAGAACTTGGGAATTATGCGATGTGGAAATGACATGACTTCTTTCCAACCAATTTTTAAAATTTTATACACCACAACACAGAGCCATCTCGCAAAATACGAAACCATCATCACTCTCTCCCCTGAAAATCCCCGCCCACCCCTCACTCCACCACAACCCTTTCTATCCTGCCCTGCTCATTCTCTCACGAATCTCATCACACCTCATCTCCTCACTGCTCTCAATCCACTCCTCCAAAAACACCATGCGGCGCGCACTCAGCACTAAGCTCCAGGTCAGAACAAGTCTCCACGTTTCGATTTGGGAGTCAGATGGCGACGAAATGGAGTCCGTCATGATCTGTTCGAGCAGGTTCGTGAGCGTATGGAGAGCTGCAAGTGTAAAAGCTGCAACTAGGGTGGCGCGGCGCAAGAGCGGGTACATGCTGGAGTTTGAAGAAATCTTGGCGTTTTGGTTGTTTATTTGAAGTCGCGGGCCGAGGGCAATGATGGAGCTTATGTGTAGATTCATGTTGCTTTGAGAGAACTTTGGTACTTTGTATATTCCGTGTCTCTTAATATGTGGGGCATTCTAGATACAGATTTACATGGTACACAAAAACGAGTGTGACTATCTAGAAGCTGCTAGTTTTTAACACCTTTTACACTGCTGTTCTATCATACATCTTCTACTGTAGTGTGACATTAACTCGGAATTTCGCTTTTGTTTTGTCTGCCCACAGCATGCAGATCGTTTTATGACATGAAAATAGATCTGACATGTTACATGATGCTGATTCATAGCTCATCTCTGACTCTCTCGCTGCTCAGGTCGGGCATGGCCATGATCTTGACGACCAAGCTTGTCCAGCCAGTGAAGTGCTGCGTCCTCTGCCCTTTGCCAGTCTCGGGGTTGTACTGCTCCCACGCGAAGCCGGTCTCCTTCCAGCTCTCATACACGGTGTTGACGAGGTTCTTGCGGAGCTCAGTATACAATTTTCTGGCGCGTTCCTGGTGCGGTCCCTTCTGTTGCGCGATGTTCTGCAAATCATGTCAGTATACAACGTAGCCATATTTGATAACATGTTAACTTACGAGAAGTTGGGAGACCGCAAGATAGTTGATGGGCATCCATACTGGTCCTCGCCAGTAGTCCTCTGCAGTGTGATAGAACTCGTCGCTCTTGCTCAGACTCCTGATACCGTACGGACTCCAAAGCTCTTCCTCGTCCTCGATGAGATCTAAGATGGCGCCAAGTCTCTTGCTGTCCTTGTCGACGAGACCAGTCAAGAAGGGGAACAGCGAGATATAACCTTTATGACAGACCAGTGAGTGTTCCTCGTAGTCGTCAATAGTAGCATCGCAGTACGTCTTAGCCTTGTCCGACCAGTGCAGATCATCAATGTTGCGCACAATGGCCTCATCATATTTCGCAAACTCCTTTGCGTCCTCTTCCTCATCCAGGTAGATTGCAATACGCTTGATGGCCCGTGTCATCATGCCCATCCAGCTGATGAGATCGACATGCAACTCGCCAGGGTGTGGTGGTTGCGCGCGAGGATAGTCATCGAGGCCAGAGGTGAGGATATGTTGAGGTGTGCGTCCGCGCCAGCGGTAACCTTCTTTCGTGGAGAATGCTTCGCGGTCATAGCTCTTGATGTCGCCAGCCTGAGTCTCACGGAACCAGAAGTAATGGCGTTTGAGAAGGGGATACAGGGTACGCAGGTACTGTAGAGCAGCCTCACGGTTGGCTAGTTGCATGAAGTACGACTTCTCGTGTAGCAGTTGCTTGTTGGTGGAATCGGTCTTCTGAGCGTCAAGCTTGTCGAGGAAAGACGTAATAACCATGAACAGTGTAGGTGGGTTGGCGTAATGAGGATACTGCACCTGGAATTCTTCGGGCACTTTGCTGCGGGCTTCGGCACCAAGAATCTGCTCGCGACCAATCCAGCCGTTCTCGTCCACGAGATTGAACCAGCTCTTGATAATGTCGAGTGTAAGATCGGCGTCCCAATCGATCACGGGCAGCAGGTGAAATCCTTCGTCCCAAAGAAATCCTCGCGGAAAGAATGGACGTGAAGGAATGGCGGTAAAGAGCTCTGACGGACCAACCGCATCAGCTTGGTTCCTGGCTCGTGCTTCCGCAGCATCCTCCCAGAATCCTTCGTTGTCCTCGTCGTAGGCAGAATCGTATGAGCGATCAACACGGGAGTCGCCATAGAAGTAGCCAATGCCTCCAATTAGATTCGAGAAAAGTGACTTGGAGAATTCCTCGTAACGCTCCTTAACGAAAGGTGGCTGCGGCTTGAAGATGCTGGCGAAGCGCGTAGCGAAACCCGAAGTGACGGACCCAATTTGCTGCGTCAAATCTTCCGAGGTAATCTTTGTGGGTGCGGAAGCAGACGAGAAGATGATGTCGAACTCGAACGGGCCCTCGAATACCTTCTGTATCAAGTGCATATTTCCACGGCCAGGCAAGTTCTGGATAGTGTAGACCTGGGCAGGCGGAGGCGGGTTTTCTTCTCCCCATTTGGCCACAAGCTGGTCGACCTGCCCCTTCATGTGGGCGAAGAGCACCGCCTTGGTCTGCCAGAGAGCCTCCTCGGGTACCTGCCCGCTGTGTACGAGTGTGCGATCCAGCGGCTTGTCATCGTAGCTTGGATGCCCGGTCAAAGGGTGCTTGCCTGTGCCCTCAGTAACTGTGATCTCGAATTCACCGAGTTCTGGTGTCTGGCCCTTGAGCGTGACATCCCCTTTGAAACCAGGCTCGTCAACATCCGCACCGTCCACTTCCAAGCTGCCAAGGCCCTCGAGTGTGTTGTACCAGACAACCGTTGACCGGACGTTCGGTGATGCGTCCTCCCGAGGCGTGCCCTTGATCCTTGCGCCCCAGCTGCCTCCATGTTCTCCTCCAGGGAACTTGATGAACTCGGTGGTGATGTCGATGTTGTTCGCAGGGTCGTGGATGGTCTGGCGGCCGCCACTTCGTACGTCATATTCGTCCCAGCCGTAGCCGTCGAGCTCATGCTGCTCGCATGTGTGTCGGAAAGCTATCACAATCAGCAATCGTCTCGGCCACGTGCTACCTCTATGCACGCATGTTGCATGTGAAGGTCATTGGAATGGGCGGTGATTGGCTTACTATTCTGTACACTCGAATAGTCCTCAACTTTAGACCATAGCAGTCCGCCCATCAAGCTCTTCGGAATGCGGGGGCGTACGCCGAAGTATAGGTTTGGCCTGTATGGTCCCCATAGCAGGCTGTCGTTGGTGGCCTTCTCAATCTCGGCGACCTGCGCATTAACGAGAGGCAATTGGATTGCAAAAAGGCACAGGAGGCCTTTCAGTAGGCTGGTGTGCCGCATCTCGCGCGTCATGATGTGAATTCCGACGCGTGAAGCTTGAGCTCCAAAAGTGGTCGCGGGGTGCAATGTGTTCAACCCGCGGCGCTTGCCGTGCTTTGATTGGTTCGGTGTTAGCGTGCACTGCCTCTCCACAGTCAACCTTGGACCACTAATGCAGCGACCGACCATCTACCAGCCGTATCAAATCGCTCGCTTCGGCCTGCTACTGCCCGCCATGAAGCAGCCTGATGCAGTCCACCGAGGAGAGCAAGGCGCAGGCCTCACCTCCCACCCATTCACCGTAGGCTAGACAAACGCTCTTTATTCACTTCACCGTGCGTAGCTTCCTAACTGCGCACCTGCGCGGACTGGAAGACTTGGCACTGGTCCATTTACGTTCTCCGTTACGTTCTCGATTACGTTCTCCATGTTATCGTTGATCAAAACTACTATTTCCCCTTGAGCCATGCGACAAAGCTTGCGGACAAATCCTCCAGGCCCTGTCACCATGGCCGCTTCAACGGGAATGGCCGGATTGGGCGAGCCGGACATGGCCCTCATAGCGGAATTGTTGGAAGATGTTTCTCGAAATCCGCCAGCGATTGCAGCTCGAAAGTTACTCGTGGAGCATTACATCTCCGTGGGTTGGCTGGAGGCTGCCACGGACAACGCAAAAGACTTGAAGACTCTGGCTCCTCGGGATCCAGATGTGACACGATACTTGGAGACTTTGCAAAGGAAACCTGATCCTCCGGCTCCTGAAAAGCAAGCGCCATCCGTTGTCAAACCACCCGTGACAGAGACGCGCGAATGGGATCCGAAAACCGGTCGATACAAGAAGGTCGCACCCGCGAAACACGCGAGGAAATTATCTCAAGTACAAGACCCGGAAGTGAATAGTGACTTGGACGCTACAAGGCAAGACTTGACACAAGGCTACACAGCGTTACGGGCGAAAGCGAGAAGCATTCTTGCCGATCTGCTCCATCTTCAGAACCTCCAGAGAAAAGCTGGCTTACCTCCATCGAAGAATGTTGCAAAAGTTCAAGCCATCGCTGAAGGGGGCGGGGTAAGCCAGGGCATAACAACAAACTCACCAGGCAGCGCTCGCTCAGTTGCACGTAGGATGCGCGACCGCCCAGAGGAAGCCGCTAGCATCGCCATCTCGGACTTGGAGGACACAGTGAAGTGGATACGTGTGCCTCATGGCAAGCCTTCAGGCGCCGATGATGACGCAGTCCGCGATGTCCTCGTGAAGCGAACCGAAGCTGTTCAATCTACCCTACCCGACAATTTAAAGATCCATTGCGAACATGCTCTCATGCATGTCGAACACGAGCTCTTAACGAGGAATTATGCAAACACCGAAACCATGTTGGGCGACGAGATCAAGGACATTCCGCGAGCCAACTTTTACGTCACAGAAGACAACTACGCATGGTGCATGGATGAATTGGTTCAGGCTATCACAGCAAACAACGGCGTATTACGGAACCCTTTGAGTCGAGAAATGTTCACGCCAAAAGATATCAAAGGCATCCTCCTTCATCCAATAGGCAAGCCTCTGGCTGCATTGGGTGTCGCGCAGCACGAAATGTCAAAGGGCATTCGGTCTGACACAATTGTACACATGGAAAAGCTTTCAAATGTTCTCTTGACCGACCAGAGTGCAGACACGCTGCCCAGTCGCAAGGCGGTCGATGAATTTCTCGCCTATGTTGCTACATGTATGTGCTCTATGATCCTTCAAAAGCATCACCACTAACGCAAAGCAGTGCCCGAACTGGAGCAGAAAGCGATCGAGCAACTCAAGTGCCCCGCTCGAGACAGTCATACTGGACAGGCATATGACTTTAGCATTGGCGAAGCAGTGCTCGACGCCAAAGGAAATCGAGTCTGCTTCCACAAGACAGGCGACTTTATCAAGCAGGCGGCCTCATACTTGCGACAGAATCAAGGCGCTGCCCCAGACCAAGATCCAAACACGTGTAGTGTCATGTAGTGAACATGGCACTGCTTGGTCGAGTCACCTGGCATCAGACAAGTGTGGCTCAGGCACACATCCAACTGCAATGTTTCAAGGCTAAGTCGCTCCACCGCAATCCGCCTCGTATCAGACCTGGATAGCATGATTGTCGCACGACAGAAGCACGGTATTACGCGTGAGTGGTCAGGCTATCAGACATTGGTTGTTGGCCCTTCAGCACTCGCCTAACCCTGCAGTTAGAGCCAATGATCTTTCGACATATTATGATAAGCTTCAGCCACAAGGCAGTTCTCAACCCACGCAATCGTCAAGCCGTGCTTCTCAGACACCGAGCCTCAAGTGCCGTTATCCGGTGTTACTTTTTGTCGAGTCTTTCTGCCACAATCATGCATTAACCGTCCCCTAGCGTTCATGATCGACGACAAACTAACTGCTTCTGGCCCCGGTGAGTTACCCATAGAGTATGAGTCTTGCGGGCTCAGCCTCATCCGCAGCTAAGTCCGCTCTTACAGATGAAAGTGGTCCTCGGTAGCTCCTGTGGACTCGCCTAGCATGCCCTCTTTAGGTAGACCGCTTGTGCAGGGTTGTTGTTCATTATCATAGACTGCACTGTCAACTCAGCCTCGACTACTATGTTCGTAAAGCCGTACTCAATCATCACTACTTTCCTTGACAGCTTTTTACGTGCTTCTCAGTCGACATCCTATGTATTCATAAATCTACAAGAAATTGGAGGAAGGTCTGAAAGTCTCGAAGCTCTTTGACATGCTTACTTTCACCACCCCACTCCTTGCACCATAATAGGAATCGCATCAACATCACAACCTTCTAAGAAAATCCTCTACCACTATCTAAAGCACTTACTGCAGTCACGAGGACCATGGATACTTTCAAATCTTCCACCACGACCACGATCGAACGACCCAACGACAAAAGACTGCGCATGCCCTGGGGCAAGAAAACTATATCCCTAAAGAATTCTGTCCTCTTCAACAAGCCAAATCACAGTGAGGAATGGCACCAGGCCATCGACGCAGCTGCAGGTGTCTTGCACCCCTCAGACCCGAAGTTTCCCTACGGCCTTCTCCGCGAACAGACAGAGGTTTATCTAAAAAAGAAAAGGCAAGATCAGCCAGCCGGAACGCAGATATACGTCTCGCGATACTGATTACCTCGCACGAAGCGAGAGATGTTGCTGTTGCTGCCGCAGCCCACGCGATCACTGCAAAGAGCCTGAGAGCACTACTTCATGCCGACCTCAACGTGATGCAAGGAAAGTTACTGGGGCTTGAAAGATGTGGCTACAGTGTCTGATTGCTGCGAATGATGGCAGCTCTGCCTCCAGGGTAACGGACTTGGAAGCGCTGTGGGCGCGGAAGCTACTACCTTTTGCAACAAAAGGACAACGGGCTGCAGAGTGGTTTCTCGCAGGTGTATGTCATATATTGCGAGAGATGGCGCTTCCCAATATGGACATCGTACCAGAGTTTGCGATACTCGCAAGCCGGGCTATCACAGACTATGCGACTCAGCTGGAGGGTCTGAGGCTGAAAAACGACTGGGCTGCGGCGTATGAGTCGGTGCTTTGGATGGTCGAACTTGCAAGGACGTCCCCGATTACTACACCACCAGGCCATCTCCTACCAGAACATATCCTCGATTCGCAATTTCCTGTGTGGAGACTTTGGACGTATTGGAAGCCGAATGTACAGCGCATCAGGCATCTTGCAAGCTGTGACTGCGAGAAACTCACACTTGTGTCAGACCTCGTCGCGCTTGAAGGACCGGATATGATCACAGGACAGGCAAATACGTTAAGAGATGGCCTGGTCGCACGATATGATGGGATAAAGAATTTTTTGCAATGGCGCGGGATCATCGTCGAAGTACCGAATCGCACAAGAGAGAGCATCGGCAGAGTCCTGGAAAGAGTGGCATGTTTGCTCGAGTTGGGAGCAAATGATTCAGGACTCGGCCATGTGGAGAAAATGCTATTCTTCAGAGATTTTCTAGTTGCAAGACCTATCACAACAAAAAGACTGGACATATTCGAGGCGACATGTAAGATACCGTACAAACCAGAAAACAACCTCTACGACGCTATCCTTCAGGTGTGGGACAACCGGGACCGGCTTGGGGGGCAACACGTAATACATATACATAGTCTTCTGAGCGTTATGGAAGACGCCAGCGCGGAAGATCTATGCAATGTCACTTGGGAGGACTGGCTCCGTCTTGGCATCGAAAACTGCATGGAAGAGTGCCGGGAAGCTGTATGTGCCCACATCGACGACGGATCATCTTGGACGGATCTTTTCCTCGAATACCGTGCGTTTGGTAGGACAGTAAACGCGTTGAGGCAATTCTGGCCCAATAGAAATGAAATCATTATGCCAGTCATGGATGGGATCGAAAGCATTGTAGAGATTTACAAAGCTGTGAAGGCCGAGCTGTCGAAGCCTAGAAAGACGATGGCGGTATCACACATCCGGACAGCCGATACAAAGAACACCACGAAAGAAGCCTCGGGTTTATCGTTTCTTGTGGGAGAGGATGAGACTCGCCACCCACTAGAGAGTTACATCGAAGTATTCTGCAGGGACCGCGTGCTTGGACGAGAGCCTATGGCCACCCCCGGTGAAAGCATTATTGATGCATTAATGCAGGTGTGGAGGTCTACCTCCAAGCCGAATATTGACCTCGATCGTCGAAAACTGGCGATCAATGTGGCGGGAAGCGCTGTTGTCGATTCATCGCTATGTGGCAGATGTCTCACTAACGTTGAGTCTACGGGCTTGCCTGACACTTCGGTCGAAAAATTGTCTGATGTTATGCACAAAGCAAACGGGAGCATGTCGGAAGCCATTATCGATCTCACTAACCTTCTTTCAAATGGAGAAAGGTGGGCACTGTGCTGGTTCGACCTCCTGGAATTGTGGCTCGAGGGACAGACAAAGGCCAGTGTGTTTGAAGAAGAGGAAGCACTAGAGTATTCCCTTCGCACAATGGGCATCGCCCAATGGATCGAGTTCATGCAGCGTATCCAGACGATTTTCTGCCCTGTCCAGAGGCATTTCCGCGGCTCCGCAGTGCCACGTATCCCACGTATCCTTCAGCCGGCTCATCTATCATGGATAACTACATTGTCGAAATACACCAGTACTCTCATAGCATTTGAAGGTGTCGCCGGCATTGGCTCCGAGGCTATGCGATGTATCCAGACCAACCATATCTGGTACACACAAACGGAAATCATACTAGAGTGTCTGCGAAAAGTGGAAGGCAAACGCGTTGAAGCACTGATGCTAAAGGTAGTATGCAAGCTGAAGCTGAATGAGCATAGTATTCTGAGTGTCAAGGAGTGCTTAGATGATTTACTCAAGGCTTCTCCAGAAGCTGTTGAGATATGTTATCGGATATGGGACGCGAAACACGAAGGGTTGGACATACCAGGGTTGCCATCAAAACACATTGTAACACAGAAAGCAGTGCTTGTAAGTGCTGTATCTAATGAACCAGATCAAAGCAGCACGAAAGCCTCTCTTGCAGCTTCAGTTACAGTCTCCAGAAGAGCCATTCCTATAGCAGTCGCGGAGATCATGATAGCCGGGTGGATACAAAGTGACGATATAAACGAAAACGACAAGACTGCAATTTCATCTCTTGCTGGCATATTAGAGATGTGCGTCGAATGGTTTAGCGACGAGACATGGACTATGAAACTCAAAGAAGCAACAAGATTCTGGGAAGACATCGAAAATGAGATTATAGCCGAAGCCACACGACTGGAAGGTCTTACTAAAAGCATGAGGAAGAGAGATCCGAAGGGCACTGCACTTCTGCTGCAGGAGCTTGGCCTCCCAAACAATAGTCAGCTGGATCGTGAGATGGACGATCTACCACCAGGATTCATCGACATCGTAGAAAGAGTTGGTGAGGACGAGGCTGAGATCAACTTTCCCCTGAATCATTTTACAGATCTTCAACGAGAAGCGATGGGTATACCAGCCGGAGCGAATACTTTTCTGCTGCGCCTCGTGTTTCCGAGCACGCATAGCGAACTCTTTGAATTCTGCGTTCATTTCAACACAGACAAGGACCTTGACACTCTCGACCACACGACATGCTCGACCGATGCTCGTACGACTCGTATGAACGTCTGCAAAACTTCACAATCTGCATTTACGTGGCAACTTCAATCTATAATCTACACTCAAATACAGATTGGGAACGTCAATATTGCCGACCTCCACAAGCGCCTGAAGGAGAAAATGTCTTGCCTAGGTCAATCATGCGTCGCATGCGATGTCTCGCTCCAAGCCTCGCCAAAAGCTCAAATCAAACGATCGGTACCCTGCGACATGGTAGGCTGCGCAAGGCTTTGGTACGCTCTTCCCCTCGACGTGCGTATTCCCGAGCTACGAGCGGACATCTATGTCGTCGACTTGATGCTCACATCCGTCTACGCTGCAGCCTTAACTGGGCCGAACTGAACTACTCCCCGCATGTCCGATCCGCAACTTGGAACATGTCAAAACCATCTTAAACTCTCTTCCAAGTCTGAAACTCATCAGCCATGCGGTCAATGTCTCTGCTGTCCTGCGCTCCTACCACAAAGACGCCGAGTTACCTACCCATGCTGGGCGTGTGTGCATCACAGAGGCTACATAGCATCCTTCGACTGGACTGTGCAAAGTCCCCACAATGCCAGCAGGCACGCATCAATTTGTCCTGGCCAATGCGCGTCCGAAGCTGGAAAGCGACTTCATTTCAAGGATGACGTGGACGGGTAGGAAGTCAGATGTTCTTTTCCACGGCACAACGCTTGATCGACTCCCCGCTATTCTCGCCCAGGGATTGAAGGTGTGTTCTGGTACGAGTCTGCAGCGCACTGGGGCCGCGCATGGGAAGGGGATTTACATGGCTGAAGACCCGTCGACTAGTCTGGCTTACGCGTCCCCGAGCTTGAGTTGGCGGAATAGTGGGCTGGCGAATATGAGACTGTTGCTTGGGTGTGAGGTTGTTGCGGGAGCGGGGAAGTTGACATCTGGGATACATCTCGTCACGGACGAGATCAGCGTTTTGGTGAGATACATTTTCCTTCTGGTAGGGGGTGCACAAGCGCCGATTGCAGGGCATATTGTGCCGGCAATGGCGAGTGGGATGAGTGCTTTGAGGACTGGAGCTGTGTGACTTTGAACAGTTATGTAGATTTGAAATTTATAGCAAGTCCTTCCATCTAATTCTTGTCCAACCTGCTCTTCTCATCCTTCAGGATCTCATCGACAGTGTCTTCGATGCTTGGTGCCTTAGGCTCCCAGCCGACCACCTTCTTCGCCCTCACGGCCTTGCCGCGACTGTTGAAGCCCCAGCTTACAGCCTCGAAGCCCGCTTGGTCGATGGCCTTTTTCTTTACCCAGACTGTTCTCCTCAAGCTTCTTATCGACAAGGCCCAGCTCGTGTGCCCTCTTGCCCATCAAGCGAGCCAAGTCTGCCCAGAGATGCTCACCGTTCTCCACGAGATAGTAACCCTTCTCATTCCAGAGCTCAGAGTCAGTGTTGTTATTTACCGCGGCTTCAGTCAACAAGACAAAGAGTTGCGCAAGATCTGCTACGTGAACATTGTTCCAGCGAGCTTTGCCCTGGCCGATGATAGGCACATATTTGCCCGTGAGGACCAAATGAGCCAATTCATAAGCCTGGCGGCTTCTTTGATGAGATGGGCCTCTTCCACGTCCTGCTCAAGTCAGTCTTGCACATGATCTTGGTGACACGTACGTACCATAGATGGTGGGTGGACACAGAATCGCCGTCTTCACCGCCTCGGATCCCGAGGAAAGAACAAGATCGTCAACGTTCTTGTGGAATGCATCTTTTGGTAAGTCGGTGAGATCTTGTACTGCAGTCCAGTCGTTGTACTCTCGCTCTGACCATTCGCCGAGCTTGTTGTCGTCACGCATGGTCTCCCAACAGAGGATACCAGCCCCGCCGGTATGCAGATAGAATCCAGGCTTCTCCTTAGAATGGCCCGATGCAAGACCTTTCGCAATGGCCTTTGCTGCGCCTTCGTGGTCTGATGCATCTGCAGTGTCTGTTCGTATTGGTAAGTTTCGTGATCGACGAAGGGTTGTAAAATGGGGTCTTGCGTACGTATGACCACATCCGCCTTTGCGGATTCTTCTTCCAATACCTTGGAATTGTCCAGGTCACCAAGTACGATGCGGATATTAGGGAACGCCTTCTTCACAGGCTGAGCCTTCTCCTCTGCCTCATTGGTTAGACTTGCTTTGAAGCGATAGAAGATCGCGTAAATGTGTACCTGTTCGTACGAGTGCTGTGACTTCATAGTCCGAATGTTTGTCGTAAAGCGCGAAAAGTGTATCACCACCGATGTAGCCAGTGGCGCCGGTACTACACCACGAGTTAGTATGTACGTTTGGTGAGGCGCATGTGGTGTAACCTTACATAAAAATCTTTGGTGCCATGGTGACAATCTGGATTATTGATTGATTTTTGTGTTCCTTTGTATTTATGTAGAACGTAAGAAACTAAAGATGGTATTTTAAGTTTTGGCGACTCTCATACTTAGCACATGCATACTTCGAGATGCGGGTACACGTGACGTCATACATCCCGGAAGAACTAGGGAAGAGTGTTTATTCGCGAGGCAACTCGGTCAATATGGCCGTTGATTATGGTACTGGTTAGACATTTTCTATGCAGTGTCTAGACTCGACTCGATGCGGATCTCCGTGCCATAAGCAAACATGAGTTCACAAACACCCGCCCGTCACTTAGTAGTCTACAAGCACCATGTACCCCTTCTTTACTCAGTCACGGTGGACGAAGAGCACGAAGCCCAGATGCGATCAAATAACCATTTGCGTATATATGTACCCTCGCTGTTGTCGGAGTCCGGCGATGACGCACAAAAACCTAGCAGAGCTTAGAGGCTTGGCAGGCCCGTGAACCACTCCCTCCCCTTCAGGAATCGCACTAGTTCCACGACTTCTTTTGGTGCTGGAGGGCAAAGAGCAGTTGAAATGCTGCCTACCATGGCTTGTCGAAACAGCATTGAACCAGGAAGGATTGTGATAAACGTCATCTAGCAAGGGAAGGAATCATGGAAGGCTCTCTCCGTCATAAATTCGCTTCTGCCTTCGTCCCTTCAGTCACATCTTGGGCAACCGGGTAACGTGCGTTACATTGAGCGGGCGCGCAGCCGCGTGTACCCTGGGGAGACTTACCGCATCATCGCCGTGGACTTTGAGGCCACAAGCTCTTCGAGGTAGAGCTTAGTGCTGGTCGAATGATAGTGACAACTTCCAGCATAGCAATATAGCTATACGAGCTAACCCCACTCCTGACACACCAACCTTCAGCATCAAACCTGGCAACGAGGGCAGCAACTGGCATGAATCTACTCCCTAGCCATCGAGGCTCGTGCAATACGGGGACAAGTACAACATTGAAGGAGTCCCTCCCGTGCGAGTACGCAATCTGGTTGGTTGGGACACTGCCCTTCTCTGGTATACAGAACGGCAATCGCGACTTCTGTGAACAGCAGGCAAGGGTGCAGAGATTCCTGCTGCGCTTCAGCCCCTCACCGCCAGCACCTTCCAGTGTCATGTGTACAGCTCTCAGGCATATAAAGATCGTCTTCCTCCGGCTGCAACAATTCCGCAGTGTTCAAACTCAACAGATCGAATAGCAACTTGCAACACTATAGTCATCGCCAGACTGCACATCATCATCTCATTCCTCATCATGAAGCTCGCTGTACTCGCATTTGCGGCCCTTGCGTCGATTGTGGCTGCACAGGACCAGTATTACAACGTCTCTTCCCCCACTTCCGTCTGATCATCAAATCCGACAATGCAACTCTCAACGAGTAAGTCCCATCTCCCACACAAGTTGAACATGCCCTAAAACAACCTCAGCACCGCCCTCGGCGCCTGTCACCAAGGCGCCGCGATCGAAGGCCTCTGCCTCACGGGCGAGAAAGTGACCGACCCTGCCTCTCTCTACACAACCTTCTACCACAACGTCAGCGCGAGCACAAACGTCAGCGACTTCGACACCGTCGGCCTCCTAGGCTACAACCTCTGGTCCGGCGGCAATATCATCGCTCCCTCCGCGATGCAGCTGTCCATCTCGCCGACTTCAAATGTCGCTAACGCTATCTTCCTTCCGGGATGGTATGCCCCTTCCATCGTGCTTTTTGAAGCGTCGGGAAGCATGTACATCAATGTTTACCAGAACGACCTCGTCGATCCGATTACGTACTTTGAGCCGCCGCTGCGCGCGAAGAATTGGTACATTTGTGCGACAAAGTGGGCGTATTCTTATGAGACGCTTATTTGGAGAGTTGGTTTGGTTGGCCAGCCGCAGAATCCAGCTTGTCAATGGGTGGATATTGTGAGGGTGTTTGTCTAGGGAGGTGATCGGGGGCAAGTTCACGCTCGCAATGAACTGCAAGTCAAACGTCTGACAGGTAGTGTGGCTGACGGGCACAGTGGGTATTGGGTTTGTTGTTGATGTTGGATGGTACGGCAGAGGACGTCAACGAATGCTTCTCCTTTCAGTCTGTTAACCATGTTGTGTATCGTTGCTTTTCATAAAATCGAATTCACGAACATGCATCAATACAATGAAAATCACTTGTCGTGTGAAAGACCGCACGTTTTGACGTGTTTGCGTGAAGAGACGAGGAGTTGGTCGAAGTTTTTCGTACCATGAAATGACGAAAAGGGTATGATGAGCAGATCAGACCGTTTCATTGCAGCTCCTAGCATCGCTGATGCCTTACTATTGATGTCCAGAGGACTCCGCAGTCATGACAACCTGGAAGCCTTATATTGGCAGGACGCTATGTGTAACACAGGAAAGTGGAGAAGAAGTAGGGAAAGCAACAGTGCCAGATTGCAACTCAGAAACTTGAATAGCAATACAGTAGCACTTTTGCTACTGTAGCTATGAGCTGCGCATGAGGAACAACCCATGAATCAGGAAAGAACTAAATCGCAGGCAATATCCACCGCCCAGCCGGCACCCCTATGGTGTAGTCGCCCACACTCCGGTTCCCCGAAACGATTTGCGACTCCAAGAGTTTCTCCAGGAGCGTAATCACTTTTCCTGGCGCCATTGTGGTTGGTGTAGAAGAGATGGAGAACAATTCCACAATGCAATCTTATATGGCCCGCTTCGGTTCGCACTCACCTTTACCTGGACCCTGCGGTGATGGCTGACGCCGCGCAATTGACGTGGTGAGATACGATAGGCTGCGAGGTGTGGCAAACGGGCGCGGCATGGGCCGGACGGTGTGTGTGTGTGGATGTGTTTGGGTTGGGCGCTGGTGGGAGCTGTGCCATGCGAACCACGCACGATGATGGAACTTCAGAAGCAAAAAGGAGGCAGTAATACTTTTAAACATTCAACGTATAAAATATCTACGCATAAATCGCGATGCTGTACAAGACTCAACAATATTGTGGCGCCCAGCAGGACGCATGCAAACCCTCTGTTCCTAGGGTATACTGTACATTCCGGATTCTTACCCACCGAATCCAAACACCTCCGCGACGCTGAGAATACTCATGCGTGCACCCCACAAGCCCACAAATATCGCCACAATGTCTACGATCAGCAGCGACGACGCGCCGAGCATGAAGCGCGGACTGAAAATCCGGTATAACATCAAGTGCCTGCGTAAATGACCCGCCCACATCGTGGTAGCGAGGCAGATGGTCGCGTAGAAGAGCATGTGTGTTGCGATCGCCTTGGCCATGGCGCCCAGCAAGCCTTTCTGCTGGGGTTTGACTTTCCACAGCACGAGTGCGGGAACGGCGACAGCACATAGAATTTGCGCGCCAAAATGGTTTAAAACGACGATGACTGGGGTCCATGGATAACGGATCGTTGAGAGGGGGATGAATGCGGACTCCCATTGTATCGAGCTGAGAGTGGCTTGGTGACCCGTCTTGAAGAAGTGGAAAGAGCCGAGGAGACCGAGGACAACGGGTCCGATGGAAGAAGTATGAAGATTGTTGGTGTCGATGATTTCGAAGAGAGAGAAAAGCTGCCAGACGAGGATGCCGATGGCGCCTGCTCCCATTGGCTTCTGGAGGAGTGCGATGGCAAGGTACCAGATAGTGATGAGCAAAGCATACCTACTTCCATGTACATTTGCGTAACCGAGGACTGTGATGGCCTGCTTTGGTGCACCGTCCTTGTCTTGCGACTCGTTGGTGATGATGCTCAAGAGAGGCTTACTCCAGTTGTATATGAGGTATCCGAATATCAGACTGATGGCCAGCACAATCTGCGCCAAGGCCCTCTTGGTGATGCTGATGACGTTGGACCATTGTGGGTACCAGTCGCCGTCATCCGCGGCATCAAGCGCCCAATAGGCTGCAGCGAGCATGAGACCAAAGCGCAGACCAAGACCCAGCCACAGCTTTGCTGTGTTTTGGTAGCTCTTAGTGCCCTCGAAGTACCCAATGATGAAGGTGGGCACAAGCAGTGCGGCGGCACCAGGAATAACTAATTGCCAGGGTGCAGACGTGGTGGAAAGCGCAGAGGCGTAGTAGGTGGATTTGCAGTATGGCATCTGCTCCTCTCTGCAAAGGCGGGCGAAAGAAGCGACACGTAGGAGGACGGTGAAAAGAACAGAGTGGTAGATCCCAAGCGTTCGGTCTACCTTGTTCTTTTGACGGAAAGAAGACACCACGGCGATGACACCAAAGGTGGTGAGGAAATGAAGAAGAATTTCGTCTTCCCAGATAGTGAAGGAGTTGGCCGCGAAACCAACTGAGAGAGCCAATGTAAAAAAAACACTCGTCCAGCCCCATATGCTTGCGGGGAAGGGGGATAAGACACGTTGTCGGAGGGAGAAGAAAGTGGAAGACATGCCGAGGATAGTGAACAAGGCGGTAGAGAAGATCAGCACTTGATCTTGAGCCACGTCTGGCAGGGCGAAATCAGCAACAAAGCCAACCAGGGCACCAACCGCAGCACCCATCATGCCACGAGTGAAGAAGGCTGGAGTCAACTCTGTTCTATCTCCAGAAAGTCCACGCGCATACATGGCGAGGACGATCAAAGTGGAAGCCAATATGCTTACACCAGTCAGCATCCGAGGGATGTCGAATCTTGCCCACAAAGCGCGGCAAATACTGAGGGTCTCGCGCTGGTAGGCACCGAACGCTTTGTAAACACTCTGGAACTGCTCGCTGTTGCTCTTCTTCCCAAGCGAATTCCAAGCCTCGTTCGCCGCAGCCCAAAGAGCCAAAGAGCTGGCACGAGTGCTCTCGTCAAATCCACGAGCTATGGCGTATTCGTGTTGATAACGATGGATTTGTGCAGCTGCCAAGCGATTGACGATGGCCAAGTTCTCAAAGTCAGACCCCTTCTTTCCAACAAAAGCCTCCTCGATCGGCTTTCCGAGGTTGTTAAATGGGATGGGCATGCCGAGCAGAAGTGACAAGGTCGGCACAAGATCGATCTGAGCCACAGGCCGCACCTTGGCTGAGTGGGGAGGTGTGACATATGCGGGAGAGCTGCGGCCAAAGACGCCCTTCTTCGAGTACATCCACAGCGCAGCTTCGATTTCGTCTTCCGACTCGCCACCGTGATCGCCCTTGGTGTCCATGCCGTGATCGCCCATGACTACAAGAAGCGTGTCGTCGTCCAATTCTTCGATCATACGCCGGAACACCTCATCCATCTGGTTGAGCTTCGCCGTCATAGCAGCATGATCGGGTCCATAGCGATGGCCAGCGTGGTCAACACCCAGGTAGTGCCCAAAGATGACATCCCATTTGCTTGTGTTCTCTGCCTTTAGCAGGGGGAAGATGTGCTCCGTGACCCCATTGTCGACCGTGTGCAAGTCCCAAACGTTGAATGAGTCGTATGCGTGGGTGAGATTGGGCTCAAAGTATCCTGGGAAGAGAGCATGCCAGGTGTCATCGCCCAAATGTACAATTCTCTTGCTCGCATTCTTCAGCTGGGCTACCAGGTTGTCTTCGTCAATCGCCGTGCCCGCAAAGTTGCTGCCGGCGTCGATGAAGGTGGGCAACGTCCCCGTCGTGAGTCCCTTCAGTCTCTGTAGCGTCGTGGTAGGCGGGTCTGCAATGAACGGGAGGAGGAAAGCATTGTTGGGCTGCTTCAGTGCTGTCTCGTACAAGACAGGGAACGCGTTGTGGAAATGGCGGGGTGCGACGGGCGGGAGGCTTGGGTCGGAGGCGAGGTTTGTAGGCTCGAGCTGTGCTTCCAAAGGTACAGTGAAGTCATATCGTAGCGCGTCAACTATTATTACAATGGCCTTGTCGAATGTCTTGGGATGCCAGCATCCCTTCTGGGCGTCTCCGGGGACATAGGCGCGCGCCGCATCGATGGGAGGGATGGCGCATTCGGATTTGTCGTCGAGAACTAATCGCGTGAGGAGGAAGCCGCTGGTGAACAGGTATATGCCAGCAATGTGAAGTATTCTGCGCCCGATTAGCTCGAATAGCTCGAATAGCTCGAATAGCTCGAATTGAGGAGATGCGAATCAATGGGGAGCGGAACATACAATATGAGCGTGAAGAAAGCGGTAATGAGTCCATGCGAAGCCTTGAAATGGACCTGAGCTGCTCGTCGCGCCTTGTCCTCGTCGACTGGCGGGCCGCTGCGCTTAGGGAGTTGAGGTGTCTTGGTGACAACTTTTTCTTTGCGAGCACCCGTAATCTCGGATGCTGGCGTAAATACCTCCCCGGGCTGCATGGTGAAGGTCAAATACAGGGAATTGGAATTCTAAGGAGCGTATGTGTCCATGGGCAACGTCTCTGGGCCAGCTGTGTTGATGGTGTTTGGCTTGCATTGCTTGGGATGGATCTTGAGCCCGAGCCGTCGATGGCTCCACTTTTCCCCTAAGCTCCAAGGTGCCGAAAGCAGCCGTTCGGTGTTCATGCAGGTGCGCAGCGTCATTGGATGGCTCACACCTCATCCAGTTTGACAATTGCTTGGGCTGAAGCTTGACTTCACATGCACATTGGAACACAGCTGCAGACCAAGAATTCACTCCGGATGGCACACGCTCGTTCACAACGCCAACGACCAAAGCATGCATCTAGCCAGTGCTGGATGGGTAAAATTTGTGTATTCGCTCTCCTGCTGCTCATGTACAGTCGCTTGAGATGGCATATCATACATTAAGAATAAGAGTTATATAGGAGGACATGACCTCGATCGAAGATGGCAACGACTCATGTGCGTATGTGCAATCATCTCCCAGAATATACAACCGCCTGGAGTCATGCTGACTTCCTTCACCGGGCCAGAAACTGACAATTGACGGTAGAGCTGTCATAAAAATAATCGATCGTAGCCAAAGGGCTGACCCGGGCAGCCGGACGTTTCGTTGCAAGTCCAGCCGGGCATTTCCGATATGCTACTCGACTATGAGTAGTATTTGCTGTCCTTCTCCTTCAGTCCGCCGATACGGTCAAGATCGAGCGAGTCAAAGCGATCCGAGGCGTCGCGCTGGTAGGGGGGAAGGTCGTCTTCTGAGACAGGCTCCAGCCCGACGCTGTGGTCTCCAACACGAACAACAACGACCCGACCAGACTGTCGCTTTCCTGACTCGTCGACCTCGTCGGGGAATGTGATGCGGATTTCGGGCACTGGGCTGGAGGGTGACTCCGGGTTGCTGCGCATCAGCTGCTCCTTTTCGTAGACGACGACGGACTCGCGGCCCTTGTAGGGCATGGCAGTGATGGTGAGGCGGTGGTTTGATTGGCGCTTCTCGTAGAGGGGGAGCTGTGAGTTTGCTTCGGCTGCTTTGCGTGCACGGCGCATGCTTCGCAGGAACATGAGGGCGCCGATGAGAATCATGCCAAGCAGAACGAGCATAAGCAGGGAGACGAGCAGCGCAACGTGGGTGTTGCTGAGGCCCTCGCTGTCGTTGTCGCGCGCCATAATATGCTTGATGTTCATCATTTTCGGTGTTCGGTGCTATTTCTGTACGTTTCCGTCGTGTTTGTTTACGTGATGACGAGGTCAGTTTAGGATTTAGCGATTAAGTAAGGAATGTCGTTATCGGAAAGAGTGAACGTGGAACCGCTGAATGAGTGAAGCGATAACCACAAATGATGCCAAACGATGTGCCTGAGGTGAGGGTGAGGGCGAGGGAGCAAGGAGAGCAAGAATACGGGCGGACCGCCGTTGAAGACTAGGACAGCGCAAGGACAGCGCAAGGAAAATTGGGCTTGCGCAGGAACCGCCCGCACTGGCCAATGGCGTGCGTTTCGAACGCGGGCAATATCGTGCTTTGGCTGCATCTGGCAAATGCGATAGAGGCTATCGCGAATGAGGCTAAGCTAAAGGAGGTCGCAATCTTACCACCGAACTATTTTGCTGCTGCTTGCTCGCCTCACCCGCGGTTAGCCAGGGGCAGTGGCAGGATCAGCGTCTGGATGCATCGCTCAGCGCATACAGTCCCAGCGAACGAACGTCATCGCAGCGTGAAGGTTTCGACAATCGCAGCAACAAAGATCGTAAGACGTGGACGAGTACCATAGCGGTAGAGTCTGTCCCACCGTGCCCACCGCACAGACTAGCCGGAGCAGCTTCCCCATACCATCGAGTCTGGCCTCGCATGGGACGGATATTGCACTGGGGACCCGCCATGCATTGACATCGCCTTGACTGACGGCAGCCAAAAGCTATCTACGGTACTCGAGAGCAAGACTGATGCGAGCGTATCGCCATCTAGAGAGTGTATATTTCTATTCACCGAGCCGGTTCTATGCATCTCACAGCAGCTCTACGCGCTCGAAGCGTTCTATTTATAGCTCAGAGGATTGTCGATAGCGCATGCTCCAACATTCATCTCAGATCTTGAAGGTGCAGGACGTTGCAAAATTACAGCGAGGCTGACAGATGTGCATCGTCTGTGCAAGGCAAGAAACAAATCTCGCCGTTGAAGAATGCCACAGCAACGGGGCCAACCGAGACAGCATTGCCTGTTTCTGAACGACTCAAAACCCTGGGTTCCCTGCCCTTAGCACTTTCCCCCAAGGCATACACGTCTCGCAAGCGAACAACCTCGTTCCCTTCCAAGTTCAGACGTCGTCAACGCATGACGACAGCCGTCTGGGCCATCACGCGACCCCTTCTAGAATCGCGGATGTTGTTCATCCGTCCGTCTCAGGCACTCAGCTGTCAAACATCGTGGCTTCTTGGCTACGTGAGGTCGATTCAAGGATGCCGCTGCCTGCTCAACGCCAAGTGCGGCTCTGAAAGGTGTGACAGCTCGACTCCTGAGGCTGGCCCTTCTAGACAAACCTAAAACGTCGCGATTGCGCAGCCGAAATATGTCTCATTATTTGCCCTCTACCTGGCGACGATCGCTGGCGCTGTGCTACTACCCCACACGTTGGGCTTGGAGCTCAGCAAAAACCAGAGGTGTCTCTTTGTCCAGCGTGGCGTGCATTGCCAGCTGGACATGTGCGTATGGAATGGTTCGCCTGCATCCATACCGACGGAGCATCCTGTGGCAGCCATTGGCATTCTAGCAGCCTCATAGTATAGACATGCAGCAAGAGATCTGCTATCGACGGTGTGGTCACGAGCTTCCGGGCCCATCTTTCAGTGTTGGCTACGAGAAGTTGCCGGCGATCGGTGTGACGTGCAACCTACGGGATCCGACGTGCTCAACGCTTTGTCGAGCCGTAACTTGTCGTTTGATGGAACAGGTGGTAGTGCGCAGACGGTGGGATTAAGGCATCCGATGAGTTTGCGACAGCAAAACTGAGGGTCCGTTGTTCAACTCCATGTTGATGCACAGGGGAACCGTTTCACAAGTAATCCGAGCGCTGTCTCACCCTTTCCATCACCCACCTTGCGTTGGACAGATTTGCGTGCCTGGCCCGACTCAGCAGTTCCCGTAAAGGAGCGGTGGTCTCATCAACGGCACCGTCGACGAATGTGCCAGCTCCACCGCATTGCTGCTCGGTATTTTCGTTCCAAGCTTCGTCTCTCGCCGGCAAGCATCTGTAGCAGAGCCGCCAGTCGGACACTTAACCTTGGCTAGCGCTCTTTTCCCCAGCGGACACTAGAGGTAAGCGCGCCGATCGTTCTACAACCCTCTTGCTCTCCGCCATTTCTCCCATCGCCAACACTCGCAGACGGCCCAGATCTGCGCACGCCCGACACGCCCGATACGACTATAGCTCGCAGCGTCTTCCCCACCAGCACCAGCGTATCCAGACACCAAGTGCTACCGCTGCCGCATTCCGCAGCTATTCGGCGCTCGCCCTTGCATTGCTGTAGACTTGCGGACTCACTGATGCCGCCTGGCGCGCACGACTATCGCTTCGAGGTTAGCATGCACAGTGGTTAGAGGAGCCTTACTGCCTGAAACAGTCCCAAGGGCGCTGCGCATATCAATAATCGCTTCCCCTCTCCGATCCCACACCCAGCACTGCTTCTTGTACACTCCCCCGTCCGTATATTCTTCGCCGCAGTTGCGACCTATAGCACCCATAATTGTAAGTGCGCCGCCACCTCGACTCCGCAATGTGCCCTGTAAATGTCTCATGCTGACGCCTCAGCCCCCGCATCGCCTACCAACTTAGACCCTCCGCCTTTTTTTCGCATTCTTGATTGCCTGGTACCCCGCGCGAGAGACGCACTCCACACCTGGTGTTCTCGCCCGCAATATGGCCAACCGCGGCGGCATCGCACTCAGCAACGGCGACAATGAACGGCCGTCACACTCTTCCCATGCATCATCGCCGTGGGGAAACAGCATATGGAACTCGACCAATACCTCTTCCTCGCTCGGCTTTGCATTTGGCAACGCGAAGAGAGACAGCTCGCGGCCACGAGGTACATCTGCCGCAGCCACGAATAACATCCAGAACTGACAAGTGCTAGAAAACGGCAACTACGATCTCACCGATGGCAAGACCGGGTCCGGCTCGCTTGTTGCGGACTCGGAAACGGAGTGGAGGCCCAGTCGTCCTACATGGACCGACGCTGGCTCATCAAACAACGTCCACGTGAGGAGCTCTGGAGTGTCGCCAGCACGCAAGCGATCCATTGCCCAGACTCTGCCAACACAGCAGTATAGCGACACCTCGTCGACCTTCTACACCGGCCCACGCAACTCGATAGTTGGCACCGGTCCGGTTTCAAAGCCACCTAAGCCCTTGCTTGACCCCACGTCGACAAACTTCACATCCTCGCGTCAGGTTGAATCACTCAATGCCAGCTTCTCTAATTTTGGCTTCAGTCAACCAGACATCACCCAACGACCCGACACGGCGGTCAACTCATGGCCTGATTCGGCTTCTGTCCACTCTCCCAACGAGGACCGGCGTAGCGTGGCACCGTCTGAGTACTTCGCGCCTTCAAGTGGAGCGCCCTCGCGAAATGGCAGCCTACCGCCGTCCAGACATGGTGCAGAGCCAAACCAGTTCAACTCGATGGATGCATTCTCTCGGCTATCGCAAGCTGCACCTCGACAAGCATCATCGTTCTCCTATGCGAACGGCCGGTCCTTCCAAGAGCGCAGTGGGTCAATCCAGAGCGACTCTTTTCATACCCTGAACCGCATGGCTATGGACCAGGAGCAGGACGCCCGGTTGGCTCACAGGCAGTCATTTAGCACCAACGGACAGAACATGAATTACACCCACAGCGGCTCTGAGCCCCATGTGGCCCGCGACAGTTATCCCGACGTACAACTTCCGACAAGGACTGATGATCCGCGCTACCGGAATGGCACATACACGCCAGACAGCTTTGCTAACGGTCATATAAGCGACCCCACCCTCCAATTCCAGGGTTTCGAGTTCGATAACTCTCGCAATGCGCCCAACGGCTCCGGTGTTCGTCAAAGCCCATACCATTCACAACTCCATACACCACCAGTGTACGATCGGTTGAACCCCTACAGCACAGGCGAGCAGGCTCTCTCTCATCCCAACAATCTGGCACTCTTTCAAAACAAATTGGCCGGCTACCAGATCCAGCAGGAGCGACGCAACTACATACCCCATAGCCAGTTTCAACAGCAACAGTTTCAGCACATTTTGCCAGCTACACAATTGCGTCACCCGTATCAGTATTCGTACGCTGTTCCTAATGGTGTGCCAATGAGCGCCATACCACCTCACATGGCCATGGCTACTATGCAACCTATGATGCCAGTTCAGACGCCACGTGGTCCCCGCGAACAGCAAACTACTGAGGGAACCACAGTCCAGGGGGCTAAGTTGGTAGAATTCAGAAAAGAGAGCAAGACAAGCAAGCGTTGGGAGCTGCCTGACATCTACGATGATGTAGTAGAATTTGCTGGAGATCAACACGGCTCTCGTTTTATTCAGCAAAAACTCGAGACGGCTAATAGCGAGGTCAAAGAGAGAATTTTCAAGGAACTGGAGTCGAACTCTTTGCAGCTAATGCAAGACGTCTTCGGCAACTACGTCATCCAAAAGTTCTTCGAGCATGGCGATCAGACACAAAAGAAGATACTGGCCAGCAAAATGAAGGGCCATGTGTCCGCGCTTGCAAACCAAATGTACGCCTGCCGGGTCGTTCAGAAAGCACTAGAACACGTTCTTGTCGACCAACAAGCTTCCATGGTGAAGGAACTGGAGAAAGATGTCCTGAAGACCGTCAAGGACCAGAACGGCAACCACGTTATTCAAAAGGTCATTGACAGGGTGCCGATGGAGCACATTCAAGTCATCGTGGAGTCTTTCAGAGGACACATTGGAGTTTTGGCAGTCAATTCATATGGCTGCCGCGTCATTCAGCGCTTGTTGGAGAAGGTGCCAGAGCCGCAACGCAGATTCATCATGACAGAACTCCACGCAAGAGGGGCCGATCTCATCACCGACTCATATGGCAATTATGTCACTCAACATGTCATCGAACATGGCCTGCCCGAGGACCGTGCGAAAATCGTCTCTCTGATCACGGCGCAATTTCTCACATTCTCAAAGCATAAGTTCGCGAGCAACGTCGTCGAAAGATGCTTGGTATGTAGCGATGACGAACAGCGTCGTGAGCTAGTCAACGCGTTCATTGCGAAGAATGAGCGTGGTGAGAACAATCTCCTCAATCTCCTCAAGGACGGTTACGGCAACTACGTGATCCAGAAGCTGTTGGAAACACTGAATCGAGACGACTACAACGTCTTCGTTGCTGCACTCAAACCTGAGCTAGAAAAGGCCAAGAAGTTGATTTCTGGCAAGCAAATCGTCTCAGTAAGTTGATCTGCATAGTTGTCGGTCGCACATCACTAACAGCGCATCAGGTTGAGAAGAAGATGTATCGCTATGACCGAGTCGATTCTCCCACCATGCCACGCGACACGAATGAGTCAAACGAGGCACCTCCAACACCAGCTCTTTCGGATTCTGCACAATCACCCCAGACCAGCTCTATCCCAAGCACAAACACGTCCACCGTTGACGACCCTGTACATTCGGCGACTCAATCTTCCCAGAAAGAGACTGCCATTCCGATTAGTGGTGTGAGCATCCACGAGACCACCTCCTAAAATCTTACTCGACACTCGTCGATAATACTGTGTACACCTCCTTATTCATTCACACCCATCTTGCAACCCTTGTAACTGGACCACGGCTATCACATCTCATTCTTGTCACATACATCTTAGGTGGTCTGCCTCATTTCATTTTACTGTCCATATATCATATACTTTCTACATCCCAATTCTACGAACAGGCATTCGGGCGATATGGTGTTTTGCCTTACCCACGCATCAGGGCAGTATGCACAAAAGAAAAAGAATCAAGGAGTCATGGGTCGGCTTGCTTGCTTCCTTGCTTGTTGTTCTTGTTAAAAACATTGCTACATGTATGAAATGGAATGCGCCGATTGATGGAGAATGAGATCTATAGATACACGGAAAGTCAACTTTTTTCTTGGATATCATGTTTCGCTCGCTGATGGCGTAGATCTTTCCTCTCCAGAAATGTGGTGGCTTGGATATAAGAAAAGTATTGCTATCAAGTATAATCTGTTTGCAAATGTTTGAGCCACACTGGAGTGGAGTATTCTCATGACGCGTCCGATGTATCTGGTAACGCGTAATGTAATCGGCACGAAATGATATATAGCTTAAATCTGACGCTTGTCCTATTGATCAGTGACGTTATGGCTGAGGCTATGCTCGTGAGGTAGCCAACTTTAGACTATGGCCCTAGGCATGTCTCTTACATAGGTCTGCTTGGCGAGTACTCCACTTCTTTCGACAAGCACGACATCTGATCAATTCGCTCGCCACACTCGATACTCTGTAATCGGACAGACATAAAGTCACGGCATGAAAATAGCGCTGACTTGATGAAAGTACACGTGACGTTTTATGAAGAGGAAAGAAAGTTGGCCTATTTTGTGAACAAAGGAGACTCATCCCGGTCTATAAGAAGAAGGAGAAGAAGGAGAAAATGAAGAGGAACATCCTTCCATTACACTACACCCCAAGCCAGTGCTTGTCCACAAACCCATACGCCTCCATCATATACACCTCTTCCTCAGACTTCTCGTAATCGAACCCATGCCCCTCACCAACCACAATTTCCAACACCAACCTATCCCCAGCATATGCCGTGGGGTAATTCTCCCTCAGCACCTTCATAAACTGCTTCGTTTCGTCGAGAGGGCAATTACTATCTATATCGCCATGGTATATAAACATAGCAGGAAGGAACGAGGCGTCGATCCTACCAACGCTCTCCATCGCGCGCTCGATGCAGTCTTTATTGGCGAATGGATCAGAGACAATAGACTGTCCAGGTTTGACGCGCTGAAACGACGGCTGCCAGGAGTGTGTAACCGACATCAAAAAGGCTGGAGCCATATTCTCCGGCGCAGAGGAGTTCCCGCGTGTGGGCAGGTACCCCATGGCCTGGAGTTTGTCGCGCTCGTTCAGAATGAGGCGGACTTGCTCGAATACCTCCTCTTTAGTGCGCTCCTCATTCATGTATCCGATCGTGGGTTTGTCGAAGGAGCGCTTGTAATGCGCGAGCATGGGGTAGCGCAGCAGCGCGGCGCAGATGGGTATCTTCGTGCCGGTAACTTTATCGGCGTTGAGGAAGAGGGCTACTACTGCTGCGTTGCCGCCTGCGCTTTCGCCTTCGACGAAGACGCGTTCTGTGTCGAGGGTGACGCCTTTAACAGAGATTTGGTCGAGGAGCCAATGCGTCCATTTCATGCCCTGGTAGCCGGGCTCGAAGCATGTGTTATTTTTGTAAAACCACAAGAAGTCTTGGATGGACTCGACAATGTCGACGTAGTTTGCTTCGGGGCCGAGAGGGTAGTCGGGCGCGATTATGATGGCGCGGTTTGCGCGGGCGTTGTTTATGCTGGTGGCTGAGTACCAGGGGATGTGGTCATTTGCTCCTGTGCACTGCGTAGTATTAGGAGATTGACATTAGTGAATTATGAGTGGTACGATGACTTACAAATCCCCCTCCGTGGAAAAACCACATGATAGGCGCTTTAGTTCCTTCTTGAACGGTGTCCGGGACGTAGATTGTCACATTCAGAGGCAGTCTGTCCCAAACATTGGAGTAAGTGTAGGTTGTCGAATACTTTTTGAAATTTTGATCCGTGAACCAGTCTTTTGAGCGTGTGAATTTGGGGTCGACGTTGTGGTCTCCCTTATAAAACCCGTCTTTGTGGCAGAATCTTGGAACTGGCCATTCCATCAAGTTATAGAGAGCTGCGGCGCAGGTTTCCTTGATCTCTCTAGTTGCTCTGTGTATGTTCTTCATGGTGTTAAGAGGCCAGTAGCACTTTGGCTTCTCAAGAAAGGGCTGGAGCTGTTTTTTAAGACTGTCCATCTCTTCCTTTTGCTCCACAGTCACATATTTGTCTGCCATTGTGAAGTGTCTTTTTGTTTTTGTTTTCTAGGATGATTGTCGTTCAGTCGCTCTCGCGGTGTGCGTCGTGAACAAGCTTTTGGACGTGTTGCAAGGAAGTGCTGTACTTCAACATCAGTTACTCTCATACTCGATCCTTTTATACTTGTCTAAGAAGTATGACTCTGGTATGACTGCAATGTCGTGGTGTTGGCTTTTACATTGTTGAACGGCGCGATGCCCGCGCCTTGTACCACCTCTTAACCAACATCGCTTTTGTATTGCTTCTTCCGCTCAAAATGTGTTGTGGCTAAATTGCTGTGGCCAGGAGCTAGGACTCTGTCCAACATCGCCGAGCTGATGAGTCTTTACACTTTCTGTTGGCTGATTGGGGACCTCGCACGCCTCACACAAGGCGATGCTGGAGAGCGCGAGAACGGGAGGTGCTATCTTGACAAGTGCAATCGCGACGAAGCGAAGATGCTGTCTTGGTCCTACTACTCAATGACCCCAAGCGCACTGTTTGTTCTCGATAGAGGGCGCATTGAGCTGCCAGTCGACGATACACTCGACGCGCAATACAAGTATCATTGTGGCGCCAGACTTGTACACATATGTCTAAAGGTCATAATTCGTATGCCATCGAATCATGGCCCGATATTGAGTTTTGTTGCCATTGTCTGTTCAGTCAGTTGCTCTGCATGCTGAGACTGAGGTTGAGTACAGGTCACCGCTTGGTTCACCATGGCAGCCGTGTCGTAACTATATAACGAATCCCCACCTCTGTTCTCTGACTCTGCATAGTCATCGCACAGATATTGCTGGGCTGCCCTTTTTTGGATGTGGAACGCTCTGTGATGCCGGAAAAGAGACGATAACATCCGCAAGAGAGGAGAATATCTATACCAGACTTAGTGAAGCGAGGTACACTTCCACCGTATTATGGTAGCGGTTAGGGTAGGTTACGGATTTAACTCGGTCGACACATAGCTGATGTAACATGCACGACATTTGTCATTGCAAATACCGGTAGCGTGGAGTGGTATTTCCGACTCCGCACCCGTCCCCGCATCAGCCAATGACATCATACTTGTCCTCTACTAACATGTCGAGGATCTGGACCATGCAAGATCCGCACTTGGAAGCCAGAACAAGTTCTCGAATTGCACACTCATGCTTAGGAAGCGTGGAAATAAAACACAATTTGGCGTTTTTGAGTTTACGGGGTCCATTCGACCGAGGAGAATGGGCAAGTATATATTTCGACGCGCCTTCCTATCTGAAATCGAAAAGACATAATATCTGCCTACCTAACGGTCCGCACTCTGACTTTTCTGTTTAGCAGAAAGACTAGGTTCAATTCAAAAACACCTGCCATCAGCAAACATGAGTGAGAAGATTAATCTCCCCTCTGAGGGCGCGCACGGGGAGAAGAACGGCACGGCAACAGCCACTTGCTACTGCGGCGCCGTGCAAATCGAAGTGCCTACTGAAGGCGAGGGCCTCGTAGACACCTTCATCTGCCACTGCACAGACTGCCGCAAAATCACCGCCAGGTACTTCCCACCCCTGTCAACTTGCTATCACCAACACTGTATTGACTCATATCCCAGCATGTTCGCCTCCAACTTCGTCGTCAAAGACACACATCTCAAGCACACCCGCGGCGAATCCAAGCTCACGCGCTTCCGCCAATCCAACACTATCGCCACCGGCAACGCAATGGAAAACAGTTTCTGCAGCGTCTGCGGCACGCTCATGTATCGCCGCAGCACGGGCTACCCGGGCATGAGCATCCCGCGCATTGGCACGATTGACGACTTTGCCTTGCAGGAGACCAAGTTCAAGCCGCGCGTGGAGACGTTTGAGAAGGATCGATGCAGGTGGTTGAAGCCGGCGGACGTGGAGGAGCATGTTGACGGGGCCTTTTATACGGCGGGCAAGGCGTGGAAGAGCAAGCATGATGGTGTTGGGGAGGAAGCGAAGTAAATTGGAGTTCGACATGGTGGTTATTTGCTACAAAGTGTTGTACTCAGTGGTCATGATGTTAAAACTGATATCGTTTTAATAGTTTGATCATATGGATGATCTTTGTAAAGAAGCTGTGTTCTTCAGCATGTCTACGAGGCTGGAGAGCACTGAGCGAACAACTATCTCAACGTTTCTTTATCCTTTGCTCCTTCTGCATGAAGTCGCTCATGATGAGGAACCCACCTTTGTCAGGTCGGTTGGCAACAGCTGGCTTTGATTAGAGGATGTCGAAAAGTAGGGAAGTGCGGTACTTACTGACTGGCATATGAGGTGTCTAATTTCGGACGATATATTGGCGAAGAGGTTAGACATGCTTAACTCGAGGCGAACAGTTTACGACTCGGGCGCGGCAAGTTGATTTGCGTGCAGTTGAGCAAAGCCGAAAAGGAGAACAGTGCGTGGATGTCCGTTAATGGAAGAGAAGACCTAGAAGTATATTGCAGGTGGACCCGCCATAAGGCAGCCTCATTTCCATCTTCAATTCATTTCCAAGGCAACAGTGTAGTGGTATTCAGTATTTGCTGCGGACATACTGGAGTGAATGGAACCATGCCAGTCATCACACATCATATCTACCTACGAAAGCAGCGCGTCCGATCGCAAGTTACACGTTCCTCGATACATTGTCGAAGAAGGCAGGTCCTCGAACTTCGATATCAATTACACGTTTTAAAAAAAAGAATAAGCACAATTATTGTAAGTTTGTGGTGTGAGGAAGCACGGATGAATGGGGCGAGTCGCGATGAGCACGCGTCAAGATTTAGCGCATTGAAGATTCGCGACTCAGCTAAGGCGCAAGATGGCGTGTGCAGATTTGACCCAACTTTAGCCAACGTATCTCGCGCAAACCATTATCTCCTTTTCTCTCTTGTACGACTCACGGTCGCTCGGTGAGGAATGTGTAAGACCAGCCACACACCAGGACCTGACAAAACGCGCACATCAACGAGACTGATCACTGCAACATACATCACTCAAGAGCAGAGAATAGAGTTTGAATCGTAATCATGCGACATTGAGCTACGTGAAAGTCGTGAAGATGCTCGTCGCATCGAAGTATGTACATGGAAGTGTACCCTTGGCAGCCGCCTAGCTGATCGCCCACAGACCGATACCACCAACAGCAAAGAAACCCCATAGTAAAACAAGAAACAAACGCAACCAATGGTGGTGTGAAAGACGCGCATAGCAGTACGCGTGCGAAAACGAATGACAGTACACAACATCCCGGTAAAGAAATGGAATAACGACCAAAAACTTAGCATGTAAGACGACTAATCAGACCAGCTACCAAGGTTGGTGGTGGAGATGGGTGGTTGGACCTTTGCACCGTACTGGCCAGCAATGTTGCCTGGCGGCGCGTAGTTGCAGACGGTGAACTTGTTCAAAGTGGACTGGACGCCGCCCACCTTCATATTGGTGCCACAGTCGATGGAGACACAGCCGACACCGGTAGTATCCTGCCAGAGCAGCTGGGTCAAGTGGCCAACCTGGTGGAAGACGTTGTCACTGAGACTGGCGAGGCCAAAGTTTCCGTTCATGTACGGGAGCTCGCCCTTATACCAGCTCTCCGTGATGCCAGCGGTGACGTTGAACGCGTTGCCAGAGACAGTGAAGAGGTTTTGGCCATTTCGGACGCCGTCAGGAATGTAATGCGCAAAGTTGCACGTCTCGGCGGCAATACGGGCATTCTGTTCGCAGCTCGTGTCCCATACGAGTGGCGCAGCTCGGTGATTGGCACGGGCAGCGTTGTGGTGGTACAGAATAGCGTTGCGGTAGTCGACGCCTGAAGAAAGAGTTGCCTGCGCAGGGCCGCTCACATGGCTCGGTCCAACCTGCGAAGAAGCAGTGGGTGACGGCAAAGTAGATGAAGAGACAGCCTGGGTTGAAGACCGCACCGCGGGAGATGAAGAAACAGCTCGGCTGGACGATTGTACCGCGACGGATGAGCTCACCCTGGTCGGAGAGCCCACAGCGGTCGCAATGGAGGCGGCGCTAGACGCAGAACTCACACGGACCGACGACGACGCAGCCCTGGATGGCGTGGAGGAGGTCAAGGTCAAGCCGATTGGTGCTGCGGTTCCCGTAGGCTGCTGACCCGGGACAGAAGATGATCGAGCGCGGGTGACCGTGACGAAGACAACGACTGTTTCAATCGCGGTCGCCGTGTGAAGACGGGTGACGAGTGCTCGCTCCTCCAAGTATGGCATAGCAACCACGCTCCCAGCAAGGGCCGAAGCGAGAACAGCAGAGTAGCGCATTGTTGTCGTTGTTGTTGTTGTTGTTGTTGTGAAGAAAGAGCTCGGATGCGGTGTTGGATTTTACTGGATGTTGGAGCTCGATTCACTGGCGATGAAGGACTGTTCAATGGATCAGGACTGGTGTTTGAGATGATGATTGGGATGTCTCCAGAGGCATGTGTGCTTTATAGGCAGATGGCATCTTGCCACGCTCGTGGTGGCGTGTAGATGTGCAAGAAGATGATGACTTACATGACGAAAGCCACGGAACAGCTACCTCGTGGACGGCGACCAGGGCGCAGCTGAGACAAAGGAAGGGTATACTTGACAAAGAAGGCAACGAGTGTGGTCCCGTTCAGTCAAGCTGCTCGAGGGAAGAGCGCGGGCCGAAGGAATGTGGAGTGGGTCGGAGTCGGAGGAGAGTTGAATGGAAGTGAGAGACAGGGCGCCCGCAAAAGAGACGGCTTTTAGACGAGACGCGATTGGACAGGTCCGACTGCTCTTGCCTAGGAAATGACGCACAGGACCACAATTGCAATCTCATTTGCGGGCTGCGATTACTGTAGCGGAAATTCACGGCGGAAGCTTAGCAGGACGAGCACCTCTTCGGCAAGGTGATGGCGTCTATAGGAGTAGTCTCGTAGTCGTCGTTGGGGACAGTAGCACGAGCGTCTTCCCATGTAAGGTCCTGATATCCAGACTTTATAGCACAGACTGCTCGAGCGTGTTACATCTTCACCATCCGGGTCGCTGGAACAGACTGCTCCATCTTTACGAGTACTACGTTCATGCTCGCCCCGGGATGGGTGGGGCACATGCTGACAAGCGAAGCCGTTTGCACTGCAACTCCCCTCAGTGAAGGGAGAAGTCGACGGTGGCATGTTGTTTGCAAACACCAATCAGCCAGCACCTGACGTTGTTGGCGCGCAAGGAATTAGCGGGGGCGCTCGGGCCACACCCGCGCGAAAGAGGGAAGGCGCCGTCAAGCCCTCCTCACGTCCCGTGCGTCCTTCATCTCAGACTGTACCACATTCACGCCTCGATAAAAATGCACTTGAACCGAGACACGGCAAAACAACCGACCGAAGTATCGTCAACGAACACCAGCAAGCACACTCGCTCACCGGACACCACCGTGACGACGTGATGAGAAGATCGACGGCGTTAGGGTCTGTCTCGATGCCCCAATCCGGAGGTCCTTTGTGTCGAGCCTCCTCTATGTACCCTCCAGCATACTAGCGCATTTTTCGCTACCGCATGGCAAGTCTCTGCGGCCTCAATTTACTCGTATCGATAGTTTGGACCAAGTGCCACGCCTGTTACTGCGTGTTACTGCGATGATCGTGGCCTCGCGTCCAGATCTTCAACTCTCGATTCGAGCCTTCTGGTCAAAGCCGGTAGGTACGGAGTGACCGAGTACATCTCCGTGTCATAGTCGTCGTCACCTTAGCCACCTCTAACGGTGTGATGTGCTAGATTGCAGGTAAGTCTCAGCCCTACAACGGTATAGATCAAGCACGCGCTGCATCATCTGCAGTATCGGGCTGATTTAGCAACGTGCTAGTTAGCTTTGTAGTTATCTGGTCCCCATATTATTATCCGCCGACCGGTGGGTACAAGTTGAAATGGCTGCGAAGCCGGACTTTCCTCCTCCTTCGGCTCAACATCGCATCACAAAAAGCACATCTAGACGCTGCAAACAGTAAGAGGCGGCGTTGTCATGGAAGCCGCATTCCTCGCTTAGTCCTGGCCGATTGCTCCCTGTCGGCAAAGGCTCCCTTTCCGGCATCAGCCACGTCGCCTTCCGCCAGCCAGGACATCATGCGTACCAAAGCATGCCTTCGCACGCGACCTTATTGCAACATCGTGTCACGAGAGTGGCAACATCTTCATCGATTTAGCCAGAGTACCGGTTCGCGACTATCAAGCTCAAGGCAAGGATGACAGGTGGATCACTTCTACACTCTTGTCCATACTACACATTCGGGTGCAAGACAATATCACATCAGCATTCGTACTCTGGGTCGTTGAGTGGGGTTGTACAAAGCCTATTCTTGGAGTCTTCCGTGATCCTCTACCGCAAGCAGCATCGCGAAGAGATATTCGGGGCATCATGCAAGATTTTCACACTTCAACAGCGAGGCGAACAGATCGTGCCGACGAACCGATCAGTGGCCGCCAATTTGACGAACACCGTACCTATCACGTCTCGGTTACACAACGTCGGTACAGACTAAGATGTTAGAATTGCTCGCCTTTGTTGGAGAGGTAGTCCCAGGACACGATCATCTCCGTAGACCCATTTTTTTCATATCGGACATCCCGGCGCCAGACATTGGTGAAGTATACTGCCTCGGAGGGCGTCTCCGTCATCATACACACATACGTGATACCAGACAACATGCACTGGAGGCGCATACTCGATTCCGTTGAACAGTCAAACGATCGGCGTGGCCACTATTGAAACCCAGAAAAGTTTTCGAGCCGCATGAGCTACTCTGATCCTGGGTAGCGACTATCGCTCACAGATCCCTAGGGGCTTGCAGTGGGTCATTCGCTTTGATGTGCTCTTATTCATGCTATCATGTTTCACGTACAGTCGTCATTCATCGATATCTGTCCACAGATCCAAAATGAACACTGTTTCATCATAACTGCGGCACCACATCCTCGAGCTCTCCCATACCCATGGTCAAACCATCTTTGCATGCTCCATTCTCACACACCATTACGCCCTCTCGTCCCGCATCCATACTCTTTACAAGCGGATTACGCTGCTTCAACCAATCTCCCAAATCCGTATCAACACGACTAATCGTGCTCAATCCCGCAGGCCTCTCACGATACCGCCTAAGCCACTGCTCAGCCTTCTCCCCTTTGCCCGTGACAACCACATGTCGCATGCCCAGTTTCCCCGCAACCACCGCATCAAGCATACTCGGGAACAAGAATGGATGCTGCATGATTTCCGCCTCAAAAGCACTGACCGTATCTCTTGCTTTCTTCACGTATTCAGCGTCTTCGAGCAGCGCCCCAAGCCGATCTAAATTCCGCGCTGACACGCCGTTTGTGCCTGGTTCAGCGTTGTCCATGCCGTCTTTCAGCCGCATGATAAGATCCGTCTGGTTCTCCGGCGTCGAGAAGAAGCCCAAATGTTGCTTGTCCCAGAACATGCTAAGCTGGGTTTGTTGCAGTTCATCGGCCCATTGCAGGTTTGATGGGTTGAAGGTTGCTTCGTAGAGGTCGATGAGGCCCGAGATCAGGTAGGCGTAGTCGTCGGCGAAGCCGGGGGCGTCGCCTGGACCTTCGCGGTAAACGCGCGTGAGAGTCTTGGAGGTCGGGTTATAGAGTTCTTTTTGGATGAAGTGCGCGGCTTTTTCGGCGGCAGCTAGGTATTGCGAGGAACGTGAAGGATCTTGCGCGGAGATTGCGGCGGCTGTTCTTGCTAATGCGCCGATTGCTAGGCCGTTCCATGACACGACGATTTTGTCGTCGAGGGCAGGCCGTGGACGCTCTTTGTTGCGGTGGTCGAGCAGTTTTTGCCGACCGCTGCGGAGTATGCTCTGTAACTCATCTTCCGATAGTGCGAACTGTTTCGCGACGTCTGTGGGAGTGTTATTGTTGATGGCTAGTACGTTCTGGTTGATGAGCTCGTCGTGCGCATCATGTTCGGGTGCTACATTGCCTTCGTCCCGGACGTTGTAGTATCGTGCCAGAATTTCGGCATCGCGATCACCAAGAATCTCCTGGAACTCTTTCAGTGTCCAGACGTAGAAGGCGCCCTCTCGCTTCTCCTTGTCTGACGGTCTGTATAGTGAGTCTGCATCCTCGGAGGAGAAGAATCCGCCGCTTTCGGCTTGCATGGGCGGAGTTGTCAGATACGTCGCAATGTCGTGGACGGCTTCCAGCATCTCCGGTCTCTTGGTCGCCAGGTAAGCGTCCAGATATACAGGTAGCAATTGCGCCTGGTCGTAGAGCATCTTTTCGAAATGCGGTAGGCTCCAGTCTTTCGTTACTGAGTAGCGCGCGAAACCGTTGCCTATCTGGTCATGTATGCCGCCCTTGTTCATCTTGTCCAGGGTCGCAAGTACCATTTTCTGCGCATTGGAGATGTCTTCGGCTGTGAGAATCTGAGCGGTCTGCTTCGGGTACGTGTTCAGCTTGAGGAGGAAGTGAAGGTTCGAGGGCGTTGGGAACTTTGGTGCGCTTCCAAAACCTGCGTGAGCCTGGTCGTAGCGTCGCTTGAAGTGCTGTGGTCCGTCAGCTTCACCTATAAAATTGCACTGATATCTTTCGACAAACCTCATAAGCGTCATCGAGAAGATCCAAGTCGAGGTGATCATGCTCCGCGCCGTCCTTCCTGCTAATATTTCCGTCCTCTGCAAAGTCTCGAAGCTGGGCTGTGATCTCCTTCGCCGAGTCTAGACATCTTTGTCGCTGGTTCTGCCATACATCCCTGATCTTCTCGAGTATACCAACGAACCCAGGGTGGCCCTCCATAGCCATAGTAGATTCTGGTCCTGGCCAATATGTTCCGCCGAAGATCGGCTCGAGGTCAGGTGTGATGAAAGCGTTCAGCGGCCACCCCCCGCCGCCTGTGGTAGCTTGAACATAGTTCATGTATATGCGGTCAATATCGGGGCGCTCTTCCCGATCGATCTTGATAGGTATGAAGTTCTTGTTCAGGATGTCCGCGACTTCCTGGTTCTCGAACGACTCCCGCTCCATGACGTGACACCAGTGACAAGCCGCGTATCCGATGCTTATGAAGATGAGTCTGTTGGACTTCTTGGCTAACTCCAGTGCTTCTGGGCCCCATTGCTGCCATGCGACAGGATTGTTCATGTGACCGCGCACATACGGGCTCCGCGACTCATTCAGGCGGTTTTTGAGCTGCAGGCCGTCGCCTGAGGTGGCAGGTGCGCCGGAAGAGTGTTGCGCCTCCATTCTGAGTATCGACGTGTGGAACTGGCGCAGTTGCGCTCGAGGTGTAATTCGGGGAGTGGCAGGAGGTTGGAGCGGCACTCGGCGTGTTGGCGCAGTCGCGGTGGGAGGCCGGGTGGAGGAGCAGGGACCTCTGAGTTTAAATCGCACTGGTGGCATACAGCGGGAGAAGTCTTGGGGGAAGATATCGTCGGCGCATTATAATGGCGAATTGCGGCGACCCGTAGGGCCGTAGATAACCAGAGCTCACAGCCTTGCCGAAGCCAATTGCCCCTCCCCCGCCTACGTAATCTCCGCGGCTGTGACTGGCTATCAAGTGCGAACCCTGGATCTTTGTCTGGCTTCAACCATACTCCAGCACTCCCTCGCCAGCCTTGCTACCATATTCTCGGAATCTTAATAGACGATGGCAACCCCGCGCCAGGACGACAGAAGAGGGTTGAGAGGGAAATTACATGAATGTGATGTCATGTATGCAGCTGTTGTCAGATGCAGTCGCAGATCGTATGCGATGGAATATCAAAGTGGATTACCTCAGCCTCCCTCCCAAACTTTTCGGGCCTTCTATTTCGATGGTAATAGATCGAAACCTTGGAAGGCTTCATTCCACGGTGTGTACGACATGCAGATAGTGGCCGATGAATGCATACACTAAATTTAGTTGGCCTTGGATCTCCAAGTATGTCTGCAGCATGCAGGTGAGATTTTGCGCTTTGGAGAAACTGAGAACATGATCAGCGCAGCTTGTCGCTCACATGCAAGCATCAACTTCAGTCGCCCGAGTAGGCTAGCGTGGCCTGCAGCTACTTCGACCACAATCCAAGGACCACATGCATGCACGACACAACAATCCCATGAAGACGTGCTTACTCGACATACCACCGGGGTTACTGTGCGAGGTGCTTGTCCATGCTGTTACTGTTCGTGGTCTCAAACGTGGCCTAAGGCTGCGGCTAGTAAACCGTAAGTCAGCTATTCTGTCATTCGTTCTGCCTCTACGAATTGCATAATAAATTGACATGCACTCCGGGCTGCTCGTAGAGAGGGTCATCAAAGCGCTACAAGGCTCAGACTTACTGTAAAATCACCGAGCTGTGGGATTCACGCGTGGATCTTGTTTGAGAATTTGGTCGGTTTGAGGTCCTGAGAATGCTAGTCGATGACAAGGAGCTACTGAGGAGAGATACCAGAAGTCTTGTCCTTCAGCCCGCTATCCGAAACGGACAATTCGATCTGATCAAATGCGTGCTCGTTCCGGTATGAGGACCGAATGACTTCATTATCAGTCTAGCAAAATGGAGGGACTGTCATCAGGCTGGACGTGAATACTTGGGAAGCAAACGTTGCATCAAGAAGAACCTCGTGGAAGGCATGCTGCATGGCTCTTCAGCCGGTTTTCTGTCTCAACTCTTGACTTTCGTTCGGCCCTTCGCTACACCGTCGTATGCTGTCGATGTAAGCATGCCTGATACCAGTCATCTTCTAAAAGACATCGAAAATAGCACTCCAAAACGAGAGGACGTGGCAAGATGGCTGCTGGACTTCGGCGCAAAGACACAACGAAAGCTTCTACAGGGAGTGACCAAGCCCTCTCCAGATCGACCAAGGTCGGACCTACAACTGGACTACTCGAACGCAAACCTGCTATTCACTACCCTTCAGAAAGCAGCGGAGAGCGGTACCCAAAAGATCATTTGTTTGCTTCTCGAACGTGGAGCTGACCCAGTATCTGCGTAATGAGTCGACTTTCGAGTGTAGTGTCAAAATCGGCTACTTGAGTACTCGCATGCTAGAGAAATACGGAGCGCGCGTCCCTCGAGACCACAAGTTTACAAATTTACTGAGGCATACATTCAACGTTAAGAGTTAGGAGCTTTATACATTCTTGCTTGCACGAGGAGGGCCCGCGGTATCGAAAATAGGACGACTTCCTCATGTCATCGGGGATGTAGATACTTCCAGCAAGGAAAACCAGTGTGAGGTGACATCCTAGTCAAACGTGAAGTCATTTGCGTCGGATACTCGATAAGCTTCACGATCCACCAGGCCCAAACAGCATTCACCTCGCCACAGTGTCAAACCTACATGTCAAACCTCATCATTTCAATCCCTATAGCAACACCGATGACTCTGGCACCTTGATCCCTTGGCTCGGTCTAAGAAACTCACATGTCACAAAACCTCATCCTACGATGTGGCCTACAGGGAAGACTTTTCTTACAGGACGCACATGCAATGCCACGAACCATTGATCCTTCTTACTCCAAACGCAGGGTGCGGAGAAATAGACTCTTACCTTCCACAAATCGCCTTTGTTCCGATGCAATGACTCGGCGTAAGATGTGGCTTTCGCTCCGTCCCGTTCAACGGTGTTCCCAGTTCCCGAATCTCTCGCTTACTCCAGACCCAGACGTCGTGGCCAACTAGCGAAGCGGCTCTCAACCTCAAACGTATTGTGCGGAGAATGAATCTTCCATGTGACCTTGATATTTACACACCATCTCGTCCGCCCGGAAGTAGTCGGGATCTTGGTTCAGCAGAGTTGACGCTTACCGTCATTCGCCATACGATTGGAGAGAAACCTCTCATTTCAAAACATACGATGCGGAGAGAAATCCACAATCTTCTCCGCGCGCTTTTATCGCTTTTCCACAAATCGTCTCTCCTCCGTGTCCATGATCACGCAACTTCAGATCTAGCCCCCCCTCGCTCCGTCCCGCTCAACACGATCCTGGATCCTTTCAAGTCAGCTTCGCTTACACACAAACGACATGAGATGAATGCTCTCGCTTACCAAAGAAATGACTGACAAGTTCGCAATTGCTTACCCCTGTCCCCGCCTAACCACTTAGCCCACTTTCTCTCATCTCCACATGGATCAAGACCCTGAACTTGAAAATCCTACAAGAAAAAAAAAAGCACGCATGTAGACAAGCGAACTAGATCTTCCCTACCAAAAAGCAACGCTCATGATCTCCTTTACCCGCGAAAAAAAAAAATGCAGACTACAAAAACCAACACCAAACCATGTCATATTACCCGTAGCAAAAAATCTCCGAAAAAAACAACACGACCCTGACTACTGCGGAAACATCTGACTCATCCTCTCTCCCTCGCATCAACTTCCCTCCCACCGCTCGCTGGTCAAGCAAATTTCAAGCCCCGTCCGTGTACGCGGCTGTTTCACCAAAACCCCGCCCAGCCCGGCGCGGTCCAAGCGTTTGGCTACTGTGCAGTCTGGTCCCGCAACGGATTCGTTTCATACCAAGTGACATCCAGCACAGCTGGGCAAAACATCACACGGCTTGCTTAAACCTGGGCGATGATCTCTGCCCGGGCTGGGCTAGCACGTCCGGAGGCAGCAGACGCATGAACAGGAGAAAATTGTGAGATGCAGAGACCCGCGCTTGGCGATGAACTGCTCAGGTGGTGGGCAAAGTCCGAGAGGATTTTTTTGCGCCCGAGAGGTGTGGGAAGTTGGGGGTGGGTGTGAGGAACACGCAGAGGGACGAGTCATGTCAAACGATGGCGTTTCAGATGCGGATGACAGATCGACGGGATGTGCACTGAAGATGCCGAGATCAGCACTCCGTCCTACGAACTCAAGATTGAGATATTCACTGCTGTTGCTCACTCAATCAAAATGCGTGGGACAGGAATTGTAAATGTGACGTATTAAGTTTCTTTGCTCCTTGTGCGACGTGTTTGGCTGCAGTTCACCGTCCTTCCGCTGGGGCGGAGTCTTTGCGAAACACACCGGTGTATAACGTTGATCTGCGAAAAAGTAGATTTGCCGGATTGTTCCCAATCCCGAGGAAACTGTGCCTCATACGCTGCGCCCCACCACCCAAGCCTCCCCTCCGCCCCTCCAAGAAAACCACACACACGAGGTATCTTCCACTGCCGACAGATCGAATGATGCCCAATAGATTGCCCGGCCCGGCCTCCGAATAAAACAAATGTCAAGTGATGTGGCTGTGACATTTTTACCAAAAAAAGTATGTTGGTCTTCATGAGACAAATAATGTTTCATTCGACCATGTTTCCCCAAACGAGAATCCAAACGACGTGGCAACATCAGATAGCATCCTTTCCGGCCCATCCCTAGGTGAAATCCCTATCGTCACTCCGACGAATAAACAATAGAAAAAGGTTGAAAAAATTGACATAGTGAAGAGTTGTGGTATGTGCGTTGACACATAAAGGTTTCCGTGCCCATATTAGACAAACAGCTGGCGCTTTTACAGAAGCAAAGATACGGTTATGAAAATAGGCGTACGCGAGCCGAGCTCGAAAATAGTTGCAACAATGGGTAAAAATAGGTGGCTCCGCGGGGAAATGGTCGCCGGCTAAGATGGGGGAATAGAATATATCAAGCGAAGGTGTTTGTCGCGGTGGCCAGATGCCTTACTCCAGATTACGCCGTAGATGGAACAATATCAAGTCGCCTCCAGGTGGTGTTTCGAACTTGCCGAGGCCGGTATTACGAGTGGAAAAGGTCCCAAGCTCTTGCACAGAGTCCGATAAACTCTTCCTTCTTCTTCAGTTGCGTGTCGGGTGAATCACGGCCGGCTCCAAAGGGTCCGAGGCGGGCCTGTTGACGGCCGAGCGGCGGTGTGCCGTTGTCCTGTTCGTACTCGTCACGGCCACGTCTCCTTGTGCTACCGCTGCGGTGCAGGTCGGCGTGCGGTGGGTATGCTGATGAGCCGGCCTTGTTGGGCATGGGTGAAGGTGGAGTTGGGGGCTGGTGGCCGCCGTAATGTACTAGGCGGGGAAGGAGGTCTTCCCGACCGCCGGAGAGCGAAGCCACGGCCTCCTCGGCCGACTTGTACTCGCGGGGCCGTGACGTGGGAGGCGCAGGCTGTTGGTATTGGGGCGGAAAGCCTGGCGAGGGCATTGGGGGCTGAACATTGGAGTGGGAAGAGTGGCCCGGGCTGCTGTTATGGTAGGGGTGCCGCGCCGTCTGGAGGGGCTCTGGGAATACGTCTGAGATGGGGGGTAGACGGTTGCTGGTTTGCTGCGCAGGGACGTGGTGGATATGTGATGTTTGCGACAGGTTCGAGGGGCCGTTGGCGAGCTGTCTTGAGGGAGGTGCATTGCCGCGGAGGCCAGTGAAGGTCTGGTTGATGGGAGCAGACTGGATCACCCTGTCGTGTGCAAACTGCTGTGCCTGGGGAGGAGCGATGGACAGACCTGGGGGTGGTCCCTTCCTCCGTGATGTCTGAGGAGTCTTGATGGGTCGGCCAAAGGCACCAGTGGTGTCGCCCTGTCGTGGGGTGGGCTGATCGTCCTCTGGTCCCTTGCCGCCGTGCTTCTGGCGAGCCTCGATGATCTGTCTCTGGCGCTCTCTTACGTCCAGACTGCGCTGGAGCTGCTCGCGCATGGTGGGATCCTGGGTGTGGAAGCCCGGGGACAGGCAGGCAAGCCCCATGTCCAAGAGGTTCGCACTGCCCTGAGCGGCGGGCCGTGCGGTGAGGGCGCCCGAGGTGTGGACAATGTTGTTGTTGGAGAGGTTGAGGCGCTGGGGCCGGTGCCGCGTGGTGGTGGGCATGTCGGGCGAGTTGGGTTCCTTCTTCACGACAATCTTGGGTGCTGGGCCACGAGACCTGCTTGACGAGGGACGGTTAGACATGTGTGACATGATGTCTCTGCGGGGAGGGGACATGGAGGTGGAGGTGGGAGAGCCAGCGCTGGGCGGGCGGGCGGAGGCAGAGGAAGAAGAACGAGTAGATAGACTAAAAGACGTACGAAAGAGGTGAGCGCTTGCCATCCCCTCTGAATGCGGGTGTATCACTACTGGTGTCGGTAGGTGAAGCATCGTGTGGCAGTCTAGAGGCTCTGGAGTTGGGCGTCACTTGGTGGGGAGAAGAAGTCGAGGGCGCAATGGCGGCATATGTTCTTGAAGAACCGACGCCCTCGGGCGTGGGCGGTGGTGCGGCATGGGCGGCAGGGATGGAGGGATTGGCGACAGCGGTGGTCATGGTCGCTGGGTGACTGCGGCAGGGCAGCTTGGGGACAGAGGGGCAGAGCAGATTGTAGGAGTGTCGCAGGGCTGGAGGGAGCAAGTCCGCAAACGCTAGACGTCAAAGAATAGCCTCAGCTAACAGCAGATCAGAGGCTGGTGCAACAGGGGGTGCGGCGGAGACAGGGTTGGCGGCGGGCCTGTAACTGGGCGAGCAATGGAGAGCAGCAACAGCAGCAATTAAGCGTGTGCGGCGGTATTAAGAGCAGAGGAAAGAGAGAGTTTCCGGGTAGGCGACTGGCGGGCGGCGCGGAGGTGTGGTTAGATATTTCTCACTGCTGCTGCGACTCAACCAGCGTCCTAGTCGTTGGCACTACTGGCATGCCGCATGCATGCCACTCGCAGCGAGCAGCCAGACGCCAGACGCCAGGCAGGGATGGCCTGCAGCCTGTGTAGCGCGTGTTGGGGAGGGCGACAAGGTCAGCGCCACATCGAGTCGGCCTGTTTCAGCGCGCCCGGCGGCCACAGACGAGGTGGCCATCGCGCAGCATCAGAAACTCTCGCGCCGTAGCTGCGCGCTGGCGAGAAACCGCGCTCGAACGGCGTGGAGCGCCACGCCAGTCTGGACTGCAGTTGGGTGGTTGCTGACCACCGGCGCCGCCCTTCACTGCTGCTGAGCTGGTGGACGCCTCGCTGCAGCATCCAATACTGCGCGCCCAGCCAACCAGAGCCTCGCCGCCCAGGGTCTGCTAGACGACGTTTCCAGTGTTTCATCGGGTTTGAGCGCGCCCGAAGAGGCAAGCGCAAGGGTTCCTTCCTCTGCGAGGGCGAGCATCCACTACCACTTATTGGCCAGCCCGCCTGGGACGCCCTCCATGTGCATTATCTGGCAGTGAAGAGTTTGCGGCATTGGCGTTGCTGTCTCCAACAAACTCTGCCCTGCTTCAACTCTCCGCCTCCAATGGCCTTTGCCCTGCTCATCTTCCCTCCGCTCGGTCGTCGCTGCCGCATTCGTCGCAACCTTCACCCGCTGGGGGGGAGCCTAGTCACATGGTAGCGCGTCCTCTGACTCTCCAGGGCTCGCGCTGCGAACAGGCGCAGGCATCCTCGCGTGGCCTGCGATTGACAGCCCGCCCTCGAGTCAGCATCCTATAAAGGACTGCACCGCACCCCGTCGCGTGACAACAACAACTTTGCCCTGAAACTATGTCCATCTCCGTTGCCACAGGACAATCTCTCCCCGTACCATAAACACAAACAGGACATCCTCCAATCTTGCCGTGTGCGAGATCTTCAGTCACAGTATCGCTACGTTTCAGCGGCGTCCACACTGCATATCCTCCCCTTTGATCCTCATTTCCTTCAAATGCCCTCCCTCATGCGCTTCCCGCTCATGCATGGAAACATTTGGCCCTGCTCGAGCACTGCGAGACCCTGCATCTTAAGGTAAAGGACTAAACATTTCCCACGCGACTGCACCCAGGCATTCGCGAACACGAGAAAGCACGCACCTTTCTGCGATATATATACACATGTCCTTAGTCCGACCGACTCCCGTCTCCAATTCTCCCACTACCCCCGTCTATATCACGACGATCAGGTACAGTCCGTCCCTCGCTCGCCACCCAGATCTAGGCAAATTGCACATATACACCAGCATCCCGAAAGCGGCAGTCTGCACCATGCCCTTTTCCAACACGGAACATGTGGGGTCGCTGCTGTTCAACATGCATCCAACCGAGCGCCTGGGATCCCAACCCACCCGCACTAAGCAAGCGATCGGCGCGACTGTATCTATTTTCAGCCAGAGCGCCTGCCTGATTCTGACAGTCCTCGCCCACTGGGAAGAGCCCTGTCCTGGCTCACCCTGTGTGCTGGGAGGGGTCTGGACGATGCATGCAGGCTTGGCAGAGGATTCGACGAGAGCGCAATTGCGAGATTTGGAGGCACTATAGATGAGGCGACCACGTGCGGGATGAAAATTGTAGTTGACGTGCTAGGCACTATTCTCGCGGCAGGTAAGATGTAATTTTCTGGTCACGTTGAGCCTACATGAGCACATTGTCTTCTACTCGAAGCAACCGCGCTAGAATAGCGGATAAATGGATGTATGTCAGAAAGCCTAGTAGGGGTTCTGCACTGCTACTCAAATACACTACACACAATACGCTGGCGCTGCATGTAGTGCAGTTGCGCATTCAACTTCGAACTATTCCATCTGCTGTGCGACATACCCAGTACTCCTTTGGGTCGTGTACTACGTTCCCGAAGCATCATGTCGAACCCCTTTCAGGCGTCGTACCAATAAGTTCTCTTTGAGAGTATTGTGGTACAAAGTGTGGGACGTGACACATGCAAGTCGAAGGACCGAGGTGTAGATTATGCCTCTCACTGATATCTCCATCTCTCCATTTCTGAAGACAACGGATGAAGTTGTGCAAAGTCTGCATTGCAAGATCCAACTCCTGTATCTTCACTATGTATAGCCCACCCCTACCACCATCAAGATGCCAAAAGCCGCCCACCCCCCAAGTCACGCTGAAGGTCGCACAATCATCCCTCACCCCTCTTACAGGCATTCGGAACTTTTCCTTCAAC